GGTCTCCGATCGTAAAGGATGTCAAGAACCAAAATCCGCCAACGTTGATTCTTTACTGCGGCTGAAATATTCATTTTTAGAGCGTTGGTGAATTAAAAAAAAGCAGTATAAAAACCGGAATGTCCAACTGATAAGGCTGACAATTTTTTCACTTGTTATTTACAGTAAGATAAATACATTCATCAACTTTTATTAAAATAAAACCATTTAAACTGGGTGTTCGGATTTATATGTCACTTAGTATAATACTCGTGCATTACATTTTTATGACATGATTAATCATGAAAAAATTGAGTTAATCGAATTATTTGAATATTTGACCATATATGTATACAGTAAATTAAAATTTGAAGGATACCGGGAATATATTATTTCAAAAATATTCAAAAAGATAAATTACTTTTATAGAATTTCACGTAGCCTATGTGTTTATTCTAAAAAAAAACTTCGTACAACACCATCATTCTCCCTGATTTGTTATACAAATATTGTTTAATGCAAACGAAATTGTATTTTCAAAACTAATATTTCAAAATAAAGCTACGAGAATCATCTTAAATAAAAATAAATACTCTACAATAAATTTTATGCTCACAGAACTACAATGATTAAAAATCAAAAATTTCATAACCTACCTGGTTTTCATTTTCATCTTCAAGTTAAAAAATCATCTTCTACCAAATCATTTTGACTTTCATTTACAAAATTGTAGTAGCAATATTTCAAAAAGGATTATACGAATTTACTAAACTATGTAATGATATCAAGGTGTACCAATTTGAAAATGTTTAAAAGGAAATTGGAAAAATAAATAAAGTATTGTAGCATTAATGCTAAATAAATCTATCACAAACAAGGATGTCGACTGGACTATCGCGTTTTGCGCTGCTGACTCATTGTCTGCTGTCAGTCGGCTCTATCTCGCCCTCGCTCTGCCCTCTGTGCGTGTTCGAATCGGCAAATCCAGAAGCATTCCCGCGTCTTCTTGACATAACTCGAGACTTCGAAGCTGGTCGATGGCGGTCGATGTTTCTCGATGCTTGACGAACGTTCTCGACATGCGGTCTCGTAATTGGTACCAAAGAAAGTGGAACAAACCTAACGAGAAAAAGTAGAACAAACCCAACGAAAAAAGTAGCACAAACCTAACGAAAAAAGTGGGACAAACCTAACTTTTTGGTGTAGTAGCTTAGTTTGGACTTGGTTTGGTTTGTAATCTGTTATCTGTCAATCTAACAAAAAGGAGTGGGACAGGCCTAACGAAAAAAGTGCGACAAACCTGACGAAAAAAGTGGGACAAACCTAACGAAAAAAGTGGGACAATACTATCGAAAAAATTGGGACAAACCTAACGAAAAAAGTAGGACAAACCAAACGAGATAAGTGGGGCGATACTAACGAAAAAAAAATAGGACAATACTAACGAAAAGAATTTGAACAAACCAAGCGAAAAAACTGGGGCAAACCTAACGGAAAGTTGGGAAAACCTAACGAAAAACTTGACCATGCCTTTACTACGCTTTTTGGGTCGCTGGAACCCAATCGGGAACCCCAAAGGAATTTAATAAAAAATACTGTAACGAAAATAAGATTTTTACTATATTTAAAGTCTTATTCATTACTCTTACACTAATTTATTACAACACTTGCAACTAATACTCGTGCATTACATTTTTATGACATGATTCATCATGAAAAAATTCAGTTAATCGAATTATTTGAATATTTGAGCATATATGTAAACAGTAAATTAAAATTTGGAGGGTACCGGGAATACATTATTTCAAAAGTATTCAAAAAGATAAATCACTTTTATAGAATTTCGCGTAGCCTATGTGTTTATTCTAAAAAAAAACTTCGTACAACACCATCATTCTCTCTGATTTGTTATACAAATATTGTTCAATGGAAACGAAATTGTATTTTCAAAACTAATATTTCAAAATAAAGCTACGAGAATCATCTTAAATAAAAATAAATACTCTACAATAAATTTTATGCTCACAGAACTACAATGATTAAAAATCAATAATTTCATAAACTACCTGGTTTTCATTTTCATCTTCAATTGAAAAAATCATCTTCTACCAAATCATTTTGAAAATTTTATTGAATTGAACAATGAGTGCCATAGTTTTTCTACTAGAGGAAGTATTGACTTTCATTTACAAAATTGTAGTAGCAATATAACAAAAAAAACAGTATTTCTAAAAGGATTATACGAATTTACTAAACTATGTAATGATATCAAAGTGTACCAGTTTGAAAATGTTTAAAAGAAAATTGGAAAAATAAATAAAGTATTGTAGCATTAATGTTAAATAAATCTATCACAAACAAGGATGTCGACTGGACTATCGCGTTTTGCGCTGCTGGCTCATGGTCTGCTGTCAGTCGGCTCTAAATCGCCCTCGCTTTGCCCCCTGTGCGTGTTCGAATCGGCAAATCCAGAAGCATTCCCGCGTCTTCTTGACATAACTCGAGACTTCGAAGCTGGTCGATGGCGGTCGATGTTTCTCGATGCTTGACGAACGTTCTCGACATGCGGTCTCGTAATTGGTTGCCTAAGCGAGGGTTACAATAAGCAAAGATCGTTGCGCATCTGAGATCTGGGTCAAAACGGATTTCCTGGGGGAATTGAGTACGTAGCTTCCAAGTCTAACATGAATTTTATACATGAAGGAATCAACGGGTGGCCCCCTGGAGGTCAAAATTTGTGCCCCAAATGTTGGTCCCACGAACTTTAGAATTTCATCAGGATACGTGAAGTTCTGGCGCGAAGTTTTACGTTTAAACTTCGTAGAGGGCCAGTTTCACCGCTTCATGGTCTGAGAAAAATGTTAAAACAGAATATGAAGTTTTTCTACTAGAGAAAGTATTGACTTTCATTTACAAAAATGTAGTAGCAATATAACAAAAAAAAACAGTATTTCAAAAAGGATCATACGAATTTACTAAACTATGTAATGATATCAAGGTGTACCAATTTGAAAATGTTTAAAAGGAAATTGTAAAAATAAATAAAGTATTGTAGCATTAATGTTAAATAAATCTATCACAAACAATGATGTCGACTGGACTATCGCGTTTTGCGCTGCTGACTCATTGTCTGCTGTCAGTCGGCTCTACCTCGCCCTCGCTCTGCCCTCTGTGCGTGTTCGAATCGCCAAATCCAGAAGCATTCCCGCGTCTTCTTGACATAACTCGAGACTTCGAAGCTGGTCGATGGCGGTCGATGTTTCTCGATGCTTGACGAACGTTCTCGACATGCGGTCTCGTAATTGGTTGCCTAAGCGAGGGTTACAATAAGCAAAGATCGTTGCGCATCTGAGATCTGGGTCAAAACGGATTTCCTGGGGGAATTGAGTACGTAGCTTCCAAGTCTAACATGAATTTTATACATGAAGGAATCAACGGGTGGCCCCCTGGAGGTCAAAATTTGTGCCCCAAATGTTGGTCCCACGAACTTTAGAATTTCATCAGGATACGTGAAGTTCTGGCGCGAAGTTTTACGTTTAAACTTCGTAGAGGGCCAGTTTCACCGCTTCATGGTCTGAGAAAAATGTTAAAACAGAATATGAAGTTTTTCTACTAGAGAAAGTATTGACTTTCATTTACAAAAATGTAGTAGCAATATAACAAAAAAAAAACAGTATTTCAAAAAGGATCATACGAATTTACTAAACTATGTAATGATATCAAGGTGTACCAATTTGAAAATGTTTAAAAGGAAATTGGAAAAATAAATAAAGTATTGTAGCATTAATGTTAAATAAATCTATCACAAACAATGATGTCGACTGGACTATCGCGTTTTGCGCTGCTGACTCATTGTCTGCTGTCAGTCGGCTCTACCTCGCCCTCGCTCTGCCCTCTGTGCGTGTTCGAATCGCCAAATCCAGAAGCATTCCCGCGTCTTCTTGACATAACTCGAGACTTCGAAGCTGGTCGTTGGCGGTCGATGTTTCTCGATGCTTGACAAACGTTCTCGACATGCGGTCTCGTAATTGGTTGCCTAAGCGAGGGTTATAATAAACAAAGATCGTTGCGCATCTGAGATCTGGGTCAAAACGGATTTCCTGGGGGAATTGAGTACGTAGCTTCCAAGTCTAACATGAATTTTATACATGAAGGAATCAACGGGTGGCCCCCTGGAGGTCAAAATTTGTGCCCCAAATGTTGGTCCCACGAACTTTAGAATTTCATCAGGATACGTGAAGTTCTGGCGCGAAGTTTTACGTTTAAACTTCGTAGAGGGCCAGTTTCACCGCTTCATGGTCTGAGAAAAATGTTAAAACAGAATATGAAGTTTTTCTACTAGAGAAAGTATTGACTTTCATTTACAAAAATGTAGTAGCAATATAACAAAAAAAAACAGTATTTCAAAAAGGATCATACGAATTTACTAAACTATGTAATGATATCAAGGTGTACCAATTTGAAAATGTTTAAAAGGAAATTGGAAAAATAAATAAAGTATTGTAGCATTAATGTTAAATAAATCTATCACAAACAATGATGTCGACTGGACTATCGCGTTTTGCGCTGCTGACTCATTGTCTGCTGTCAGTCGGCTCTACCTCGCCCTCGCTCTGCCCTCTGTGCGTGTTCGAATCGCCAAATCCAGAAGCATTCCCGCGTCTTCTTGACATAACTCGAGACTTCGAAGCTGGTCGATGGCGGTCGATGTTTCTCGATGCTTGACGAACGTTCTCGACATGCGGTCTCGTAATTGGTTGCTTAAGCGAGGGTTATAATAAACAAAGATCGTTGCGCAACTGAGATCTGGATCAAAACTGATTTCCTGGGGGAACTGAGTACGTAGCTTCCAAGTCTAACATGAATATGTTAAAAGCAGAATATTTTGGAAAATACCTCATCCAGAAAATTCGTATAAACCAACCGGCGAAACTGAAACATTCTTATTCGCCCTCGTACGTTGACACATGGGAAAAATCAATACAACCTCCCCTGGTTACGTCAAACTGGACAGTCGCAAATGTAACGTGGTGCTACAACCACCGTCACCTTTGACGTACTGTCAGAAGTCCGACTCGTTTTCAAAAAACCCTCCATCAAAATTCTCAGCGCGATACAAAAATGTTGTGAGTTCTCGCAGAAGCGTGTACGGGTGGTGTTCGAAATGCACTTCGAAAGCGTTAAAAATGTGCTACACGTAGAATCATCGGTGTTTTGAAAAATGGCTTGTGCAACGAACACCAGAAGGAATGAGGTGAAGAATGATACGCTGCCCCATTGGGCTCTGGCGAGGGAAGGGATCAAACTTATCATTAACAATAACTGCGCTGAAGCGGAACAGTTATTTTTGGAACACCCTGATAGTTTAGCTATGTATTCTGGATACTCTTTTGCTGTGATGATGGTAAGGATATAATTTGATCGTATTTAAGTATTACTATCGCGACCGTCGGCGGTAAAATTTCTCCCCAACCAACGGTCGAAAAACAACACATAGCACGCCTGATAGTAACGGAATCAGACATACAAGTACAGTGGACCTCCGGTAATCCGACAAACATTATGCAGGGCAGTGTCAGACTATCGAATTTGTCGGATTATAGAGCACTGCCTAAGACCCCCTATAGTCCGGAATTTTTTACAAAAGAGTACCTTGTAATCCGACAAATTACATATCCAATGGTAAGATTATATATGTTATGTATATGTGTGTACTTTGAATTACAAATCATACATAGTTTATGTATGTCGAATTTAGTAAATTAAATAACAATAGAGAGCTTACGTTTTATTATAAAATTGAGCATAAATGCACATACATATGTACCAAAATGATCAAGAATTATTAATCAAAATCATTAATGAATTTATCAAATTATGAAGCTTGGAAATATTCATCATTTTTTTTGTTCAAGGTAGTTATAACGCGAGATCAGAGCTTTGTCCGTCAGTCTTCTCAAAAGTAAAAGTTCGTTGTAGGATGTGCCATTCTCTTCAGCCCAAAGGCGTTAATTGCGCCTTGTGCTGTGACTTGTGGAGCAGTTGCAATCACGTCGTCGTTATTTTCCTGATTGTTTGTTGTATAATTAGAAACCTGTTTTATAATCTCTTCGTCAGACATTTCATGAAAAACATTTTCCTCTTTATCCATTCCACGGCACCAGATTTCCAAATCTTCCGGACTTATCTGTGTTTCAGTAGCGACTTGTTCTGTAACATCCGAAGTAACACTGATTTGTGGAACGTTGCTAGGAGTGGTGACTATATCTGGCCATAACTTTTTTCAAGACGATTTAATAGTTGATGACGGTAACGCATTCCACGACTGACAAAGAGCAAAAACCAAGTCTTTCATTAAATTCTTTTAAAGTTTTTTCTATTGGTTGGTCTTTTGATACGGCTCTCAGAAGTAGGTTTTTCTTATAGTCTTGCTTGACAATTTGAATGATATTCTGGTCCATTGGTTGAATCAGTGCAGTGCAATTTGGCGGAAGAAACATCGCAGTGATGCATTTATCCTCAGTTGTTAGTTCTTCTTCAGACGGATGACCGGGAGCGTTATCAAGAAGCAACAACGCTTTTGAGGAAAATTATGATCTTTTAACCATTTTCTAACTTCAGGTACGAAGCATTCATCAAACCACTTTTTAAAAAGGTCTTTTGTCATCCATGCACTTTTTGTCCGTAATAGTGTACAGGTAAATCAATGTTTTTGAATGCCCGTGGTTTATTAGATTTCCCAATGAACATCATCTTAAGCGCGTGTGTGTCCGAAGCGTTCGTACATGGTAGTATGATTACACGCTCTTTACTTACTTTTCGTCCAGGTACGGATTTTTCGTTACAAGAAACGAAAGTTTTGTTAGGCATCACACGCCAAAACAGCCCTGATTCGTTTGCATTGTACACCTGTGACGGGTCAAGATTTAAATCGTCCACCTTTTGCAAAAATCTTAATTTAAAGGGCTCTATGCAGGTGGCATCGTTAGAAAGTTTCTCTCCTATAATAGTCATTAAACGTATGCTATGACGACTTTTAAAACGTTCTAGCCATCCTTTGCTGGCCACAAAATCATCTTTTTTTGTTATTTCCTTATAAAAAAACATAGCTTTCATGGCCAACATGGGTCCTGAAATTGGTGCATGCCTATTTCTTTCCTGAAGAAACCACATGTACAAAGCTTCTTCCACTTCTGGATGTTCAGCTTTCTTGAGTGTCTGTCTCTTGCCTGGCTTGCAGTCAGTAGTTGAAACGAACTTCTTGATCTTCTCGAGGTTTCTTTTAATGTCATAAATTGTAGATCGGCCTACGCCGTATTCACTTGCTAAACTATTGAAAGTTTCATTGCGATTTAAGCGGTCTAAAATATCACATTTTTCTTTAATTGTCAATGTTTTGTGCTTTCGCATCTGAGTTTATGATGACATTACTAGGTACTATACTTAATACACAATGAATAAATAGTAAACAATGAACGCACGCTAGGCCGTACCGTTATCACAAGTAGTCAATTTCAAACTAAGTAAAACAATGCTTACGCGTCGAGTACGATAGCGGTGGCGCGTACAAGTTGTAACCTGTTCAAACCTGCGTGATCTACATTAGCGAAGATTGTCAAATACGTATGTATGTAATATTCAAAGACATGTCGGATTACAGGGGGCGCCGGATTAGACAGGGGCCGGATTATCGGGAGTCCACTGTATGTGTCTTAAGGTTGCCACCATAATGCAAAGAAATTCAGGTCAGAAAGAAAGGTTGTTCTTTATGTATTTCGAGTTTAAAAAAACGTTCGTTTTCTTAATGATTACAGACACTTGAAAGAATATTGTATGACAATTTGAATCTATTACAGCGAAAAAACAACTTGTTACGTTAAAACCTCTTTCAAGAGATGCAATCCAAAAAACGGAAAAAACATTAAATCGGTCAACAATAACACAGATTACATATTAAAATTTCAATCAACACTTGTACAAAGCTTCTTCCACTTCTGGATGTTCAGCTTTCTTGAGTGTCTGTCTCTTGCCTGGCTTGCAGTCAGTAGTTGAAACGAACTTCTTGATCTTCTCGAGGTTTCTTTTAATGTCATAAATTGTAGATCGGCCTACGCCGTATTCACTTGCTAAACTATTGAAAGTTTCATTGCGATTTAAGCGGTCTAAAATATCACATTTTTCTTTAATTGTCAATGTTTTGTGCTTTCGCATCTGAGTTTATGATGACATTACTAGGTACTATACTTAATACACAATGAATAAATAGTAAACAATGAACGCACGCTAGGCCGTACCGTTATCACAAGTAGTCAATTTCAAACTAAGTAAAACAATGCTTACGCGTCGAGCACGATAGCGGTGGCGCGTACAAGTTGTAACCTGTTCAAACCTGCGTGATCTACATTAGCGAAGATTGTCAAATACGTATGTATGTAATATTCAAAGACATGTCGGATTACAGGGGGCGCCGGATTATCGGGAGTCCACTGTATGTGTCTTAAGGTTGCCACCATAATGCAAAGAAATTCAGGTCAGAAAGAAAGGTTGTTCTTTATGTATTTCGAGTTTAAAAAAACGTTCGTTTTCTTAATGATTACAGACACTTGAAAGAATATTGTATGACAATTTGAATCTATTACAGCGAAAAAACAACTTGTTACGTTAAAACCTCTTTCAAGAGATGCAATCCAAAAAACGGAAAAAACATTAAATCGGTCAACAATAACACAGATTACATATTAAAATTTCAATCAACACTTGACGAGTGGAAAATTCTGTTATATCCATAAATATTTGGTCAGAGAAATGTTCAAAGCTAAAATGTCAGTTACACCCAGTTCAAACAGCAATTTAGCATATCCGAAAACGATAGTAAAATTGAGAAAGGAGGCTGCAAAAGTTGGGCATTTCTGATTTTTCGATAAATATTATTTTTTTCACTGCTATCCGTTGACTGAAGTTTTGTAAACGAGGGACTTTAAATGCCCCCAAAGAGAAATCTAACGGAAAATAGTAATCCAGCTGGCACTTGATTATTGAACACAACGAAAAACTTCAAGAGTTACATTTCAATTAGAATCAAAGTTTTGAGAAAACGATATATATTTTCGAAAACCCGCTAAACATAAAGTTTAAACATCATTATAGAAATTAGGCCCAAGCTCAATATGCACGTTTTTCATATGTAATATTTATGTGCTGAATCTGCTCTGATCTAACATATTCACCCTCGCTCGTCATAAGAAAACTATTTTTAGTCGTTAATTGCACTTTATGCTTTGTCTCGTAATGAATTTTGCAAGGGCAAGGGAGTATAGAGTGCGCAAAAACTCCGCAATATGTCGTGTGCAGAATAAAGGGTCAAGGTGAAGAGGGTCTTGGACTTGACCCAAAATAGGAAAAATACAGCTGTGAAGCGTTCCTAGATTTAGATACGAATTCACAGTCGACACGGCAAACTATACGAGGGCTGTTATTTGCTTACAGTTCAGGAAGTATAAATATTCTGATTCGGTATTTTCTTATAATTTCACGCAAGTAATGGCGCCAAGCAGATTGACTCTGCGACTGTGGCCTTTTTCAAGTACAATTGACAATTATGGCAATAGATACGAGCCCTTTCCCACTTCAGTTGGTCCACTTCAAGATTTGTACCAAAATATGCCTTTATAAACTAAACATGACGAAACTATTTACTTCTAAAACAATTTATTTTCTCAAAAAGGTTTTAGATACACTCTAGTCGTAAAAAATACACATTTGAAATCACTTAGACATATAACTAATAGAACATCTGAACAGATAAACAATGTGCGAATAAATGCGCGAAGTTAACAAAGCAATAATTGAAAGATTACCATTGGGTAACATCACCTTTATTTTTTATTGCGGCTAAAATTCTTTAGGGCATAGTGTTAACCAAGTTTTGCCAAAAATTTGGTGTAAAACAATCCCATATTTCTTGAAGCTTTTGTCTCAGTTCGGTGATTGTACGAGCAGGATGTTGTCGTATAACCTTTTTCATCTCGTGCCACAAAGTTTCAATTGGTGACAGATCTGGACTGCTAGAAACCCATTTCAAAAGTGGTACATTATTTTCTTCCATCCATTTTATAGCCTTTTTTGAGGTATGGCACGCTGCACCATCTTGCTGAAACACAAAATCTTGGCCGGATGTCAAACATTCTTCCATCACTGGTAAAAGCGATTCTTCTAAAATTGCCAAATATTTGTTTGTATCCACATTTCCATCAATAAAATGAAGTTTTCCCACTCCTTTTGATGACATACTGCCCCAGACCATAATGGATGCTGGAAATTTCACTTTTCTATTCAGACAGTCCACATGGAATGCTTCATTTTTTTTGCGGATAACTCTACTGCGACTGTCACCAACACAAACTTCGAATCGGGCCTCATCACTCCATTGTATTGCACACCATTGTTGAGGTGTCCATTGTCTATGTTCTTTAGCCCATCTAAGCCGATTTTTCTTTTGCAGTGGAGTTAATAGTGGCTTTTCTTTGGCCTATAAACAAGTTGTGCAACTTTAGGGTTTTTACTTCACTTTTTTTATAAGAAAACTTACCTTGCAAGTGCTAAATCCCAGTTTGTGGGCCTCTCTATGAGTTGTGGACCTCGAAATTCTCCTTCCAACAGCGTCACTCCACAGAGCACTTAATTGTAAATAATTAGCACGCCTGTTTTTCACGATTATTCTTCTTAATGCTCTTCGGTCGGCATTTGTGATATTACTTTTGTCACATATCGTGGCTTAATATTAACTGGACTAGTTACGTTATATCTTCTAACAATATTTCTCACACTGTACCGCGATAAGTCTAACAAAGTTGCAATTTCTCTACCCATTTTGAAAACCTTAACTACCCAAAACTATTTTAAACGTATTCTAACAGCTGTGATTAATAAAAACAATTGTCATGGCTTTTATTTTTCACAGCCACCTATGTTATAGACTTATTTTGCATTGAAATGAAAATAGGTTGATATGCTGTAATTGCAACATGTGTTATTTTTATGCTGCAAATTTGATTAGGGATTGATAAAGTTGGTGTTAATATTTTAAACCTATAACACCTTGCTACATTTTTATTGTTTGTGTTTGATAAGAAAAAAACCAAGATTTCAATAGTTGGACCAACTGAAGTGGGAAGGGGCTCGTAGATAAATAAATGTGCTCTGAAAAATACAATCGTTCTTAATGACAAAGCGAACTTAAAATTAAACTATAATATAATCACATAAGTAGGTCTTAACTAGGTGAATTGTAGAACTCACACAGGGTGTAATATGGTTTACATATTAAAAAGTTTTTAAGTTCACGGCGGAATAACTTTAAATTGTTAATTCCTTTGATAGCATCAGGGAGACACATGTAAATTTTCAGACGATTATAAATTATTGAGTCTTGTTGTTTTATAACTCATAGTTGATGTTTCAAATTTAGATTTATTAAAAAAAATGCTGCTTCTATAATGAACAATGATACGACAGACATTATTTTAAGATTTGCAAATAAAAATCTAGTAGTTCGTTTTTGTAGAATAAGCACCTTTTTAAGCAATTTTGGGAACAAGCACACCAAAATGGAATACATTTTGTCTTATTGACATTGAAGTCAAATAGTTGATGATTTTACAATTTGGGATCGATTATTTTTAAACCAACTGAGTGAAGTTCCAGTACAACCATATTTGTTTAACTTTTTATTAGTATATATATCATGATTTACGCGGTCAAAAGCTTTGGAGCAGTCCCAAAAAAGGGCTATTGAAATGTATGGTTTTATTTAACACTCAGACAAATAAGGAGGTTTAATTTTGAGATTTTTCTATCCTTTACTTGGCACAGTTAACACATTACCACTCAGTATACATTTTAGGATGCTTTAATGAGTTACGAAGAAGAAAAATTAAACAAAGCTATCCAAGTGCTAAGAGATTTGGAAAAAAGATGTGCTTCTGAAACAGGCTGGCTTAGACAAGTCACTCAACGAGTATTTTCCTTCACACAGGTTAGTCCTAATGTCCCAAGATCCCTACGAACTACCTATCCATAGATTCAAATTCGGCAGATTTTGGAAATTCGAATAACCAAATACGTCTAGACGTTGATCCGAAATTCTTATATTTGTTACTACCTGTTCTCCGTTGCTTCTAACATGCAACAACTTTTCTAGAAAGTCAAAACTTCTATGAATCCACCAAACTTATGAAAAAATCGCAATTATCAATTTACATTCACACACCCCGATAGCATTAAATATTCATTAAATATTTTTTAAAAATGTTTGTTAAATACTTTTAGCGACAGATTTTTTAATATTTAATAAATAGGTATGTTTTTTATATATGTATAAAATATTCATCATAGATATTTGTAGTATATATAATTCATATATTTTTGCGATATTTTTTCCAAATATTTAGAAAATATATGAGGAAAGATTTTTAAATATCAATTTTATATTTTGATGAAATATACTAAGTGACATATCAATCCGAACACCCAGTTTAAATGGTTTTATTTTAATAAAATTTTGTATAAGTACTTAATGAAGCATAATAAGTAAATGATAAGAATTTTAAAATGATTGCACTGCTTTAAAGCCCTTTGACCTTTAATAATGTGTGGATGCACCCTGATGTGCTACGCATTCTCCAACGCGCCTAGGCATGCTTCTGATCAGGTGGTCAATGTCCTCTCGAAGTGCTTCTAGAGTCTGAGGAGGACGTTGCAAATTGAGCAATCTCCTACCCATCATATCCCACACGTGCTCAATTGGGGATAAGTCGGGAGATCTTGGTGGCCATGGTAACAATGTGACATCATTATGTTGAAAGAAGTCTATTGTGACTCTTGCAACATGTGGTCGGGCATTATCTTGTTGGAAACTTGGATCTGCCAGGGTGTCAAGATAGGGTAAAAGATGGGGTTCTAGAACTTCGTGGATATAACGCTGCGCGTTCATGTTACCTCTGATGAAGATTAAAGGTGACCTGGAACCATAAGCTATAGCACCCCAAACCATAACTCCAACAGTGTGATGAACATGTTTTTCAACGAAAAACTGTGGATTCCTCCTTTCACCACGTCGCCTTTTAACCCTGGCACGACCATCGTGCATGCCTAAACAAAATCGAGACTCGTCACTAAAGACAATACTGTTCCATTCCTGATCCCAGAGTGACTGTTGTCTGCACCACTCAAGGCGATTACGTCGGTGTTCTCGAGTTAAAGGCAGGACCCAGTGTGGCCGGTATGAAAACAAGCCAAAACTTCTCATTCGTCGGTAAACACTTCGCATGCCAATAGGTCTTCCGTGTTCTGCAAACCATTCATTTGCAATGGACCTGGTAGTGGAGAAACGGTCCCTTAAGGCCAATAATCTTAGGCTGCGATCTTCACGGTCTGTTGTTCTACGGCGGCGTCCAGTGCCCCTTGCTCTTTGCGTACGGCCTTCTCGAAGCCATGCCTGACAACACCTAACCACAGTGTCTACACTTCTTTGCACTCTAACTGCAATTGCCCGAAAAGAAAGTCCAGCTTCCCGAAGTCCCACTATACGGCCCCTATCAAACTCACTAAGTTGACGAAATCGTACAGGTCTCCGGACTCTAGGCATCGTAACCGATCGTAAAGGATGTCAAGAACCAAAATCCGCCAACGTTGATTCTTTATTGCGACTGAAATATTCATTTTTAGAGCGTTAGTGAATTAAAAAAAAGCAGTATAAAAACCGGAATGTCCAACTGATAAGGCTGAAAATTTTTTCACTTGTTATTTACAGTAAGATAAATACATTCACCAACTTTTATTAAAATAAAACCATTTAAACTGGGTGTTCGGATTTATATGTCACTTAGTATATCTAATATTTTTCGTAAATATGTATGGATTTTCAAGCATTAATCTGATACATATTTTCAGTGTATATAGAAAATTTTTTATTGATTATTTTAGCAAAACCTGTAGGAATGCTCATATAAAATAGATATAATGTTTTAATTTGCTAGAAAAATATTATTAAAAAAACATTCTAGGCCTCTTCTGCATCTTGCAAATCCACTCCTCTGAAAAAAAAAATAATCATGAAGTATTATTGAATACATAAGCTGCTTTCCAGTGTATTTATGGGAATATAAAATGCATTGGGACAATATTGGTGCTGAGCATGATAAGTTACTCCGAGTAGCTCAACTGGGTCACTGAAAAGCAGCTCTACAGGGTGTTTCAGTTTATTGTTGCATAACTTTAAGATTCGATAGAACTTTTAAAATTAATGCATAAAGTCTATATAAACATGGGTCGAAAAATGCGTGGCTTCCGAAATACAGGGTGTTTAAATTTACTTTTTAAAATAGTTTTTTTTTAAATATTTCGAACAATATTTGATGTATAACAGTGAAAATTGGTATACAAGGGTTTTTTGGTATGACAAAACGAACCATGGGCATAGTTTTACTGTAGCCGCTAGAGGGCGCTCTCTACTGTACCTGTAGTGTATTAAAATGACCGAAAATTTTTTCTTAGTGCATTTTTTTGCTTTTTGAATAAAACAACTGATTCTTCGCACTTTTCTGCATATAAAAAGCTCTCCCGTGAGTTTTCGTTATAGTTAGCTGTTTTTGAGATATTTCGATTTTTAAGGTTCGATGCATTTTTAATTATGTATTTATGGGAAAATAATATTTTTTTTTACATTTTCGATTTGGGCATTACAGGTAATTAAGATGATCGTTTAGATTGTGTTTTTAAACACAGCAATAATTCCTAACTCCAAATAAACACAAAAAAACAGAATATTAATTTGTTTAATTTTCCAATATTATTTTTAACAAAATAAATTAATTATTTACAACTAAAATGCTATTGGATAGTTAGGACACACATACAAAATCTAAAGTAGTTGCTCAAAATATAAACCCAATTGTTCAATACACAATTCACATCTACGAATGATCGAACGTGGTATAGCATTATTCAAATAAGGCCTTATTTCATCACATGCATTCCTGACTCTGTCTATTAGCATATCTCTTGTGGTTACGGGAGTCTGCTACACTTTTTCTTTTAGAAATCCCCACACAAAGAAATCTAATCGATTTAGTTCAGGGGATGGTGGAGGCCTGGTCCTCCACGGCCGATCCATCTTTCTGGATAATTTTCGTCCAGTCAGTTTCTGACTATTCTCGAATAATGAGCTGGACAACCATCAAGCTGGAACCAGGCCAATCTTCTTAAATCTAATATAACATCATCCCACATATTTTTGCATGTTCAGCCTTTAAAAATGCCAAGAAGGTCGCAGCATTTAACCTTGCAGGCAAAAGGTAGGGTCCAAATAGTCGATTACGATAGATACCAATCCACACGTTCACACTAAATCCATGCTGAAAATTTATTTCCCGAACTGCATGCGGATTTTCATGCGAGCAAATATGTTGATTATGAAAATTTACCACTACACGTCTAGTGAAGACGAAATATTGTATTTAAAATATTTAAAAGATATTGAATAAATATTTAATAAAAATATTATATTACAAATATTTATTCGTCAGTACTTGTGGATTTGTGCGTAAGTAACATTATACATCAATATAGTGTTACCCGTCTACTGATTTTTCAGTACAACAGTTGTTCTGGAAAATTTTCATTACCCGTAGTAAATATTTTAATTACTCTAAGTAACTAAACTATTCAGTTTAATTGAACTTAATTTTTTGGAACCAGTTTATTTGAAACTAAATTGCTTGCAAATAGCAAACTATTTAATTAGTTTAGGTAAGTTAGCTTATGTAGGAAAAGTACATTTAAAACATTTTAAAAAAGACAGTTAAACTGTTTGAGTCGCAATATCGCAGTACTTATCAATATTAAGTTTTCAAAAATGTTCGATATCTATAAGATTTGTCAGAACACAGTTATAATATACATCGTTCAGTAAAATGCAATTTGTTCTTTTCAATTCCAAATACTATACAAATATCATTTTAAACAAAGTAATTCATTAAAACAAGGCAAACACTTTCACCGAAAGTAATTTAAAAAATTTAATAAAGATAATTAAATAGTTTTACTTGCATTAATTTTAAATAAATTGGTATAATCAATCTAAGTAAACGGTTTAATAAATTTAATTAAACGATTACGTTTTGGTTTAATTAAACTAGTTTTATAGATTCAAGTTATAGAAATCGGAGTTTAAGTAAACTTGTCAAACATGTTAACTCTCACATAGTTAACTAAATTTCTTAATTGGCCTAATCATTTTCATTGGTTCACTTACATTTTATTCTCAGTGTATAATTTAACGGAACAATAATAGAGCACTGCCTGGCCTAGCAACACTGTAACTATAATTATATGGATATGGATAGGATATGTTTGCTTTCCGTCTCTGTAACCTGTAACTATGACCAACCGCAGACAGCGCTGTTTCGTACCCTTTAGCAGTCATCATTGAGGGATAGGTCTAGTCTTGAAGACGGTGAATACTTTGGATGGATGGGCACATAGTGCGGTCGTCAAGCAGTTATAAGCCGGAAGACATTTTCAACGTATTGGTTGAGGATGAAATCAATTTGCGTTATTTATACACGGTGAATACAGATTACATATCAAACATCTGTCTACACCTTCCTAAGGCTATTGTAGCTTTCTGTGCTGTTCTGTTGATGTGTGAGTTCCACGTTAATCTTTGGTCAAAAGTGACTCCAAGATATTGTGACAAATAGTACTGTTGCCGCCATCTGTTGGGCGAGTCTCCTACTAGCCAGAGCTTCATAGCCGATCTCTGTTATTACGCGAACCACGATCGCACAAGCCGCTTGGCGGTGTCTGTGAGGACCGTGGTTCACCAGGCCTTTCTCGAAGCAGCAATGAGCGGCCGGGAGATGGAGGAGAGTACAGATTACACCAGAGTAGAGCAGAGTGGAGTGTCCAGTCAGTGGCGCGACATAAGAATTATACTACAACTATTTAAAACTGTAATGACTCATACGCGTGATCAACACGTGATCAGAGCTCGATCCCGGCTTCCTTCCAGTACAGCCGTATAGCGTACGACATATGTCGTTTCTGTGGCTTTGCGGTGGTCAACAGCACAGACAGAGATGGAAATAATGGCTGATTGTTCTCCGCCGATAGAACCAATGAAATCAAAGACGCGCCTCGACCGGCAGACTCATAGGCGTCGGCAACGCATTGGAACGTGTTTCGTTGAGCGATCGCATATTGTGTGTTTTTATAAGAATTGTTGTGTGATTGTTATTGTTGTGGTTTCTGTGGTTACTGTTTTGGTTATACTTAACCATGGAGAGTACAAATGGCACGAGTGGAAGTAGAAGGGAACAAGTAGACGGCTTCGTAAAGCACTGAAGAGGGACGCGAAAGAAATCGTGCTCAATTATCTGAACAGAACTATGTCGCAGGGAGATGCACTCGCGCGTTGTGAAAGTATGACAGGCGTTCCAGAGTGGACCATTCGCAGGGTGGTGCATGAAAAGAAGAAAACTGGAGCTACTACTGATCCAAAGTTTAACTTGAAGGGACGAAAGGCCGTTAAATTGGATGACGATAGCAAAATGAGAAATGAGATACCAACCATCAAGGCTGTACATGCAGCGATCAAGGAAAATGAAATTATACCCCAAATGAGCGTCGAGGTAATGAGGAAATCCCTGCACGAAATTAATTTTCGTTACGAAACGCGTAATCGGAAGTCAGTATTGATAGAGAGACCTAAAATAGTCGCCTGGCGTCGAAAATACCTACGCGAAATGATGGAATATAGGCGACAAAGCAGAAAAATCTATTATTTGGACGAGACATGGGTAAATGCAGGTCACACAGTTAAAAAAACATGGATAGACAAAAACGTAGTGAGTAACCGACAAGCAAGCATTGAAGGTTGGCCAACAGGTCTTCGTGGACCGTCAGGGAAAGGTCAAAGATTGATCGTAACTCATATTGGTAGCGATAGTGGCTTTTTAGAAGAGTGTGACTTGATTTTCGTCTCTAAGAAAAGAGGTGATTACCATGACGAAATGAATGCCAGCTGCTTCGAGAGCTGGTTTCAAGGGGTGCTTCAGCGAGTTGAGCCCAACTCTGTGATCGTCATGGATAATACTTCCTACCATAGTCGTCGAGCCGAACGTGTACCGACTATGGGATCTCGAAAAAGTGACATGCAGCAATGGTTGCGCGAAAAAGGAATCCCGTTTGATAATTCATGTGTGAAAGCGGAATTGTATGAAAAAAATAAACAGCACAAACCTGCGAACATTAGTTACGTGACTGATGAGATGGCCCGTCAATGTGGTGTCACTGTGCTGCGGTTACCGCCCTACAACTGTGAACTGAACCCAATAGAGCTCATCTGGGCTCAAGTGAAGGGTTATATTGCGCGCCATAACACAACCTTCAAATTACCAGACGTTAAGGTTTTACTTGAGACTTCCATACAGCTAGTAACGCTCGAAGCTTGGCAGAATGCTATCCGTCATGTTGTGAAGGAAGAAACAAAAATGTGGCAGCTTGACCACCACATCGACACCATCATAGAGCCAGTTATAGTCAATTTCAACGAGGAAAGCGATAGCGACAGTTTATTACTGTCAGATGTAAGTGGAAGCGACGATGAATAAAGGTAATTCCCAAATTTTTTACTTACAATATGTTTCAAACCACTCTTTATTAAGCATGTGACAAATCTAGTTCACCCATGTTAAACATTCATACCCCGCCTATGAACAGCCGACTACTGGTAGTTAAGTGATGTTCACGTGAACATCGATGAGTCATTACAGTTTTAGATAGTTATAGTATAGTTAGACATAAATAGTGGTGTACATAATTATGTTCTATCTAGTCGAGTAAAATAAATTAGTGTATTTCTTTTTGTGGAATCCAGTGTTTTAATCCACACCCAAAAGAACCCAGAAAAACGTTACAATATTTTATACTGACGGATCATAGTAAATACTGATCCAGTGACATTCGCCTTAGCATATGATGGAAATTAACGTCTACTGTTTAGGTGGACGCAAAATCTGAACAATCTTTAGCCGATCAACTGGAAACTCAGATCATCCTAGCCGATTCTCAGGTTTGCATCGCCATCTTGACCTTTCTGCAGCAAGAACTATCTGCATACTTAAAAGGAGGCTGGGCGCTTAGGAAAGCATGGAAGGTCTACCAGAAGGTCTACAAGGACATCTTGAACTTGTACAACGAGAAGATCGGAGAACTGCAACTACCAGGTGACTAAAAAAAATCGTCAAGTAGATTGACTCGGTACCTACTTCTTGTAAACTCGTAAAGTGCGGAAATAAAAATTTAGGCAATACGGACTACGTCAATTGAACTTTTGTGCAATTCTGATACATTTCTTCGTCGTAAATGATTTCTTGTAGAATATATCTTAAACTAGAGAAATGTTATACGATTTGTGTTAGATGTACTCATAATTTTCATATTAAATCTAGAAATATTTCAGTTATCACTTGGTTTAAATGTGTATATATATATATATATATATATTTATACAGGGTGTTTCTTAATGATATGCGAATATTTAAGGTTGTGAATCTACATGAAAGATTAATGTTAGTTTGCTTTATAAACTATGGTCCAAAAATGTTTCCCTACAAAAACTCGGGAAAAAATCGAAAATTAATTAATATTTTCAGAACCGCTTCAGATATTTCACTAATATTTAGTACGTAGTGAAATTTAATAAAGTTGCATATTTTTCAATTCAAAAGTAATATTTAGCTTTAACAGTGGCGTGCGTACTGGTATTGACTTCGATTTTTTTTTCAAGAAAAAAATGCTACGCCAATGGTTTTTTGTCAAATAAAAATTATTTTTGAATTCCCCGTTCAATTTAAAATAAATGATCACTCTTGAATTGTTTTTCTTCGAAGCGCGATTTTTGAGTAAAAAAATAAAATCCGCTCTATTGTCTAATTTGCAAAATTATTATACTAAGTGACATATAAATCCGAACACCCAGTTTAAATGGTCTTATTTTAATAAAAGTTGGTGAATGTATTTATCTTACTGTAAATAACAAGTGAAAAAATGTTAAGCCTTATCAGTTGGACATTCCGGTTTTTATACTGCTTTTTTTTAATTCACTAACGCTCTAAAAATGAATATTTCAGCCGCAGTAAAGAATCAACGTTGGCGGATTTTGGTTCTTGACATCTTTACGATCGGTTACGATGCCTAGAGTACGGAGACCTGTACGATTTCGTCAACTTGTGTGTGAGTTTGATAGGGGCCGTATAGTGGGACTTCGGGAAGCTGGACTTTCTTTTCGGGCAATTGCAGTTAGAGCGCAAAGAAGCACTGTGGTTAGGTGTTGTCAGGCATGGCTTCGAGAACGCCGTACGCAAAGAGCAAGAGGCAGTGGACGCCGCCGTAGAGCAACAGACCGTGAAGATCGCCGCCTCAGATTATTGGCCTTAAGGGACCGTTTCTCCACTACCAGGTCCATTGCAAATGAATGGTTTGCAGAACACGGAAGACCTATTGGCATGCGAAGTGTTTACCGACGAATGAGAAGTTTTGGCTTGTTTTCATACCGGCCACACTGGGTCCTCCCTTTAACTCGAGAACACCGACGTAATCGCCTTGAGTGGTGCAGACAACGGTCACTCTGGGATCAGGAATGGAACAGTATTATCTTTAGTGACGAGTCTCGATTTTGTTTAGGCATGCACGATGGCCGTGCCAGGGTTAGAAGGCGACGTGGTGAAAGGAGGAATCCACAGTTTTTTGTTGAAAGACATGTTCATCACATTGTTGGAGTTATGGTTTGGGGTGCATAGCTTATGGTTCCAGGTCACCTTTAATCTTCATCAGAGGTAACATGATCGCGCAGCGTTATATCCACGAAGTTCTAGAACCCCATCTTTTACCCTATCTTGACACCCTGGCAGATTCAACTTTCCAACAAGAAAATGCCCGACCACATGTTGCAAGAGTCACAATAGACTTCTTTCAACATAATGATGTCACATTGTTACCATGGCCACCAAGATCTCCCGACTTATCCCCAATTGAGCACGTGTGGGATATGATGGGTAGGAGATTGCTCAATTTGCAACGTCCTCCTCAGACTTTAGAAGCACTTCGAGAGGAGTTGGTGGTTGCCTGGAAAGAGATACCATAGGAGGACATTGACTACCTGATCAAAAGCATGCCTAGGCGCGTTGGAGAATGCGTAGCACATCAGGGTGCATCCACACATTATTAAAGGTCAAAGGGCTTTAAAGCAGTGCAATCATTTTGAAATTTTTATCATTTACTTATTATGCTTCATTAAGTACTTATACAAAATTTTATTAAAATAAAACCATTTAAACTGGTTGTTCGGATTTATATGTCACTTAGTATATATTACATTAATTTTCTCGGACAATAGAACGGTTTTTATTTTTTTACTCAAAAATGGCGCATCAAAAGAAAACAATTCAAGAGAGATTATTTATTTTAAATTGAACGGGGAATTCAAAAATAATTTTTATTTGGCAAAAAACAATTGACGTACCTTTTTTTTTCTTAAAAAATGTCGCAGTCAATACCCGTACGCACGCCACTGTTAAAGCTAAAAATTATTGTTGCATTGAAAAATATGCAACTCTATTCACTTTCACTACGTACTAAATATCAGTGAAATATCTGAAGCGGTTCTAAATATTAATTAATATCCATTTTTTTCCTAAAACTTCAACACCCCGAGTTTTTGTAAGGAAACATGTTTGGACCATAGTTTATAAAGCAAACTAACATTAATTTTCATGCAGATTCACACCCTTAAATATTCGCATATCATTAAGGAACACCCTGTATAGTCCAAAAAGAAGTGCGCCCTGTATATAATAGCATTTTCCATGATGTAGGATGTAATAATATGCATCTATCAGTAATAACATAATCTTACATCAAGCATTTTTTTGCAACGCCTACTTAAATAAAATAAAAAAAAACCTTTATAATTAAGAAAACAAATGTGATACATCGTTGAATTCATAGAAAAAGATACTATCAGATACAGGGTGTTCTTATTTTTCGGACCATAGAAAAAATTAAGTTGATGATTTTTTTGACATTTCTGAAAATCAGTTAGTTTTACCCAAATGTTAGTTTTACCCCATGAAATTTTTCAAGTTTCTATTATAAAAGTTATAATTATGCAGTCTCGGAACTTTGTGTTTTGTAAGGTTCAATTTCTATAGATTATTTGTTTATGTTTGTTTGTTTTATATATAGGGTTGTCCAATAGGGACGCAGGAAAGTAAACGTCAATTTGACATAGACGCCATCTTTGTTTTCTGTCACCGACATGTCATTTTGTTAGTTGAATGTTTACCATTGATCGCTATGGAGTCGTATTCGATTGAAGACCGCATTAAAGTTATTCAAGAGCATTACAAAAATGGTGCAAAAATAAAAAACACGTTTCGCGCGCTTCGTGAACATTTCGGTCGCAACAACCGCCCAAACGAAACAACCATCGGCTGGTGCGTAAATTCGAGGCAACAGGTTCTGTGGCAAATCTGCCAGGCTCTGGCCGGCCAAGGAGCGTTCGCACACCGGAAAATATTGCTGTTGTGAAGGAGAGTGTGAGAGACGATCCGAAACAATCAACAACGCGTCGATCCCAAGAATTGGGCATTTCGAGAACCAGTTTGCTCCGCATTCTCCACAAGGATTTGAATGTATGGTTTATCTGGAGTCACTTGAAATAGCATAAAAACTTTTCGGTCGGCGCGTCCTTTGTAATTTCATAACGTATCATAGGCGTGCGGTTATTTATTTAGAACGATAATAATAATGTTTTTATATCACAATAAATGGATTTTACTATCTTCTTATTTTTTTGATTTGGGATAAAAAATACTTATATTGGGAGTTTAATTTATGTTGACTGAAAGTTAAGAAATGGAAAAATTACAGAATTCCAACGTTTGACATAGGCAAATATTTACATAGCAGGTAGGTATATAAAAAGGTATATAAAGACTTACATTATAGATATTTATATATCATCCTCGCCTTCGGAGCTGTCGCTAGAGTCATCTTGTAGAGGAATTACAACGGGATTTACAGGAGGCAAAACACAATATTCTCTTTTTCAATATTTTCTTTTTCAATAATATGCCTAGAACACTGCTTCCATAGGTCTGTGGCAGCAATATAAGATAATGCATCTCTTATTGTGGCCAATAGCGATTCACTTAATTGAGGGGTCTGATTATGTTTTCTTACTTTTTTTTTAAAGCAGCCCAGACCAACTCAATCGGGTTAAAAATGCAGTAATAGGGAGGTAGACGTAATACTTCATGGCTATATTGCTGAAGCAGATTGTCAACAACATACTCTTTTTCAAACTTATGTCTTTTAATAAGATCCAATAATATGGCTTTGGTTGATTTTTGTGGTATTTCCATTCCCTTATCCTTCATAAAATCAATAATGTCTTGTTTTTTTTGTGCCTGTATTCGGAATTTTGTTTTTCTGTCGGGAATGGTATGGCGCATTGTCCATAATAATCACTGAATTTGGGGAAATGTTTGGTATTAACTGCTGCTCTATCCACTTTTCAAATAAGTCGGAGGTCATGTCCTCATGATAGTCGGCACATGATTCTTTGACATTTTTGGCAGATAACAGCAAGGCATTAGGTATAAATCCATTTTCACTGCCAGCATGGAGAATAATGATTCGTTTTTCACGGTTGCATGGTGCATTTAAAATGCACTTGTTGCTGTCGTCAACCCAGACGTACTGCACAACATCATGGGTATCATACCACGTTTCATCCAGGTAAATCAGATTTCTTTTCTGCTCTCTATAGATTTTAACTTTGTGCAAAAATTCTTGGCGCAATTCAACGATTCGAGACGACTCCATAATCACCATTCTTTTATTTAATTTTTTGTATTGAAAACCACACAGTTTTACAATACAGTGCAGTGAGTCTAAGCATTTGTAATTATAAAAATCTTCAGGATAATCTTTTAATTTATCCCGTATCATTTCCAACGTGGGCACCAAATTTTCTTTATAAAATCCCTATATTATACGACGAATATCTTCCTGAAAACCCACGTCTATTCTTTTTAATGTTTGCCCTATGCGCTTTCTGTGGAAGGAATGGTTGACTACATCTCCCCTTTTTATAACCCGATAAATGGTAGACCGACTGATTTTTGTCAGGATACAAATTCTGTTTAAAATTTGATTTTGCGAGGAATCTGGATTTTCGTTTTTCAGACAATCATACATATTTAGGATTACTCTTTGGGTCTGTTCCTCTAAATCTTTATGAAAGAATTCTGCCTGCACAGGTTCATCAACCATCTCCTCGTGGCTTGGAGCATTTTCCCAAGGTCTCCAAAGAGCCATATTTAGGACACACAAGAAAAATCAACACAACAATTAAATCAACAAGTAAACTGAGTATTCAAAAGTCAAAAACACACAAACTAATAAAATCTATGAAAAAACACGGACAGACTAACGAAAACACGTTTATTCACCGCTACACGGCACTGGCTGAACTGTTTCAATTTTCAGTAGCCACCTGCACTTGTTCAGAGCTCTGAAATACACGCTTTCTCATTGGCTATGTCCACGCATAGGCGTGCTTTACTCCACGTGGACCGGTGAAACTGCCTTTGATCTTATTTGGGGATATTTGCTGCGAAATTTGGCGATTTTTGCAGCAACAGAGCGTGTTAAATATAGATATACAAAACGCACCCGGTATTTCACAGTGTTTCAAGTGACTTCAGATAAAGTATACACGCCTACAAGATCCAATTGACGCAAGAGCTGCGTCGGGCCGATCATTTTTCGCGCCGAACGTTCTCAGATTGGCTCCTTGAACACCGCCAAATTGATGCCAATTTTTCATCAAAAATCAGGTTCAGCGACGAAGCGCATTTCACTTTGAATGGGACGGTAAACAAGCAAAACTGCCGCATCTGGGCGAACGAAAATCCCCGTGAGTATCAAGAGCAGCCGATGCATCCTCAAAAAGTGACCTTGTGGTGTGCATTGTGGTCAAAAGGCATCATCGGACCTTACTTTTTCGAAAATGCGGCCGGGGACGCCGTTACCGTCAATTCTGAGCGATATCTCGTGATGATAGAGGACTATTTTTTGCCGCAACTTGAAGTAATGGATATGGACGATGTTTATTTCCAACAAGACGGTGCAACATGCCACACAACCAACGTCAATATCCATCGATTGCAGTCCTTCTTCGGTGATCGCGTGATTTCGCGCAGAGGAAATGTGCCATGGCCACCAAGATCGTGCGATTCGACTCCCTTGGACTTCTTTTTATGGGGATATTTGAAAAGCAAAGTCTACGTCAACAAACCAGCCATCCTCCAAGAACTCAAAAACATACATCATTGCCGAGATAAATGCCATAGAACCGACCATGCTGCAAAATGTCATTGAAAATTTCGACCATCGCGTGGACGTCTGTAAATCCAGTCGTGGTGAACATTTGAGCGATATTATTTTTCATACATAAATGGTATAAATGAACCTTCAAAATAAAGTACCCAACTTGATTTGAATATCAATCTTTCTTGTTTTAATATGCGTTTACTTTCCTGCGTCCGTTTTGGACAACCCCATATTTTTTAAATTTCACATTCACTTTTGACAAGTTTTATACATCACGTGTGTCGGGAAGAACAATAAACTGTCATTATTACGTATTCGTTCTAAAATGGCCCTTAATTCAAATCTAGAAATTAATTTTTGAAGAATGCCCCATTTATTTTTTCAGATCCCTCCCAGAACCCGAGTCCGTCTCCAACAGAGCTCCAGAACAGCGTAGAAGAGGATCGAGCCGCCTTATCAGACTGGGACATCCCCGACCTAAAAATCGGAAAAAACGGGTACTCCCAAAACCATTCCTCTTCTCCTCGCTTCCCTCACTCAAAATCTGCTAACCTCGAACCCTCAAAAAATCCTCCTAGTGCCTCAAATACCTCCTCGACATCGTCCGGCTTGAGGAAATCTCAGTCTGTCTGCAACGCGTTGACAAACAGGCAAAACTTTTGGAGCGCTAGGATGGACTCGATTTCTAGATCGACGTCTATGTCTTTCTACAACATTTCTTCGATACTTTCTTCTCAAGATTATACGTAAGTTCAAAGATAATTCATTTGTTGGGATAACCTAGTTGATCATGAAGTATCATAATGTTTTTAAATAAAAGCCCTGAACGCTCTGAAGTAGGGGAGACCGGGGCTAGTTTTTTATTCGATCTGAAGCGTTATCTGCACATATTTGGTGCATAACTAATATGGTTTATCCTTTGGGAACACTATGTAAAATCGATAAGGCTGTAAAATAATTCACAATATTAAATTAAAATGTTTCAAAATACAGAAACAAATGTGACAATTTGCCCCTTGCTGGTGCTGGATGTCACATTGCTTGGAGTTGGTTTTCACGTGTATTTTAGATCATTAATAATTTATACCATACCTTTAAACATATTTATTATTACAAATAAGTCATAAGACATAAAGATTTGGTATTTAGATACCAAATCTTTATGAGAAAAAAGTAGAAGGGTGTTTTTTACAATTAGTCACTATCGCAGTTATGACATTTGTAAAGTTCGCGTTCATCAGTGCACGCATCATGAGACCAACCATTACACGATGAGCATTTCACCCATTCCTCATTTGACGCGCTGAAAGAAAATGGTTCAAGACAAATCAAGCAAAAACATTCTTCTCCATCAGTTTCATCATCTGAACAGGACTTTTTCTGAATCAAAACGTCCCCTTTCACTGTTTCTCTGTTCCTCTTTTTCTTATTCGAGCATTTATTTTTCTCTTTATCTAATTCGTCTTTTACTGGAGTGTCAGTGAGTATTGCAGTCCCTCGTTTGCGACGGGAAACTCGATTCATTTTTCTTGTCGATGCCTTTGGATAAGGTCTTAAACTTTCTGGAAATACTATATTTCCCGCCTGAAGCCTTACTAAACTACTACAGCAAGGAACATCGAAACTAGTTTGATTAGCTGTTTTGCCCTCTGTATATTATCTATTGCTTACTGCGTGTTAATATTTATCAGACTTACACTTTCATCTTCGTTCAAGATGGTTGGATTTGGCGCAACTTCCTTTTCGTTTAAGTTTTCCGGGTTTGGTCCAGTTATTGCTTCGTTCGAGATACCCGGATCTGGCCTATCAGTGACAGAACTCGCAAGAAAGTCATCATCCGTGAAAATATCTCTGTTGTAAGGAAACAACACCCGACACGTGAAATCCAGACTGTATATTTTTGGGAGTAAATGCGAGGGGGTATGCAATAGAGACCACTGAAGGTATGTCGTATATAGTCATGGTCTTACCGGGATTATTTAAAACCCAAGCATCGCAGGAAGTATTTACATATTTCTTAAAAGGGCCGAAAACGGCGCGGTCAAGAGGTTGAAGTTTATGTGAACAGTGAGGGTAAAAAGATAGCATGACAATGCCATTTGCTTTGGCAAAATTCAGTCCTACTACACTCAGATGTGATCCATGGTTATCTAGGAAAAGCAGGCACGGTCTTTCCACTGTACTTTTCACATGAAGGTCAAAAAATCTAAGAAACTCCAAGAAATGTGACTCTTTCATCCAACCTGATGGGTCTGCTGAACCTTGTGAGCCAGGAGGAGCCGAATTTAAAAAATGTGGTTTAACATGTACCCGTGGAAAAATGAAAAAAGGAGGTATGGAGTTTCCAATAGCTTATGCTGCACTTGCTAAAGTAACAAAAGTTCCTCGTTCTGATGAAACTATCGAGCCAACCTGTTCGAATCCTCTTCTGGCAACAACGCGATCGGATCTTTGGACAGTTGTAATCCCAGGTTCGTCATGTTCCAGATTTCGTGAGGCTCAAATTTATATTTTTTATCAAAAAATGCTTTGACGTCCGTTTTACTGAAACTACTGGCTCTTGCTAAACTACAGTATATTCAGATAAGAGATAGACCGGATGTAAACAAAAGGTTCGGGTGATTTTCACGCTAACGCCGCCGTCTCGACGTAAAACAGGAGCCCTAATTGGTCAATTCGCAATTAAATGCCTATGCCGAGCGGCAGAGCAGTCGTATCAAGGCAGAGTCACATTCAGGTTCAGACGTGTTACGTATGTCGTGTGCATCATTGCAATTTGATATTTCTTTGGACGTTTTCGTTTGTTATCTTATTAAATTGTTGAGTTTGTCGTTGTTATTGTTATACCTTGTTATTGATTGTTATTGTTATCAACTGCTTGCGCAAAATGCCCAGTAGTACAGATACTGCCGATGAAGTTGTAAACTCCTGTAGTCCACCTAGGAAACGGTCTAAAAAAAGACACCTGAGTGCAGAAATGAAAGAGGTCATTTTGAATATATATAAGATCGAGCGCGAGGAGAACGAGGCATCAACCATCAAAGAAATTGTTGTGAAGGTTTCTCACAAAGTTGGGGTGTGTCGCGCATCAGTGTTTAATGTGTTAAGACAATACAAAAAAAATCACACCTTTTCTGAGCCAATGACCAGTAAACATCGCAAAAGTATTGTTAAATCATTGGATGAAGCTGATAAGCATGCGATTAGGAGGAAAGTGCATGAATTCTTCTTTAGGAATGAAATACCTACTATAGATAAAGTACTGCAGGAGGTAAATGGAGATACAACGTTGCCAAATTTCAAACGATCAACTTTCCATCCGTGCTTTGAGTCTAAGAAAACTGGAGATTACCACGAGGAAATGAATGGCGAATCGTTTGAACAGTGGTTTTCAAAAATTTTACCGAACTTAGAGGAAAACGCAGTAATTGTGTTGGATAATGCGCCTTATCATTCTCGAAGAATGGAGAAGGTCCCAACAACGGCTTCAAGGAAAGTTGATGTTCAAAATTGGCTCCGCTCTAAAAATATCAACTTTGAAGAAGCAATGCTGAAAGTACAATTACTAAGAATTGTCAAGGATCACAAGGCGGAATATCAAAAATACGCCATTGACGAAATGGCAGCAAGTCAAAATAAAACTGTGCTCCGTTTACCTCCATACCATTGCGAGCTCAATCCCATTGAGCTCATATGGGCAGAGGTTAAAAATTATATAGCTAAGCACAATACAACTTTTAAATTTTGTGACCTCAAAGGACTTTTCAAAGAAGCACTAGAATTAATAACAGCGCAAAAATGGGAAAACTGTGTTAAGCATGTGAAAAACAAAGTTGAAAAGAGAATGTGGGAACTGGACAATATTTTAGAGGAACAAGTCGAGCCATTCATTATTGACGTTGGTGCTTCAGGCAGTAGCGATGATGAAAGCTCATCAAGCTCATCTTTCCAATAAAAGATGTCGTTCATCAAATGCGGTAAGTTATAAGTAATTATAAAGCTACTGTATTTTTTAATTAATTATTGACATTTTTGAACCCATTTTGGCAAAACCTATTCAAGAATCTACTTTCTGACAATGTTCAACCATGCACATTTTTTTACGTTTTGAACGTTTTAATTTGGTTACATATTTACCTAGAAATCAAAAAATATACTAATCAATATTCTAAAAGCAATTTTAAGAGATATACGATTATTTTTAATTTAGGCTAATTTAAACGCCATTTTGAGATTATATTCGACTGTATATATATTCGAAGCGAAAATTTTGAAACCCTTATGTATATTTACATCATTATATTTCTTACCCCACCCCCACATGATCCTATATCCATCACCAATCGTATACACATCGAATTGTGCTAATTTACTACAAAGTTACGCAAAGCAGCATCTACTATCTAAAATATGTACTGCGTGACTCTTAATACGTCCCTGCCGAATGTTATAGCGTTCGATGATCACGTGGTCTTGTTTATGTCCGGTCTATCTCTTATCTGAATATACTGCAGTTGCTTCCGGTTTGCTAATAGTCAGTACAGGGTGACGTTTCAGAAACGCACTAAACCAGTCAGGACCAGCTATTTTATGGAGCTTCCAATTTTCCGGCATTTTCAAGGAAATAGCATTAGCAAATTCATAGGCCAGTCCACGTACTTCCTTGGGTGATAATCCAAAATAAATATCAGATGCTTTGAGTACATATTCCACTAGATGATTTTCAAGTTCAGGCTCAAATACCAAATGATTTTTGATCTAGCCAACTGAAATTGACGGCGCAACAACTCGATCATCAAGTAATTCAGACTCTGGAATTTTCTTACAGCATCTTGCTAAAGTCCGGTAATTTACATTGAAGTCAGCTGCCACTTTTTTTTTTTTTTGAGGATCCTAATCTCACTAACCTAGCAGCTCTTAAAAGTACGTCAGGCGGCGCTTTGCCCTTCTCAGTCTTCCTTTTGAAATTTCGAACCATGCTTATGTAACCTGAAAATATTAAAAAAATACATTGTATACATATACCTACGTAGAATGATGTGCAAAGCTAATCGTCTAGTGTGGGGGCTGTCACATGTGACAAGTCGCCCCCGCTAATTTGAGACAACCTGCCCCACTAGATAATTAATTTTTAAGGTCACTAAATTAACAAATTCAAAGTCAATACTTACGTTAAGTCGTATTCGGATTATTGAAGAGCAAAATAAATTCAACAGTTCTTTTTATTATCAAATGTAGTCTTGAAAACACAAATTATCTGGCAAACGAAAAATTTACTCAGGTTAGGCGATTTGTTTATTTTTGCGCGTACGACCTTAATCTACCAACGACAACTTTCGTACTGAATACAAGTGTTCTGCGCGGACGCGGAAACGATGTGTAGTGCGCCAGGCAACTACATCTTGCGGAGCTGCTGAGATTTAACAATTGTGACAACCAACCCATGTGACAACCAACCCCGGTCTCCCCTAACTCAGGGAAATGGTTCAGGAAGTATCTTTTTGTTTTTAAAGAATCTGCAAGCTCAAAATTGCGCCAACAAATGTTTAAAAAAAGTGTTTTCAAACGAATCTGAAGAACTGAAACAATATTTGCTTGAACGTACTTCCTGGGCTAAAGTGTTCGTATAAAAATTCCAAAGTTTTTTGTAAATTGTGGCCATACGCATCATAAAATGACTTTTATTTCATTTTAAATTCCTCTGCCACCAAAAAAAACATTGATTTTTTCCAACAGGAACGCAAAGATCGACAAGGAGACGTTGAAACGTCTCATGGGTGCTGTGTCTTTCGGGTACGGTCTCTTCCAGCTGGGAATCTCGTTACTGCCGCCATCTTTGATCAGGTTGATCAGCATTTTAGGCTTCAATACAAATCGACAAAACGGAATTGCTTGCCTTATGTACGCCAGATTGGGCACTGATATGAGAGCGCCCCTTGCAACGTAAGTCACCAAGAGCCAAGTTGTAATTTTTTGTAGACGAAGCAAATTATTGTGAGTAAATAACATAAGGTCAAGATCTGAAAAATACTCAGAATGTTTTCAAAATTACCAATTTTTTGAATTCTCAAAATTATCAAGATTGTCGAAAACTTCAAAATTTTTTAGACCTGAATTTTGAAAATTCTATGTACTTTGAAAGATTTGATAACCATAATATTAAAAGTTAAGCGCGGTAATATCTTATAGTAAGTGAAAAACTTCTATATACGAGTATATCTCGATAAAAAAGTCCAAGATTATTGTCGCGCACATTATATCCGCTATGTGCCTCGATATACAGGGTGTAAACGTTATGATAGTCATTATTTAAATGAATAATAATATAAAAAGTCAAAAAGTTCATATGACCCATGGTCCAAAAGTCAATACATTTTTGTCTAAATGGCTTTATAGTTTATAACTTTAAGTGCTTTATATCGACCACAATCACCACAATCTTACTAATTTTTATAATCTAATCTAAAACGTTTTTAACTTGGGTAATTAACAAATAAATGGCATTAAGTGTTTCTAAGTTAAGCCAAATTGTGTAGTCAGTAAGCAAATTTCATTGAATTAAATATTTAAAACACACATGACAACAGCGCGTCGTCATCACTCTTATCGAACCGGCAATCGATCGCAAACGGTAACAGTGGTTAGGCTTCGGGCGCGTTTTGTTTTTGTTCGCGTACGTCGTCGTGTTTGTTTACAATGTTCTCAAATCAAGAGTTCGCCAACATGTTGTTAGTTTACAGTGAAGCTCGTCAGAATTCAAATCTTGCAGCTCAAATTTATCGCTACAGATGGCGCTAACGGGTACACCCAGATAGAAGGACATTTGTGCAAGTGTACCAAAGACTTCGAGATACAGAAAGTGCTCAGCCCACTAATATTCTCACTCGTGAAAGACAGGTTACTGTAGAGCAGGAGGGACGAAGTTTAAATATCGTGTAAATCAATGCAGATATCAACACTCGGGAATTAGGTGGCCGCGTAGGACTATCGCATACCATAGTCCATAGAATCCTACGGGAAAATTTGCTTTATCCCTACCATGTACAACGAGTGCAGGCCCTGTTACCAGAAGACTATCCTCGCAGACTAATATTCTGTCAGTGGTTTTTGCACAAAAACATTGAAGATCCGGATTTTTTTAAAAACATTCTAGCGACAGACGAATGTACTTTTAAATTTAAATTTCCATAATAGTCACACGTGGGCCCAAAAAAATCGTCATACCGTTCGTGAAGGTCATTTCCAATAACGTTTTAAAATAAATATTTGGGCGGGTATTCTTGACGATCAGGTCATTGGCCCTTTCGAGTTACCCCCAAAGTTGTCAGGAGAAGAATACCTTAGCTTTCTAGCCAATAACCTACCAGAACTTTTGGAACAGACCTTAGACAACATGCCATTATAACGGAGACAGAATTTGTGGTTTCTTCATGACGGGGCACCACCACACATATTTAGAGGCGCCATTCAGTATTTGAATGAACATTATCCAAATCGCTGGATCGGTCGAAATGCTCCTGATCCTCGAATATGGCCAGCAAGATCTCCTGACCTCAATCCGATGGATTTCTGGCATTGGGGAGAACTTAAAGGGGTGGTTTATGGGGCTGGTCCGATAACAACTGACGCACAACTTCGCGAAAAAAATTTTAATGCGGTTGAAATAATAAATAGACAACTTCGAGGACCTAGACCTAGAGTAAGAAGAAACTGGGTTCGTCGTAATGAAGCTTGTGTGGACAGTGGAGGACGACATTTTGCACACCTTCTTTAAATACAAAAAAAGTGCAGTGTGGGTTTTAAAAAGAAAAACAATGTATGTATCAAAATTGTGTTCCCTATTTATAAGTGGATTTTTTTAATACGTTCAATAAACTTTCACACACCAAGTGAAGCGTTGAGACAGTTAGTGGAAGTCCGTTTTTTTCAATTGTTTGCATTTTACACATTATCAAATAATGAAATAATACTTATGAGCTAAAAATAACAAACTCCATCTTTATTTACACTGCGTTCCGTTGTAATTTGCGTCTGGCATTGCGGCGTTGTCAGATTTTATTTTACCTTAAAGTCGCTCTCTAAAAAAATGCCGTTTTGACCCCCATGTTATATGAAACTTTTTGCTTCTTTCAACCCCCTCTATCAACCATTTAAATAATGACTATCATAACGTTTACACCCTGCATAATAGTGCTCGGCCCATGATGTGATATTTCTCCGCCAAAGTATTTAATGTACTATTATTTACAGCTTATCTTTACTATGGTACCATACGATAGTCAGGCCGTTCTATGCGATAGACGGGACAAATGTTCAGGCCGGTGTGGAATGTTCTGAGCGATTACTGAAAGAATCCGAGGCAGAATTCTCACAGTCTGCACTGTTTTTATTCTTCACGGGTAGAGTCTGTAGATTAAACGTGAGTATACGTATTACGAGTATTTTATTTGAAGGCGCCGATAACGTAAGATTCTATCCACCCACAGATCAAATGCAATGTACAGGGTCCGTCAGAAAGAACTCGTTTTTCGAATGCGTACTACATCGAGTGGGCTGGTCCCGTATCGGTGGGGAAGGGCGTGTCGGATAGTGGGAGAAGTGCCGTTTCAGTTGGCGAGATGGTTTGGAACGTTGAGCATCGTGTGTTCACTGTACGTCGGTACTTTCAAAATGGCGAGTCTCTTGTTCGAACGCAACGTGAGTTTCTGCGTTCACTTACATGTTCCACATCGTGGGACAGTCGATTTGAAGGAGGAAATAAGAAGAGAAGTAACCCAAATTCCTGCACGGATGTGGATACTCAAAAAAATGGCATGTATCTCTGAGTATTTTGATAAAATAAAATATTCTTCCCATACCTATCTTGACTTGCTTTCTTCCTGAGGGACCCTGTGTAAAGGGCGTTCCCACCTCAAATTTTTAACTCGATTTTTTCCATAATCACGTTTGTAATTTGTTGGTAATAGATGAGGCTTTGCGCTACCTTATTTCGATAGATCTCAAACCTTGGATTGAGGATGGCTTACTATGATGTCGTTGGTTGTCCCAACCATACTGATGAGTTGCCAAAAACCACGAAACAGCTATCCATGGTTGGCTGTCTGTGGTCGGAAGGACGGAAACAGCATGTTCAGTTCTTCATTAATGGCGAGTATAGGCCACAAGAATCGTCAGAGTCTAGCGGTCACAGTGGTGACTGAGCTACCAGCACGGGTATCATGTAAAAAACCTATAAAACGTAAAAAAACCTATAAGATGTCAACTTGCAGACTAGGTTTAGGGCGCAAACAGTCATACCACGTTTGCTCTCTAGGATCGTTGTGAACGTCCATCTATGGAGGAATCACTCAACTAAACTACACGCATTATTGGTTGCATAGTTTTGTGAGGCTGAGTGATCCGGGTCTGTAGTTTTTATCTCTGAGAAGAAAATTGGTTGAATAGCAAGATCCAATCTGGATGATTATGTGTATTGGTCTGCATGCGTATAAAATCAGTGATATTTGCTGTGTGAGAAAATCATTACTGAATATGCCGAATATGACGGGTTATTTATATGCTGTGCTTTCTGAAGAGAGGTTATGTTCAAAGTTATAAATTACGTACCCACTTCCTTCGTTTCCTAAACAAAATTGAAAATATTTGTTTTATGTACTTCGTTAAACTTAATACATACCCAACTATCAAATGGCGTTAAATAAACATAACTTACCGTGCATTTTGTTCCTCTTCTAAAGCAAGAAATAGAAGTGCCTCCTCTTCTTCTGAAGACGACCTCATTGCAAAAGGCAAAAATAAAATGTACGCAACCTGTCGAAACCTTCACGTTCGCGGAGCGAATAAGACGCTTTGGTATGAATAAACAGGCGAAACAGATTGCGAATTTCGCTCTGAATTTCGTTGCGAATACTTGGCCGCGATTATTTCGCGCCGGTTTGTGGGATGCTTTACGGGAAATCATCACCGCGCCCGCGTTGTGTGTAATTACTGTTAGCATGTATATGGCTTGTAATTCGACAGTGTACAGTGAATATAATTATTTCTTATCTCTCTCATTTTTGAAATTCAGCAAATTTGTATATGTAATTTCCAGAATGGATAAGAAAAAGTGGATGCGCAACTAATTTGTAGCTTTGAATCTTAATTAAGTGTATTTGAGACAAGAACGCAATGTAATTATCATCAACACATAGAACTTACAGCTTAGACCTCCAGATTGATAACAAGCCTCATGACGTTTAGGCAACACGTACAACTAAGTGCTAAGTTAACACCTTGTAGAATAACCTCCATAATGTCAAAGAAAATCGGCATAATGTCAATTTTCAAGATACGTGATACCCGTACCGTACCGAGAATCTTTATATTTACAACCGATAGCTGCTATACTGTCTAGCAGTGATCGATTCTGGTAATTGATGGCGCTTCGCGCTGTCTCGTTTCGATACGTTTGTTCGTTTCTCTAATACCTACTCCTTCTTGAATCAAGAGGTTCCGGGACGCCTTTTTTAAATACTGTAACTAAGACACCGATTTACTGTTCAAAGTCTATTACTTTTACACTGATTTCTAATTTATAACACTGGGTACTAATTTATGACAATTTATAACCGCGTCCTGTGGTACCTGCTGTCGACTGTTCGACTGTGTCTCACTGCTTCCGCCGTCTGGTCGGATATTTATTCCCCTGTCGACAAGTCGAGATATGTTCCAACGTCTGGCAGGCCAAGTCGTGGTGGCAATAGGTTAATGTCGATAGAAGCCCATCCTTGAGGCTGAGATATATCCTGGTGTAACTCTGGTTGCCTAAGCGTCGATGCCACTTCTGGCCACCTGTTAAATCTTCTAGTTGATGTACGAGGGTGACACTCGCTGGTACCCAGTGATCCAGTTATACGAGGGCGTTACAATACATTTTTAAAAAAGATATTTAATTTTCGAATTTTTATGCGATTACAATAGCTCCTCGCCAGTAAGGGAGTAAAAAAGAAAAGTACCCAGACAACTGAATATGCCACTTTACTTTGTAAAATGATTATTCTTTGCAGTCCGACATAAAAGGCGCTCTAAAATCGTACCAGCAAGCTGTGCAGAACTCCACACAACGAGAAATAAAAATCCTTTGCACTCACGAAGTAGGCTGGTGCCACTTGATTGAATTGGACTATCCGAAGGCGGGCAACAGCTTTGCGTTGCTCAAATGTTCCAGCCGATGGTCCAGATCCTTCTATAACTACTTGGCGGCTATTTGCGCAGGTATTTTCTTCAGCGTTCACGAAAAACTTGAATTGGAAAACAAATATTGCGTGAATTTTGAGACACCCTATATAAAATGTTTCAGGGGCATGCGAGGACAAGGAGCAGTTCCAACTTTTCAAGGACATTTCTCAGATGACACTCATCATGCCAAAAGGGACACAACTGGACGAATTTCTAGCTAGAAGGGCTAAAAGATGTCCTGCTACCATCGAAACAGTTATAGCGAAAAAACCCGTTTATTGGCGCCTGTTGGTTTTTGAAATGTTGTACTTGTGGAACGCCATACCTAGTTGCAATAACGAGAACATTTCTACTATTATCACAGGTGAGACATTACACAGCTAGTAGGTTAAGAAGTCATCTATAAAGCTACGTCCCCACAGAGCTAAAATATGATCTCTATTTCGTGATTCTTGGCTCAAGTGGGTAGTGAAAAGTAAACCAGCGAGAGACGTGGACTATGAACGAAATTCCGCTTGAGAGTTGTGCACTTTTGTGTTCATCAGTGTTTAGTGCTATGTTAACGGAAGGGTTAGGAAAATGAAAGAAAAGACGCGGTGATTACCATATGCTTCGCTCCCGACTAGTGTGTCCACACGTGTAAATCAAACGTGTATCAAATACGAGTGTGAGCGGTTATGGATTTTCCTCTCTCCCAAAGATACCAGAGACTCAAGAAATTTAGTTCAGATGGCGACAATTCCACGAACGTGGGGATCAAGCTAGCGTGCCACGATCTGTAAGATCGTAGCTTAAGGAATGAACGCTCTGAAGATTTAAAAAAGCTACAATTGTTTGAGGTTCATATTGATTTATTTCTGGAACGCGTTTCACCACACATTTCAAAGGCGGATTACGATGTGCCTTGCTCTCTGAAAATCAAAGTGTCTGATATGGGGTGTGAGCGATCGTGGACTTGCCTCTCCTTCCCTCTCCCTCTCGACGACGTCAGGGGCAAACTCATGACGCCTCGTTCATATTGAGGCAATTTCACGAAAGTGAGGACCACGCTAGCGAATCACGCTCCGTGATAAAGTAGCTTAATAAATGAACAGCCTGAAGATTTTGAAAAAAATGACTGTAATAAATGTCTGAGGTTCAGTTTGAGTTCTTTCTTAAACGCGTTTCGCCACACATTTCAAAGGCAGATTACGATGTGCCTTCAACGAATGCGCGGAACACGCTGACGGTTTAGAAAAATGCTACAATTGTCTGAGGTTCAGGTAGCTTTCCTCCTGGAACGCGTTTCACCACACATTTCAAAGGCAGATTACGATGTGCCTTGCTCTCTGAAAATCAAACGTGTCTGATATCGGGTGTGAGCGTTCGTGGACTTGCCTCTCTCTCCGTCTCCCTCTCGAGGACGTCATAGGCAAGCTCACGACACCTCGTTCATATTGAGGCAATTTCACGAAAGTGAGGACCACGCTAGCGTATCATGCTCCATGATAACGTAGCTTAAGGAATGAACAGCCTGAAGATTTTGAAAAAATGACTGTAATAAATGTCTGAGGTTCAGTTTGAGTTTCTCCTTAAACGCGTTTCACCACACATTTCAAAGGCAGATTACGATGTGCCTTGCTCTCTGAAAATCAAACGTGTCTGATATCGGGTGTGAGCGATCGTGGACTTGCCTCTCTTTCCCTCTCCCTCTCGACGACGTCAGGGGCAAACTCACGACACCTCGTTCATATTGAGGCAATTTCACGAAAGTGAGAACCGCGCTAGCGTATCATGCTCCATGATAACGCAGCTTAAGAAATGAACAGCCTGAAGATTTTGAAAAAATGACTGTAATAAATGTCTGAGGTTCAGTTTGAGTTTCTCCTTAAACGCGTTTCACCACACATTTCAAAGGCAGATTACGATGTACCTTCAACGAACGCGCGGAACACGCTGAAGATTTAGAAAAATGCTACAATTGTCTGAGGTTCAGGTTGATTTCCTCCTGGAACGCGTTTCACCACACATTTCAAAGGCAGATTACTATTTGCCTTGCTCTCTGAAAATCAAACGTGTCTGATATCGGGTGTGAGCGTTCGTGGACTTGCCTCTCTCTCCGTCTCCCTCTCGGCGACGTCATAGGCAAGCTCACGACACCTCGTTCATATTGAGGCAATTTCACGAAAGTGAGGACCACACTAGCGAATCACGCTCCGTGATAAAGTAGCTTAATAAATGAACAGCCTGAAGATTTTGAAAAAATGACTGTAATAAATGTCTGAGTTTCAGTTTGAGTATCTCCTTAAACGCGTTTCACCACACATTTCAAAGGCAGCTTACGATGTGCCTTCAACGAACGCGCGGAACACGCTGAAGATTTAGAAAAATGATACAATTGTCTGAGGTTCAGGTAGATTTCCTCCTGGACCGCGTTTCACCACACATTTCAAAGGCAGATTACTATTTGCCTTGCTCTCTGAAAATCAAACGTGTCTGATACCGGGTGTGAGCGTTCGTGGACTTGCCTCTCTCTCCGTCTCCCTCTCGGCGACGTCATAGGCAAGCTCACGACACCTCGTTCATATTGAGGCAATTTCACGAAAGTGAGGACCACGCTAGCGAATCACGCTCCGTGATAAAGTAGCTTAATAAATGAACAGCCTGAAGATTTTGAAAAAATGACTGTAATAAATGTCTGAGGTTCAGTTTGAGTTCTTTCTTAAACGCGTTTCGCCACACATTTCAAATGCAGATTACGACGTGCCTTCCACGAACGCGAGGAACACGCTGAAGATTTAGAAAAATGCTACAATTGTCTGAGGTTCGGGTTGATTTTCTGCTGGAACGCGTTTCACCACACATTTCAAAGGAGGATTACGATGTACCTTCAACGAACGTGCGGAACACACTGAAGATTTAGAAAAATGCTACAATTGTCTGAGGTTCAGGTAGCTTTCCTCCTGGAACGCGTTTCACCACACATTTCAAAGGCAGATTACGATGTGCCTTGCTCTCTGAAAATCAAACGTGTCTGATATCGGGTGTGAGCGTTCGTGGACTTGCCTCTCTCTCCGTCTCCCTCTCGACGACGTCATAGGCAAGCTCACGACACCTCGTTCATATTGAGGCAATTTCACGAAAGTGAGAACCGCGCTAGCGTATCATGTTCCATGATAACGCAGCTTAAGAAATGAACAGCCTGAAGATTTTGAAAAAATGACTGTAATAAATGTCTGAGGTTCAGTTTAAGTTTCTCCTTAAACGCGTTTCACCACATTTCAAAGGCAGATTACGATGTGCCTTCCACGAACACGAGGAATACGCTGAAGATTTAGGAAAATGCTACAATTGTCTGAGGTTCAGGTTGATTTCCTCCTGGAACGCGTTTCACCACACATTTCAAAGGCAGATTACGATTTTCCTTGCTCTCGACAGGCGTGTCCACTCCTGAAAAGCTAACGTGTTTTATGGCGTGAGCGGTCGAGGACTTGCCTCTCTCTCTCTCAGTCAGATGCAAACTCAGGACACCTCGTTCATATTTAGGCAATTTCACGAACGTGAGGACCACGCTCGCGTACTACGCTCGGTGAGAACATAGCTTAAGAATATTTTGCAAAAGTTTCTACAATTGTGTGAGGTTCGGATTGATTTGTTTCCTGGTACACGGCGTTTCATCACATATTTATCTCTCTCTCTCTCTCTCTCTCTCTCTCTCTCTCTCGCTGACACCAGAGACAAACTCACGAAACCTCGTCCAAACGGTGATAATCCCACGAACGCGAGGTTCACGCTAGCGTCATCCTCCATGAGAACGCAGCTATATTCATTCAATTGTGTCTAAAATTATTATTCAAAAAATCCAATCAGCCTTTTAAAATGGCGTCAAGTCGACTAACTCAGAACTTGCTACGTACTGATATGCAATTTTTACTATTTAGCTTATTTTTTGTGTTTCAAGAATGTAAAAATGGGCAATCAGAAGAAGACGAACCTATGATCGGCCTTTCTAAGCTGATCTTGGGAGGAGCACTGTGCGTTCAGCGGCACTACGATCAGGCAGAAGAATGCTTCAAGAAGTGCCTCGAATTAAGAAAGGACATTCCGACAAACGCCGATGACAGTCACGTATCAGCGTTTTGCCTCTACGAACTTGGCCTGCTATTGCTCAAAAAAGAACAGGTACGTCATCCAGAACGATTCATATTCAAGGCAACGGCGGATTTAGAGGGAGTCGAGGTGATCGCGCGCACTCTGCCCTCCAATTCTTGCTTGACAAAAATGTCAGTAGCTGTAAGATTTTAAGACCATTTCCCACTTTCTCTCGGTGTCTAATTCATCCTTTCCTTTTTTTTTTCAAAAATAAGGTTCCAGAACTCCAGGAGCATGTATTCTATTACGCTCAAGAATTACGTCCCTTGCTCTACAAAAATGTCAACATCTGTCAGAATTTGAGATCATTTCCCACGGATGAGACCCGCGCCCACTTTCTCTACGTGTTTGCGCCCTTGTTTTCAAGAATATCGATCTAGGGAGCGTGCTATCCTACTACGCTCAAGAATTAATCCCCTGGACCCCTATTCGTGCTTGACAAAAATGTCAACAGCTGTCCTAATTTGATATCATTCCCCACGGAAGAGGACTGTGCTCGCTGACTGTCTATTCCTTTGTTTTCAAGCATAGGGGTCATTGACCCGCTGGACCCCTATACTTGTTTGATTAATGCCAACAGCTCTCAGAGTTTGAGATGATTTCACACTAAACAGAACCGCTGCCACTTTCTCTCAGTGTATCTCCCTTGTTTTCAAGAATAGGTGTCCAGGGAGCACCCTATTCTACAGCGCTAAATAATTAACCCCCTGGACCCCTATTCTTGTTTGACTAATGTCATCAGCTTTCATAGTTTGAGGTCATTTCACACGGAAGAGGACCGCTCCCACTTTCTCCCAGTGTCTACTCCCTTGTTTTCAAGAATAGGAGTTTAGGGAGCATTCTATTCTACTGAGCTCCAAAATCAACCCCCTGGACCCATATTATTATTTTCCAAATGTCAACAGCTGTCGAAACTTGAGATCATTCCCCAGGGCAGAGCACCGCACCCATTCTCTCAGTGTACATTCCCTTGATTTCAAGCATAGGATTCCAGGGAGCATCCTAATCTACTGCACTCCCCGGGACCCTTATTCTTGTTTGAATAATATCAACAGCTGTCAGAGTTTGAGATCATTTCACACGGAAGAGAACCGCACCCACTTTCTCCCAGTGTCTACTCCCTTGTTTTCAAGAATAGGAGTTTAGGGAGCATTCTATTCTACTGTGCTCAAAAATCAACCCCCTGGACCCATATTATTATTTTCCAAATGTCAACAGCTGTCGAAACTTGAGATCATTCCCCAGGGCAGAGCACCGCACCCATTTTCTCAGTGTATATTCCCTTGATTTCAAGCATAGGAGTCCAGGGAGCATCCTAATCTACTGCACTCCCCGGGACCCCTATTCTTGTTTGAATAATGTCAACAGCTGTCAGGGTTTGAGGTCATTTCACACGGAAGTGAACCGCTTCCACTTTCTCTCAGTGTCTACTCCCTTGGTTTCAAGAATAGGAGTTTAGGGAGCATTCTATTCTACTGTGCTCAAAAATCAACTCCCTGGACTCATATTATTATTTTCCAAATGTCAACAGCTGTCGAAATTTGAGATCATTCCCCAGGGAACAGCACCGCACCCATTTTCTCAGTGTATATTCCCTTGATTTCAAGCATAGGAGTCCAGGGAGCATCCTATTCTACTGCACTCCCCGGGACCCCTATTCTTGTTTGAATAACAGCTGTCAGAGTTTGAGATCATTCCACACGGAAGGAAACCGCTCCCATTTTCAGTGTCTGCTCCCGTGTTTCCAAGAATAACGTCCAGGGTGCAACCTATTCTACTGCGCTCAAGAATCAACCCCCTAGACCCTTGTTCTTGTTTGAAAAATGTTAACAGCTGTCAGAATTTAAGATCATTCCACAAGGTACCACGCCGCATTCCTCTCGTTTCCAAGAATAGGGTTCGAGCGCTTTAATTCTTGGACGAAGTAGAATAGAGGCTTCCTGCATACCTATGCTTGAAAGCGAGGGAATAGGTTCACTAAGAGGAAGTAGGCGCAGTACTTCCCTGAAGAATCTAACAGCTGTTGACATTTGTCGAAATAATTTTGCAAATGCATCCATACCACTAAAAGTTCCATCACAAAGTTAACCTCATTTTTAGAGTTGAAACTTATGAACGACAGCAAGACTTTTCTTCCGAGAATGATTCGATGAGCGTCTATTCTATCTGTGTTTAGGCAATGACCCGAAAATCAAGAGAACGACGCCCACTTTTCCAAAGTGATTCTATTCGCTAGTTTTCAAAAATAGAGTCCTGATTACTTCAAAGAACACAAAAACACAATAGAGAATTTTATCGGATTACCAATTATTTTTTTGAGAATCCCCTTATAGTCTGAATGAAGATGTTTTTGATTTTTAAAAACGTAAATTTGACGTTTTCCCCTATTTTCAGACGCAGGAAGAAGGCAAAAATTATCTTCGTCAGATAAGCCAATACAGCCACTATGATTTCGAACAGAAGCTGAATGTTAGAGTACATTCTTTACTTAAGCAAGCTTAGACCAATGTTGACAATATATTACAAATTATATTCTAATAGAATTTGAAGATATGTAAGCTAGATCTATTTTATTAGGCACAAGATCGACAGAAAAGATATTTTGGAAAGGAAAAAGCATATAGGGACACCTAAAAGATGTTACTTTAGGATTACAGTACTTTTGAAGTAGAATTAATGTTCTCTCAAAGTCTCGATAACGTACTGCCACATTTCTCGAAAACAGATTGAGTTTTGGTACACGCAAACGTCACATTAACATGTAAAAAATTGTTTCCTAAAGCATCATGGGATCTTAAATTTTCACGACAACGTCCTGTAATACATTTCAATTTTGTTACTGATTAAATTACGTCACGGTAAGTTTTTTACTTTATGGAAACTGTGAGAGGACCTTTGCCTTTGAGTATTTTCTCATCATCAATTAATGTATATATTTCACAAACGTTGATGTGATATTTTTTATGATTTTATATATCCGTCCATTTTATTTGAAGATTATTTGAACATTTTGTAATTTATATTGATCAATAAAGTTCATTGGCGACTAGATTTTTACAATTTTTTTCTCACAATCTTACAGTATTAATATTCCGCTAGCTACAATCAAATTAAAAAATCTATATTACCTTAACGTTACATTTGCTCGTATTGGAGATAAAGTTAACATATAACTGCTGAAAAGCTCAACTAAAATCTACAGTTCTTCATTTTCGTCGATGCAAAACAAAGCAAAAGCTACGAAAAGGATCGAGCCTATGGCCAGCCATCTCAAGAAAACGTTTTCTTCATCTAAATTCGCTGCTTTATTTTTGATGCTCCATTGTAAACCTAGCACAATATACGCCACTTTTAATTAGGAATCTAATTTGGCAACATAAAGCTACGTTCTCACCGAGCGTGGCACGCTAGCGTGACCCTCGCGTTCGTGAATCTTCGTTTTTTGAGGATCCTGATTATTTTTGAAAAAAATTTAAGGGGTGCAAAAATGTGAGGTGGCGGTTGTAGAGGGTATGCCTCAATTTCTTGGCAGTGGTACGAGGGACGTATTTCAAGTTTTGCATATAGAAACACAGTAGGCCGCGCGGATCGAACGTCAGTACTGAATCTTATCCTCACTCTTTAGTAAACTTAAATTCAAAGTTTCACAACAATACGTGCAGTGTTCTCACTACAGTGAATTTTTAAGTGTCACCAAGTCATTAGAAAAATGGAACTCAACCGAGAACATTTTCGCGCCATAATTTACGATTTTCATAGACAATTATCGCAACAAGAATGCCTTGCAGAGTTACTGTCAGTTTTCGGCAACGAAGCGCTACATCAGTCGACACTTTCCCGTTGGTATGGAGAATTCAAACGTGGACGGTTGAGTCTTAGCGACGATCCCAGGGTGGGTGCGCCAAAAACAGCAGTCACCCAGGAAAATGTCGATGCTGTGCGCAAACTCATCATTGAAGATAGACAAGTGACATATCGCGAGAGTCGGCTGTTTGGGTGTTCCAAGGTGAAGGAAAGCCAACAAAAGTCATCCGCTCTCGAAGTGTTTCGAAAAAGATGGTCGCGACATTTGTTTCAAAAGCGGGTCATATTGCAACAATTCCTCTTAATGAGCAAATAACTGCCAGCAAACGAGTGGAATAAGTGCTTCGAAAATTGGTTCGAGCGCTTGCAAAACTTAAAGGACTATGTCAAGATCGAAAAAGCTTTATAGTTTTTGAAAATACAGTGACGGCGGAGCTAGGGGCAAAGAAGTAAAAAAACAAAAATCGGGCTAACTTCGTTTTTTGACGTTCCAGAGCATCCTGATTTTTGAAAAAAATTGATATACTTATACACCTCCAGCTGTGGTAATTCTACGCACCTTTTAGACATATTTCACTCACCATAGATTTGCCCGTATATTTATCCTTAAAACTTGAAAAGCGAGCGAGAGCATATTTTCTCAGCCAGCCAAATCCCCAATAGCCCGAATATTGTATAAAAAATGGCAAGTATGCAAATTTCAATTGTATGAGTCTGTTTGACTAACTTGATCTGTTTAATTTCTTTGATATACATGTTCGTAGCTAACTTTTTTTCTCAGAGGGACCATAATCCTTTATGAGCTGATGACAGCGGTGCGTCAAGCTACTTGACGCTATTTTTTCTTCCAATTTTTCAACTCTTCACGAGACTCCCTCAACCTTTTCGCTAACACAGCACTAAAAAGTGAGCTCAAAACTGCAGAACACTATATTAAGATGCTCCCCCATGGTCGTCTTCAAGGAATGAACTTAATCGTGACCGCGTGAACAGTTCCCACAGTTTCACTATTCACTCCCGACTCCAGCCAAGACTCACGACAGCGAAATCGGAACCATGTCACGCTGTCGTCTTTTTGCCCCGTGAAAACGTAGCTTAAGGCCTTTCATATACAACGCTTTCAAAGTCTTTAATACAGGGGACTTAAGGATCTTAGGAGGCAAAATTATCGTGGACACAAACAATAAGCGTTAATTGCAATAGTTTCTGAAAAGCTAAATGCGTCAGGAAAACGTTTAGGAAGCGTTGTGTGCGAGGGGTCTAAGCACCTAGAATAGCAAATCTGTGTTTCAAAAGGGAGTATTTGAAATTGAATAACATTTTAAAAAGTTTCAAGGTGGAATTAGAATTCATTTTAAGGGTAGGTGATAAAATAAAACCTTGCGTTAAAACTTAAATCTATTTATTTCCGAAATGAAAAGAAACTTTAACAAATACTTAACCGGTATAGCGAGCTTGGACAGCCCAATGAAAAAAAAAACGAATATTGGGAAGGTGTTCTGAGTAAATATGATACGGATGATATATGTTTAATTGTTGGCTTCTTTGAAATAAGCCTTGCTACCAGTTGGATCAGGCTTCATGGTCTTCTTGCCAGGCTGCCATCCAACTGGGCATACTTCTCCATGCTCGTCAGTGAATTGGAAGGCTTGGACCAGACGCAAGGTTTCGTCTATAGAACGACCCACCGGCAGATCGTTGATTGTGACTTGTCTCAAGTTGCCTGAAATAAAAATTTTCACAAGTCAGAGCCACAGAACCAAAATTAATTTTTTTTTTAATTTTCTGTTCCATAATTAACTTATTATCTAACTTTTATTTGATCCCATGACACTTTAATGTCATTAGCAAGTTGTAACAACTAGAGAAGAATGAAGATCTTTTTACGTGTCGTCTCATTTTGTAAGTCTTGTAAATACCTAAAAATCTGATATGTATACTAAGTGACATATAAATCCGAACACCCAGTTTAAATGGTTTTATTTTAATAAAAGTTGGTGAATGTATTTATCTTACTGTAAATAACAAGTGAAAAAATGTTCAGCCTTATCAGTTGGACATTCCGGTTTTTATACTGCTTTTTTTTAATTCACTAACGCTATAAAAATGAATATTTCAGCCGCAGTAAAGAATCAACGTTGGCGGATTTTTGTTCTTGACATCCTTTACGATCGGTTACGATGCATAGAGTTCGGAGACCTGTACGATTTCGTCAACTTAGTGAGTTTGATAGGGGCCGTATAGTGGGACTTCGGGAAGCTGGACTTTCTTTTCGGGCAATTGCAGTTACAGTGCAAAGAAGCGTAGACACTGTGGTTAGGTGTTGTCAGGCATAGCTTCGAGAAGGCCGTACGCAGAGCAAGGGGCACTGGACGCCGCCGTAGAACAACAGACCGTGAAGATCGCCGCCTAAGATTATTGGCCTTAAGGGACCGTTTCTCCACTACCAGGTCCATTGCAAATGAATGGTTTGCAGAACACGGAAGACCTATTGGCATGCGAAGTGTTTACCGACGAATGAGAAGTTTTGGCTTGTTTTCATACCGGCCACACTGGGTCCTCCCTTTAACTCGAGAACACCGACGTAATCGCCTTGAGTGGTGCAGACAACGGTCACTCTGGGATCAGGAATGGAACAGTATTGTCTTTAGTGACGAGTCTCGATTTTGTTTAGGCATGCACGATGGTCGTGCCAGGGTTAGAAGGCGACGTGGTGAAAGGAGGAATCCACAGTTTTTTGTTGAAAGACATGTTCATCACACTGTTGGAGTTATGGTTTGGGGTGCTATAGCTTATGGTTCCAGGTCACCTTTAATCTTCATCAGAGGTAACATGAACGCGCAGCGTTATATCCACGAAGTTCTAGAACCCCATCTTTTACCCTATCTTGACACCCTGGCAGATCCAACTTTCCAACAAGATAATGCCCGACCACATGTTGCAAGAGGCACAATAGACTTCTTTCAACATAATGATGTCACATTGTTACCATGGCCACCAAGATCTCCCGACTTTTCCCCAACTGAGCACGTGTGGGATATGATGGGTAGGAGATTGCTCAATTTGCAACGTCCTCCTCAGACTCTAGAAGCACTTCGAGAGGAGTTGGTGGTTGCCTGGAATGAGATACCACAGGAGGACATTGACCACCTGATCAGAAGCATGCCTTGGCGCGTTGGAGATTGCGTAGCACATCAGGGTGCATCCACACATTATTAAAGGTCAAAGGGCTTTAAAGCAGTGCAATCATTTTGAAATTTTTATCATTTACTTATTATGCTTCATTAAGTACTTATACAAAATTTTATTAAAATAAAACCATTTAAACTGGGTGTTCGGATTTATATGTCGCTTAGTATATATACGTCCATGTTTTAAATACCCCCTTGAACAACTTGCATCCATAAAACCAAACTATACAATTATTTCGGGGAAATTTGCTAATATGATTAGACTAATCAGAAAGTTACGTTAACTGACTCACCAGCTCCATCGATGATGAAAAGACCTCTGAATGGCACACCAGTCTCTTCATTGAGCACGCCATAGTCCTTAGCAACTTTCATGGACTTGTCAGACAGAATGGGAATGCCCATCTGTCCCAAACCTCCCTCTTTGCGACTTGTGTTGATCCAGGCGAGATGCGAGAACTCGCTATCAGTCGAGCATGCTACCACAGCACAGTTGATCTTCTTGAACTCATCGAAACGGTCCGAGAAGGCTGCAAGTAGAAAAATTATTAATATCTCTCAATGAATCAATTTGGTATCGAAGAAACTGTCATGGGATATTCGACATTCCAGTACAAACTTAATCATTTATCAGAACTTCATAATCACTGCTCCAAATAGACTGAATCTACACGGATTATATGAAAGCTTTCGACAGAGTAAATCACGATCTACTTTTGGCTAAATTAGAAAATTTGGGATTATCAAGCTGTGAACTATCCTGATTTAGAAGCTGCCTGTCAGGATGAACACAGTGTGTCATCCCCTAATCCCATCAATGTCTTTTCAGGTGTACCCCAAGGATCCCACATTGCTCAAAATATATTATTATATCTTTTATTGAAAGGATCTATCGGAATACGTAAGAAATATGGAACATCTGAATTTAAAAAAATGCCAAAATACGTAATTTTTTATAGATTATTTTGTGCGGTAGAGAATTCTATTCAAGTCGATATCTTACCAATGATTTCTGTAGGGCAGACGAACGTGAAGTCCAATGGGTAGAAAAAAAGGACAACGTATTTTCCTTTGTAATCGTTCAAGGATATTTCTTTAAACATGCCATCTACGACAGCTGTTCCTTGGAAAACGGGCGCTGGTTTACCGATTGCTGGGACAGGCATCTTTCTTCTGAAATAAACATTCACAAGTCATAACAAGAGTCTTGAAAAATTTTTACTTCCTACCGGCGAATTTCGAAATCGAGATTTTGTTTTTTTTTCATGTTATATGACATGTACATCACTCGCTTCAGTCGGTCTGTCAGTTTGTCTGTCCACTAATCCATGACCCCGCTATAACTTGGGAAATACCAGAATGTTTTTGATGAAATTTTCACACAAGGTAACTAATATGCCAGGGACCAGAAAGCATTGTAGATTTTGAAAATTGGTTCAGTGGCGGCGGAGCTATAGTCAAAAGAAAAAAATCTATCAACTTCGTTTTTTTTGGCGTTTCAGAGATCATGTTCGGAAAAATGTTTGATGGTGGGAAGGGTTTCCAACTCCAGCAATCTAACCCACCTACTGTTAGACATATTCCTCGTATCATTGATTTCCGGTACATTTCCCCTTAAAACATAGAAAGATGGAAGTATTTTCAACACACGCGTATACGTATCTGCGTCGCGGACTGCCCAATGCGATGGGTAGCCGTCGTGCAGCGTTGCCACATTCTTCCTGAGAAAATCGTACAAACCCATGTTCAGGGGGCAAAGGGATTGTAGACATGTGTGAACGCAAACGAAACGACCGAGTTTATTCATACGCAGATTGGATTGACAGGTTCGTAGATAAGTTTGTTCTCAGAGGCGATAACCTATGCCTTACATACGAACTGATGACAGCATTGTGCGGAACGTGCAGACGCCATATTTTATTTTCGAATTCAGCGCGCGAGGTTACCCAAATATATCGAGTTTCGTTAGTTTTTAATGGCGGCAGACAATAATGATAATTTTACATTCCAAAGTCCCATAATATATTTGAATTTCTTATGGGAAAATTCCCAAAAACTCGAGCTTTCTAGCAGACAAATCTTAGGAGCAACGGTTCTCATGCAATTTTTTGCAAAATTTTTGCCTTTTTAGTCCACGGGTTTGAATTTTTTTTTGTTATGCCATCATATGAACAGATATCCTGCTTATTCAGCTTCAATATCATGTTTTTAAAATCTCGATAAGATCATTTGGCTCCAAGATATAACTTTGAAGAAAAGTCATCATCGAAAAAAACTTCAATTGCTTGTTTCAAAATGAAGATGTTACAGATATACAATAGTGATAACAAAGCAACAAAACTGATTTTTTTTTTCATTTTCAACCAGATTACATGATGTTTTGTTAGTAAAATGTTGACCAATCGGCCCGGAGAAACCGTACAATGGATCGATATGCCGTCGTGCAGATTTATTAGGGGTACATTGAGGTATAAAAAACCTAAAAACATTAGCATTCTCATCAGAAGTTCCAAAACAATGCAAAAAGTTACTTTTTTGAGTTTCTTCTAAAGTCTCGATACGACCACTTTTAACCGGAATACAGCTTGCCATTTGTATTTTTCCTTGCTCCTTAATTTTTTTGACTAATGTATAACGGTCAGATAACTCTTCCTTGCTTATGAAAATGGAAAATAATTTGTGACAAATCTCAAGTTAATACACTATGCGATTCCTTAGCAGTATTTTTCCACCCATATTGATGAGGGCATAATTACTATTACGAAAATTGACACTACAAACTATGCATTAAATAGTTATGATACTATTATCTCAATCTTCCCAGTCATGCAAACACAATAAAACTTTTATCAGCCAATCTGATCAGGAACCAATTATGGAATGACCTACAGTTGATATCCGATAACCCTCCTGACATGCAATGTCATACATTTTTAATGCACACCGGCGCTTTGTCTCATAGGAAGACTATAATTGAAACTTTATATCTACTGATTTTGACATTTGATTTGATTTGATAATATCTTTATTGATGACGAAATCGAAACAACCCTAAACTTAATTTCTTGCGATATAGGCAGGGCCTTCTTAAGCTATGTAGGCGACCCTAGGTATGCAGGACGCTGAGGGCCCCAGGCTTGACAAAAGGCCCTACTGTGTCGTTGGGGAAAACTAAAGAGCGAGGGGGTCGTTGGAGTTTTTTTTTGTAAAGATGGAACAAAATTTAGACGTTCCTGATATACATAGAATAGTGTACTTCAGAAATAATAAAACTACGTTTAAAACTTTCTGTCCCTTGACTTCAACCCCTGATAATCACTTTATGTATGACGAGAAGATAAAGTTTACAAAAGATTTGAGATTTTAAAAGTTAAAAAATGGGGTTAAACCGACCTTTTACTTCCCACGCTACGCTGTCATCAGTGCCTAAAGGCTTGTTTGGCACAAGTTAGTACTTCTGAAAAAAAAGTTTGCAACTAACATATGTAACAAAAGATTAAATGCTTTTCCTCCTCCCGCTGAGAAATTCGTGCAGGCGCACCTGATCGTTGCGATGACCAATCCCGCATGGGTGACGATACTGGCCTTCACTATGCACAGTGCACACAGCCGACAGCCGGAAGCGATTGCTTATTATGATATTCAACGCTCGTCCATCGGGTCACCACGACGCTCGTATCGAATCAGAACTGTTGGAGATATTTCTAAGTTTTAAGGGTAATTGTATGATGAGTGAAATCAGGATCCTCAAAAAACGAAGTATTAGCGATTTTTTCGTCGTTATACATGTTGTATAACATCCAAGAAATAATACCTCATTCTCGAAATATTTCGCGGTTACAATACCAGTAGGCGTTGGAAGTAAAAGATTTAAAGAAACAAAAACATTTATATCTCATTTTCATGTTCACAATTTGTACTTGAACAAAAAACAAAAATTTATATTGCAGGTTTCAGATCTTCTAAATACATATACAAATACAGTATGTACCTAGCTATTTTGGGGTAACATCAAAAGAGTATGTAGCATATCGATATTTGAATTACAGTAAACAGTATTATCCATAATAATAAAAATAAGAGTCAAACATAAACAGAGATTGAAGAGATACTGGCTTAAGACGAAGATAAAGTAATATTAGTTTTAGTCGAAGACGACGACGACAAACAGTATTTGATTTCCTATGTTTTTACTTTGTTTTATTTTATGATTCAACCCTTTAATTTTTTACATTCCATAAATGAGTAGTCGTGTTGGTTTATTTTGTTCATGACGAGTAGTCATGAATTTTACTTTGTTTATTACTTTTGTTTTATTTTAGAGTTTCATATTTTTATTTTTCATCTTTCTTACTTGGATATTATGTTTTTCTTTGGATTTTAATATACGGTGAGGTTCAAATTTGGCTGACGTCGTAATGTGTACGAGAGAAAAGCGTGCAATATGTATGTTAAAAAGAGCGTGCCGACAAATAAACAATAATTTCTGGTATGTCAACTACAATAGTGTGGAAGGGACATAGCAAAAAAATATATTTTTTTTAGAGTTGTTGCAGTTAACTATAACTGTCAGTCACAAGTTACAATGAACTATAATTGTCAGATACTAGTTGCTATTAGATATAATTGTCTCCTCACAAGTTGCAAATAGCTAAATTATCAGTTTTAATACACTACACAGTTATTAAACTCATCAATGAGAATTTGTCACAGCTGTGCTTCTCCTCTCCACAGTAATTAGCATACAATAGCTGCGATGAAATCTTATCGATAACCCAGGATATCTCATTTCATCTCTGATAATTTTTTTGGAATACATTACATGGTTGCCTATGTTGAGGCAGAATACATTAATCAATGGTTGTAATTATCAGTTAGAAGCTGCAATTATCTCTATCAGTTACAAGCTGCAATTAACTATAATTGTCAATTATAGTTGCTATAGCTATAATTGATAATCTATGATTCAAAGATTGAAAAAGTGCAACAGTACGAATGACCAAAAAATAATTTTTGTAAAAATAATTGCTCTATCTTATGAAGGTTTTATTATTTTCATGTTTTATTCATCAGTATTATAGTGATAGAACTTGCATAAAACATGAATACGTCTACATGTTCCATAACTTATCAGCCTTCCTCTATTTATCTAATTGTTATACTTGACCTTTTAGTTTTAAATAATGTGTTCACGTAAAAGTAGGTCTAATAACATGTATTGCTGCCATGGAAAATCCCCTCTTATGCGCAGTTTTTGTAAAATTGAGATTCTAATACCAATTTGAAGGGAAATGGCACCTAGGTACCTCTCTACCATGTGACAAATCCACATGTTAAGCTAGCTTAATTTGGTAAAAATAAAACCTTCTATGTACTCAATACATAAAAACTATTGTACAAAATATGCATGAAAACCATCCAGTGCTAACGCACCATACCACTATATTGACTGTTGCTGAAAAACCGGATATAATTGTTGCTGTGGAAAAATAACTTGTGATAAAAAATTAGACATTTTTATTACATATAAAAAATCTTTGTTTACTCCAGAATTCTGTAGACATATTATTAACTAGGTACTTAACAAATTCACAATTTTTACAACCGTTCTTTGTACATAGAGGTACTTAGTAGATAATACTATTTTATTATAAAGCTTTCTTTTTCGCGATTTTGATAGATTTCACGTCAACTTTACGCGAAATGATTTGAGAAAATATGTACTCCTTTTTTAAAGTCAGTGTAATACAATTTTTGTAAATATTATTCTTGAGACTGCCCCCAAGACGCCACTGGAATTCGTGAGTGATAAGGTCTATTGCAATAAGTAACACTAACAACTCGAGAAAACCAGCACAATGATCTTTGAAAAAAACATTTGATCCATGATCCATTGTATCTTGAAAACTAGACTTTTCAGGACACATATACTTTTCTACTTAAATTTGGTTTAGGAATGCACCCTTGTTACTACACTATGTATATACATCAGTTTTTTTTTGCAATGCTATAGCTACTACAATGCTGGTAGGAATATTTATGTACTTAAGTATGAGTAGTCAATATAGGTGCGTCAGACTATATTATGATAAGAAAACCTGGGTATTATTAATCAAATCATCATTTCAATCATTCTATACATTCTAGCATATTTCAAGGTCATGTTAAATGGTGATTTGGGTGAACTAAAAAAATTAGCCATAGATATCACAGAAGAAAACTGAAAAGGTTAAAAATGGATGATTCTAGTTGCACAATAGATATGAATCAATTTACATACAGTCAATGGTTCAGAGAACCGCGTTCAAACGTTCTAGACGCTTTTACAGAGTAAAATGGATACCGAGACATAACAATCAGTGATAAGCGAAGTATTTAGTCGTTAAAATAAATTATCAGGCGTTGATTGTTGCTGAATATGTACGAATGAATAATACCTATACTTACAGTTTTTGGAGAAACTGTCGTTGCTAGCGTGGATATCGCAGAGGTGTTTTAATGTGTTCGAAGACGGTTACGTGCAACGTGTGACCGGCTTTTATGAAACGAAATGTTTTTCCTTCCAGTCACTGTTCTAAACCGGCTTTTACCCCACTCTGATGATCTATTCACACGCAGACTCCAAAACCAGAGGTGTATCATAGCAGGGGCAACAGAGGATTTATCAATGTAGCTGTTATTATTTAGAGTCTATTTTTTTAATGTACTATGATAGTTGCAGGGCTACCAGGGTGTCGTCGGACGTAATCAAATCCAAGCGAATAACCAAAATTTCTGTGTTATGTACCGCGGTTATAATATGGTTCAAGATGACACACCGGTTGATGACGTCAGTTACTTGAATCGCTTGAACGCGTTGGTTTTAACCGCGTTGTTTATTTTAGAAAAGCGTATATAATTTCTAATTATTTTTATTATCACTTAATAATCGGTGCTTTTTCGTCTACAACGGTGTATGGAAAGTTTAAAAAATAAAGATTTCATAATAATAAGAGAAATGTTTTTTTTTTTTTAGAAAAAATTGTTTAATTGTGGAACCATGGCTTTGTAGCTATGGTAACTTCCAATTCTCTAAAGTTTTCCGCATGTCAAAGAAAACATTAATTGATTTACCAGAAAAAGCGATGAAAAAAAGATATTAGCAGAACCGCATACAGGTGGACATCATCCAGTGAGTTTATATGGCCATATTTTAATATTCTTGTGGTATATGGCTACACAGGATACTTTGTTAAGCATAGGAATTAGATTTAAAGTGCCCCCAACAACAGTAATGATTTTAACTAATAAGGTGCTCTACTTTATGCTAAAACTGAAGTCAGCCTATATCAAGTTTCCCAAAAATGAAGCTGAAGTACAATAAAAATATCCAATACCCCGCAAAATTCCTGAGTTCGGTAAATACCACAATTTTGCGGTGATAACTATGGCATATAACAGCTGATTCATGACGTCACGGATCTTATAACCAAACTGATAACCACACTCGCTTGAACGGATCGGTAAATACCAATCCAAAATGGTAAATACCATTTTCATTTGGTTATTCGCTTGAATATGATTCAACAAAACTAACAAAACGCTAAAGGTACCTACTAAAAACCAATATTCAAACCTGGAGAGATCATCGTGAAACACGACTGAGGTTCTGCTTTTTTCACCATCGTCGGTGCACTCAAGGTTGGATTTCTTTTTGCTCTTTGATTTCTGTTCTTTTCCATCCATGTTCTATTTATTTATATTCAAACAAATTTTTCAAAAAAAAGTCAAAATTTGGCAGATAGTATAGCAACTGTCATTTGTCATATTAGTGCGACACTCTGCATTGAAATAGTACAGGCAAAGCAGTATGGTTGCTACTGTGGGGTCAGTTAAAAGCAACGCCTGAGCGAAAACGGGGCTATATACCGTGGCCAATTACCTACTTATGCTTACAAATATATAGTTGTCGACCACCTCCTTTAGGAATCATCGTTGCCACCTCTGGAACTGTTGCAGCAATTTATGCGATTTCCTTTTTCGTTGTTGAGAAATTCTGAGAATACGAAGCCTTGGGAATAATTACGATATGGTTGTGGGGTTATCCTTCCCTGGTAGGAACGTTGATACCATTTTTAAGAATAAACATTTTACTTTAAAAGCAAAACGGAGTTTTACTTCCCGCGCCACTTTTTTTACCGAAGCAGCCGCGGAGGCAGAGCCTAAATACCAGTACACCGCGGCTGTTATGTGAGGAGCTTAAAGAAACTTTGTTAATCCAGTCAAAAATGGCGTCATTATTCGATCACTTTTGTTCGGCACGGGTATCACGTATCTTGAAAAGTGACTTTATATCGATTTTTTTTACATTAAACTAATTTTTTTTGACATTATATAGATTTTTCTACAGGATTTTAACTTAGTACCGTCACGTGTTGCCTAAACGTCATGAGGCTTTAGTTATCAATGTTTGGCTCTGATGTGATGTAAAATCTGCTGCAGAGATGGCATTACTGGAGGTCTAAGCTGTACAAGTTGTATGTGTTGATGATATTTCCATTGGATTCTTGTCTCAGATACACTTAATCGAGGTTGAAAACTAGAAATTAGTTGCGCGGCCACTTTTTCTTATCCATTCTGGAAATCACACATCGGAGTACAAGTCATTTACATGCTAACAGCGGGCGCGGTGATGATTTCCCATAATTCTCCTCAGTTTTTCGTAATTTATAACTTTGAACAAAACCTCTCTTCAGAAAGCACAACATATAAATAATCCGCCATATTCAGTAATGATTTCCTAACACAGCAAATATCACTGACTTTATACACATGCAGACCAATACACATAATCATACAGATGCGATCTTGCTATTCAACCAACTTTCTTCTCAGAGATAAAAACTACAGACCCGGACCACTCAGCCCCACAAAACATATGCAACCAATAATGCGTGTAGTTTAGTTGAGTGATTCCTCCATAGGTGGACGTTCACAACGATCCTAGTGAGCAAACGTGGAATGATTGTTTGCGCCCTAAAAGTTCTTAGGAGCTAACTTGTGCCAACATATAATCCTTTGTGAACTACTGACTGCATTTCGAGGGAAGGGCAGTTGACCTACTTGACGCAATTTCCTATTACGCAGCTATACTCCGAAATCGGCGACGGGTGGTAGGCTACAAGCGACGCCGATTATAATTCTATGCTTGCATCATTTTCAACACAAAACATGTACAAGGAGTTTTCAATGTATCCAAGGTGGGGCGATGATGTCACACGGATCTTGGAAATGCAAGATATAAGCAACGTCACAACTGGAATGGGTGCGTACTATTTGCATGAGCCTGTTCGGCTGACTTGATCCATTTAATTTTGTTGTGTACGTTACTCTTTATCAAATAATGACAGCAAAGTAAGTGCGGAGTTAACCTACTTGAAGACATTTATTAAAACTAGAATCGAATAAATCCTCATAAATTGTACTGCTATATGACAGGTAATATTCAACGTGTGAAATTAAAATGGACTTGCGATATCTGCGTCCTTTAAAAATATATTTGTTAAAATAATTTTAAATCAGAATTAATTTAAACAAAATCAACATGTTGCTTGCTGGAGAATCTAGAATCCAAAGTTTAATCCATCAACTTTTATACTATACTCTAGGCGCTGAAGAAAGAAACTAAACCCAAACAAATACACGCATATTGCTCGTGAGTGAGTGTTTAGGCGCAGGAGACATTACAGGACCGCATCAAGATATTATGGGTAGTCATCAAAAATTTCATACAAGATAATTATTATCTTTTACAGTAAATTTCAGTTAGAGATTCACAAATGAGTTAACTACACTTTTTAGTTATTAGTAAGTAAGGTGCGCGCACTCATTCAGAAGAGGAACTTGAATCTTCTGAATCGTTTAAATGAATTATTAGAGGTTCAATTTGGGTATCGATGTCCAAATCCCACATTTTGACCTCAACCTTCTCCCGAACGTGGCGGATACAGTTTTTCCATTCCTCTGCCGTAACTCTATTGACTGCGATGTGAAAGAGATTTTTAACATCAGAAAATTTATAAGTATTATTATTCGACGCCACGTATTGCTTTATGTTGGCCCAAATCAGCTCAATAGGGTTCAGCTCACAATGGTAGGGTGGCAGTCTCAAGACAGTTTTATTTTGTTTTTTGGCCATTTCGTCGATCATTTTAAAATCGTATTTGTATTTATGTCTATTGACTATACTTATCAATTCACCCTTGACCATTGTTTCATCAAAATCGATCTGTTTTGAGGCCAGCCATTGTTGTATGTTTGCTTTTTTAGTTGCCATTGTGGGAATTTTTTCTATTTTTCTAGAATGGTACGGGGCATTATCCAGTACAATAACAGCGTTATTCTCCAGCTTTAGTAACATTTTGGAGAACCAATTTTCAAAGGAATTGCCGCCCATCTCCTCATGATAGTCCCCTGTCTTTTTTTATTCAAAGGCCCACAGTGCTTCGGGAACAAAGCCGTCTTCACTACCTACGTGACAAATGATCAGCCGTTTGCCTTTTCCTGGAAATAAATTATTCCTTACACTATGGATTGATTAAATTTGAAGGAATGAGGCAATTGAGTTCATTTAGCTGAATTTAAGAGTCACGGAATGCTGATCAAAAACTGAAAAACGTAGAAAATTGAAGTTTGCAACTTCTCAAAACCCATTCAAAGCAAATTGACTGCACTCAAAAATGATAATAAATTTCAAAATAACGCTTAAAAGAGGGTCGAAGTTTTTTTCCTAATGACTACACTGCGAATGCACCATTTTTGGAGAATATCACACATTAACTGCTATCACAGCATATTATTTGCCCGAATTTATCAAAATTAAATTGCCGGATAGATGAAGGAGCTTACCTGCAGGATTTTTCAATCCAGCCGAAAGACCGTCTAGAAAAGCCTGCCTTGATGATGTTACTGATTTGTCGACCCAAACTTTCGCTTGAGTATGTCCAGCATTCACCCACGTTTCGTCCAAATAGTAAATTTTTCTTTTTTCATCGCGAAACTTCCGAATCTTCCTAAGGTATTCCCTTCTTCACACAACAATGTTTTCTTTCTCTATTAACATACTGTTTCTTCCCCGTTTCAAGAATCGAAAATTAAGTTCCTTCAAAAGTTTTCGGAATGTGGTTCTTTTAAATGATGGAAGATCCTCATCAGCATTAACTAATCTTAATATCTTATCTACTGTAGGTATCTCATTTCGGAAGAAAAAATTATGCACTTTCCTCCTGATGGCAGTTCTGTCAAAGTCATCTACTCCGTCCGTTATCCTTTTTCTTGCAGGATACGGTTTTGGCTCAGAAAGTGAGTGAGTGCTCCTATATTCCTTAATGGTCCTATAAACACTGGACCGACATACTCCAGAAATATGTGCTACCTTACATATAACTTCGTCCACGACCAAATCGGGTTTTTCTTGAATTTGGTTTTTGTATATATTTAATATTATTTGTTTTTCATTTGCACTTAAATGTAGCTTCTTAGCCCTTTTTTTGGGTGGGGTTGCGCTGATGTCAACCACTTCGTCGGCTGTATCTGTGTCAGACATCGTATCTTAGGCAATATATAAACAAAACGTTCCACTCGCGAAAAACGAGTATACGCTACTGAACGCGTATGCAATGCAATCCTGTGCGTGAATTAACTGTTAGATGCCTGTCGTGTCATCTACAATCACGTTTACAAGTCCAAACCTGTGCAGATTCGTAGAGCGCCGACGACTGCTAGTGACCTTGAATTTGTCTGTAGATCGATGTTACTCCAGTCAATTTAGGTTCAAAGTGGATGTTTTCTAAACCAATTTGTTGTTCCTACATCAAAAATATATCAATGATGTTTTGTACTGGGAGCTCATGAAAGATCAAGGTAACTTATTTTAACAGTCATCCTTTTTCTAGTCTCAAGATGACACGAAAAAGGGTCTGTGGATTCACTAGAAATACACTGCCGAGGATGTTTAGACCTAAAGTGACTGGAGTATATCCGTGGATGCTTTCGAGGGATCTGTTCACGTGCTGATCACTGTTTACGTTTAATGTCTTTCTTCAGCGCCCAGAGTCTAGTTTCTGACCACGTCCTTGAAATTCCGAACACGTTTATCTAAAGGTATGAAAACACATTTGCGTCAATATACTTGATACTCTACAGTGACTGTAGAAAAACCTGGGGATGATAATTCTTAAAGCACCTCTTATTACTTTGGCAATCTTTATTACTATAACTAGTTTATCACAACCAAGTTGCATTAAAAACATCACAAATCATACAAAACAAAATCTGAAACAGAAAAATAAATACCACTTGGAGACACTATAATAATTCAAACAAAACAGAAGGTTTAAACCTTAGGCACTGTACTAGGATACTATTATGGAATGGTATATGGAATGGTAAGTACAAAAATAGATATCTTTATACAAAAGACTAAAGAGATACGAGTTTTAAAGCAAAGCCTTGACTTCATCATAGAATACCAAGACTAAAGCCGCTCCCGTTCCTCTGAGAACGTTCGAGAATGCGCCTTTGAAAAAGGCGCTAGTGCCTTCTTGTGCAGCAATCTTCCTCCAACAGTCCAATGTGTTCTTGTACATCATATCATCTTTGGCCCTGCCAGATTGCATCATCATTCTTCTGCGTACTGTGTCAAATGGATAGGAAATAATTCCTGAACAAGTTGTGACAGTCTAAAACAAAGTAAACAATTTTCACATTACAGGTGATGTACAATTTCTGAGAAAATTTGTATATGTTTTAGAATGATCAGTAAATGGGTAGTGGTAAAATAGAGTCATCAAAATAGGCTCAGTCCTTAGAAAAGCATCATGTCAAACTATTTTCCTAGAATAAAATCATACAAAGATAACAAGAAAATAATGATTACATAAAATGAATATCAAACGTTTCCACATATGTATGACGTAACTGACCAAAGTTTTATTGATAATTTTTAATCATAAATTTCAGTAATGTGTAAACCTACCTCTGCAATAAGGAATGAAATGATGAAAGGTGTGTTCTTAGGATCAGGCAGTAGCCCCTTAGCGGTATCAAAGAACCCAAAATATGCTGCACGATATATTATTATTCCTTGCACTGACACCAAAAAGCCTCTATATAGCCCAATCGGACCATCAGATTTAAATGTCTTTGCTAAGCAGTCAACCAGACCATTGTATTGCCTTTCAGTAGCACTTTTCCCTACGTCAGCTCCCAAACTAGAAACAGTTTTGAATGTAATTGCTGAGAAATGCTAGAAGCATGCAAGATGATTTAGTTGCATGTATCAGTCATTTTTTTTTGTTTGTGTTGAAAGCTATGAAAGGAACATAGCAAAAAAGCATATTATAATTTACAATTTCAGTTACAATTAGCTGCAATATGCAAATTACCTACGACAAATTGCAATTAGCTATAATTGTCAGTTAAAAAAGATATTGGATCTTGTAACTGACAATTATAAATATAGCTTAGTATAACCTAGCTAAAATATACTTCTTTCCACAATATTCTTCCAGCACTAGTAAGATCCACACAACTAAATGATCATTAAAGCAAAATGCAAGAGATGGAATGGAGTTGAATATGAGAATGTTGATAGTAATAATAAAATATTTCTCATTATGGTATATTCAGCAAAAATAAAATAAAATGCCAATTTAAATATACTGACTCAATTATTTAGGTTTTCAAACTCCATCCAATAGAATCAATATTTTTAACAATTACACAGAGTGAAGAGAGGAAGATGTCCATTGAAGCAAGTTTAAAGTGAATAATAGGAGCATACCGAGTTCTAGCATAATCAAGCGGATATACAAAGCACAATGAGGTAGCACCAGCAGCCCCACCTGATGCTAGGTTACCAGCAAAATGTTTCCAGAAATGTTTCTTTTTATCAATTCCTTCCAAGAACATCTTTTTATATACATCCTTAAAGGCAAAATTCAGTGCTTGCGTGGGAAAGTATCTTATCACATTTGCTAAATTACCTCGCCAATAACTGCGGAAACCCTGTTCTTTGGGAATGCGGACGAAACAGTCTACCATACCTGGAAAATAAAGAGGGGAAAAACTATGTAATGGTTCCAAGCGAAGGCAAGTTGAGATTTAGATGAATGAGTCATCAGGTAATGGGTAGTGGTAAACTGTAGTCATCAAAATAGGCTCAGTTTTGTATTTGCATCATGTGTATCAGGAACAAAGGGTTTGATGTTTCATTTACAATAATTTAAGACAGGAACCTTGTAAAAACTTCATAGCCACGTGGCTATGGAGCACGTGTTACGGACATAATAAAATCGATAAAAACCTGTTGAAACAGTAAATAATGTAGACTTTTATGATAGAAATTAGTGAGTACGATCGAAATACAGTAAAATAAGCATTTACTTACCTTTGTAAGCGGTCTCAGGGTTGATTTGCTTGCTGGCCGCTTGTACTTGTAGAAGCAATTTAACCCTCTCTATTGGAGCTACGGCCGTTTTGGCAACGGCCGCAGAAATTCCTCCGGCGAAGAAATCTTTTACAAATGATTTAGAATCCGAAGAGCCCGAGTGTGCCATTTTTGCTGTTCACTTATTTCAGTTCTTCTCTACTCCGATGATGCTAATCAAAAGAAACAAAATGGACGGGGAATTTTATTTTAATGGAAATTTTGGATGACATATGCCAAATGTCAATCACGCCGGTTGATCAAGAATTTTATACTCCATCATGGGCATTGAGAAAAGAAGGTGTGATGCTATTCGTCACGCCCACTTAGGAAAAGGGAGGGTTTTTGAAAACTATACCAATTTTTGGTACTAAACCGGTCCCACACGATGTGGCGAATGCCTTGCAACGTTGGCAATGGCTATTCACTACATCGTGTGGGGGAGCGCTGACGGATTACATGTGTCCAACATTCGCCACGTGGCATGTTCGGGCTTTTGTCGGTAAATTTAGTTTACCATGGGTTAAACTATGAGAATGACGAAAAGGTTCTGCATTTTTTGAAAATCGGTGCAGTGGCGGCGGAGTAATCGTCGAAAAACAAACAAGAAATGGTCGAACCTCGTTCTTCGACATTTCTGAGTGTTCATTCAAGTTCTTAAACATACTTTATTATTTTGTACTCAAAAGCCATACAAATTCAAACCCTTTGGCACGTACGCATCCAAGTCAAACATGCGCACAAGAAGAAGAAGATTTTCGTGAAATCAATTCGTGAAGATCGGAAAAGGCAACGGTCGTCTTCAAATCCTCGACAAAAGAATCCTAGTTAAACCGGGGACAATATATTCGCTAAGGCAAGTGTGGTGAACATAAGAAGAAGCTGTGAAGAGAGAGGAGCTGCTCCAGACCAGGCGACAGGAACACCCAGGTACGTGCCAATCCTACATTTTCTTTGTATGGCTCGGGTGTCGATAACCTTATTACCTTAATTATATCTTACAGTCCCGCGGCTCTCCACAATTTAGAATCATCTTTGCAATAACACTGAGGCTTCTGACAGACCTAAGTTTTGGTTGCTGAAGACAGATCTAAAATTATTTTTCGGCAATTGAATAAATTATTTCATGGATCATTTTGTATAATTTTTCCTTCGGTTGTAAAGGTGCAAGTGCGACACTGACACCGATAATAGAAGATGGCGCCATCATTCGAACGGCCGAGACTAAAAAGTTCATCCCATCGTGTAGGAGACACACTTGTCAATTGTAGGGTGTCGAACGTTGTAAACAACGTTGGAAGGATCGTGTGAGACCCCCATTAACACATTAAGCGCCACGCACATTTTTAGTATCTATCATGTAGGACCACCACAATATTTTATAAACAGACACGGGTATCTGTCCTGGCCTGGCCTTCCAGTTAGACTTGAATGTACCAGGCCAAAACAGACACCTAATGCAGACACAACAACAGTCATCGTGGGGCCAAAACAGACACTTTTAGCAGACACAATATTGCAAGCAGACACTCTGAGACTTGTCCGTTCATGTCAGAGATGCGACGTGCATAATCCGTTACGCGTTATTATTTGGCTCAGTTTCATTTACCTCGATGATGCCCGTGTTGTTTCTCCTATATGCTTAAGCAATTGGTTGTGGGTTGTTGTTCTCTCTATACATAAAAAGGGGTATCTAAATATGTTCATATAATTCGGTTATCAGTAAGTGAAGAAACGCATATTCCTCTCCTGGTGTCTGCTATGGCCCTGTATAGAAAATAGAAAAGATGTAATCAACTAGGGGCCCACAGCAGACACAAACGCAGACACACTGTCTAGAAAGTCCCACATGTCTTTCTCAGTTTGCCCACATATAGATGTATATTCTGGTCGGCCAGAACAGACACAATACTTCAGTATATAAAGGAAACGTTCGTCTGCTTGGCACATTTCGACAGAATTTAAAACAGACACATGTGTCTGCAGTGGCCTGGCCGGTAAAATCGTGAACAGACACCGGTGTCTGCTTCGGCGCTCAATGTGTTAAGACGCCTTAAAATTATTTGTTCCGCCGTCTTCTCAATTGTGGAAAATAGGCGCGGTTGCTTTTAGTCACGCCTTCTTGAGTTATCGCGATCAGCCCCATTCCTTCGGACACATTTCAATTTTGAGCGCGAAATTTGACCTTGGTCGATTTGAAAAATTATAAATATCCAACTATTTTATCTGCTTCGATCCAAGAAAATTTTCCACTATTTTTTATGGATGGGTTGTCACCTTCGTCAGTCTTATTAAGTAATCATAAAAATCATAACCTATAAAATACACGAATGCAATGCAAAGATAAACACGTAAGATGAGATAAAACTATCGGTACGTGTACGAAAATGGAACTGGTTTGCAAGATTCAAAACTACGAATGGGGCAAAATTGGCAGTCAGAGTAAGGTGGCATTGCTATTTAAAAATGCCAATGAAGACTTCACTATCGACGAAAGTAAACCTTACGCAGAACTATGGATGGGGACACATGTAAACGGACCTTCGTGCGAAAGAAACACTGGTCAGCCCTTGAGCGAAATCATAGCTAAACATCCCGAATACTTGGGTGAAAAGGTAGCCAAAGACTTTAATAAAGAACTGCCTTTTTTATTTAAAGTTTTATCTGTGAATAAAGCTCTGAGTATTCAAGCACATCCAAGCAAAAAACATGCTGAAGAACTGCATGCCAAGTTTCCTGATGTATATAAAGACCCAAATCACAAACCTGAGATGGCTGTTGCACTGACTCCTTTTGAAGCATTATGTGGCTTCCGACCCACATGTGAGATACACAGATTTATAGAAGATATTCCTGCTCTCAAAAAACTACTATCCGATTGCCTCAGTTTGCAGAATCATGAAGAATTTTTGAAAAACTCATTCAGAAAAGTCCTCACAACTGATAAAGTGACTATGAAGACCACTATAGAAGAACTAATCTCTTGGCTAAGAAAATTAGATGATAATGATCAGAAAAAATATTTAGCAGAATTAGTACAGAGACTCGACTCTCAGTTTCCTAATGACAATGGTATCATCATGGTTTACTTTTTAAACTACTTGAAACTTGAACCTTCTCAAGCGCTCTACTTAGAAGCAAATGATCCTCATGCATATCTGTCAGGTGATTGTATGGAAATAATGGCTTGTTCAGACAATGTTGTCAGAGCCGGCCTTACTCCAAAATTTGTTGATGTTGACACACTCTGTTCGATGCTCATCTACAAAGGGCAGCAGCCCAAAGATAAGTTGTTTCAACCCATCAAGGAAAATGAACACATCTCTTTGTTCAAACCTCCTGTCAAGGATTTTGCTTTGGTTGAAATCCGCCTGCCCAGTTCAACAAGGGAGTATAAAGTTGCACCTAGGGACAGTGCTAGTATCATTCTTGTTGTAGAAGGACGTGTTAAGACGAATATTTCTGATCTTAAAGCTGGTTCTGTTCTATTTTTGCCTGCCAATAATGTACTTCACATAAGAGAAGTTTCTGAAGATGTTTTACTGTATCAGGGATTAGCAAATGTTTTTTAATTTGTGCGTGTCGAGGTTTTTAAAGATATGTAATATATATTTTACTTAGGAACCACGGCTTTTATTATTGTTGAAACCTTCAAAAATATTGTAACGCCCTCATAGCTACCAAGACACCCTCGTACATCGGTGATCGACCAGAAGTTTCGATAGGTAACCAGAAACATCCCTTAGGCAACCAGAGTTACGCGGATGCGTGTGTGCCATTGCCATATAAAATAAAGTTAAAAGAGTAACTTTGAAGGTATGTTTGATAGGCAACAAAATAATCTTATATAGTTAGTAAGGAGTACAACCACAGAGTGGCGCTGATGCTCAATTTTCCAGTCGTTCTTTTTGAGAGTCCAATGTTCAATGCTTTGACGTTGATGTATTCGTAAATTTGAATTAAAAGTTGGATTTTGTGCGGCGCCTGAGTTTTTATTAGTTTTGTGTCGGTGATACTGCTATCTATATTAAGCGTTAAACGGAATTTAAATTTACAAACGTAATCTTTGCAAAGGAGTCTTATCGAAAGCGGGGATTTAAAAAGTGCGATATAATCAGTAAAAGCATATTTCCAAAGTATGTTGCCGATCCTCTTAACAAATGGATCGAGCAAGTGCGGAATCCAACAATAAAAGTCAGAAACACATTTATAAAAGACATTTTTGAATCACTAAAAACCTGTTATTTTTATGTATTGTATTAAAAAATACACATTTTAAAAATAAAATCAAGTTGAGCCTTGTTTTACTTGAAATATCTTCGAAGTTGAGTCATTTATTTTAACAGTGAGTAGATCTGATCAAAAGAAATGCTTTTTTCCTTTAACATTTTTCTGGTAAAATTAAAGTAACAAAGTTATAGCAATTTAGAAGTTTGAGTACCGCCCTGTCTCAATAATAATATTATGTGCTCGTGTTTGGCAACAACGGATATATAGTGGATACCAAATAAAACCCGATGCACGTCATCGATCTGGAGCTGTGCGCTGTTGCCAGAATTGATATGAGCTCTTTACACCGACTGTTAAGTTGTTTTGGCATTTTGGATACTTTATACCACTTCACAGTAACTTTTGTTCTGAGAAGAACAACTTTTAATTGGCAAGGCAACGATTCAAAGCTCAAATAGCGCAAAACTCACAAACTAAACAATAAAGAACTAATAGTACGACAAAAGGACAATGGCAACTGATGTCAACAAATGAGAAGTGGCAACCTCACATTTCTCTGCACGGCACTACCAACCGAATCGAGACGGGGAAATTTAATCTTCAAGTAGAAATGTCACATTGAATGTAGTCAACTGTTGGTAACCATGATTTTTATGAATGACATCACCTATGACGTGCATCGGATTTTATTTGGTATCCACTATATCGGTTCATCGCATCGGAAACAAAAAAGCGAAAGAATTTGAAACGTTTATCACGATGTTTTTCGTCATTCGGTAACGCGTGAGTGAATAGTGGTGTTTGTTACGTGGCTCAAACGAAATAAAAAATGGCACATGTTTACGAAAATGCTCAACTTGTGGACATGATTCTTATTTACGGGGGGGGGGGAGTCTTTACAAAATGCTGCCGCGGCATCACGGATTTGTGCGAATCGGTTCCCCAATCGAGTGCAACCAACCCCTCGTGCCTTTGTTAATGTAGTACAAAGGGCTCGTGAATTAGGTGACTTAAAACCTCACAGGGGAGGGCATGCCGGTGCTCCAAGACCGCACGATCAAATACAGGTCCGCACTGAAATACTTGTCGGGAGGATACTTTATAAAACAAGGTAACATTTTTTTTTGATTTTTTTTTATTTTTACACACATATTTTGGTTTATCTTCCTTCTACAATCATTATCTGAAAATTAATGACTCAACTTCAAAGTCACCCTGTATAATTTAAATATTTAATTCAAATTTAGCTCCACAGTGTAAGAGGGAAGATGGCGCTGAGTATGCTATATTTTTAAGAGTTCTACAACAGTTCGTATAACTTTTATACAACCTCATACATTGACCAGAAGATTCGACAGGTATTCATAAATATCGCTTAGGCAACCAGAGTTACGCGGCTATGTGTGTGGGCCATTGTGGCCTCAGTTCACGTTCTGCCGACTTCGGGATTGGCATCGTCTGGAACTTCGAGGAAGGCGCTGGAAAGCTTCTCGATTGGTCCATTTTAAAATGTAAAGGAATTCAACGTGCAGCGACTAACGCGTCAACGTAGTCCAATCGGCATCGTTATAAATTTGTCATAAATTAGTTGCAAGTGTTAGAGTTACTTTTTGCTTTCTCAAAGAAGGCCATGGCCAACAAGGTGTCCTTTGAAGTAGGCAGGTCGTTGTAAGTGACTGAGAATACGTCCTTAAGGGTTATTGTTCTAAGTAACCATAAGACATCATTGTCAGAGTTAAGTTAAAAGTAACAGTTAGCTTTATCAGTTACAAATTGCTACAAACAACTGGACATTCTAGCTAATGCAACCTGTATCTGACTATTATAGCTAATTGTTAATAACAATAATGATTATAGGTGGCGCTACTAATATAGTGACCGAATTTTCAAGACATGCAAGTCAGCTGTCAATTCACTAATGCCATGTTTACACCATAGGCGGATGGATAGCAGCAGAGCACCCTAGTTCTGCCAGACCGCATGAACGACTCCGACAAAAGTGTCCTAAATACATGACTCCCGTTTGGAACAAAATTGATGTTTAAGAGGAATCAAGAAAACAAAACAAAAACATTAAACAATATCAGAATACTTTATTTACTTGCACACTATATAAATCAGGATACACTGTAAAAGTATAAATACGAAATGAATAGACTATGCTTGAAGACGTCATAACTTTTTTCCTCGAAATCGTTTAACCCAAAAAAAAAATTTTAAATTAAAAAAAAATAAAATTTGTTTTGCAAAGCTTCCAAATAGGATGTTGTAGCCTCTGTGCCCGCAACTTCTGTTGAAAAAACCCGCGCACGAAAATGATATACTAAAAAAAAAGTCTACGCGAAAATCATCTCATCCCTCCTTCTCTTAGGAGCATTAGACTTTGACTGGCACTCTGAATGATTCATCAGCTCAGGTGGACAATTTGAGACTGGAGAAGACAGTAGCATCTGTTTGAGATCGTAGAACAGCGCCGAGTCGTCGTTCGTACAGAAACTGACAGCAATACCGGTTTTTCCGGCTCTGCCAGTTCGCCCGATACGATGAGTATAGTCTTCAATTGTTTTCGCCATGTCGTAGTTGATGACCATTGAAACGTCCTTGATATCGATACCTCTACCTGAAAGACAAAATTAAAATTATTTTATTGTTTAGATAGATGCTTAACTGTGGTTCGTACCATCAGTATTTACTAACGCATCTGACAGGCGAGTGTCACATGATCATTGTGATGCGTCAATATTTATCACGGAATGTGATGCTTATTGACATTGCAGCCTGGGCGTCAGTAATTATTGACCAACAAAAACCTGCTTAGTATAAATATAGCGTTTTATAAATATTTTATGACAGCTTGGCAACACCGCACAGAAATCGCTGTTTCTATTATTTATAAACAAGTGATAGTCCAAGAGCCGGCAGCAAAGTTTTGGTTACATCACGTATTGACATGGAGTGTTAAAAACTAAAGTGTATCTAACGAAGCTACAAAGTAATCGTAAACAGTGGTTGATTCGTGATCAACGCGTGATCGGTAGCCATGGCGCTCTGTCGGCCTCTTCCTGATTGGCTTGTAGCGACGAGCCTCCAGACAAAGTCGCACGGTTGCCACGCTCGGCGAGTTTTCGCCAGAGTGGTTGATCACATTCGCATGGATCACAAATCAATCTGTTGGTGCAATACGTGCAATAACTGTTGTAAAGGACATTATATAACAATAAATGGCATCACAAAGGTATATTCCAATTTGATCTGTAGCAAATTATGAACGGCATATACGGAGATGCGAAAACAAGCTCAAAAAGGTGAAGAAAATTTTTGTGCAATCTTTATAGTTAAATTTTTCCTAAGAGATAGCATCAGTGAGGGAATTTTTTTCTATTGTCTTATTTTTCACATTAATGCGATGTCGAGGTATGTGGCCCTATCGCAATTGAAAATAAGGTTTCGATAATCCTTCCATAAAGTTTCGATGAGTACATCTGAAATAACCTTGAGATATTCTTCAGGGAAATACAAAAATCTCCTTTTGTGTTTTTTTGTGCAGATTTATCTATTAAAATCCTATCCGCAATCTATTTTTCGTGCACACACCTTCAACCGAATGTATGCCATATATGATATTACCGTTTCCAACTTTCACCAAGGTTAATAGGAACCATAACAGCTCCCTACCCTTCCCCCCTATAAGAATATCGATTTGTAGCCTCACATTTCAAGGTTAGACTTCTTGTAGTGTTTCTGTTCAACATTCGGCGATTTCTGACAATTTTCCCAATAAAACATGATCATTGTGACATTAAGCCTGGCAACGCTGCATAGTATTAGAGGGAACTCTCAGCGTCACGTTGATGGTTCGTCACCACGCACAGGATTGTAATCAGTTACGGATACCCGTTTATGAGCGCGAACGTTTTATGCACGTCTTGACTTGATTTTTCTTGCGGAAATTTCATATTAGTCTAAAATGTCTGACACAGATACAGCTGATGAAGTGGTTGAAATCAGCTTAACGCCACCCAGAAAAAGGGCTAAAAAGCTTCATCTTAGCGCAGGTGAAAAACAAATTATTCTAAATATCTACAAGAACCAGATGCAAGAGAATAGTGGATTGGCTATAGAAAATATCGTATGTAAGGTTGCTGAAATTTCTGGAGTAGGTCGATCAAGTGTTTACAAAATCTTGAAGGAATATAGACAAAATCACTCACTATCTGAGCCAAAAACATATCCAGCGAGAAAAAAAATCATCGACAAAATAGATGACTTTGACAAAAGTGCCATGAGAAGAAAAGTACATCACTTTTTCTTCAGGAATGAAATACCTACAATAGATAAAATATTGAAGCAAGTGAATGATGATGAGGACCTGCCAAATTTTAAAAGATCTACGTTCCATAAGCTGTTGAAAGAACTAGACTTTCGATTTTTGAAAAGAGGAAGGAATAGTTTATTGATAGAAAAGGAGGAAATTGTTATCTGGAGGAGAGAATACCTTAGAAAAATTAGGCAATTCCGCGCTGAAGGAAGAAAAATTTATTATTTAGACGAAACATGGGTGAACGCGGGGCATACGCAGGGAAAGGTTTGGGTAGACAGATCTGTGAGGTCCTCAAGGCAGGCTTTTTTAGATGGCCTTTCGACGGGATTGAAAAATCCTGCAGGTAAGTTTCGAAGTATATGAACTTTTTTGGATGCAGATAATTCATTTTCTGATCGAATCAATGATTTGGAAGCTCCGAACTCAGTTTTGCTATCTCATCCAAGTTTCTGAGTATTTCCTTCACCCAAAAACTAATCTAAGACCCTATCCTACACTAACCTAAAAAGAGTAAGTTGCTTAATTTTGTCATTTAGTGCGCTCGCTGAGAAGTAAAATAACTAATTACTTTCAGGCAAGGGAAAACGCCTGATCATTTGCCACATAGGTAGCGTAGATGGATTTGTTCCTGAAGCATTGTGGGCATTTGAATCCAAAAAAACCGGAGACTATCACGAAGAAATGGATGGTAACTCATTTGAAAATTGGTTCAAAAAAATTTTGCCGACACTTGATGATAACGCAATTATTGTGATGGATAATGCCCCGTACCACTCCAGAAAATTGGAAAAAATTCCAACAATGGCCACCAAAAAGGCAGACATTCAACAGTGGCTTGTCTCAAAGAAGATCGACTTCGACCAAACAATGGTCAAAGCTGAGCTGATAAATATAGTCAAGCGACATAAGTATAAATATGATTTAAAAATTGTTGGCGAAATGCCCAAAAACCAAAATAAAACGATTCTCAGGCTGCCTCCCTATCACTGCGAACTGAATCCTATCGAGTTGATTTGGGCCGACATCAAGCAATACGTGGCGTCAAATAACAGCACTTTTAAGTTTTCTGACCTTAAAAAACTGTTTGATGTTGCTGTCGATAGAATTACGCCAGCAAAATGGAGAACATGTATTGACCATGTCCAAGAGAAGGTTGAAACCAAAATGTGGGATATGGACAATATCATTGACACCCAAGTTGAACCCCTTATAATTGACATCAATAATTCTGATGATTCAAGCTCCTCGGAATACAGCATATAAATCGATTGATACCATTAAGACTGGCAGTTTAACGGGCTTTTTGGCAAGACAGGTAAGTTCATTATAGACTGCAATCAAAGTGTAAGTTTCTAGTTATTAATGTGGAAATTCCAAATTTATAATTACACAAAATTAGGGTTAATTTAGGAGTTCCAAAGCATAATAGTGCCATTTTGACCTTCTTCCTATTTCTCATGTAAATTTTAATAGCAATCAAACTAACAAACTTTATGGAGTCTGTAATAAACTTTTGTACTACTACTACTACTACGTCTGTAGTTTCTATTTGCTCAAAAAAATTTGCTCTGCATTGTGAATAGAAGGTTGATTTGTAAATATTATTGGGTATATATGTAAGTTAAAAATAAAATATGAACAATTTCAATTGAGATGGTCCACAAGTTTTTTTCGTGTGCGTTTTAGTAACATTTTGCTGAAATGTTGAATACAGAATTTTTTGCACTGATTCCTAATGTCGAAATATGATTAGAAAGGCGTGGTATATTCCTGATAATTTACTATGCTTTTGATAGAATTTACAGCAACACATATTTTGTACGACATTTTTTGATAGATCAGTCACAATAGCTTGATACGGCCCTGTAGCGTCTCCTACGGTTAAGTTCTTGATCACGTGCAATACGGGTGTATATGTTTGATTTTACTTTGTTTCTTCGATGGATACAGTTTAGTCAAATCTAACGTAGTTTGATGATAAACAGTCAGTTTTAAACCGGAGAATGAAATATTTTCTTGTATCATAATAATTCGATAAAGTTATTTTTAAACAAGAAAAGAAATTGAAATTGAGATACGAGATATGAGACACTTGTCAAACTTATAACATCCGTGGGGTCTTTCCGCGATGTTATTTTGCTTACCTGCGACATCAGTGGCAACAAGAATATCCCTGGCCCCAGATTTGAGACTGGCCAACGCGTATTCTCTTTGCTCCTGGCCTTTGCCGCCGTGAAGGGTACACGCTTTGTATCCCAGTTTCTCCAAACCTTTAGCCAAAACGTCGGCGCCTTTCTTTTGATTCACGAAAATTATTATCGGTGGATCTACTCCTCTGAAAAACAAAATAATATTCATCAGTTAATGTTTCTATCTGCATTGAGCAAATTGGCTGTGAAGTGTCAGGAAAGAAGAAAAATAGGGAAAAATTAAGTTTGTAAAACAAGACTATGCAATAATGCATACCTGGACAGATATTCCATAAGCTTCCTCCTCTTATCGTTCTCGCCCATGATATGCACAATCTGTTCGACTCTTTCCACAGGTTTGCCGATGGAACCGATGTAGACGACTGCAGGCCTGCGCAGATACGTCCTTGCAAGCCGTTCAACTGCGGGCGGCATCGTTGCCGTGAACATCACCGTTTGTCGGTACTTCTTTTTGCTGTTGTAGTTCGCCAGCAGTACCGTGCTGTCCTCAGCTTCGTCTGTATCTGGTTTCAAGTTTGTCACCGGCATGTATTCGAGGATCTTCTGGACGTCCGGTTCGAAACCTACAAGGAACCAGGTCAAAGATTGCGTATAGAGAAACATCTCAGAGAGAAAAATACCATTCATACAGTACTTTGAGGTCTGAACTCAAAAAATAATCAGTTAAAGTCGAATGATACTACATAGTCATGCCATAAGTTCTGTCCCTCGTTTTCAAACAAGTGTAGACCTGTTAAAACTTGTCCGATTGTTTACATTGTGGTGTCAGTTGATTAAGCGCTTTTCGGGTAATTACATATACCTCAGTTTGTATTGATCTCTCGAAGCATAACGATGGAGTGGGGCAAGGCAGAGAACCGTATTGCAGTGATAGCTTTACATAAGTGTAATCACAGTGCTAGTCAGATTTTTGAACTCTTACGCGGCCTTCAAATATCGCGTAAATTTGTGTCTAGGACCATTCAGCGGTACAATAAGACGTCCTCTGTTGATGACAGGCCAAGAAGCGGTAGACCTCGTCAAGTAAGGACTCCAGCAGCCATCAAAGCCGTAAAAGCCAGGATTCAAAGGAATCCACTCCGGAAGCAGAAGATCCTATCCAGGGAAATGAAGATTCCTGTCCGGACGATGTCGCGCATCATTAAACAAGACCTAGGGCTAGGGGCTTACCGGAGACGTACGGGCCAGCGACTTACGGCCACCTTGCGACACATCAGGGCGACAAGATCCAAGAAGCTCTTGGAGAGGTACGCAGCTGGGGGATTCCGAAAGATTTTGTTCACGGATGAGAAAATCTTCACCATAGAAGAAAAATTCAACCGACAAAATGACAAAGTGTATGCAAGGAGTTCACAGGAAGCTTCGGAGATCATTCCGAGAGTTGAGAGAGGCCACCACCCTGCGTCAGTCATGGTTTGGTGGGGGGTGTCCTACGAAGGGGTCACTCAGCTCCATTTCTGTAAACAGGGCGTGAAAATAAAAGCGGCAAACTATCAGAGCGACATACTGGATCCTATCGTCAAGCCTTTAAGTGGTACATTGTTTGCCAACCAACACTGGGTCTACCAGCAGGATTCCGCCCCCGCTCACAAGGCTAAGAGTACGCAGCGCTGGCTGGAAAGCAATGTGCCAGAGTTCATTGCTGCGGAAGATTGGCCCTCAGGGAGTCCGGACCTCAATCCTTTTGACTACAAGTTGTGGGACCTGCTAGAGCAGTTGGCCTGCTCCAAAGCCCACCGTAATATCGAGTCCCTGAAAGCGGATTTGATCCGATCAGCGGCAGCTATTCCTTTGGAAGCAGTGCGTGCAGTGATAGATGAGTGGCCCGCGAGATTGAAGCAGTGTGTGAAGGCCAAGGGGGACATTTTGAATAAAACTGTTTGATTATGAATTCTAAAAATGTTGTCGAATAAATAATATCTTTCATATAAATATATCTTATCTTGTTTCATTTTTATCATGAGATTATCATGGGACAGAACTTATGGCACGACTATGTATATCAAATTTAATATCAAATTTGCGTTCGACAACTGGCCACCTGGCAAAAGTAAGTGAGGTTAAGTTCGCCACATCTATACTATACCCTATTTCACGAGTATCCATAATGCTTTGACGTCTACTCAGGTGAACAGCAAGTGACATGTTTGTGTTAGTCAGCGACGTTGGTAATAATGAATGAATCGGGTGTAAATATAGTAAAAATTGATTGTAGCGTCTTGTTTTTTGTACGCAATAACCTTTTCTAAATAAAAAAGTTATTAGCAAGTACAACATGAATCTGTAGCATCCAAAAAACCAAAGCAAAATACAGCTCTGTCTACCTGGCGTTGACGGATCTGTCAAAATTATGTGTCCTGTGTCGATATGGGGAATTTTGAGATATTCCTTGATAATCAGCCATTATTCGACCGTGATGGATACTCGTGAAATAGGGTATAATTTTCCCCCTTATCACGACTCATTTAGCAATTCAGCATACCGGCTCTTGACATGTGAACATTTGTAGGTTGTGACAAGCGCTTATAACACTGATCAACAGCCAAAAAATATCCTAAATAAAATCAACAAACTATTACTATTTTTAATGTGCTAAAACCGGAATGAAACTTATTTTTTCAATATTATTTCAAGTTTTAGAGATACGGTAATTATATGTGTTCCTGCTGTGACAGTGTTAATATACTGTAATTCACAAGAATGCACGTGCTACATTTTTATATTCGGCAAGGAAAGATGATGTAATCGGCATGATTGTGTTACGTTATACATACGTGTACATTATATTGTTTTATATTAGCCATTTTTTCCTCAGTTGGCTGACAGCGTTCATGCAAGATGTCTCGAAAGTGTGTAAACAATCCAGATCAGTTTTGTTACGTGTGTGGTGATGTGACTTTTGCGTCTCAGAGACGGTCTATTACTCCGCTAATAACAAAGGCATATCAGCTTTATTTCGGTTGTAAACTAGGTGATCAAGACAAACAGTGGGCACCCCACATCTGCTGTAATACATGTGCTTCAAGTCTGAGGAGCTGGTTAAATGGCAAAAAACGGTCTATGCGCTTTGCTGTCCCAATGGTTTGGAGAGAGCCTACAAATCATATTAATGATTGTTACTTTTGCATGGTACCTTGTGTTGGACAAGCCACAGGTATGTCCAAGAAAAAAAAATCGGTTATTAACTACCCAAACATACCATCTGCGATGAGACCTGTGCCTCACAGTGAGGAAAATCCTATTCCAAAACCCCCAGAATCCTACACTTGCGAATCAGAAAACGAATCAGATCATGGCGATCGAGTGATTCGTGAGGAAGAAGATATGCCATCAACGTCAAGAGATCCTGATTTTATACCGAGCACGTCATGCCACCAACCGAACAAAATAACACAGTCAGAATTAAATGATCTTGTAAGAGATTTAGAACTTCCAAAATGTAAGGCAGAGTTACTTGGATCAAGACTGCAGCAGTGGAACTTGTTAGAAGACGATGTTTCGATATGGAGAATAACTTGGTTTTCTGCAGTAACATTAACGGCTTACTGGCGGCTTTAAATATAAACTGTAACCCAGAAGAATGGAGATTGTTTATAGACAGTTCAACATTGAGTTTAAAGGCAGTGTTATTGCATATTGGAAATATTTTACCATCTCTTCCTGTAGGGTATGCAGTTCACATGAAAGAATCATATGACAATATGAAGTACCTATTGACATGCATAAAATACGATGAGTACCAATGGCATATTTGTGGCGATTTGAAAGTTGTTGCACTTTTATTTGGCCTGCAGCTAGGCTACACAAAGTTTTGCTGTTTTTTGTGTGAATGGGACAGTCGGGCAAAGGCACTTCATTACCCCAGACAAAACTGGCCTGTTCGTCAATTCCTAGAGCCAGGTCAAAAAAATGTACAGCATATGCCATTAGTAGATTCGAAAAAAATTTTATTACCACCACTGTATATCAAGTTGGGCCTAGTGAAAAACTTTGTCAAGGCATTAGATAGAGATGGGTCAGCTTTTCAATACCTGCGTCAGAAATTTCCAAGACTGAGTGAGGCAAAGGTTAAAGAAGGTATTTTTGTTGGGCCACAGATTCGAAATATTTTGAAAGATACACAGTTTGAAAACACTTTAACAGGTATTGAAAAAACTGCTTGGAATGATTTCCGTCTGGTGGTCACTAATTTCTTGGGAAATAGAAAAGCTGACAACTATAAAACCCTTGTCAAAAATATGCTGTCATCGTATCAAAAGATGGGCTGTAATATGTCCCTTAAGATACATTTCCTACATTCACACCTGGACTTTTTTCCTGACAATTGCGGAGCCGTAAGTGATGTGCACGGCGAACGTTTTCATCAGCATATTTCAACAATGGAAAAAAGGTACCAGGGAAAGTGGAATCCTTCCATGCTTGCAGACTACTGTTGGACTCTTGGTAGAGATGCTCCAGAAACGATCCATAAAAGAACAGCAAAAAGACAGCGCATATAGTGATTCTTATAAGTATATGAATCTTGTTACTTTTTTTAATATATCCTTAAAAATAAAAAGTTTTTTTTCTAAACCGCAACTAATTTTTTTATTTCATTGTCATTTTTGGATTCAGCGCCCCAAAATTAACAAAGAAGTGCACTTTTCCCACAAGATACAATTAAAAAACTAAAATTTGTTGTCCAGTGTAACCGTCAACGCAAAAAATGGCGTCAAGTGGGTCGACTCCGCACTTTTTACGAAACGCCGTCGTCAGTTCATAAAGGATTAAGTTCAGCGCAATTTAAATCCTCAGTTATGGACAGATAAAGTAAACGCATCAAGTCAGTCAAACAGGCCCATACAATTAGTCCAGATACATTTTTTCCTGCCCTATTGATAGTTTTTGTCCATGTGGTAACGTTTTCCCCTTCCACATCTGCGTGGCATCGCTGCAGGAGAGAAATCCTTCGTTTCGTGCAAGTGCCCTAAGTAAATCTGCTTCAGACCGTTCCCCCATCGAACATGTATGGGACATGATGGGAAGGATGTTGCAAAAATCACAGCACCCTCCACAAACATTGGAGGCACTACAAAACCAAATTCAGATCGCCTCGGATACAAAACACCAAGAATCACCTAATCCAATAAAAGCCGCGACGACTAAGGAATGTCCAGCGAACACATAAGCTTCAACACATTATTAACATTAAGGTGGGATATATGATATATCAGCCATTTTGCAAAATTTCGAGTTAAAATTTAAATTACTTTCTATTTATCAGAATCCTAAATTTTGTATAAGTATGCTCAAAATTACGGTACTCCTAGTCAGTGTTCCATTTTCTGTCGTTTAGTAATACTAAGATCAAAAATTCCATCTAATTGTATGCTCCTGTTTGAGTGACTTAGTTTAATATGCACCTCAATCTTTTCAAGTATTTTCATTTGGTTTTATTCAATGTCTATGTAAAACAAGCCGAAAATTATCAAAACATCTAGTTGCCAAGAATTGACAGGTCTCGAGTCCATACTAATGTAATAATTGTGGTCATTTGGCAACGCTGTCACGGAGAAAAAAAGTGGAAATTTAATACTATAAAACCATATATATATGTCAATATTGGGAGGAAAATTTCAATAACCACAAAGTATCTATGGTCCGAAGTTTTATCAGTAAATCCTGGGTGTAGATTCCGAATGTGGTATTAATTTGATGCCAAGACTGACGAGTTCCAAACGACTCATTTTCTCCCTTAAATTCGGTCCCACGTCATTTAATGATTTATTGGCGGTGATTTCCGGATTCAACTTTTAAAATTACCTACAGTAATGGACAAAAGTATATATACAAATATGAATATTTACCTAAATACTTTTAGAAAACGAATTCATACTTCATTGCTCCATAAACACATGTGTTATTAGTAGAAAAACTAAATTCCTTGTTTGTACATTATCTGCAATGAACACAATGCAAGTCTGAATATAAGCACTTTTTTATGAGGGACAAATATATGTAGACAAAGTCATTTCAACATTAGTTTAGTACAGTTTCGTGTCAGAAGAGGATTAGTTTGTGTTCATCAACTATTGTGGAATAAGTTGAGTGATTTTAAGACCATGCCGCGTGGTCCAGAAATTTCTTTCGATGTAAAAACTATGATCATTGAATTATACAAAGATGGTCAACGTCAAGTCGACATTGCCAAAATTTTGAAGCTGAAGCGTAAAGCAGTTTGGGCAATATTGAACAAATATAAACAAAAAGGTATCTTGGAAGCCTCTAAGAGAAGTGGTCGGCCTAGAAAACTAAATGCTAGATCAGTTAGATTAATAAAAGTAATTTCGTCCAAAGATCCGTTTAACACTTCAAGACAAATAAAAGCCGAAATCGAGACAAAAGGAATTGCCAGTGTTTCTACGAAAACTATAAGTAGAAGATTAAATGATTTGAAGTTATTTGCACGTCGCCCGAGTAAGGAGCCGCTAATCGCGAGGAAAAACCGTAAGGACCGATTACAATTTGCACGGTTGCATCTTGATTGGAGCATCTGTGACTGGAAGAGGGTATAAATCTAAGTTCAATATGTTTGGCTTATATGGTGTTCATTATGTTAGACGTCCTAGTGGACAAAGATTGAACCCCAAGTAGACTTTGCCCACTGTCATAAGTGATAAGTTTGTATACACAGACATACTAAACAACAACATGACATGTTACTCTATCTGGAAGACAATATGCCCTTAAGATCAATCTTCCAACAAGATAATGACCCGAATCACACTTTAAATCTCGCAAGAACTTCTTTCTGGATGAAAAAATACCAGTTCTCAAATGGCCTTCACAGTCTCCCGATATAAACCCCATTGAAAATCTATGGGAATACTTAGATAAGCAAATACGAGATAAAAATTATTCAAACAAGGATGAACTTTTTGCCTCTTTAGAGCAAAAGTGGAGACAGATTGATGAATCTTATATCAAGAAACTTGTACAATGTATGCCGAGACGATGCCAGGCGGTGATTGATAATAATGGTTATGCTACAAAATATTAACACAAACATGGTTGGTTTTCTATAATTCAGTGAGCTTTGCTTCTTTTTTCTATAATTGTTTTACTTTGTCTATATATTTTTGTTCATAGTTCCAGTTTTTTTCAATTATTTTTTTATTGAAGGGAGTCTAATGAATTTATTTAAGTATAAGTGAGTATTATGCTATAACGAATTATGTATATAGGTTGATGTATTAATAAAACAAGTTAAAAAAGAAATACAGCACAATATTAATTTGCCCATTACTGTTTATGTACCAAATTTCATTCGCTTGTCGCAATGGAAAACAAAAATGGAAATTCCTACATTTTCAGGTTTCCTATAAAAAAAAATAACACTATCAGGAGGAAAACTCATTTCCTGGGTAAATCGGGAATTGAAAAAATCCTGTCAAAAGCAATGCAATGCATAAAAGTATACTTTACCTAAATCAATCATCCTATCTGCCTCGTCCAGCACAATGTATGTGCACTGATTCAGCACCAAATATCGGTTCTCCAACACATCGATCAGACGACCTGGCGTTGCAATTACAATCTCGCAGCCCATTCTCAGCCTGAAACCCTGTTCTTCTCTGCTCAGACCGCCGACCACTACCACCGTTCTGATGCCCAAAGGTTGGCCAAACTTCACTGTCTCCTCTTCAATTTGTTGGGCCAACTCGCGCGTGGGCGCCAATATGATAGCATATGGGCCCTGATCAGCGTCTTCGTTTCGCTCGATTTTGGGAAGAGATTGGATCCAGGATAGTAGTGGGATAAGGAAGGCCAGAGTTTTACCTGAACCAGTTTCAGCCACACCTTAAATAGAAACAGCATTGTGAGCATACAGACTCGTTATTATTCCATAGTAAGACAAACAAAAGTTACAGATGAAAAGGACAATTATATGAAGGTTAGATGTTGAAATTGCCTGAAATTCTCAGTTCTGAGTAACAATCAGCTACAATTACCAGCTAAAAATTGTAATTAGCTATATCAATTATTATTCACAAGTTGGAATAAGCTATGCTTATTCATTAGTTGCAAGCATCTATTAGTAATATATGTGAGTTATAATTATTAGTTAGAAATATAACTGCAACTGCTGACTAAAATTATAGTTATTACCTACAAATGGTGATTATAGCTAAATGCTACTTGTAACTGACAAGTTTAGCTAATTGCAAATTGTATCTCACAATTGTAGCTAATTGCAAATTGTATCTGACAATTGTAGCTAATTGCAAATTGTATCTGACAATTGTAGCTAATTGCAATTGTATCTGACAATTGTAGATAATTGCCAATTGTATCTGACAATTGTAGCTAATTGCAATTTTTAACTGACAATTATAGCTAATTGCAACTGGTAACTAAAGGTTGTAAATAATGTTTAAGCTGTTCTTTCTAGGCTCATGTAAGGTACTAACTTAATTTTCCTTGTAAAACAACTGAGTAAAAGTTTCATATGTTAACAACAAATTCTATAAAACTTACCAATAATATCTCTATTCTGCATCCCAATAGGAATAGCTTGCCTCTGAATAGGAGTGGGTTCCTTATATCCAACTTTCTCTATTATTTCAAGCAGCTCTTTCTGAATACCTGATTCTTTCCAATTTCTGATTGGTTCTGGTATTTTCCCTCCCTTTATAGTAATGTTATAATCTTCTCTGAATATTCTCCAGTCTCTTTCTGTCATCTTGTCGTGTTCCTTTTCTGACCAATGCCTATCATCCCACAACTGTTTCTCTTCGCGTCTTTTGACTTTTTTCAATCTTACCTGAAATTGAGAATTCCTACATAAATAATGTGTAAAAATAAAAATTATTCTTCATACTACAAAAGGTTAGAAGGGACATTACAAAAATTTATAACTGTTTGTTTCAAGTTCCAGTTAGCTAGGCATAATGTTCAGTTACATGCTACAATTAGCTATCTAACAATGATGGCTAATTGCAACTTGTGAATGACAATTCTAGCTAATTGTAGCTTAGAGTTGACTGATTTTAGATAATTATCTTTTATAATTGGCAGTTATTGTTAATTTCAATTTGTAACTGACAATAAATAATAGTTAATATAGAGATGGAGACAATAACAAGATATTTCAAGTATAAAGATTAATGTCTGACCAATTTAAACATTTTTTGCCATTATTTGGCTCATTTACCAGATAAATTAGAAAATGAAATTTAATTATACCTTTTCCTGGGCCTTTTCAGCCTCAGTTCTCCTCTTCTCTAGCAATTCTCCATAGAATTTACTCTGATCCTGTTTCTGAGCTTTGATATCTATACCAGCTAGATTACCCCTACCAAAGAACTGAACTTGATGTTTGTCTTTATACAAATTATTATAATCTAAAGATGTATCCTCTCCTGCGTCCCAGTCAAAAACAAACTTTCTATCATTGAGTCTTCGCACACGTCGTTTCTTTTTCACTAATCCTAAGTATCTCTCTTTTATAGCATCTTGTTCTTTTTCTTTATCCTTATCCTTTTGCTTTACCTCATCTTTTTCCCTATCTCTGACCCTTCTGTAGTCTCTCTCATCTTTCTTTGGATCATCTTGCCTACTCTTCTGGATATTTTCCAAGATTTTACGTTCTTCCTCTTGCATTTTTCTCATTCTGTCTACTTCTTCTTGACGTCGCTTTAGTGCCTCTGCAGCTCTCTGTTCTTTGGTCAAAAAAACAGGTTTGCTGTTTGCTGCTTCTTCGGCTTTCTTTTTGGCCAGCAGTTCTTCCAGTGACAATGGTTCCTTTTTTACTTTTTCCTCTTTGACCTCTAACTTTGTCTTGGTTTCTTCCTCCTTTTCAGGGGCTGGTGCAGAGGTCTTCTTGACTTCTTTATGCTTTCTATCATCACGTCTGTCTTCATACTTCTCCGACTTTCCGGGGCCCCTATCTCGACTATCTCGTGAATCTCTGTCACTCCTTTCCTTATAGTCTCTTTCATACTTACGTTTGCGGGCCGACGAATGCATCATGTTCAGTTTATCAGATTTATTAATGCCAGCACAACGCTGAATACTCTCGTAGACCACTAGTCACAATCACAACACATATACACGGTCGCAATTCGCAATGAAGTCACAATCACAGACTAGAGGATCCACAACAAGACATATAAGACGAATCTGTGCTAGTGATGTGTAGTTCGCAAATGAACTAGTTCAATCGAACGATTCTTATGATTGAACTAAGTGAATCAGTTCATCATTCCTTGAAAAACTTGTTGACTATGAACTGATATGAAGCCGCGTACAGACCGAGATTCCAGCGCAAGCCAAGGCACAAGTGATTACAGATTTGGAGGTGTTCGAATCGGTATGTACGACGCAAGCCAACATAAACCAACGCTTTCCAAGGTAGCGTTGGCGTTCGCTCCTTGATCGGTCCATCAAAGGGAGGTTTGAATTGTCCTGGATAGGATTTGTTGCGCTTCTAGTATTTCATCGTTTGTCTGCATTCAATGAGAAGATAATCGTCGCTCGACATTAGCACCGAACCTAACCTAACGCGGTCCAAACTAAATTTACGTGTAGACGAGCGCATTCCTATACCTTCCAACAACAAACGCCAACGTCACATGTGCTTTCATTCGTTTGCTCGGCGTTGGATTTTAGGTCTGTACGCGGCTTTACAGGATTTCGATGATCCAATCGAACTAGCTGAGGGTGATGGTCCACTTAACATAACCACGTATTTACGGGTTATTGCAGGTCTAATGTGTACACGACAGTGTAATATGTAATTCTGCATGGAAAAAGTCTTGGGGAGCACTTTTTATATGGAAATTTGTTTTTCCAAAATATCATTTTCCAGCAATACCTCGAAGTCAAATATCAACACAGAACAAGTGACCGGCCTGAGTAACGTTAATATGGCTACGCAAGACAACTATTGGAATATAGTCTACTAGACTCTATCTATCCGTAGCGAGCTTTTTCTCGAAATCGTTGCAAACCGCAAATGAAGATTGGAAAACTGCCGCTTTGACGTACTAAATGACTCTGTCGTTACACCGGGGTAGACATATGTGATGGCAATTGATCTTGTCACATAGATTGCAGCGTTGCCAGCTTATCAGACAATTTTGCTACCTCTGATATTTTGCTAGAATGTTATAAAAAGAAGAAGCTTTGAATAAAATATTGAGGGATACCAATGGAGATATATAAAATTTGAGGCGTAGCTATGTTTGCCAAAAAACTAAACAAAAGCTGTGATTGATCATTAATAGAAGTACGATTTTCTTTTTACTCTACTATTTATTAGTATCCGCAGAGGAATTAGGCATTCATTGAGGAAGCTAAACATGGACAGCTTGATAACTTGAATCGAACTTATAACTCGTCGATCATGTGGAATTACAGGCAGACGGAATCAGCATTTTGGACGCATCATATATCGCTACTCTTGTTGGACATTTGGTGCCCACGTATCCTCGAACAACCGAAGCAAGATATTGTAGTTTCTTAAACACGGGGCTGAGATTCCAAGTTTGAAAACGCCAAAGAATCAACGCTTGATTTTTTGCACCATAGTTAGTTAACATAGTGCCAAGAGCTTAGTGTCAAAGCACGATACTGTCAATTATAGAATTTCACCAATTCCTTGGACTAAAAATAAAAACACGTTTGATTATAACTAAAAAAAACAAATGTAACGTGATGCAGTGTCGTCCTCTTTAAATGTTGTGCACGTCGGGCACAACATTTAAAAATACCATCATGTAGTGCCCAAGTAGTGCCATTAGTTTTTAGACATTTCTTAAAATAAAGTCAGACAAAAATAAAAACGATTTGGCCATTTGGTATATGACTAATCTCTCAGTGCATGCAATGTGCGGAATTTATTTAAAAAACATTGGATGTGAACCCTAACACACAAGTAGATGAGTATGCAAGGCTCACCTAGTTTGCTCCACATGTATCCTGTTTCCCTCAGAAGAGTTGGAAGTAGACCTAAATTTCCACTTTGGAGACACTTGAAACCCTCGTCACAACACTAAAACACCAAAGCACCACTGAGAGACAATCGAGAATCCTATAGTGAACACCACTACTAAAAAAAGTAGCTAAACCGAATAGAGCTCCGGGACCGGGACCGCGTGGACATTCCGCTGCACCGACGGTTGCCGAGAGACTGGACTGAAGCGTGCGAGTGCTGTACCTCGCTGCGGCGATACGGTACGGCCGGGTAGTACAGCCATGCCCCTTTCTAGCTCCCACTCCGCGCGTCTGTTCCCTAAGCGGCTCGATGTTTATGTTGACCTTTAGCAGAGGCGCGGAGTGGGAGCTGGACAGGGGCGTGGCTGTACTACGCGGCCGTACCGTATCGCCGCAGCGAGGTACAGCACTCACAAGCTTCAGTCTCTCGGCAACCGTCGGCGCAGCGGAATGTCGACCCGTTCACAGCTCTGTGCAGAGCTCTATTCGGTTTACTTTTTTTAGTAGTCGTGTTCATTATAGGGTTCTCGATTGTGTCTCAGTGGTGCTTTAGTGCTGTGACGTGGGTGTCAAGTGTCTCCAAAGTGGAAATTAGGTCTACTAACTCATCTACTTGTGTGTTAGGTTTGAGATCCTATGTTTTTTAAATAAATTGCGTACATTGTATACACTGAGAGATTAGTCATATTGAGGTATTTGGGAAAAACTAAAATTTGGCCATATCGTTTTTATTTTGGTCTGACTGTGTTTTAAAAAATGTCAAAAAACGAATGGCACTACATGATGGTATTTTTAAATGTGCCCGAAAGTGCACAACATTTAAAAAAGTACGACCCTGTATCTAATAGTACCTTTTTCTACGACTCCAACGATGTATCACGTTACATTTGTTTTTTTTAAGGTACAAACTTTTTTTTCCTATTTTTTCATTTTATTTAAGTAGGAGTTGCAAACAAATGCTTGGTGTAAGATTACTGAATAGTCTGTAATACAATATTTTAAAAATAAATCTACATAAACATGCAATGTTCTAACGTTCTTGTAAGTATTCTCATGTATTTACATTCATTTCTGAAAAATCTCAAAACTATTAGCAAAGCCTCGAACAAAATACTATTTTTAGTCCAAGGAATTGGGGAAAGTCTATAGTTGACAGTATCGTGCTTTGACACTAAGCCCTTGGTACTATGTTTACTAAATATGGTACAAAAAATCAAGCGTTCATTTTCTGACATTAAACCTGTAATCTGAGCCCCGTGTTTAGGAAACAATAATCAAATTCAAGCGGATAACCAAATGGAAATGGTATTTACCATTTTGGGTTGGTATTTACCAATCCGTTCAAGCGAGTGTAGTTATCAGTTTGGTTATATGATCCGTGACGTCACGAATCAGCTGTTATATGTCATAGTTATCACCGCAAAATTGTGGTATTTACCCAACTCAAGAATAGTTTTATATTTCTGGTTATTATTTGAAATGTGACAAGTTAGAATTTTGCCGGGTATTGGATATTGTTATTGTACTTCAGCTTCATTTTTGAGAAAAATGATACAGACTGACTTCAGTTTTACCATAAAGTGGAGCACCTTATTAGTTATACTCATTACGGTTGTTGGGGACACTTTAAATGTAGTTCCTATGCTTAACAAAGTATCCTGTGTAGCCATATACCACAAGAATATTAAAATATGGCCATATAAACTCACTAGATGATATACACCTGTATACGGTTTTGCTAATTTCTTTTTTCATCATTTCTGCTGAATCAATAAATGTTTTCTTTGACATGCGGAAAAATTTAGAGAATTGAAAGTTATCATAGCTACAAAGCCATGGTTCCATCATTAAAAAAAAATCTGAAATAAACATTTTTCCCATGAATATTATGAAAGGTTTCCATATACAGTTCTAGACGAAAAAGCACCGATTATTAAGTGATAATAAAAATAATCAGAGATTATATGTGCGCTTTGTAAAATAAACAACTTGCAACAAAACCGCGGTTAAAACCAACGCGTTCAAGCGATTCGTGGAACTGACGTCATCAACCCGTGTGTCATCTTGAACCATATTATAACCGCGGCACATAACACAGAAATTTTGGTTATCCGCTTGGATTTGATTTATAATGTCTTACCTCGGTTGTTGGAGGTTACCAAATGTCCAACAAGAGTAGGGATGTGATGCGTCCAAAATGCTGATTCCGTCCGCCTGTAATTCCACATGATCGACGAGTTATAAGTTGGATGCAAGTTATCAAGCTGTCCATTTTTAGCTTCCTTAAAATGAATGCCTAATATCTCTGAGTATAAGACGGATACTAATAAATAGTAGAGTAAAATGAAAATCGAACTTCTCCTATTAAGATCATGTAATTTTAGATCAAATAGTTAATAAAAATGCTTATATAATAAAACGTTGTTTTTTTCCAATTGTTGGAGGAAGTCCCGTATTCATAAAGTATTTTATCTAAAACTGGGCATTTAAAAAATGTTCGGAGACATTAACGTTCGGCCGCATGGACGCTAGGCGACGCAAAATGTAAATAACAGCTTTTGTTAGTTTTCTGGCAAACATTGCTACGCCTCAAATTTTATATATATCCATTGGTATTCCTCAATATTTTATTCAAAACTTCTTTTTTTTTATAACATTCTATCAAAATAGCAGAGGTAGCAAAATCATCCGATGAGCTGGTAACGCCGCAATCCAAGTGGCAAGAATGACAAGGTTACCTGTCAAGATGGATTTCTATCCCGGGGTACCGACAGAGTCATTTAGAACGTCAAAGCGGGAATTTTCCAATTTGCATTTTTTTAAGTGTTGTACAACGATTTCGGCAAAAATTTCGCTACGGATAGTCTTCTACAGTCTAGTAGAATACATTTCAACAGTTGTCTTGCGTGACCATCATGTTATCTTTACTCGGACCCAAGTGACCACCCACAAAACATATATAAAGAAATATACTGCAGTGACGTTGGAGAATAGACCACAGAAGATCGATTGTCGATCACAGGCTGGAATGGATACGAATTTTGACAGCGCTGCGTTGCCATTTTTCGCTGGTGAAGAGGTTTTCTTGATTTCTTTATGCCTTCTATCACCACGCATGTCTTCATACTTCTCCGACTTCCCGGGGCCCCTATCTCGACAATCTCTGTCACTACTTTCCACTATATCTGTTATCTTTTTGTTTTTTTCTCTAGAACGAGGTCTCTTGCTCCTATGGAAACGATCTTTACTTCGATACCTGGGTCTTTTTATTCTCTTATCTCCTATGTTTATCCCTTTCTTTATTGCGGGATCTTCTTTTTTCCTCTTCACCCATATTTTTAACCTTGAGATAGCTCTATCGATCTACAAAAAGAGTTTGAAAATAAAAGAATCTTTCTATTTTTTTTGTTTTGATCAGCTGAACCCGTTATTTGTAGCGTTATTTTTCAAATTTTCCCAACTCTATTCAGGTTGACAATTATATGAAGATTGACACTCGTATTTGAAGTTTTGAAAAAATGGTTTGATTTCAAATAATTTCAAAAGTGAACAATAAATAAATGCATTTTATGCGACAGTTTGCGGAGGCAACACTTAAATCGCGATTCATCTAATCAGTACGCTTCCTTTCAGTCTCGAAATCAACCAGTCGTAAACTTTTGAACATGGTGCACTCTGTGAAACCCGCGAAGCCTATTAGTATCAAAGCAACTTTAGCAGTTACCTTCACCATCACAGCGACTATAACAATCACAATTCTGGTCCTCTACCACGTTCTTACCGGTAAAGGAGAAAGAATAAGCCTGGGATGGTTCCTACAGGAGACATCTCCCCATATGTGGGCCACCCTTGGTATAGGGCTGTCTGTAGCCCTGTCAATCGTAGGTAAGTCCTCTAACGCTTAGTTCTTCATGGAATTATCAAATGTTGATTAGTGCTTAGTTTTCTTGTTTGCACCTTTTCCTTCAATCAAGTTTCTTTTTACCTCTATAGGTGCTGCGATGGGAATTTATACTGTTGGAGTCAGCATTGTTGGTGGTGGTGTTAAAGCACCCAGAATAAAGACAAAGAATCTTATTTCGGTAATATTTTGTGAAGCTGTTGCTATCTACGGTCTTATTATAGCCATCGTGTTAGCTGGCCTTTTAGAAGATTTCACATGGGATGTAGTAACCAATGACCATTATTTGTACTCCAAGAATTGGCTGTCAGGTCAGTATCTGTTGACTAAAGACTTAGAAATCTTCATCATTCAAATCTTGTCGATAGGACTCCATTGTCTGGCTGCTAAATCATACCTCATTTGTTTCTTGTATGACATTACAGGTGTTATATTAATCTTATCTTGTTTATAATCCCACACTAGAGAGGATCTAAAAGATATATTCTCTCAGAGCAATCTGTAGGGACTTTTCTCTTGGTTTATCTTGTAAATCAGTAGGTTGCCATACAAAAGAAGGGAAGGAGAAAAAAAAAATGGAAAAAGTGTTGAAAAAATCCTGATTTTGGTTTTCTTCTCTAGGTTATTTGATGTTTGGATCAGGCTCAGCAGTAGGCCTAGTGAACCTTTTCTGTGGCATGGCAGTTGGCATAGTTGGGTCTGGAGCAGCCTTGACAGATGCTGCAGATTCTAGTTTGTTCATGAAGATCCTTATCATTGAGATCTTTGGCAGTGCCATAGGTCTTTTTGGATTGATTGTTGGTATTTATATGGTCTCTAAGGTTCAGATGGGAGATGTAATACATTAAAGAAATATGCCAAAGATGAAATTTTAGCCAGTTTGATTGCCATAGATGTATAAGTCCATTCTAATTTTTATTTGGTGTTGTTGTTTGTGTTTGTTGCTTATTAGTTAGTGTTAAAAACTATCGAACCTAAGGTATGTTCTGTAATTTTTGCCTGTTGTATCATAAAATAAGTATTCTGAGTTTTCACATTGAATCTAATTTGATCTTTTATTAGAATTTATTTATATTGTTCAGGATTTTAATAAGAAGAAACCTGAAAGATTTTAAAAGTATAGACAACAAATATTTTGCCTGCCTACTTTACAGATTATATTGTATATTTTATAGCCATAAAATGGCAGTTATGATTGTTAGAAATTACCTATTGTTAAAAGTCTAATATTATAACAAGCTTATTGCTGTTTAGCAAGATAGTATTCAAGGAAGTGGAGTTAACAAAGATTTATTTTAAATCCTATATTGTTATCAAATGTAATTATTTTTTGTTCAGGTGGTATTAGAATTATGTGGTGACTAAAAATGAGGTTCACATTTTTTTTCAACAGGCTTTTAACAGTTAAAACAATGTGTGTTGAAAAATATAAAGTTTACCCTCTAGCAATTCAATACAACTTTATTAGGAGGTCAGCACCTCTACTTTCTTGTAATAAAATTATCTAGTCAACGTAGTTTCAAGACTACTGTCTGCTCAAGGACTGTTTTTGCAATCATTCCTGTTGAAGGTCCTTCCAAAGCTTACTTTTATCTTGTGATATATTTAATGGCTTGTACTTTTAGCTATTTTTGGAATTCAGTGAGACTGATTTTTCTATAGATCTGCTATGTATTTTTAGAATATTAAACTGCACTAATGAAATTTTGCATTCGTGATAAGCACAAGATATGCGATATTTAGATCTGCACTCTAAACATTGTTCACTATATTGAACTGTTATGGGAAGTATTTTTAGAATAGCTCTTTACAAATGCACCAACATTTGTTGTGATATCTACATTTTTAAATTATATTTATGGAGCCTATATAATGCATGATTCTTGAAAATGTGAGACATTTTCCACACTGATAATTTTGTTCTAGAGGATTTCATAAAATTGATGCTTTCAAAGTTTTATTTTTTGATGTGTCCACAATGTAATAAATAGGTCTGCTGCACTGTGTTACTATTTTAAAGATAACAAAGGATTGTATATATGCTTAATAAAATCATCTTAAAATTAAAGCTGTTTTTCTATTATATTTTGGTTGTGGTTGAAATAAAAAGTAGAAACATTTTCAAGATAATCCTTTAATTTTTAATATTCTTTGTTTAATACTTCATATTCAAATTACACGATAGTCTTAAAAAATGACAATTAAACTAACATAGCTTCTAGAATTAAATTAAAACATAACACATACAGTCAATAAAATAAATGCACATATGAGTTTATGAAAAGCATTAATTGAATTGTTGCTGTCTTCTTCTGGCTCTCTGTTTGTCAAATCTTAATTCCATTTCTTCCAAAACTTTTGGAGTATACCTCACCACTAGTTTGACAGATCCATGGGCTTGCTTCAGTAGTTCCACTGCCTTCTCATGGTTTTCTCCATCCACAGACTATAAACAAATTATAATATCATTAAATTCCATTCTTCTAGCATTAAGTCACATTCACATTGCCACTACACTAGTATTTCTAAGATAAAACACTTACCACTCCATTGACACTGAGAAGTTGGTCACCTCTCTTCAAACCTCCATGTCTATCAGCAACCCCACCAGGAATGATCCTGGAAATATAAATGGGCGAGTTCTGTTCCTTGCCTCCCATAACATTGAAGCCCAATCCTTCATCTGTTTTCGGCAATTCCACTACTCTAGGGTGGGCATGCCCTTCGCTAGCTGCAAACGCGGCAATTGTAGCTTTGGCCGTCGCTGAAGCCCTAACATCTTGCGAGCCTTGAATATCGCACGTTTCGTAGACATGCTCGTATACTTCGCGTACAGCGTTCAAGAAATCGCTTTGAAGCACCTTTTGGAGCGCAGCTAATTTTGTGGCTGGGACTTCACCGCTTTTTTGCAGTTTTTCGAGGAGTTCTATTGATCTCTTCACGTCTGAAATTAGGACATTCGGGAATTATCAAAGAAAGCTATTCAGGAGGGTGAAGTTACCTTTTGCAAGTGTTAATGGCTCGCCTATTTGAGCCATTTTATACGAAATCTAGGAGAAATAATTATTTTAGAAGATGTAGGGAGTTCCTTGTCCTTTCCTTTTTTATTTTGAAATTTGACAACTTATTGATACGATTGACACACTTTCAATTGACAACATAGTGAGCAAGGTTGCCAGATCGTTCTACTCAATTTCCTCATTTCAAATGCAAAAGTTACAAAAAAACCCTCAAACACGATAAATTGATCTGGTGTGGATACTAGAGTTATCAATGGATGTTGCTCCTCTTTCGCAATTTTGTTTCTCAAAAGTACATTTTTTTTAACTCGGCCATCATCCAGTATATGGCCTGGCTATATTTATATGACGACTATATCAGCGGTATTTCGTCTATATAGCCAAGATGTCTTGGCAAAATTAATAAATATAATAAACATTACAGAATTTCCTGTCGGAACAGCTACAAAATCAGGCGAGACAGCTCATATTATATTAAGTAGCATTCCTATAATTCGACGATTTTCTTGCTCTACGAGTGTATGATAAAAGGTAATGGCATACATGTGTAACAATATAGCCGAGCCGTATACGAGGGATGTCTTTTACGTTTTGCATATAGCAACATAGTAGGCCGCGCGGATCGAACGTCAGTACTGAATCTTAACCTCACTCTTTAGTAAACTTAAATTCAAAGTTTCACAACAATACGTGCAGTGTTCTCACTACAGTGAATTTTTAAGTGTCACCAAGTCATTAGAAAAATGGATCTCAACCGAGAACATTTTCGTGCCATAATTTATTACAACTTTCAGAGACAATTATCGCAACAAGAATGCCTTGCTGAGTTACTGTCTGTTTTCGGCAACGAAGCGCCACATCAGTGGACAATTTCCCGTTGGTATGGAGAATTCAAACGTGGATGGGTGGAGTCTTAGCGACGATCCCAGGGTGGGCGCCTCAAAAACGGCAGTCACAAAGTAAAACGTCGATGCTGTGCGCAAACTCATCATTGAAGATAGACATATGTGACATACCGCGAGATTGAGGCGTCCTTGAAGATCTCAAAGACCTCAATTCAAAAAATTTTACATGAAGAATTAGGAGTAAGAAAATTAGTTTCTCGTTGGATACCCCACCTGTTGACTGAAGAGCAGAAAGCAGCCAGGGTTAATTGGTGTCAAAAAACGCTTGACCGTTTGAATTCCGGAAACTCGAAAAATGTGTACAGCATTGTTAGTGGTGTTGAATCGTGGATTTACTGTTATGAACCAGAAAATAAACGACAGTCGGCTGTTTGGGTGTTCCAAGGTGAAGAAAAGCCAACAAAAGTCATCCGTTCTCGAAGTGTTTCGAAAAAGATGGGTCATATTGCAACAATTCCTCTTAATGAGCAAAGAACTGTTACTGCGGATTGGTATATCACCATTTGTTTGCGAAAAGTCATCACCGAGCTTCGAAAAATCAACCCCGAAAGAAGAATCATTATCCACCAAGACAATGTAAGCTCGCACACAGCCCAAAAAACAAGGCAGTATTTAACGGAAGAAAACGTGGAATTATTAGTCCTAAGTCCTAACGATTTCTTTACTTTCCCGAAAATTAAAAACAGACTGCATGGTCAAAGGTTCCAGTCAGCAGAAAACTGCCAGAAAACGAGTGGAATAAGTGCTTCGAAAAGTGGTTTGAGAGCATGCAGATGGGTATTAATCTTCGTGGAGAATACTTCGAAAAACAATAGTCATTTAAAACTACCTACCGTGTTGTTTTATTTCCATATGCAAAACATCACGGTAGAATGACAGCTAATTATGTAATATCTCAACATTCCCCATCCCCAGATTCATTTTGTACTTGCTAATAGCCGTTTTATTTAGGAAAGATCATTTGCATACAAAAAACAAAACGCCACAAACAAGTTTTCCTAGATTTACATCCGTTTATTATTATTAAGAGAATCACAGGAGGGGCGACGTTTCTATAAAGAAAACGTTGACGAATATTGTTCCGCAAAAGGTGATAGAAGCATGTTCACTTCCTATTATTATAGAAAAATATTTTCTACGGTTAAGAGTATCAATTCCCAAAATCTTACAAGAAAAACATCCTTAACTTTAAACAATTATCTCTCAATGTGGCAACTCCGCCAGTCCGCAGTGCCATCTCTTTGATGTGATTTGAAATAGTTCCGTAATTGCATATAGAAATCTATAAACAGATAAAATAGAACTCGGTAACTCAGTTTATCTATTGAGTTATAGATGGTAAATCATAACCTTATCAAAAATGAGGAATGTTTTTTCTACTCCTAAAAAATAACTTGTTTCCCTATTTTGCGTTAATAAAAAATCGTTGAAATGAGTGATAAGTGTGCCAAGAAGATTGAAAGGAAGCTGAACAAACTAAAGCATGTGGTATTCAAAGAAACGGGTATCCAATGTTCACAAAACCCTACAAAGGTGAGCTTTTCTATTTTCAAAATACATGAAATAACTTTAATTTTTTCAGAACATTGTAATTTGCAATGCTGGTCTAGTAAATGGTTTATCAGAAGAAACAATTTTGGAGTATTTTTCACCATATGGGGCTATAAGTAATATTGTCATGCTTCCTGGAAAATCTTGTAGTTTCTTTTCATATGTAAGCATAGACATAGCTCGTGAAGCATTTGAAGCGACTAATGGTAAATTAACAGTAGCGCAGGATAATAAGCCAGTATATCTGTTGTATTCGGAGCAATTACCAGAAAGTACCTATTCGACTAAAGTTTGGAACGAACTACCCCCTGGTTTGGTCATCTTGGAAAATTTCATCACTGAGGATGAAGAAAAGTTGCTGCTTTCATTATGTTGCTTTGATAACACTGTTTCTAATCGGATGAAAAATAGACAAGTTAGACATTTTGGGTATGAGTTTAGATATGACAATAACAATGTAGATAAAGACGAGCCTTTACCTGAAAAAATCCCAAAGGAATGCAATCTTTTGTGGAATAGGCTCCATGAAAGCACCCAATGGAAGCATTTCATCCCTGACCAACTTACTGTAAACCATTACAGCCCAGGTCAAGGGATACCACATCATGTCGACACCCACAGTGCCTTCGAAGACCTAATCATATCGCTATCACTGAACTCGGCTGTAGTCATGGAGTTTAAAAAAGATGACAGAGATATTTGTGTCCAGTTACCACCTAGATCCCTTTGTATCATGTCAGGCGAGAGCAGATATGATTGGACACATGGTATCACACCTAGAAAGTCTGATGTTATTCTCTCAAAAAGTGGGACATATACTTTGTTGAAAAGAGGCGTCAGAGTTTCATTTACATTTAGAAAAATAAGACGGGGCGAATGTCGTTGTCAATATACAAGAACATGTGATTCTATTACCAAGAACAAATCAACCGAACTAGAAATTTCTGCTTCTGGTAAGGATATAACATAGTTATTCATATCGAGGTTCTTTTTATACAAAAGTAAAAACAACTGTGTAAATTTATCTTTATTATCAGACAAACAAAGCACCCAAAACATTGCTTTATTTAAAATTGTATTTTTAAACGCAGCAGAAATAGCTGATGTTTGTAAAGTTGATTGTTTTCTTTCTTCTGTTGAAAATAGTAATTCTAAAAGAATCACCCTTACAATCAACTCTTTGTATACCATATGGTGAGGTTCAAATTTGGCTGACAGGCTGAGTTCAATCGGCACGAGAGAGAAGCGTGTATGTTAGAGAGAGATAGAAGCTGGCTGTATAGCAAAACTCATCCCACGTTGCAGATATGATACACTATTTCCATCAATATTTCAAAACTCGCTCATCTATGATCTATGGAGATGAAAACCTTGCCTTGGAATTTACAAGATGCGGTGTTGCAGAATTTGTGGCGATCCTGATCTTTCATTTCGACCGAAAATGGAGCGCCGTTAGGAACGATCCGGAATAGATCCTAAACAGATTCGACACAAAGTGTACCCTCAAAATAAAACCATCATTCAGACGTAATGAATAAATTGACGCATATTTTCAACAATGCATCTTAATTCAAGGAACTGGTGGTATCGTGGCAACCTGCCGCGTCTGCGTTGCTAAGCAACGTGGTGATGAGGTTCGCTATCCAGCCTTGTATCTCTTTCTAACACACACTTTTCGCGCTTCTCTCTAGTGCACATTGAAAATTGAAATCATTCCATCAGCCAACCTCACCCTATACTCAAAATACATGAAATGTTCTTTTTATCTTCAGAAGTTGAAAAAATGCATGTGATAAGTGTCTATGAAAACATAGCTGCCCACTTTAGTGAAACTAGAAGCAAACCTTGGCCCAATGTACTGGAATTTGTAAATTCTTTTGATGCAGGATCAGTAGTACTTGATGTTGGCTGCGGAAATGGGAAATATTTAGGCAAGAATAAACACATTTTTGATGTATGTTTCATTTTTTACACTATCTTTCCAAATATTTTTAAAAATAATATGATAAACATTTTTAGGTAGGGTGTGATACAAGTTCTGCATTGCTAGAAGTGTGCAGAAAAAATAGTTTTGAAGCATTTACGACAAATTGCCTCTATCTTCCATTCAATGATTGCACTGTAGACGGAGTGATTAGTATTGCCGTCATTCACCATCTGGCTAGTGAAGTAATTTTTTCTTTTTTAATAATACAAAAATGGTATCAAGTTAGTTCACTCTGAATATTCCGTGGTACATAAAACAATCAGATCGATTAAAATAAAAATGAAAGTTTTAGCCTACAAAATAAGGTAATCTTTTTGTAGGAAAGAAGACTGCAAGCTATCAAAGAAATGGTCAGAACTTTGAAAATCGGAGGCAGAGCTTTGATATACGTTTGGGCAAAAGACCAGCATAAAAACAACGAAAAGACTAGCTACATCAAACAAGACAGGAAAAATCGCAAAAAGGATGAAGATCTAGTGGTCGCAAAAGAAAACAAAGAAGCATCCGTTTTAAATGACAGTGGCATGTCATTACCAGTTCACGTAAATAGGACCCAGTTCAAACACAAAGATGTGCTGGTTCCTTGGCGACTGAAGAAAGAGAACAAAATCGAAGATACTTTTTTGAGATATTATCATGTTTTTGAAGATAACGAACTTAGTAATTTATGCTTGAAATTGGATAATGTTGAAGCTGAAAAGTATTATTATGATCAAGGGAATTGGTGTATTATACTGAGGAAAACGTCAATAAAAATTGGATGAAGTAACGGTTGTTTTGTACACTATCCCTTCCCTCACCCTGTAACCCAAAATCTCCTTTGCTACAAAGTATAAGAAATTTCATACGATCTTCATTCTTTTTTTTTTTATACTCCAACTACCACGAAGGCCTAAGGCCTAAGCACCCATTGGGTACCGTGGGGCTATAGGGGTATACATGGGAAAGGGGGGGACGCCACACGGACTCTGGCGAGGGAACACGTATGCATGCAACATGCACACATTCTGACTCCGCCTACGAGATCCGCCGGGTGGTACCTCCGCGTTCGACAGTCAGAGACCGTCTACCACCTACGGACAATCACAACATCCATAGCCAAGAGAAAAATTCCTCCTGGGACGGGACTCGAACCCGCACAGCGCACGGCGGCTGATCAGGAGACCGAAGAGTCTACTACTGTGGCCACCGCTGCTGCCTAAATCTATTCAAACATATAAGTAAGCCCGAAATTTCAAAGTTTTCGTCAGTTACCTAAACATTTAACCGACTTTGTATCCTCCTCTTTATTGCTTTACATTGGCAGATTGATTTTTCTAAGGTCAATGAGCTTAACAAAATGCATTTCAATACTGTTAAAACCGTTCTGACTACCGCATATTATTCGAAGTTTAATAAAAAAAACAGCCAAGTCATGTTGATTCAGGAGAATATATTTATCTAAACTACAGTTTCTCAGAACTAGTTTTAATTCTAATTATAAAGAATTGAGGTTATGTTCGGCGACTAGATCTTGTAATTGGTGGTCAGTTCTATTTTGTCTGATAAAAAGAAAGTTTATAAACATATTACTCATGCTATGCTTCAAGATTACTGTTTTATCGCAATATGAGTAATCAAGACTGGAAAATAAAAATTTAATACGCGAATATAATAAGTCGTGTTAAAAATAAATTAATTAGTGGCATAGTGCTTATAAAGCCGGTTCAATAATCACATCACAGTAATTTCGCGTCGCAAAAATGCTTTTGAAAACCGTATTATTGTTCAGCTTTTTAATAGCTTTTACCGCAGCGAATCATGAGAGAAAATACGGTAAATGTAGTTTTTTGGAAAAGATTGTCAAAGGTGAGACTGGCTGTCGTTATAATCCAGATGAATTCTTAGATGTGGTAAGTATATAACGCTATTTATCGATTATAGTACAGTTGTATTAGGTCTGTTAAATGGGGTCATAAGAAAAACAAAACTTTCTTCAACGTCCCACCTCAACTAGAGTAAGGAAAAAACGATTTTGTGAAAAATCTGTTTTTTATCTACCTATCCCTGGAAATACTCTTTATTTTAAAGCTTTGTAAAAGTGCCATTTTCAATGCTCAAGCTTGCCTCCACTTAGCAGAATTCGATTATTTTACCATTTCCGAGATACCGATGGTGGGAGTGGAATTTGAAGTACCCGATATAGAAATAATTATTAAAAAAGTAATATATATATATAAGCCAACAGTAATTTTAACGTATACTGTGGAGCCAAAGAACACATGCATCTTTCATGGAATTTTTACATATTAATCTTACCAAATCGTCATTATTTAGATTTCTTTAAGGAGAAATTCCAATTCTTTCCCTATGTGAATAATTTTAATGAAAAAGTTCTTAGGTGAATACCGAATGTATATATTCATGTAGATCTTATTTGGCCCGTTGTGCACAGAATTGTTACCGACATTAAATTCTTTATTCGTTTTTGAAAATTACTAATAAACATTTTTATAGTGCCTCACATCTAGGCGCAGATTTCTATTTTCTACTTGACATCGCAAAATAAATTTCTAGAAAATTCAAAAGACCTGAAGTAAAAAATAATCTAAAATTTAATAACCTTTCAAGTTTTATTAAATATCCCTCTCTGTAGCCTATTTTCTTGCCTGTTAGTTTTAATATACTTCACCAACCAGGGATTTTCTTTTCTTATCGCTGTCTTGTTTAAAATTCTGCAACTTTGCATATGTAATTTCCAGGCTGAATAAGAAAGAGCGGATACGCAACTAATTTTTAACTTTGCATATATCTCAAGTGTAGACCTCCAGTAATGCCATCTATGAGGCACATGTTTCATAACATCAGAGCCAAACCATGATAGCTGAAGCGTCATGAAGTTTAGGCAACACGTACAGCTACAGAACGAGTGCACATCGAGTGAATAACAGCTAGTTTCAACTTGACATCTTAAAGAAAAACCTACATGATGTCAAAAACCTACATAATGCCACTTTTCAATATACGCAATACCCCTGCAAGACTCTATCATGTAGCAGAAGCAACCTTCGTGTACGCGCCGTTTTGTCATGGAGACATTTCGTGTGCTTTATGCGGACAGTGTTGCCGGTCGTTCAAAAAAATCTCAGATATGCTGTCTAAGTCTAATCAAACTGATATATTATGGTACTATATCATAGTTAGTAGTGGAACAAATCCTATACATACCTTGATGTGGAGAAGGCGATTATTGACATACATCTCCACCAAGGTATGTAACGTGCCATTTGTATTAAGAATAGTGTTTCTGTCAGCCGCAAATAATAGCGAGGCACGGGTACAGATCAGAAACCCACGTTGTGGTTACCGAAGACGGGTACTTGCTCAGAATACACCGAATACCATCAAAGAAAAATGGCGCTCAGCCGGTCTTTTTGCAACACGGATTGCTTGGAAGCAGTGCAGACTGGATTGTCAACGGAAATAATTCTTTAGGTAAGTTAACAGGTTAGCAAACGTCAACATCATACACTATTGTACCACTAAAAATATACGACATTTTAACAAGTTAAATCACATATACTAAGTGACATATAAATCCGAACACCCAGAATAAATGGTTTTAATTTAATAAAATTTTGTATAAGTACTTAATGAAGCATAATAATTAAATGATTAAAATTTCAAAATGATTGCACTGCTTTAAAGCCCTTTGACCTTTAATAATGTGTGGATGCACCCTGATGTGCTACGCATTCTCCAACGCGCCTAGGCATGCTTCTGATCAGGTGGTCAATGTCCTCCTGTGGTATCTCATTCCAGGCAACCACCAACTCCTCTCGAAGTGCTTCTAGAGTCTGAGGAGGACGTTGCAAATTGAACAATCTCCTACCCATCATATCCCACACATGCTCAATTGGGGATAAGTCGGGAGATCTTGGTGGCCATGGTAACAATGTGACATCATTATGTTGAAAGAAGTCTATTGTGACTCTTGCAACATGTGGTCGGGCATTATCTTGTTGGAAAGTTGGATCTGCCAGGGTGTCAAGATCGGGTAAAAGATGGGGTTCTAGAACTTCGTGGATATAACGCTGCGCGTTCATGTTACCTCTGATGAAGATTAAAGGTGACCTGGAACCATAAGCTATAGCACCCCAAACCATAACTCCAACAGTGTGATGAACATGTCTTTCAACAAAAAACTGTGGATTCCTCCTTTAACCACGTCGCTTTCTAACCCTGGCACGACCATCGTGCATGCCTAAACAAAATCGAGACTCGTCACTAAAGACAATACTGTTCCATTCCTGATCCCAGCGTGACCGTTGTCTGCACCACTCAAGGCGATTACGTCGGTGTTCTCGAGTTAAAGGGAGGACCCAGTGTGGCCGGTATGAAAACAAGCCAAAACTTCTCATTCGTCGGTAAACACTTCGCATGCCAATAGGTCTTCCGTGTTCTGCAAACCATTCATTTGCAATGGACTTGGTAGTGGAGAAACGGTCCCTTAAGGCCAATAATCTTAGGCGGCGATCTTCACGGTCTGTTGTTCTACGGCGGCGTCCAGTGCCCCTTGCTCTTTGCGTACGGCCTTCTCGAAGCCATGCCTGACAACACCTAACCACAGTGTCTACACTTCTTTGCACTCTAACTGCAATTGCCCGAAAAGAAAGTCCAGCTTCCCGAAGTCCCACTATACGGCCCCTATCAAACTCACTAAGTTGACGAAATCGTACAGGTCTCCGTACTCTAGGCATCGTAACCGATCGTAAAGGATGTCAAGAACCAAAATCCGCCAACGTTGATTCTTTACTGCGGCTGAAATATTCATTTTTAGAGCGTTAGTGAATTAAAAAAAAGCAGTATAAAAACCGGAATGTCCAAATGATAAGGCTGAACATTTTTTCACTTGTTATTTACAGTAAGATAAATACATTCACCAACTTTTATTAAAATAAAACCATTTAAACTGGGTGTTCGGATTTATATGTCACTGAGTATATATAAATTTTGCTGCTGGGATATCCCGCAGGAAAAGTCAATGAGTGTTCAACTTTGTTTTCGCAGTATTCAATACCGCGTAAGTAAATAGGTCAACAATAGTAGTATCAATTGCCGCGAATTATTTTATATCTAGCTTAGACAACATCCTGCGTTGGACATCGCTTAAGTAAGGTGGAGATACTTGCCACACTGCAAAGGTCACTATGGGCTAAGTGCCCGAGCTGTTTCCACACAGTTTAGTTCCTGGTTTGATGGCCACCAAGATCACCAGAAATGACCTACGAGGATGGTTTCCCGTAGGGGTACCTCGAGAGTAAAGTTTGAATAAGTTCATGAAACTATGACCAAAGCCGCTGACTTGAAAAAATATACGTCGCAACACACTAAAAAATTACGCTTAAAATTAAGGCGAGTTGTTTTTTTTTCAGCATTTCTTTTGGCAGACTATGGATACGACGTCTGGTTAGGAAATGCGAGAGGCAATACGTATTCCAAAGGACATGTATCGCTTCCAGTTGACAGTCCACAGTACTGGAACTTTAGGTAATTAGAAGTAGAAATAATAATAACCGGCTTTATTAAAAAAAAAAAACGTTCTTCAGAAAACACCTATGGACTTTTTTGTGTGGGGTCGCATGAAAACTTTAGTATACCCTGATCGAAATCCTGTACCCACAATAGAAGACCTCACAAACAGGATAATACATGCAGCACAAGAAATTAAAACCTCTCTTAGGAATTCGGCGGTAGTAAAATCAGCTGTTCCTTCATCATTTTATAATAGTCATATTTTTGCCAATTCTTAATCGATTTGTGACTTTGATATCTCATTTGAAAGGTAATGAAACGTAGATATTTTAAGATTGTTTTGCACGAAAAATTTGTAGGTGATTTTTTCTATCAAATTTAGTTTTTGAGACGAACGAAGAATTTTTTTAACAAAAATTGAACTATTTTGAAGCTTACTGCATGAGATAACGTCAATAATGAACATTTGAGTAAAACAAAAAAAAAATCAAATGAAACACCCAATTTTCAAGTTTTATGACTTGGTTAACGTATAAAGGACGTTAATTTTATAAAATCTTAAAAATTAGTATAATTCGAAAATTTTCGGACAGTAGTTCCTATAGTAAAATCGACTCAGTTTGGCTTGTACTATTTCCCCCCACCGGCTCCGCATCTATTTTCCCGTCACCCTGTATATTTAAGAAAGCAGGGAAATACAATAAGACATCGCAGAATAAGCTATAAATAATTATAAAAATCATTATTTAGATATTATCACATGTAATTACAAAGAAAAAGCGTATAATTAAAAAGGATGCACTAACATTGTAATGCAGCACAGAAGTATGAATTTGTTAGCCTTCAGCTCCGAAACTAGGTGGCAGCAAAATTCCAGCTCTATTGAGAATCAAAAAGAAGGAGTTTAAGTTTATTTTTGGACTTATCAATATTATACGCTAAGAATTCATTTGACAAAAAATTGTACACAGGCGCTGTGTTAAGTGACCCGCATGACCCCATTGGATTCGCGCTTGGTATTTCTATAAATTGTAACGTAAATTTTTGCAGTTTTCACGAAATGGGAACCCATGATCTACCAGCAGTCCTGTACTACGTCACAAATACCACCGACCAACCAGGGCAAGTGATCTATATCGGCCACTCGATGGGTACCACCATGTTCTTCATTTTTTCTTCACTTCTTCCCCAGGCAGCGAAGAATGTCAAACTAATGATCGCCTTAGCACCTGTTGCGTACATGACGCATATCAAGAGTCCCATAAGATATTTCGCGCCTTTTTCGTACGATATCGAGGTATGGACTGGAGAAATCTTAGTTAAAACGTATCAGTAATGTTGTAGCATCACCCGATTGCGATTTTTTCATCGCACAGGCGTTGACAAAAGAGTAGTTATAAATTTGATACTGCTGGAACACGTTTTTCTGTCAAAATACGTTTGAGAGAGACAGTAAGAGTATTGTATTCGACATTTAGATGTAATTCCGTGTGTCTTCCCTCACTGTTAGGCCATAATTGAATTACAGTTCCAGATACACTGCTTAAGAACTTGATTAATCTTATTATGTAGAATAAACAACTAATGGTTATATCAAATCTAACTGCTATATCACGAAATGATGATGTTTCACGTCCTGCGAATCAAAATGATGAGTGTTTGCTCATAAGCAGAAAGGTTCCCATTGCCTCCAGTCGTCTATTTGAATAACATGATGTGTTCGTATTTAGTTTGAGATATAGCGAGCCACTCTGAAATGTTCCATGAATTCACTTCCTTTGTAAAGAGATACTGTTATAGTTATGTTATTTTTGTGTGTTTCCATCATCACTCGAATCGATATCTAATGAGATCCAATCGGATTCTGAATTTGAGCTATAAGGGTCTGACGTTTCTGTGAGCAATGCAAACATGTATACACAATAAAAAACTAGTACAAACCAAATTTTATAAAAACGGTAATCTGGATTCAATCTTTTCAATTGATACGGACTTATTAAAGTTGCAGCGAAACTAAGAAAGACGCAAACTTCCCAACACAATTCAAAAACCATAACCCCAAATCTTAAGGCACCCATAACAAAACAGGATCTTGTTCGATTTGCGCATGTCAGAAACCACTAAAATCTTGTATACTGTTCCGAAACCAGTTTTCGAACCAAAAATTGATTTCCTGAAACAGCGGGCCCATAATCCCCAACGAGGTTAAACATGTTTTCACCACTGCGCATGCTCAGCCGGTTTCAAACCGTTGTGAGATGTGATGCTAGAACATTACTCATGCTATTGATCAACATATTACACCTGAAAATACCAAATTGAACGCCTGAGCGAAAATAAGTACACGTACTGTGATGCCCGCTATCACTTATGCTTAGGAATATATACGAGTCTACCACCATCTTTAGTTGTCATCGTTGCCAGCTCTCCGACTATTGCCGCAGGTTATGGGATTTTATTATTCCGCCATTAAACAGTTCTGAGCATATAAAATCTTAGGAGCAATTACGAGCAATGTTGAGGGATGATCTGTTTTGGAAGGTTCATGTTATATTCAAAAATATACAATTTTGTTTAAAAGAAAAATAGGGTATTATTTCATTACTTCCAGAGGAAATAGTGCGATTCTATCTAGAAACGCGTTTGTAGTAGTAGTAGTAGTAGCAGTAGTAGAAAGATGTTATTTTTGTAGGCAATGGTAGTCAAACTAGCAAAGTATGCATTAAAACCACACAATTGTGGCGACTAATATTGCAATGTAAACATGCTTGGCTCCTAATTTATTCAAATTCGTAGGTTGTGACGAATGGACAATGCGGTTTGGTATTTTCTTGGAGAATACGTTAATCTATGGTATAACCCACTTAATTTGCATCTATTAAACATATTCTGAACATTCCGTTGTATATGTAATCCCAAACTAAGTCATTCACTTCATTCTCAATAAAATTGGAAGCGACATATTTTCTCGACGTAAGTGAAAGACGACAGGCGGTCTATAAGCTATCCAGTAACTTTTTTTTATTAAACACAGATCATTCAAAATTCATTAAATAATAGATTTTCCTCAAACGCGATCTTTTACTTCCCCACCACAAGTAACCGAAATACTGTTGTCACGAAAATTTTCGATTTTTTTCCCAAATATACTAAGTGTTATATAAATCCGAACACCCAGTTTAAATGGTTTTATTTTAATAAAAGTTGGTGAATGTATTTATCTTACTGTAAATAAGAAGTGAAAAAATTTTCAGCCTTATCAGTTGGACATTCCGGTTTTTATACTGCTTTTTTTTTAATTCACTAACGCTCTAAAAATGAATATTTCAGCCGCAGTAAAGAATCAACGTTGGCGGATTTTGGTTCTTGACATCCTTTAGGATCGGTTACGATGCCTAGAGTACGGAGACCTGTACGATTTCGTCAACTTAGTGGGTTTGATAGGGGCCGTATAGTGGGACTTCGGGAAGCTGGACTTTCTTTTCGGGCAATTGCAGTTAGAGTGCAAAGAAGTGTAGACACTGTGGTTAGGTGTTGTCAGGCATGGCTTCGAGAAGGCCGTACGCAAAGAGCAAGGGGCACTGGACGCCGCCGTAGAACAACAGACCGTGAAGATCGCCGCCTAAGATTATTGGCCTTAAGGGACCGTTTCTCCACTACCAGGTAAATTGCAAATGAATGGTTTGCAGAACACGGACGACCTATTGGCATGCGAAGTGTTTACCGACGAATGAGAAGTTTTGGCTTGTTTTCATACCGGCCACACTGGGTCCTCCCTTTAACCCGAGAACACCGACGGAATCGCCTTGAGTGGTGCAGACAACGGTCACTCTTGGATCAGGAATGGAACAGTATTGTCTTTAGTGACGAGTCTCGATTTTGTTTAGGCATGCACGATGGTCGTTAGAGGGTTAGAAGGCGACGTGGTGAAAGGAGGAATCCACAGTTTTTTGTTGAAAGATATGTTCATCACACTGTTGGAGTTATGGTTTGGGGTGCTATAGCTTATGGTTCCAGGTCACCTTTAATCTTCATCAGAGGTAACATGAACGTGCAGCGTTATATCCACGAAGTTCTAGAACCCCATCTTTTACCCTATCTTGACACCCTGGCAGATCCAACTTTCCAACAAGATAATGCCCGACCACATGTTGCAAGCGTCACAATAGACTTCTTTCAACATAATGATGTCACATTGTTACCATGGCCACCAAGATCTCTCGACTTATCCCCAATTGAGCACGTGTGGGATATGATGGGTAGGAGATTGCTCAATTTGCAACGTCCTCCTCAGACTCTAGAAGCACTTCGAGAGGAGTTGGTGGTTGCCTGGAATGAGATACCACAGGAGGACATTGACCACCTGATCAGAAGCATGCCTAGGCGCGTTGGAGAATGCGTAGCACATCAGGGTGCATCCACACATTATTAAAGGTCAAAGGGCTTTAAAGCAGTGCAATCATTTTGAAATTTTTATCATTTACTTATGCTTCATTAAGTACTTATACAAAATTTTATTAAAATAAAACCATTTAAACTGGGTGTTCGGATTTATATGTCACTTAGTATGCAAATCTTATTTCCGCACTGATACTACTATACGTACTATACGATTAATTTTATATTTTTTTTTCTTTTCAGTGGATTGCAGAACATTTTGGTTTCAACCAATTTCTACCCAGCAACAAAGTACTGAAATTCCTCGAGTACGACTGTGAACTTTTCAAAATAGATAGCGCAATTTGCGAGAACCTGATATTCACTTTATGTGGATTTGATAAACAAGAATTCAATGAGGTAAATAACATTTACACGTTGTTTAAGTGAAAAAAATCACCTCACTATTGCACCTACACGTATACAATTTTTGAGAATTCTGCTTTCAAACTTATATTCTATTCATTTTAATTATGTATTTTGTTTGTTGAAGATTTATTTAGTATTAATGCTACAATGTCAATTTTCTATAGTTATTCGTTTACACATTTTTTTAATCAATTTTTGTAATTCTTGATAATCTTTAAGTGATTTTTTAATTTCAGCTTAAACATTTTTAAACTTGAACACTGTTTAATATTATGATTCGATTTATTGAATTCAAATACTTCCTTTTGAAACACAGATTTGCTAGTCATGTTTCTATTACAATTTTGTAGATGAAAATGTATACTGCCTCAAGTTACGTGTGTATCTGTGTGATAATTTTGTGAAGTTTTTTAAATATGGTGGCAATGATTTTTTTTAATTTGAATATGAAAATGAGAACTAAATTATATATAACATTTTTGACATTCAACCACTGTAGTTCTTCTAACATAGGCTTAATCTTAGTATGTTTGTATTTATTTAAAATGATCATAGCTTATTTTGTACAAATTGTTTGAACAATATAAAATATGGTAAAGAATTATACTGTTATACACAATTTTTCTGGAATACATACCGAGATTATGGGAAACTCTATAAAAGCAATTTATATTTTTTGATATTTTTAAAATAATGTACTCATAATGATCTTGAGACAAGTTGACTGTCCACATACATATATACCGAATGATTCGACTACTTCAATTTTTTCCCTGTTGACATACATTTTGTTTTTATTAGTGCTAGTTTAAGCTAATTAACATTTAACCAAATCATATTTTTTTCAATATCACTATTTAACAGTTCTAAAGCAGTGTCCAAATGTTTATGTGTAATATAAATCAATGTAACATCCGCAAATATTTGAATTTTGCAGTGTTCTACAATGTCAGATATATCATTTACATATATAATGAATAGTAACGGCACTAATTTAGTCCTCTGTGGCACACCTACTGGTATATTTTGAACAATTGACTGATGTTATAGAATGTTTATGCACACAAGTGCTCGTGATGTCTCAAAACTCGGACACGGCCTTTGTTATTTCTAATTCTATCGAAAAACATTTAATTTGTTTATTTAGGAAATATTAGATGTAGTGCTGAGCCACGAACCAGCAGGAACATCAACAAAAACTGTTGTTCACTATGCTCAAGAAATTCGTAACGAAGGCAATTTTCAACAATTTGACTATGGTGCTAAGGGGAATATGATCCAGTATGGGACTAAAACACCGCCATTTTACAATATCAGCAACATCAAGAGACCTATTTATATGATGTACGGACCCAACGATTGGTTGGCAAACATTATTGTGAGTATCTATGGTTAATGTAGGATTACTAGTTACTGACGTTCCGGACACCACGAGAAAACCCATCAAAGATGACAGATTTTTTCAGGCTTGCTTCTAGCTTGGGGGGCTGGACGTCCTTTTGAGAGCGGGAGTGCCTCCCTAAACCAGGGTTAATTGATTCATATCAGTATAGTCAGACCATGATTTAAATCAGTGATTTATATATATATATTTTTTATAAAAATGTATCTAAGTTAAACTTGATATTTTTCATCAAAATTCATGGAATTCTTAAGAGTAGAAATAATCAAAGCAGCTACTTAAAATACTAATTCAAATGCACATTTTTGATTTATAAAAGTTTAAAAGTACATTATGTTATTATAGCATTACGCATGAAAAATTATTAAAAACCTTGGAAAATTTAGGATTTCGTGGAGCCACTTACCAACTCATGGAAAGTTATTTGAAGGATAGAAAACATTGTATTAACATTAACAGTACACTAAGTGAAAATATGGCAGTTAGATGTGGAGTTCCACAAGGAATCGTATTAGGACCAGTCCTGTTCAATTTGTATTATTATATTATTAATGACCTTTTCAAGTTGAATAATGACGGAGAAATTATTGGTTACGCTGATGACACGATAATTATGTATTCAAACAAAGATTGAGCTTCTTCAGAAAATCAAATTGTATTGGATGTTCAAAAGGTTTCATATTTTTTCACCGAGGGGATTTTAAATCTTCCTCAAATTTCATTCGACTCCAAATTAAACGTAGAATAGCTACAAAAACATAGTATCAGTTAATAATTTCAAATATTTAGGATATTCATAGATAACCATCTAAGATGGAATATACAGGTTGAGCATTTAATAAAAAAATTAAGATAACTCATTCCAAGAACCAAATATTCCAGCAGTATTTTGAGCGAAAAATATCTACAAATGATACATCATACCCTTGTCCAATCATTACTACCTTATGGAATCTTAGTTTGGGGTGAAGTCATGAATAATTATTATAAAAAGTTGAAATTACGCAGAAGTGGATTTTGAAGGTTATATTAAGCAAAAAGAAATGTTATCCCACAGAAAATGTTTGCAACGAATCTAAGCTTTTCAACTGCCGGCAGATATATTTTTATAATTCAATAACATATTTAAGAAAAAATCAAAAATTATTACATTCTATTGACTACTATCAAACGCGATTCAGAGAAACATACTTATTATATTAAATAAAACTATCAGCCAAAGATCAAAATGAGGTTCATTTGAACTAAAAATTACCCATTTTCGACAAGAGGTTGACCGTCGTCATTTCTAATTATTTTCTATAAAGCTATAATACCACTCTATGTGTTCATGTACAGGACTTTTTTTATCTCTATTCATTAATTTTGATATATGCTTTTTCTCGCAAAAAGATTCTTATTCACTTTTGATCAAGGATGTCTTGTTTTTCCACCGACATGCGGTTTTCGGGTAAAAAATGAAAATATTAAGTTGCTATTATATTTTTTGAATCAATTCCTACATCATAGCTATATGATAATGCAGTGAAACAGTACATGAATACATAGGGTTAGGATAATTATTTACCTAGGTATTTTTTGTTACCATTAATTTTGTTACGAAGAGAAAATCTATACCTTAAAATGACATTGCTGTAATAAGGGTGGCTTCTCTAAATACTAGTAAAAAAAATTCTTATTTTTCAACACAAAGACAACGCTTGAACAAACAAGATATCAAATTTGCTTATTTGAATTTATTAACCCTTATGATTTATAAAAAAAGTGTCAAAATCGAAGTGTGGGTAAAATTATTTCAAAATTCTTGATTTTTATTATTAGGAAAAAACAAAAGTGAATAAATATTGCAAAGTTGCACGACTTTATAGAGAGTTACTTAAGTGTGGTTTCGGATCATAATTGTTGTTAATACCTAAAATAAATGACATTCCATCTTTAATTGTTGAAAAACAAAAACAAAAAGCACAAACATGTGATTTTCTGCTTTTATATTCTGCAAAAACAAATGTACTACCTTTTTTCACACATAAATAGTTGAAAAGTAAATCTTTTCAACATCATAATTACATTCGATAAAAATAATCATATAAATAAACTAAAACAGCATGTTTTCTCATATGTTAAATGAGGAATAATTTAGAAAATTATTCTTTCTAGGCAAAAGTAATTATTTATAACAATGAATACTTATTCATCTTCCTTGAATTTTCGAATAAATAAATATTATTATTATTCACAAATAATAGATATATTACATACGATACTAAATAGGGAAATATCAAAATAGATTATAAATAGTTAAAAGGCAGTACTTGTCTCATACAGAGAATAAAAGTAGTATAGTTTGAAAACTGCTGCTTTTTTACTTTGATATATTGATTTACTTTTTTTTATGGAAATGTAAATGAACTATTTGACAAAGTGAAAAAACAACTATTTTTGTTAAATAATTATTCAATTAATCAAAGATGTAATTTATATCATAAAAGAAATGTATTGGTATCAAAATTTAAAAACGCCAGTAAAGTAAAGTTCATTTACTTATTATATATTATAGCAGAATAGATTCATAAGAAATTATTTTTTTATTTAAATGAATCCAAAATTTTAAATATCTTACCTTACTTTTGAAGCACCCTGTATATTTTTATTGCAACATATGTAAAAACAAATTTTTGCAGGACATAAGAAGACTTGCCGCCAATATCACAACCTTAGTTGATGTGTACAAAGTACAACTCGACTCATTCAACCATGTCGACTTCATATTTGGAAAAGATGCTGAAAAGCTAGTTTATAAGCCAATACTCAAAGTTATGAAAAATTTTACTCAATACTGATAATATTTAATAATAGTGTTTGAAAATGTACCAGTGATGGGAAGCAAATATTTAAAATAATGTGTAATGTGATCTGTATGATCATGACCTTTTCACAGCCCAAAACGAAGAATATATTTGTTGTGATATATGTATACAGTTAATAAATTTAATGGTTTACATATATTTGAGATGAATAAAAAATGATTTATTTTATCACATTTTGTCTTATTTTCTATGTTATTAAAACAACTAAAACCAAGTATAGAGCTTGCTATGTAACATGGCTTGTCTACACAGCATGTAGCTACAGAGATTACACATCTGGAGCATCAATGGTAATGAACCTCCATTTATTACTTTACCAAATGGCAATGAACCTTCAAGAGTTAAATGGTACCTTACAGCTTAGAGAAAAGTCTAGTTATATGCAAAACATAGAAATACCTACCTTTGAATACTTAGATAATCATATTTCATCTATCTCTGATTCTGAAAAGTCCTGTAATTTTAAAAACAAAAGATGTTTTTTATCATCATTCTTCAAGGAGCTACTGACTTTGGTTTACAACACTTTATAATCCCAGTGCAGAATTTCTTGAATTTACATTTTGCATCTAGTTATCTGGTATCACCCGTTTATTCAAGCAGATGAATTATTCCATACAACATGTCAATTTAGAAAATACTTATCAAATGTGCAACCATGGGGCAGCCATATTTCACAATAATCGCAATCCGAAAATGATGCAATTCATGTCAGAACAAAATCTAAATAAATGGCAAAACAGGTTGAATTCAAGTTAGATTCGTCTTATCCTTTTGTTCCAAAACCAAAAATCTTAAAAACGACGCACTGAGCTGGTTGACAAAATAAAAATGTCTACGCTATTCGGGTATTACAGCGATGCATAAGATATAGTTTATTGCCTCGTACTGCAAGTGGAATCCACATATTTTACAAACTCACTTCGTTCCCAAAGCAATCACATTTTTAACGGCCAAAAACAAAGATGTTGGGCTATGTGAGGTTATGTATCGATTTTGCCTGCAATGTTGGCGCAACTGGCCAGCTGTTCAAAAATGTTCGCCATCTTGCAATAGTTTCGCGGGTAAAGCTTAAATCGAGAATATTTTACGTTTTATTCACATCACAAATAAAACTATAACAATAAAATGATCGGTAGACTTAGTAATATCTACCGTTTCATAATTATTTTAAATGTAAATAAAATCGAAAGGCTACACAAAATGTCGGTCAGTATCATAGAGGTCGCAATGCTCGGTTGGCAACCCTGTGCTTACCGATTACAATTTCCTCCATTTTGTTTATGAAAGCCGATAAAAGTGCTTTTCACAAAAAAATAGCTAAAAACAGGTATTCAGCTTGAAGATTTTATGTGAAAATGGCTAAAACAATGTGATGTGATTAAGTGCAGAATTGGTTTTGGTGAGTACTCAGTTTTGTCTGAAAAATGGAATGTTTTCGTTATCATACAATGTTACGCTAACGTTTCGGTTGCTACACGATTATGAACGTCAACACGACCGTTGATTATCGAATTTCTGAAAAACTATAGCAGATTGTCTGATCTAATATCGAATAAAGGGATTCATAAAATTATCTTAATTATTTGTCACTCATGTAATTTGTTGTTGATTTAATTTAAGCATGAAAATAAAAATACCATTAACTTTGAGAGTATTTCAGTTTTTCGCAACGGAAACAATTAGATGTGAGCAATATCACGATGGGATGATGAAGATATTTACAAGAGTAAAACAGCACTTTTATCATAATATATCCAATGTCAGATGGTACTATTTCTGCTGTCCCTATATGTATAATAGGTGAAGGGATCAACTTATTGCGTGTCCCTTTTGCGAAAAAATTTCATTTTCTTATTCATTGATATGAATTAATTGTGTTTATTAGATATAAATTGCTACAATAGTTTTGCCTGGCTTGGGCGTGGTATTTTTGAGGTTATGTTTCAATCGACCACAAATATGGCGTCCAACTATGCGACTCTATGCAAAATAGTAGAAACAGGTTTTTTCCAAACAAGTTGACTAGTTTCAAAAATATCAAGGCATTTCTTGTTATAAAAAATCAATGAAAAACTAAATTATCACGGAACAACAGTACAGATGATTCTGTTTTGCGTACATGTGTCATCGTAGACATAGACAAGCGGGATTGGAATGACGCACTGCACTACTGTTTTCCGAAATTCCCGGGATTTGGCACGCCTGTTTTGGAAATTAAAAGAAGAAGTAATTGATACTCTGTGAATTTAGTGCTAAAAAAGGTGGGTTGCGTGGAAAATTTTGAGGGAGTTATGAAAAGTTAATATCCTCCTGTTATAGAGATTTCGAGGTGTTCTTTTCGAATTTCGACTTTGCTAGCGTGCATCTTGCCATTCAAGCCGCCATGTTGGTAAAAGATGATCACAAATATTTTTGCTAATAATTTTATTCAGACTTATTTGCTTTTTTAATTTTTTATTTTGTTTAATAGATATTATTGTAAATTAAACTACAGAAAATTCCTTATGGTTTACGTTTTAGCAATAACGTAGTTATCGATTTGATAAAATGAGATTCTATTGATACTCCGCGAGTATACTAAGAACGTCGTCGTCCTCGATGTTTTTTTCCATCAGTGCTGCATAATGTTTGTTTATATCGAACAAATCCGTGTGGTTGAAGACCTAGACAACCCCAATGTTGCAAATTTAGGAAGAGGTAAACAAACTCACGTTTTTGAATCAAACAGCGACAATTTCAAGTAGTGTTTACAAACAAAACATGTGACAGTATAGTAATTGAAATTAGTTACCAAATGAATAGTGGGTATTTTTCTTCTTTTTTTCAAGTGTTCGGTGTTTTGCCGCAAATTAGCTTTGACATTCCAAACGTACTTGACTCTGAAAATAAAAGTCCCAACTTTCAGGACAGTCTGTATACGAGAAATCACATAGGTTCGATTATTTGATACTTTTACCTGGACCTCAACGTATTTTTCTGATTTTTTCGAATCGAGATCTACCACTGATCGACCATTCGCTATCTATTTTTTTATGAGCCTTGTTTTTTTGCCATTTTCCGTCAGGATTAGAAATATTATATACCTCGCGTTTATCGATGGAATTCTGAATCACCTTCAGTCTGGATATTTTTTCGATTTTATGTAATGTTTGAATCAAAAAGAAAATATATGGTGCTTAGATTGAGGACGCGTCTTATTTTGAAGATGGGTTTCCACTAATCAATTGAATGAATTTGGTACAATTGTCTACAAAAGGAAGTAAAAGCTACAATCTCATATATATTTTCCAGTTACGATGGATCCAAGTGACCCTCTTAAGGAGTTTCTCAAAAACACTGGTTGGTCCTGTGACGAGCTTCTGCAGAAACTACTACAAGTAAAACAACAAATCTCAGCAAGTCAACAGCAAACCAAAGATGACACGTCAACAGGGAACCGTCTTAGTGATAACGATAGTAGCTCACAAGCTGGAATTTCAAGTAAAACCAAACCTGCATCTGTTAATACAAGATATAACGTAGCTGATAAGGATTTCTCTGATACTGATGAAGAGGAACAAAAAGTGATAATAAGCAATAAACGTATTATAGACGAAATAGTTGAAGATACACACAAAGAAGATCCACCTCCTGCTGATATACCTGAAAAATCAATAGTAATTGAACTGGATAGTGAAGACGACGAAGAAGATGATAATTTTGAAGAGGAATGTAGTCATAGTACTAAACAACCTGGAACGCCTCTCAACAAAGAACTACCGAAAGAGAAAAACAGTAATGTTAAAGAAAAGATCAGTATTGATTCCATCTCCACTATTGTAATCGAAGATGATGATCCATCTGATACAGAAAAAACTGCAGCTGAAAGAACAAATGAAATGTTTCCATCTTTATCTATGGTCCGAACGGATTCTGCGGATGATCTTCAAGTGTTATCCATAGAAGACGTATATGAAACGACTCCAAGAGCTAAGGGGTCCATACATGTCGTAAGTGAGTCAGATCTATCAATGGAAGACATTACAATTGCACATAAAGGGTTCAGTAATTCAGAAGATTGGCTGCCTAAGATTTCCTCGATTGAAGGTGGAATAGACTTGAATACAAAATTTAAAGCTAAAAGGATTGATTTATCTCTGGGTGATGTTATGCATCATACAATTACCCAATCTATTCTTAATAGGGAAGAAAAGTTACTAGGTATAACAGATAATAAAGTTTTATCGGATATGAGTAATAATGAAAATAGTGACATTTTGTTGGATCGTAGTTCCACACGAAAAGATGATATAGCTATTGCAGCTAATAGTGCAATTGTTAAAGAGCGTATCCCATCCAACGTGCCATTAGGAATCGAAAAGGCTGATACTTCGTCAAATGTTGAAACAAATGAACATTTGACTACTTGTATTGTTACGTTAGACTTGACTGATGTTGAAAACATAAGTGCTCGCAAAGATCATGCTCTACCGCCAAATGCGGAACATGTATCTGGCCAGAAGCCTGTAACCAATGAAGGTTATGTTGAAGATAAATCTTCGAATTCTGAAGATAACATTACAGTCGTTATAACTGATAAGGTTAAATGCATTGCTCGAGGCGTATCTTCGACTAATGAAGAAGATGCTACTACGTTTGATCTTACCGATCATGTTGAAAGCAGTAGTGCTGAGAATGATCAAAAGCCTTCAGTACAAACTGCTGATAGAGATTGTATCACAAATGATGTACAATTTATTGTCGGAGAGAAGGAAAGTAGTATCAATGCATTAGCTGACAGTTGTCCAAAAAACAGCATTGAGGAGAACTGGCAGATTCCTAAAATTCTGTCAGTTGAAGGTGGCGTAGAAAATGATGAAATTCAAATGGATACTACAGAAGCATCAAATGATCAGTCATATTCATTATTACAAGACACTATGAAAATCCCGAACGGCTCAGTGGCTTCTTCAGGAAAAATTCGTATTGATATATTGAGTTGCAGTGGTCTAAAAGACAGTACCGAAGAAAAGTGGCAAATTAATAAAAATATTTCGTTTGAAGGTGCCGTGGATACTTCAGAAATTCCAGATGGTAAGTTACAAGAGGCTGAACCAAAAATTGACACTGCGGAAATCTCGAACAGCTTAGCGGTTTCTTCAGAACATAGTGTGAGTGAAAATGAAGACATTGTAGAAACTGATGTCCCTATTAAAACTCAGGATCCAAGTCAGGATCGTAAAATCCAAGATCCACGTGACGTGGAAACATCGTTAAGACCTGTAGTTCCTGAAGATTCCTCAGGTTTAGGCATCAAAATTGGAGATACTGTTTCCGTGGAAAGAGCTTCTGAAGTTGAATCTTTGCTGGGGTCATCAGAATTTTCATCTACAGTATGCACAGTGGATGATTCAAATATCAGTTTTTCTGAAAGTACATGTCATGATGAACCAAATGTGATTGGAGATTCAGCAGAATGTTGTGAAGAAAGGAAACCTGACGCTGCGTCAGAGGATGTGAGTCAAAATCAAGATACAATCCAGCCAAAAACAAATGAATCAGACGAAGCAACAAATGAAGATACGAATGGATTAAAACCATTTGAAGATTCGTCGCCAAAGGAGTTATCTGATACTTCTGCAAAAATTAGTGTTCTAGAGATGGGTGATACTGACATTAAGAATCCAACTGTTGATGAGTCGGTACAAAACGAAACGTCTCATGAATTCAAAGATTTAGATAATTCAGTGATCAATGAAACAAGAGATTCTAGTCATACATTGGAAGGGTCATCAGTAATATTGAACAAGACAAGTGAGAGTATAGTCAGTAAAGTTTGCGAATTTCAGAAGCAAGACTATATTCCAGAAAAAAATGTCGTTGACACAGGAGAGATTGAAACTTCTCAGAAGTCAAACATTTTTGTAAATAAAGAACCAATTGTCGAAGATGTAACAGAATCAGAAACTGAACCTAACATTTCTTCAAAAATCGAAGACGATTTAGGAAACTGCAAGCGTCATTCTTCAGAAAAATATGTTGTAGAAGAGCATTCTTCCAGTGATGTCGAAATAAAGTCAAAATCAACTGAAGAGCAGCTGGAATCACTGACAACGTTATCAGACACGATCAAAGATGCAGGGGTTTTATCAGGTCCAGATGAACCGTCAAAAATCGAAGGCAAAAATGTAGAAGAAAGTTCTTCAAGTGAAGTCGAGATAAAGAAAAAATCAACTGAAAAGCAGTTGGACTTACTGACGACGTTATCAGACACGATCAAAGATGCAGAGGTTTCATCAGGTCCAGATGAACCGTCAAAAATCGAATTCAAAAATGTAGAAGAAACTTCTTCAAGTGAAGTCGAGATAAAGAAAAAATCCACTGAAAAGCAGTTGGACTTACTGACGACGTTATCAGACACGATCAAAGATGCAGAGGTTTCATCAGGTCCAGATGAACCGTCAAAAATCGAAGGCAAAAATGTAGAAGAAAGTTCTTCAAGTGAAGTCGAGATAAAGAAAAAATCAACTGAAAAGCAGTTGGACTTACTGACGACGTTATCAGACACGATCAAAGATGCAGAGGTTTCATCAGGTCCAGATGAACCGTCAAAAATCGAAGGCAAAAATGTAGAAGAAACTTCTTCAAGTGAAGTCGAGATAAAGAAAAAATCCACTGAAAAGCAGTTGGACTTACTGACGACGTTATCAGACACGATCAAAGATGCAGAGGTTTCATCAGGTCCAGATGAACCGTCAAAAATCGAAGGCAAAAATGTAGAAGAAACTTCTTCAAGTGAAGTCGAGATAAAGAAAAAATTAACTCAAAAGCAGCTGGAATTACTGAATACGTTATCAGAAACGATCAAAGATGCAGAAGTTTCAGCAGGTCCAGATGAAGCGTTAAGTGAAAATGAGCAATCTGATCCAAATGAAAGGGATACGTCCAACAAACTTGAAGAAAGCAATATTAAGGAAAATTGCTCAGAGGGAGATATTGGAAATCAGAAGCTAATGGAAGATAGAGTAGATTTTCGAATACCTGCAACAGAAATCAGTACCGGAGAAGGCGATTCTATAAATAAGGAAAAAGTTGAGAGCCAGCCCAAGATATCTGAAAGTATAATAAACCTTCAAAAATCTTCAACAAAAATCAACTCGTCGGATGTTGAGTCATCTGCAAAAGATGACAAAATTGCTCCGCCTGGCACAATTTTGGTGAACGAAAAAGAGGCAGATTCTATCACGTCCAACAAACTTGAAGAAAGCAATATTAAGGAAAATTGCTCACAGGGAGTTATTGGAAATCAGAAGCTAATGGAAGATAGCGTAGATTTTCGAATACCTGCAACAGAAATCAGTACCGGAGAAGGCGATTCTATAAATAAGGAAAAAGTTGAGAGCCAGTCCAAGATATCTGAAAGTATAATAGACCTTCAAAAATCTTCAACAAAAATCAACTCGTCAGATGTTGAGACATCTGCAAAAGATGACAAAATTGCTCCGCCTGGCACAATTTTGGTGAACGAAAAAGAGGCAGATGCTATCACAACTGCAGAAAGTACTGAAGAATATGAAGTCGAGTATCGTCTAGTAGATCCACGTACCGTGGAAAGTCCACTGTCGGCCAAGGAAGGGATTCATAAAATAGCTGAAACTTTGAGCGACTCTTCTGAAGAAGAGTATGTTGTTGAAGCCCTGGAGGATACTCCAACCTTGGAAGACGCAGATGAAGCCGTGCGGGTTAATAAAGGTACGTAAAAATGTTTTTGAATAGTTATTCTATGAAGCCCGAATATTTGCATTACTATTTTACGGACGGAAATTCGGCATGTATAACAATAACTCAGGATGCGATAAATTAAAACACTACGTCGAATAAAAATTCTAAGCCGAAATGGAAACAAAATATTAAACGATCGAACATACTTCCTTCTTTTCAACGCGGCAGATTGCACGACCTTCTGCGTCACCGTTGCCAGGCAATGAGGCCATGACCTTCGCTCTTCAGCCGGTTTCTTATCTCTTTCTAAAATGTGTTGATACACACTTCTCGCGCGTCTCTCTCGTACACATTGAATTCAAGCCGTCAGATGAAATTGATTTTCCCTGTATATACAGGGTGTCCCAGAAGTCGACGTCAAGCCGAAACCGGGTGATAGGCAAAGTCTAACAGCTATCAGAAAAATATTTAAAAAAATTTTATGTATGTGTTTTGAAAATTACAGGTCTTTGAAAAAAATATAGAAATTTCACACCCTACGGCAGTCTGTCAAACTCCTGTTACTACAAATATTAACTTTTTTTGGATTTTATTTTTACAACGTAATGATGAATAATGCATCTTCAAACTGGTGTCTCAACCTTACTGCCAACTTTTCTCGTTCAGGAAAAATTGCCACTTATTTCCCAACCAAGTATTCCAAAGTAAAACTTTGCTCAACTTTAACTGGCTGTACTGGAAAAAAATGTACTACGAGAGTTTGGCAAGTAACCTTAAAAGTTGGCGCATTCAATAAAGATTCCAAAATGGTATAACACTTAGAAGATTACTCGTTAACTTATGCACAATTTTTATTTGAAGAAAAACTGATGAACATTTTTCAAAATTTCCTAATTAAACAGCGATTATGAAAACGCACAAGGGCCCTTAAGGATAACTGTTTGCACAACAGAGGGCGTCAAAATGCTGCTGATGATGATTTACCTATACAGCAAATGCTCAAACTGTTTTCCTTCAGCCGCAATACACGCTTGACATCTTCTTAAAAAAGATCGGGTTATTAAACGAGCGAATCCACGGTTATTAACAAACTCAGCTGCTTCCAATAGTCTTTGCCGTAGCTCAGCTACATTTTGAATCGGCTTGAAATACACTTTTTCTTTTACAGTTCCCCAGTAAAAAAATCTAACGGATTCAAATCTGGTGACCGGGCTGGCCACGGTATTGTACCAGACCGCCTTATCCATCTGCCTGGAAAGTTTTGATCGAGATACTCTCTCACTGAGAGTGCATAGTGCGCTGGGCAGCCATCATGCTGAAACCACATGTCCCTGTAAATACTCAGTGGCACGTCCTCCAATAAAATGTCTAAATGATTTTGCAAAAAACCTAAATAAACCTCAGCAGTCAAAGTCTCTGGGAACTCAAACGGACCGATTATTTTACCATTTAAAATTCCTGTCCAATGGTTTATCTTGAAGCGATATTGAGATTTATCTTCTCTCATCAAATGTGGGTTTGCTACGTGCCACTCGTGTAAGTTATGCAGGTTCATGTACCCATCTTTCTTAAATGTGGTCTCATCTGACAATAAGATTTTTTCAAAGAACCGTAGATCTTCCCTGTGTCTTTCTAACATTGTGCGACAAAAAGCAACTCGGGGCTCATAATCCCGGGGGCAGAAGAGCTTGAACACGCTGTACGTGGTATGGATGGAGCACGTTTTTTTGCAAGATGCTATGGGCTGTACTTTTGGGCACACCTGTTTTTAGTTCTATTGCACGCACTGAAGTACTCGGGTCTTCTTCGACAGCTCCTAGCACCACGTCTTCGTAAGGAAGGAAAGATCTTCCCTCACCGTGTGATTGGTTTGGTAGTTGGCCCTCTGAGAACAGTAAGCGGTGCACATTTGTGAACACAAATGGTCTGGATGACGAGCTGCATTCGGGTACCTCTCACAGTAAAGTCTCGCTGCAGCACTAGCGTTGCATCTGCATTCCCCATAAATGAGGTGCATGTTAGCATATTCTTGTACGGTGTACACGGACATAGCGGCACTGCACAATCACACTATCAAAGATAGTCTAAGGAAAGCAAATGTTGTTTTGAAGAGCAATTAAACAGTCCAAATCCAAATCACAAGCGATCAACAGTCCAGTTCACGAATCCAAAATTAGTAACAGTATGAAATCAACAAGCACGAACATGTAAAGATGCGCAGTAAACGAAGGAGTACTGATCGGTATCAAAGCATGCAATAGCAAGTAAGTGATGTGCTTCATCCATACCACATACAGCGTGTTCAACCTTTCCTGCCCCGGGATTATGTGCCCCGAGTTGCTTTTTGTCGCACAATGTTAGAAAGACGCAGGAAAGATCCACAGTTCTTTGAAAAAATTTTATGGTCGGATGAGACCACATTTAAGAAAGATGGGTACATGAACCTGCATAACTTACACGAGTGGCACGTAGCAAACCCACATTTGATGAGAGAAGATAAATCTCAATATCGCTTCAAGATAAACCATTGGACAGGAATTTTAAATGGTAAAATAATCGGTTCGTTTGAGTTCCCAGAGACTTTGACTCCTGAAGTTTATTTGGATTTTTTGAAAAATCATGTACAAAATTTATTGGTGGACGTGCCACTGAGTATTTACAGGGACATGTGGTTTCAGCATGATGGCTGCCCAGCGCACTATGCACTCTCAGTGAGAGAGTATCTCGATCAAAACTTTCCAGGCAGATGGATAAGGCGGTCTGGTACAATACCGTGGCCAGCCCGATCACCTGATTTGAATCCTTTAGATTTTTTTACTGGGGAACTGTAGAAGAAAAGGTGTATTTCAAGCTGATTCAAAATGTAGCTGAGCTACGGCAAAGACTATTGAGTTTGTTAATAACCGTGGATTCGCTCGTTTAATAACCCTATCTTTTTTAAGAAGATGTCGAGCGTGTATTGCGGCTGAAGGAAAACAGTTTGAGCATTTGCTGTAAAGGTAAATCATCATCAGCAGCATTTTGATGCCCACTGTTGTGCAAACAGTTATCCTTAAGGGTCCTTGTGCGTTTTCATAATCGCTGTTTAATTAGGAAATTTTGAAAAATTTTCATCAGTTTTTTTTCAAATAAAAATTGTGCATAAGTTAACGAGTAATCTTCTAAGTGTTATACCATTTTGGAATCGTTATTAAATGCGCCAACTTTTAAGGTTACTTGCCAAACTCTCGTAGTACATTTTTTTCCAGTACAGCCAGTTAAAGTTGAGCAAAGTTTTACTTTGGAATACTTGGTTGGGAAATAAGTGGCAATTTTTCCTGAACGAGAAAAGTTGGCAGTAAGGTTGAGACACCAGTTTGACGATGCATTATTCACCATTACATTGTAAAAATAAAATCAAAAAAAAGTTAATATTTGTAGTAACAGGAATTGACAGACTGCCGTAGGGTGTGAAATTTCTATATCTTTTTCAAAGACCTATAATTTTCAAAATACATACATAAAATTTTTTTAAATATTTTTCTGATAGCTGTTATGACTTTGCCTGTTTCGGCTTGACGTCGACTTCTGGGACACCCTGTATATATTTTTCCTCTGAATCTTATATTTGTGTCAGTTGTTAAATCGTCTTACAGGTACCAGTCATCTTTCCATCTTTTCGGGCGATGTCAGCCCCAGGCATAATGCAATAGGTGGAAATAAATCCATATTGATAACAAGTAAAACACCAGACATTTTTTCTATAGGCAAGATTAAAACTACAGAAGATAAGATGTTACTTTCCAACAATTCGAATACTATGGATAAAGCAGACTTTGTCAAAGCAGTTAGAAAAAAATTACAGTTTTACAAACAGAGACAAGCACTTTCCAGTCGACAAAATACTGACCTTCGAAGTAGTATTATTAATAAAATGCAATCTACAGTTACGTCAATTGCAAGTCTTACTGGTGATGAAAAAAGTCCTGACATGCCTAAAAAACTATCTATGGCCGACATTCTCCAACGTAAGCTTGATAAACAATCTGCAGATAGTTGTAATGTTAACCAGAATCCTGATGAAAGTCAATCATCTCTAATTGAAAACGGACCTAGTACTGCAAAGGGAATGCCTGCAGGCACATGTTCTGAAGATACAATTGTTAATATAAACTGTCCAAAAGATGATGCAAACGACCTACCGTTGCCTGCTGCGTTAGTTGCTGTGGAAGGGTACAATGAAAATGACATCAACGCAGAAACAACTTTACAAACTACTTTAGGTCAAGAGGTCGAACCTGATGATATTTCTATGACCATTGCTGCTAGACAAGCTGCCACCAAAAGTGATGAGAACGATATGATTGATAAAAAAGGACCGACAGAAGCACATTTGATCGGGAATACAAAACAGCGATGTCAAGTAGATGAAGATGCGATATTTGCGATACCCAAACTACCTCCTTTACGAGCATCTACCAGTAAAGAGAAGGATATGGATATTGGAAACGTTGAAGATATTAGAGCGAATCTAAAACTGCAATTGAATAGTCTGAGAAGTAGGAAAAGACCACACGTCAAGATCACGACACAGATCGACGGTAGTTTTTTCGAGAAAAAGGAAAAAGATATGGCAACAAAACAGTCAGAAGATAAAACAGCGGTGGTCTCTGAGGAGATCGTTCCTCAATTGTCCCAAGATCAACTTTATACGCAGACAAACGAGCTAGGCTTGGTGATTTTGGACGTGCAAGGAGGAGTTGATTTGGATGATTCAAAAACTGATGGCGCAGTTGGAGAACATCAGTCTGAAGATGTCGCTGTTCCTAAGGAGGGTGACAATAACGACGTTGCAGATTTAGTGAGACAGATCATTGGCAAAAAGTGCGAACCGAGAATCAGGATACGAAAAGACCTGTCCGCACCTCCACCTGTGATCGACGACTTTGAAATATTCCAGAAGAGAACTTGCAGTGAAAATGTTGAAACCGCTGGCCCTAGTGCTGAACCCATGCCCAGCACCTCTACAGCAATATTGGATGAGGTAGGTAGTTTCTTTTCTTCTGGAAAGTCAAATACTAAACAAGGCACTTGTGCCATCATTTTTATAGGATGTTCCAAAAGTAAGGCAACTTTTGAATTGAATAGAAAACAGTTTCAAGTTTTTAGATTGCTATTTTTTTATTGAACTATAGTACTTAGGATATATGTATGGAATATAACATCGGGCAAATGACCTCCACGGCTTTGCTGGCACATAAGCACTCTGTTGAATTGTTCAAGACCTTTCTGTCTAATGGTGGCTGAATTTCGTTGATGCACTTGTGGTTGTGGGCTTGTTGACATAGACCTTTGACGTTAAATAACTCCATAAGAAGAAACCTAATGGTGTCAAATCACACGATCTAGGTGGCCAATTCTTATCACCAAAACGGGAAAGTACACCACCAGGTGCAGTAATTGAATTGTTTCACTGACCGTGTGGCATGTTGCACCGTATCGTTGAAACCATATACGAGCCACTTCCCACTTCAGTTGGCCCACTTCAAGCTTTGTACCAAAATATGCCTTATAAACTAAACATGACGAAACTATTTACTTCTAAAACAATTTATTTTCTCAAAAACATTTTAGATACACTCTAGTCGTAAAAAATACATATTTGAAATCACTTAGACCTATAACTAATAGAACATCTGAACAAATAAAAAATGTGCGGATAAATGCGCGAAGTTAACAAAGCAACAATTGAAAGATTACCATTGGGTAACATCACCTTTATTTTTTATTGCGGCTGAAATTCTTTGGGGCATAGTGTTAACCAAGTTTTGGCAAAAATCTGGTGTAAAACAATCCCATATTTCTTGAAGCTTGTGTCTCAGTTCGGTGATTGTACGAGCAGGGTCTTGTCGTAGAACCTTTTTCATCTCGTGCCCCAAAGTTTCAATAGATGACAGATCTGGACTGCTAGAAACCCATTTCAAAAGTGGTACATTATTTTCTTCCATCCATTTTATAGCCTTTTTTGAGGTATGGCACGCTGCACCATCTTGCTGAAACACAAAATCTTGGCCGGATGTCAAACATTCTTCCATCACTGGTAAAAGCGATTCTTCTAAAATTGCCAAATATTTGTTTGTATCCACATTTCCATCAATAAAATGAAGTTTTCCTACTCCTTTTGATGACATACTGCCCCAGACCATAACGGATGCTGGAAATTTCACTTTTCTCTTCAGACAGTCAACATGGAATGCTTCATTTTTTTTGCGAATAACTCTACTGCGGCTGTCACCAACACAAACTTCGAATCGGGTCTCATCACTCAATTGTATTGCACACCATTGTTGAGGTGTTCATTGTCTATGTTCTTTAGCCCATCTAAGCCGATTTTTCTTTTGCAGTGGAGTTAATAGTGGCTTTTCTTTTGCCTATAAACAAGTTGTGCAACTTTAGGGTTTTTACTTCACTTTTTAATATAAGAAAACTTACCTTGCAAATGCTAAATCCCAGTTTCTGGGCCTCTCTATGAGCTGTGGACCTCGAAATTCTCCTTCCGACAGCGTCACTCCACAGAACACTTAATTGTAAATAATTGGCACGCCTGTTTTTCACGATTCTTCTTCTTAATGCTCTTCGGTCGGCATTTGTGATATTACTTTTTTTCACATATCGTGGCTTAATATTAACTGAACCAGTTACGTTATATCTTCTAACAATATTTCTCACACTGTACCGCGATAAGTCTAACAAAGTTGCAATTTCTGAGTTTGATTTCCCAGAATTAAAAAATTTAATTATCAGTAACCGAATTTTCTCACTAATAACCTTTCCTCTACCCATTTTGAATACCTCAACTACCCAAAACTATTTTAAACGTATTCTGACAGCTGTGATTAATAAAAACAATTGTCATGGCTTTTATTTTTCACAGCCACCTATGCGTTATAGACTTATTTTGCATTGAAATGAAAATAGGTTGATATGCTGTAATTGCAACATGTGTTATTTTTATGCTGCAAATTTGATTAGGGAGTGATAAAGTTGGTGTTTTCTACTATATGTTATCAAAATATTCATTGTTAATATTTTAAACCTATAACACCCTGCTACATTTTTATTATTTGTGTTTGATAAGAAAAAACTAAGATTTCAATAGTTGGGCCAACTGAAGTGGGAAGGGGCTCGTATTGGACACGTCCGTAGCATCCAATTTCTACAGAAAGAACTGTGTTATCGAGCACCAGGTACTGCTTCACCAGCCTCAGTCTCAAAAAAGTATGGCCCAATGATGCCTCCAGCCCAAAATCTGCACCAAACAATCACACGTGCCATCAAGGTGAAAATGTGCTTCATTGCTCAAAAAATCAGCATCCACTTGTTGATGTTCAATAATCCATTCCACCTACTCTCGTCGCTGTTCATGGTCATTGGACTTCAGTTGAGTATACGCTGTAGAGAGCTTCTTGAAATTTGCAATTCTCACGATGCCGAATTGACGTTCCTGGGTTTTAAAATTTAAGTTGACTACATCTTTGAAATTTTTGCATTTCAATATTTAATATTTCAGATTTTTTAAAGTCTATAATTTAAAAAAAAAAACTTACATTTTTTATATTTTTTTAAAGTTATCAATTTTAGGTTTTTTCGCCAAAAATCGTGTACCACATAAAAAATTGGTCCGTAAAGTTTGGCCATATACCTTTTAACACCCTGTATTCTTTGTAGAGTGCCTTACTCCGTGACGAACATTCCCGGTTATCTTCGCACGAGAATAGTTTGTCAGGTGGTCCAAACGAGGAAATTTCTCCTTTCATAAGCAACACTTTGGACGAATATTTAACCGGGGATGCTCAGCTAAACGTCAGCTACACAATACCAAAATGTGGAGCCGAAGAGGGCATCCGAGAATTGCATTTCGAATCGGAACCGGTGCAATTGGTTCAGAGAAAGGCCGTAGAGACGAAAAATGGGGAGGTCGAGGGACCTGTCAAGAAAACAGGCAAAAAGGTAAATACAAGCAACGCTGCTATACAGAGCGATCGCCTCACCACAGTTATTTGAAAAATATTCATGTTTTGTCCCTGAAGAGTCACATCAGCAGCAAAGAAATTGTATCTTGCTAATGTTTACAGGAACATTTCGTATTGTTTTTAATTTTTAATATATTAGCCGATTTTTTGACTTTTTTGAGAGTGTTTGTGAAAAACAGTATTATCGAAATTGCTCCACTGTGCACTTGAGAGACACAAAAATTTTGTTAATCAAGATTTTTATGTAAAAAATTTAAACAGGTACTGAACTTTCATGGTCTATGGCAAAAAGTTAATCACTACACAAGGATTACAAACTTTTTACGAACTAAGATCGATTTAATAATAATCAATGAACAGAATTCTATGGTCTATGGCAAAAAGTTAATCACTACACAAGGATTACAAACTTTTTACGAACTAAGATCGATTTAATAATAATCAATGAACAGAATTTGAGTATTATGGTTTTACATACTCCAAAAATAAGCGACCATTCGTGGATATGTTTCGAGGTGGAAAATATGTTTAATGAGAGAGATTCAAGAGAGATCACAATTATTGACTTTGAAACGTTACGAGAGTCACTCTTACAAGCCAATATGACTGAAATTTTTAATGATGCTGACACTTACTTCTCAAAAATTATGGATTGTATGGAGAACTGCATGAGAGACGCACAAATCAGGAAAGTGCTATATCAAAGGAAAAAGCCAACACTCTGGTTTTCACAAATATTTCTAGACTCTAAATTGACGCGTGATAATGACTATAAAAAGTTTATGATCACTCAAACTGAGGAAGATTGGATACAATATAAGAAATCAAGAAACAAGTGTTTAAAAAATCTTAGGAACGAAAAGAAAAAATATTATGAAAGCAAAATCGATAGCAATAAAAATAACAGTAAAATGATGTGGAAGACACTGAAAAATATTGTATCTCCCAGTAGGAAGAATGGATTATCAAGAATGTGCTTCGAAGATGGTATAGTAACACAAAAAATATTGATTGCAGAACGAATGAACGCTTATTTTATAGAAAGTATAAATGAGATAGTGGAATGAATCGAAGATGGGGATCCAAATCTATGTCACATGCAAGCTACTTATAATTCTTCTGTGAAACAATTCCAAACAATAAACATCAGCCATCTTTCAAAAGCTATTACAAGATTCAAATCGAATAGAAATCCTAGTGAACATCTTTCTAAAATGGATATGAAGGAATGTTTAGTGTATGGCAAATTTCCTTCAAAATTAAAATGTTCTACAATTACTCCTGTTCCAAAAGTGCAAAACTCTGAGTTATATACAAATATGCGGCCAATTAATGTACTGCCAGATGTCGAGAAGCTCTTAGAAGGAATCATATATGAACAAGTCATTGAATATATTGAAGAAAATAATATATTGACAAAATTTCTAGCAGGATTCAGAAAAAAATATTCTACTGAAACAGCAATTCAAATGGTAGTAGAAGAGTGAAAAAGTTTACAGTAACATTGTTCTTAGATTTCAAGAGAGCATTTGAGACTATTGACACGGAGAAATTGTTAACGAAATTGCATTGCTATGGATTCCAAGGTTCAGTACTCAACTTATTACAAAATTATTTAATCAATTGAAGTCAAAGAACTAAAATTGGCAATACATTATCAAGCAAAAACATTTCTGTAGGTGTGCCACAGGGTAGCAAATTAGGTCCATTACTATTTATTTTATATATTAACGATATTCCTGATGTTTTACAACACTGCAAAATTCAACTATTTGCTGATGATACATTAATATATATATATATATATATATAACTTGAGACGTGGTCATTGTCGTCTAGACCAGTTAGGTGAAAAAATTAAAGCTTCCACCTTTTGTTGGGTACTTCGACAAAAATTTTTCAAGACCGATTTGCAGTTCCAAAGTTCTGCTGTAATGGCACTTCAAGAAGCTAACGAACTTGTGCGAGATCCACGCAAAGCGAGTAACCATCATGCCGAAAGATATACAGCTGACAAGACGCATTAGGGGTGAACGCGCCTAATGGAGTTGACGGTTTTACTATTTGCCGAAGAGAGAGAGAGAGAGAGAGTACGGCGTGCGATAAGAGGTTATATTTTGCACAGTTGTTGCTATTCTTCTCAATGTTATTGCAGCTCCTGATGATGATGGCAAAGACCATTGAAAGCTAGAGAGATTAATAAAGTATAAAGAGTCCCCTTTGCTTAAATTTTTGTCGAAGTACCCAACACAAGGCGGAAGCTATATATATATATATCAAATAAAGACATTGAAACTGCAATAGAGCTGTTAAATAATGATATTTTGATTTACACGTGTGACCTGCATAAAGCAGTTGACAATTCAGGGATACAAACATTTGCTGACGATACTCAAATAATATTTCATTTCGACGCCTCAGATACGCAAAATTCATCAGACATTTTACAGCTTGATTTAGATAAGGTACATCAGTTTTCTATGGAACATAATCTTGCTATTAATCCAGATAAGACACAAGTGTTATTGTTTTGTTCTGATCAGAAGAGGAAAACTGTCGAAGATTCTTTCCATCTGACTATTGATGGTATAACATTACAGCATACTCAAACAGCTAAGGTACTAGGAGTGGAAATTGACACAAAATTAAGATTCCGCAGCCAAATAGCTAATTTGATGAAAAAAACTTACCTGTGTTCTAGGGCTCTTTATTCCAATCGCTACTTGCTTAACTTTAAGCTGAGAAAAAAATCTTTGGTGATGTCAATGCTCAGTTACTGTGATGTCGTTTATTATCCATGTTTGGATCAATTGACCAAAAATCGTCTTCAAATCATCCAAAATAACTGTGTTCGCTTTATTTATGGGTTGCGTAAATACGATCACGTAAGTGATAAATATAGGGAATTGAACTGGCTTAGGTTAGGAAGTTTGGTTAAACATAAATTCTTAGTTTTAGTTCATAAAATAATATTGTCATCAAAGCCTGAATATCTAAGAGCTATGTTAAGATTTAGTTACGAAGTGCATGACAGGGCTGTTAGGAATCGTTATAGTATCAGAACCACCCCACACACTTCTGCATTATTCCTACGAGGATTTTTCATATAATGCAGCACTATTTTATAATCAGTTGGACAACAGTAGTAAATTGATGTCTTTGGAAAGTTTTCGTAAACATACTAAAAGCATGTTGCTCGCTATTGATTAAATAAGCATTTCTGCTACAGATATAGATTGTGTCTATTTGTATTTTATACTTAGGTATATATGTGTTCTTTTTTTCATTGTTCTTATATTTTTTTTCCATGTTTTGAACATCAGATGTAGCCGACATAAACAGTTAAGTGTAAGAGTAGCCTTGGCTAAACTTCGCTGTTTATGTCCCTCCGGGTTATCCAGTAAAGACGTTATTATTATTATTATTATATGAAAAACGTAATAAATTGGTTGAATGTGAATAAACTTAAACTAAATACAAACAAAACAAAATATATGCTAATAGGAAAATCTTTAAATCAAAATACGATAAATCTTACAATTAATCATGAAAAAATTGTGTCAATCGAATCATTTAAATATTTGGGCATATACGTAGGCAATAAATTAAAATTTGAAGGGCACTATGAATATATTATTTCAAAAATATCCAAGAAAATAAATTACTTTTATAGAATTTCGCATTTTTCCTCATTTGTTATATTGTTCGACTATTTTGTTCACTGCAAATGACAACTGTATTTTCAAAATTACAAATATTACAACATAAAGCTATGAGAATCATCTTAAATAAAAATAAATATACTAGAATAAATTTTATACTGATAGAACTACAATGGTTAAATATCAAAAATTTCATAGCCTATTTGGTTTTCATTTTCATATTGAAGTTAAAAAATTATCTTCTACCAAATCACTTAGAAAATTTTATTGTATTGAACAATGAGTGCCACAATGATTCTACTAGAGGAAGTATAGACTTTCATTTACAAAACTGCAGTAGAAATATAACGAGCAAGTCAATATTTCAAAAGGGATTGAACGAATTTAATAAATTAAATTTTGACAGTAGTCTACTAAAATGTACTACAGTCTAGTAATTTCTCTCACAATAGTAAGCGCCAACGGGCAGTGAGGCTAAGAACTTATCGGACCGCCCTCTTACTTTCTGCCCTAGAAGCATTGTCATTTTGTTACTTTTCCACCCCATATTTTCAATACTAATCCTATTTTTACGATTGAAGGTACGAACGCTAGCACAGAAACGGAAACTGTTAGAAAAACAGATGGCAAGAGAAAAGAAACAAAAAGAGAAGGAACAAGAGAAGACAAGCTTATGGAAACAGAGAGAGAAGGTGCAAAAAGAATTCGAAGAAAGAAATAAAGACCGATCGTATGTCATCGCAGACGGAAAGAAAATCTATGTGCAAAGTACAATTCCTAGAATATGTATACTCAACCTAGACGAAGGAACATCGTCTACGCCAAAAGTGAACGTACCTGAAAGCCCACGCAAAAATAAAATATCTCTTTTGGAGAATTTGCACAAGAGGCAAGAGGTCCACTATTCACCTGGTCCGCTGTCCAAGAAAACAGTCTTGCCAGTCAGCGGTACAAGCGAGTGGACGACAGAAGTGAAAACTTTACCGAATGTGTTTGTTGAAGTGGTACCGAAACTTGGTCAACCTCTACCTGCAGAATTGATGGGCAGGATTGATTTCGATGTCAATATAGGAGAAGACCACGTCGAGTTTGCTTTGACGGCTCTGAAGACCAAAAATCCACCTTTGGAACCGGCTAGAAAGTTCGTACTGCCTGTTAAGTATAAAAAGAACCAACAGCAGATTATAGTGAGGAAAAAAATACCACCTCCAGAACCTATCGAGATTAGATCTATCGAGGATAAAGTAGACAAGGATGTTTCTCATGGTGATGATAGTGCTATAGTAGCTAAAGTGATTGATGATATGATAAGATACGTAGAAATAAAGGAGTTAGGGCCATCATTGATAAAGGAAGATGATTACGGCTTTACTGATGAATTTAAACTTGAGAAGAATAAAGAACCAAGCGTGGATGGACACTTGAGCATACTGAAAAGATCGCAAAGGAAGAGATCTCATTTGGATTGTGAACTACTGAGATTGAGCTGCAAAATAGTTAGTGTTGAGGTAAGCAAGATCGTAAAATTTTCGAGATATATTAGAAAATATGGAATTGGTAATTTAATGGGAAAACATATTCCGTCAGATGATGCCTAATCCAATTTGAATTCGTGCCCATGGAACCGTAGGAATTTTTCTCAGTGGGGGGATCGTCGGCAAGAGATGACATTTGTGAAAGTGTACCTGCCACCAAAACTCTTAAGGGCAGGGGGTAGCAAAATTTTCCCAGGGGTAGGGATTATAAAAATCTTCAAAATTGTAAATATGCAAATTTTATGGTCCAATTGGATTTCGTTCCCGAAATGTGAGATTCTCAAAAGATGAGTGTTGCTCACTAGTCATTCGCTACACCTTCCAACACGGTAATGGTTGCAGCGTTCCGCCACGTGGGTACCGCCAAGTTTTCATACAAAGGTATTTAGTCGTCTTGGTTTCAGCGTTGCTAATATACAATCTACTTACGTATACGCGTAATCTGGCAAGTAGGAATCTAATATTGGTTTCAGTAACTGGGATTAGCCTTGCACAGTTGTCAGTAGCATCCCGTACCTCCTGCGCTATCTGACATAAAGTCCCTCGGCCGCAGCAAATCAGTTGGTGGAATACCAGCCACCACCAACATCGGTCGACACCGTTCTGTAAGAAAGAATTCGTATGAACTACGAGGTCTGTAAATTGAGTGATGATATTGATTTTTTAATTGTTTTTTATTCCAATATAATTACAATTTTTTATTTTGAAGCCCCACCGTGCTGGAGACGGTTCTTCCACTCCTCATACCAGTGCTGGAACCCCGATACTGGAATAGCCTTCAGCTGGTCGATTACAGCCGTTTGAATGTTTTCGACTGTCCCAAAATGAGTTCCCTTGAGATGATTTTTCACAGGGACTCAATTCAGGCGAATAAGGAGGTTGAGGAGCCACAGAAATGTTTTTACTGGCCAAAAACTCGTTTATTGACAGCTGCGGATTCTGTCGATATTTTCATCGTTTCTTGAAGATCGAGGCCTTCCGCTTCGTAGTTCATCTCCAAACGATCGGGATCGTGCAATACTAGCCATTTACTATCAACGAGTGATCGAGTTTTTCCAAGAATGGAGAACTGGTTTATTTAGCTCATCATAAGAATCGTTTGAACTATTTCGTTCGTGTCTAAGATTAAATACTAAACTTTGGCATAGGATTGGGCATCTTCTTGAAGAATACCTTAACGAATGGATTTATCGACCAAAAAGTATTTGTATCTCTTGACTTGTCAATACAGGTGGAGAATGAAGATGTGGAGAAACCTTGCGACAAACCGTTTTGCCGTTTAGGCTGCGTGTGCAAGAGCTTAAATTGCGAGAACACGATGATCTTCCATTGCCAAAAGGAAAAGTGCATATTCACTTGCACGTGTCCTAAGGAACGAGCGACAGCCGCGCGTGAACATAGGGTCACTCTGCCTGCCGGCACGAATGTTCTTTCGGTCGACACGGTCCACAGGATCGAAGATGAGGCCAAGAAACATCTAGCTAGGTATGAAAGTCAACAACCGTAAACCCAAAATACAACCTTCAGCATTTTGCCAGGTATTTTCAACAGGTATAAGGGAAATCCATGAATTCTGGAAACAGGAGCGTAAACTGTCTAAGGCAAGTCGCGTATTCGTATGAAGCTAATACTGTCGGGAAGCAGGGCGTGTGTTTACACATGTACGTGAAAAATTTGTATGTATGCTGAGAGAACAGTTATCAAGTGCATTAGGGTGCCTATGAGAGCAAACAAATTTTTGTTACAATTGAGATACGCGTACCCTCTATTTTTTTCCATTTGTCTCTAACATCTCAAAAATAAGTATTATTGCGATCGGGGAACGATTGCCGTCTGTCAAATTTTGAATTTGAAAGTTAATAGGGAAACCATGTAAGGATATGACAATATGAAGTCCAAGGTTTGGGTGCCATCTAAAGGTCAAATGTGTGCCGCCCTATAATTCTCACAGAATTATTATGAAAATAATTATGAGCTAATTTTCACGAGTGATCTTGGATTTGACCTTGATCCTCACCTTCAGTCATTTTCAAGATCAACTTTATTTTTTAAATGAGAATCCCTATTTTTGATGCTGGCAATCGAAAGGGCCGAGGATTTTACGTACGTTGGTGACAATTGAAGGTCAAATGGAGGTCATTTATGTGCTGCTGGGGAAACCACTATGAGTTTTACAGGATTAGCGATGAAAATAACTATCAAGTTCAGTTCTTAAGCAAATTTTGATGAGTGATCTTGGATTTGACCTTGATCCTCACCTCCAAAGTCATTTCAAGGTCAATTCAATTTTTTCAATGAGAATCCTTATTTTTGATGCTGGCAATCGAAAGAGGAGAATTTTACGTACGCTATTGACTATTTAAGGTCAAAGGGAGGTCATATATGAGCTGCTGGGGAAACCACTATGAATTTTACAGGATTAGTGATGAAAATAACTATCAAGGTCTGTTCTTAAGCAAATTTTGATGAGTGATCTTGGATTTGACCTTGGTCCTCACCTTCAAAGGTCAATTTAATTTTTTAAATGAAAATCCCTATTTTTGATGCTAGCAATCGAAAGAGCGGAGAATTTTACGTACGCTGGTGACTATTAAAGGTCAAATGAAAGTCAAATATGTGCTGCTAGGGAAACCACTATGAGTTTTACAGGATTAGTGATGAAAATAACTATCAAGGTCAGTTCTTAAGCAAATTTTGATGATTGATCTTGGATTTGACCTTGATCCTCACCTCCAAAGTCATTTCAAGGTCAATTCAATTTTTTCAATGAGAATCCTTATTTTTGATGCTGGCAATCGAAAGAGAGGAGAATTTTACGTACGCTATTGACTATTTAAGGTCAAATGGAGGTCATATATGTGCTGCTGGAGAAACCACTATGAATTTTACAGGATTAGTGATGAAAATAACTATCAAGGTCTGTTCTTGAGCAAATTTTGATGAGCGATCTTGGATTTGACCTTGGTCCTCACCTTCGAAGACATTTCAAGGTCAATTTAATTTTTTAAATGAAAATCCCTATTTTTGATGGTAGCAATCGAAAGAGCGGAGAATTTTACGTACGCTGGTGACTATTAAAGGTCAAATGAAAGTCAAATATGTGCTGCTAGGGAAACCACTATGAATTTTACAAGATTAGTGATGAAAATAACTATCAAGATGAGTTCCTTAGCAAATTTTGATGAGAGATCTTGGATTTGACCTTGATCCTCACCCCCAAAGTCATTTCAAGGTCAATTTAATTTTTTAAATGAGAATCCTTATTTTTGATGCTGGCAATCGAAAGAGAGGAGAATTTTACGTACGCTATTGACTATTTAAGATCAAATGGAGGTCATATATGTGCTGCTGGGGAAACCACTATTAATTTTACAGGATTAGTGATGAAAATAACTATCAAGGTCTGTTCTTTAGCAAATTTTGACGAGCGATCTTGGATTTGACCTTGATCCTCACCGTCAATCATTTCAAGGTCAACTTTATTTTTTAAAAAAGAATCCCTTTTTTTGATGCTGGCAATCGAAATAGCCGAGAATTTTACGTACGTTGGTGACTATTAAAGGTCAAATGGAAGGCCAGTTTCTTAGCAAATGTTGATGAGTGGTCTTGGATTTGACCTTGAACCTCGCCTTCAAGGTCATTTTAAGGTATTTTTTTTAATTGAAACCCGCAGGAACTCGTTAAAACATAATTTTTTTCAATGGAAACGCCTATTTCTGATGCCGGCAATCGAAAGAATACATTAGAATATATGTATTAAAATTGAAGATCAATATGACCGCTGGATGGTTTAAATAAAGATAAAATATGTGCTGAAATCTCGCAGAGATCGTGACGAAAATAACGGGTAAGGTTAGGTCTTTAGTAAATTTTCACAAGTAGCGGGATCTTGAATTTGACCTTGAATTCCACCTTCAAGGTCATTTCAAGATCAACTCGATTTTTCCACATAGAAACGCTTATTTGATGCCGATAATCCAGAGAGCCGGAAGTATGTATTAGAATTCAACAATAGAGGTCACATAAAGGCCAAATGTGTTCTGCTAGGAAAATTTCTAGAAATGTTACACGAATAGTGACGAAAATAACTGGCAAGATTAAATATTTTGGTAAGTTTTATCGAGGGCACCTTCGGTGCTCTTTACAAATGACTTTTAACAGATACTGTACCTGCGGGTTTTTATGTGAAAAAAAAAACCTTGAAATGACCTTGAAGGTAAAGTTCACGGTCAAATCCAAGATCACTCGTCAAAATTTACTACAGACTTAACCTGGATAGTTATTTTCATCATTAATCCTTGGCCTCTGATTGCGTTTGAACGTAAATTTTCAGATTTTTCGATTGCTGGTATCAAAAATACGGATTTCTATATGAAAAAATAAAGTTGATCTTATATTAACCTTGAAGGTGAATGTCAAGGTCAAATTTAAAGTCACCGTTGAAAGTTACTCAAGGCCTGACATTACGATTTGGTAATATACGTATACAAAAACAATCATAACTCCACGTTGATTAAGGATCTAAATAATTTTTACACTAGGCAAAGACATGATCTATTTATAACAAATCGCCTAGTGTTTTGGGTCCAAAAATGTATAATAAATTACCCAATGAAGTAAAATTGCATACCTCATTAGAAAATTTCAAAACATGCTTAAAGAGTTTCTTGTTGAATAAGTGTCTGAATTTGTTGATATCTAAATATGTTATATTCCTTGTTTCTGCCTGACGAATCCGATGCATATTCTTATGTCTTCTGGATAATAAAGAATTGGATTTAATTCATCGTCGACATTTTTGGCTTCACCCCCACTCCATGAGTATAATCTCCAGTCCTCGTGAGGGTTTGTTCATTATGCTTTCACCGTGCCTGATTATATGGTTTTTCAAAGTAAAATGAAAAGGAAACATTATTTTCATACTCTCTCAGAAGATGTAAATCTCAGATATGACGAAAAACTGGAGATCTACCAGTACCAAGGTCAATGTAAATGGCAACAATGGCTCGCTGTTCAACCACTGTCGCCATTTGAATTCGCTGTAATGATTAAGTAAAATTGTTAACAATCTGTATGGTATTACGTTTAGGGTGGAACGCGAGTTTACGCAGACTATCATACAGACGAACAACCGGACGATTGTGGTGGGGGCCACCGACAGATCCAAGACCAGAAGGATTGCCCAGGTGCCCAAGAAATATAACGATTACGTCGAGCATACGGACATGGTTGTGGAGGATAATGTTCGCATACCTGAACAGGTACAATTTCAGAATGATCAACAATAACAACTTAGTCTGAGCATTCCATTCCGTACTTTGCAATTAGAAGGTTCCTTTGGATATATCGAAATTTAGAGGGGGGATAGGTTAAACGTACAGGCCACGTCATCCAGTTTGAACGAGGGTTGTTAGCTGTTTAAAGCGAGGAAAGAAAAAATAGATATATAAACATATTAGTTGAGGCCCATAAGTCCTTTGAGCTGGAAAAAAAAGAATAAAACCAAACTAGTTACATTATGAAGAATTATTATATTTTGTTATCATCTTTATTGAATGGGAATTATGTTTTAAAAATCACATCGTCTAAATGCAATCCATTACGATCACGGCACTCATATAAACGACGTCTAAAATTGTCGATGACTGCGCGGCAAGTCAACACTGTAATGCTTGCCATTTCTCTTCGGATATTTTCTTTCAGGACATCAACTGATGATTTACTTTGCTGGGAAAAAGTTGACAGACGACGGGCATAGAAGTGTTGGAGGTGTGGGCAGTTGCTCCGTCCTGTTGAAACCAGGTCTGCGTATTATAGCCTGGAAAATTCTGCAACGCTGGTGTCAAAAACTCTTCTATCATTGCTACATACCGCTCCGAAGTAACAGTTAATGCGCGACCTCTGTCGTCCTCAAAAAATAAGGGCCTACGATGCCATGCGCTGACATAGCAGCCCAAACTGTAACTTTAGGGCTGTGTAAGGGCTTCTGATGCTTACGGCTTGGATTTTCGGGGCTCCAATAACGGCAATTTTGTTTATTTACATGCCCGTTTAAATGGAAGTGAGCTTCGTCCGAGAACAACACATTATTGAGCGAAGAAAATCGATTCAACATTCCATTCGCAAAGTTTAGTCTCTGAATAGCGTCATTATCTTTTAATTCCTGCACTAACTGAATTTTGTAAGCGTGCAGACGTAAATCTTTCCTTAAAATCAGCTGTAAAGATGTTCTGGGTAGGATTTTGACGAACAGACTGTGCCACAATGTTGATGTTTTCTTCAATACGAGTTGTCCTTGGTCGACCCCACCGCTGTTTATCTAACGTCGAACCAGTCTCTTCGAACTTAGCAACCCAGTTCTTAATCGCTTGAGCTGTTGGACACTTTGTAAAATTGTGGTATTCTCGATATTTACGCCGCGCAATGGTTGCCGAATCATTATTTTGATAAAACGCGCGCACACAAAAAGCACGATCCGCTCCAGTGAAACACTCCATGGCGACTGAATTCCCAGACACTGAAGATACTGCCCCCACCTCGCCCGCGCCGCTCACGCTCACCCGTTAAATTTTATTCAAATTTGAAATTTCAAAGGACTTATGGACCACCCGGTATAATAGAATTATGAGTTTTAGGTCACAGGAAAAAATAAATGCTAAATATAGACAATGTTTCAAATATATTTATTGTCCCGATTTTTTAATTTTAGTCTTGCTGGTTTTGTGCGGTACGGGTACAGATCTAGCTTAGAAGTATTTGTAACTTCTGTTTATAAGTTTAAATGAAGTGTTAAGAACATTACAATGTAATTCTTTTATATCTGTAACGTTGATTAAATAAATAATTAATTATTATGCCAGAAGTTGCCCAGAAAAATTTGACAGGATTGCCAGACGTATTTTTTGGGCTACTTTTTGCGTTCTTGATTAACAAAAAATTGCTCAAAAAGCAACACGTTCATGGTGCACGCCCACTGAGTAGAAGGAATGCGAAGCAATGGCAAATTTCGCCTGGGTTTTCTTCGCGTCGCTTCGCCTCAGTGGGCGTGTAGCTTTATTCTACACATTTCTTCCAATTACCAGGTGGAGTTCACAAAGCAATGCGTGGTGATCATGACAAAACTGAACCTGGACGGTATCACTCCATTCTGTCTCCGTCACAATCTATATGACTGCTTTTGCGGAGGCAAGAGCGAGTACCTGCCTAAGGTCCATCTTCAGAAGCCGTTAACTGCCTCTGTTGCTACCAATATCGCAACCAAAACTCCAAAACATGCAGTCAAAAAGAGCATCCCTCAGAAAGGCAGACCGAAGAAGATCGTCGACGAGAATACTCATAATGATCCTATGTCAAGGAAACGCTCTTACAGTTCGGCAGGTCTTGGAAGCAGTCCTAAGTCAGGTCAGTAGTAAATGAAGATGGGCAAAAATACAGGAGAAACAAAATTTGCCCGACGGCTGGTCCAAAATGTGTACGAGAGAGAAGTGTGTATCACACACGGTAGAAAGAGATAGAAGCCGGCTGAAGCGCGAAGGTCAACACCACATTGCCAAGCAACGGTGACGCAGATGCTCGTGCAATCTGCCGAGTCGCCAATATATTACACCAGAAAATGGTCGCAAAACCATTTCGAAGCAGAACGCCCAACTAGCAAAGTAGTGGTATAAGTTTTTGGTAAAAGAACCGTTCAGCCATAAAAGCTCTCTATTGTTGTTGCTTGAACACCAAAATGCTGGCCTAATGTTGTGTGGAATGCAAATTTTCTTTCTGCAACATATTTGCTCTAAAATGAGGTGTTTAAAATATTCTTATAGCATAGTCATACAACACCTTATAGGGCAAATTTTTAACTGTTGCATAAACGTTTAAACAACTATTTTATACGGCATATTTGCAAGTTAGTTAAAATGTTTGTGTTGTGGCATCCATGGTAACGTTTATAAAACAAACCCGAGCCTTGTTGTTTTGCAGTGCAATTTACTACCTTAGCCAACAAATTGCTCCCAACGGAAGCACTTATACACTTAAGACAACACATGCATATTGGTTCAAAAGGTTTTATCAACTGTTCAAACAGAAGATATAGAGCTGGTACAAATTCTGGGTAAATCTGTCGGTATTTCATTTCAGACATTTGTCAAATTGTTGTACAACACCTGCAGGCAACACCAAAATATTCTAATAACCTAAAGACAACATGGACGATGCCATGATTGTACATAACCACCCGCCATATTGGGCAAACATTTATTCCTCTATTTAATATTAAATAATTATGTTTCAGTTCAAAATTACAGATATAAAGTGATAAACATTAGTGTAATTGTGTCTAAATATAGGATTTGTGGAAGATTTAACGCAGATAAGTTAAGCTTTCCATCTAAAAATCTAGACATACTTTTGATCATTGTCAAAATATGAATCAAATACGAAGCCCGTAGAAATTGGGTAACTAATTTGCACGATAATCACAATAAAATTTGCTGCGCAAGTAATTCAATAACCCTATATCAAAGTGTAGAAATTTATCATATACCTGTGTATGAAATTCACAATGGCCGATATGTAAGTAAACAATATGACTGTAATGCGTTAGTTATATATTCTTCACTTCGTCTATACAATACGTAACAGAATAGTTGTATAGTTGACAAAAACTGAATCTTCCACTGACGCAAATGTCCTATAGCGGCTGCAAGAGGCTTACACTTTTGTTTTATAACTATTACCTGCAGCCCTTATACAACCTCTTAAATGACTGAAGTGTCCTATTAGGGGTGCCCATTCCGCTTGTATAGCTGTTCTAAGAGCGTTTTTCCAATGTTCTTACAGTATACAATGCTGTTTAAGGAATACTGTTTAATCATTCTTGCAACTCTAATAGGAGTGATAATTGTTAGTTGGGCGATACTCCCCAATGAGAGCTAGATGGGTACTGACCAAAATCGTTCATCTATGGAGGTGGAAACCTGGCCTTGGAATGTACGTCCTAAAATCGAGCGGCGTTAGGACTGATCCGGAATCTATCCTAAACAGATTCAAACAATTAACAATTCAAAATGTGTAAACATCATTTGAGCAAAGAGAATAAACTAACACATATTTTCAACATGCATCTTAATTCAAGGAACTAGTGTAACATATTGGCAACGCGACAGATTGCCGGGTCAGCGATGCTAGGCAACGCGGCGATGAGCTTTGCTTTCCAGGTGGCTTCTGTCTCTTTCTAAGATATGTGTATGCGCACTTCTCTCTCGTACATATTGAACTAAAGCCGTCGGACAAATTTGGTTCTCATCGTATAAGGTTTCTGGTACCCGAACTAGCAATCAAATTTCAAAGTTGCGGCATTTATTTTAACAGCTTGTAGAACTCGTCAAGAGAAGTTGATATACCAAAAATCACCTATATAAAAGTTGCATCATAAGAGGGTCATATTGCATTATTAAAAATTATTTGAAAAAATCATCATCAAGTTAAATGGATACCGTTTTTTACAAAAACCGTTCAAAATTGTCCCCATTTGTTCAAAGTTTGTCAAATTTAGATGAACGATAGGAGTAGTGAACAAAAAACGCTAAAATTCTACACGGCAGTTGTCGGAAACATCAAAAAATCTGGGTAATAACATTCCTATTTTTTCAAATCTTTAATCTCTCACTATTTCTATTATGCAACTTTTATATAGGTGATTTTTGGTATATCAACTCCTTTTGACGAGTCCTACAAATAATTAAAATAAATGACTCATTCGAAATCGCCAGGATCGATGGCATCTAGCGGTCAAGGTGATGACTCGGATATCAACGCGAACTGAGATAACTTTACAGTTCTAACAGATGGTTGCGGTGGTCGGTTGTGCAGATTGAATCTACAGTGCAACTCGCTTATAATGGACTCAGCGGGACTGTGAAAAATAGTCTATTACAGCCGGACGACCATCTTAAAAGAAACACTTTTTTAATGAAAAAAGCAGCAGAAGTAACATATTAAAAGCTTAACATGTGTATGTTTAACATGTATTACATAAAGAAAGATACATACAAAAAAGTTATATATAATTTTGAAATTTGCATTTTTTCAGAATCTGACACATATTACAGGCATACGTACTGTGTAGGTTTTTGTATAATTATTTAGAACAGCAAGTTGAATTTTATTTAATTTGGTGAGTGTGGCTGTACTGTCTTCTTCTCGCTGAAAATAAAGTTGCAACTTTTCACGCAGTCTGCCTCCTTAGTTGTCACTGGAAGCTCTTCTTCATCGTTGTTTTCTAGTTCGTCTTCCTGTTCGTTATCAACGGATCCTTCATTAACCAAATTGGAGTCTGACGATTCCTGTGTTGCTATTAAATTATTGTTAACATTTACATACTCATTGGTCTATATTCAAAACTATTAATTATCACTTAATGGAATTTCATCTTCTGGATTAAAATCGTTGACTATTTCAGTTATGTTTTTTACTAAACCAGCATGGCGAAAACTATTACGAATTGTTTGTGGAATAACAAATAGTGAGCAAATTTATAGCATCTAAAATGGAGACAGCTTTGGTAATGTTGACATCTTGAAGCTCCATAACTTTCATCAACATATGTTTCCGATACATTTGTTTAAGACTACAAGTGACACCCAGGTCCATTGGTTGCAGAACTGATGTCACATTGGGTGGAAAATATTGAAGGTTGATGTTATTAAGTGAAATATTTTAATGAGCGGGGCAGTTATTGACCAAGAGCAAAATTTTACGATTTTTCTCAACAAGTTCAGTGTCCCACTTTTTTAAATATTCTTCAAAAATTGATGAAGTCGTCCAAGCTTTATTATTTCCAACATAATCGACGGGAATTGTTTTAACATTTTTGAAAAACCTGGGATTCTTAAATTTCCCTGGAATAAAAAAATGTCATAAATTCTTTGCAGCACTGCCATTGAATATAAAAAAAGTTAGAACATGAATTTCTATTCACTCACTTACCTATTATCAATAGTTTCCATTTTTCAGTACCAGATGCATTAGCACAAATCATAACAGTTATTCGCTCTTTGGATGGTTTCCCTCCATTGCAAGTTTCACTTTTTAATTTATGAGTTTTATCTGGTAACATTCTATAAAATATCCCGGTTTCATCTGCATTGAATATGTTATCATCTGAATATTACGGGCCAAACTTGAGAAATCCAGTCATTGGTAACGTTCTTGTCAACTGAAGCTGAGTCACCACACATTTTTCCAAAAACAAGGTTATGTCTTTTCTTAAACCTGTCTAGTCAACCGGAACTACATTTGAAGTAATCACCAATCAATTTTCCAAATTCTTCAGCCTTTATCTGTAGCATAGGTCCACTTATTGGAAAATTATTAGCACGCTTTTGTTGAAACCATTTAAACAGCATATATCATCGACTTGGGGATGCAGCGATAGCCGCATTTTTTCTTTTGACTATTTGATATCCAGTCATTTTTAATTTTGTCACGGTTTTTCCAAATATTTTACACAGTAGATTTTTTATAGCCATACGAGCACATATATTTGGTTGAGATAAACCCTTCTTAAGCTCACTAATTATTGTGAACTTTTCGTGTAAAGTGAATGCACGTTTCGCACTTTTAGACATGTTTATAACTCTAATAAATATAGTATAGCACTGGTGGCCAAGTTCGAATGCAAACTGCATATAATGGATTAAAATAGTTCGCTATAAGCGAGGGTCTATTTTAAGCGAGTCTATAATATCCGAGGATTTTACATGCAAGTATTTATAGGACCTTAAATTGTGTCCATTATACAGGGTGTCCCAGAAGTCGACGTCAAGCCGACACCGGGTGATAGGCAAAGCTATCAGAAAAATATTTAAAAAAAATTTATGTATGTGTTTTGAAAATTATAGGTCTTTGAAAAAAATATAGAAATTTCACACCCTACGGCAGTCTGTCAACTCCTGTTACTACAAATATTAACTTTTTTTGGATTTTATTTTTACAATGTAATGATGAATAATGCATCTTCAAACTGGTGTCTCAGCCTTACTGCCAACTTTTCTCGTTCAGGAAAAATTTCCACTCATTTCCCAACCAAGTATTCCACAGTAAAACTTTGGTCAACTTTAACTGGCTGTACTGGAAAAAATTTACTACGAGAGTTTGGCAAGTAACCTTAAAAGTTGGCGCATTTAATAAGGATTCCAAAATGGTATAACACTTAGAAGATTACTCGTTAACTTATGCACAATTTTTATTTGAAGAAAAACTGATGAAAATTTTTCAAAATTTCCTAATTAAACAGCGATTATGAAAACGCACAAGGACCCTTAAGGATAACTGTTTGCACAACAGTGGACGTCAAAATGCTGCTGATGATGAGTTACCTTTACAGCAAATGTTCAAACTGTTTTCCTTCAGCCGCAATACACGCTCGACATCTTCTTAAAAAAGATCGGGTTATTAAACGAGCGAATCCACGGTTATTAACAAACTCAGCTGCTTCCAATAGTCTTTGCCGTAGCTCAGCTACATTTTGAATCGGCTTGAAATACACTTTTTCTTTTACAGTTCCCCAGTAAAAAAAATCTAACGGATTCAAATCTGGTGACCGGGCTGGCCACGGTATTGTACCAGACCGCCCTATCCATCTGCCTGGAAAGTTTTGATCGAGATACTCTCTCACTGAGAGTGCATAGTGCGCTGGGCAGCCATCATGCTGAAACCACATGTCCCTGTAAATACTCACTGGCACGTCCTCCAATAAATTTTCTAAATGATTTTCCAAAAAACCTAAATAAACCTCAGCAGTCAAAGTCTCTGGGAACTCAAACGGACCGATTATTTTACCATTTAAAATTCCTGTCCAATGGTTTATCTTGAAGCGATATTGAGATTTATCTTCTCTCATCAAATGTGGGTTTGCTACGTGCCACTCGTGTAAGTTATGCAGGTTCATGTACCCATCTTTCTTAAATGTGGTCTCATCTGACCATACAATTTTTTCAAAGAACCGTGGATCTTCCCTGTGTCTTTCTAACATTGTGCGACAAAAAGCAACTCGGGGCTCATAATCCCGGGGCAGAAGAGCTTGAACACGCTGTACGTGGTATGGATGGAGCACGTTTTTTTGCAAGATTCTATGGGCTGTACTTTTGGGCACACCTGTTTTTAGTTCTATTGCACGCACTGAAGTACTCGGGTCTTCTTCGACAGCTCCTAGCACCACGTTTTCGTAAGGAAGAAAAGATCTTCCCTCACCGTGTGATTGGTTTGGTAGTTGGCCCTCTGAGAACAGTAAGCGGTGCACATTTGTGAACACTCGATGATCTGGATGACGAGCTGCATTTGGGTTCCTCTCACAGTAAAGTCTCGCTGCAGCACTAGCGTTGAATCTGCATTCCCCATAAATGAGGTGCATGTTAGCATATTCTTGTACGGTGTACACGGACATAGCGGCACTGCACAATCACACTATCAAAGATAGTCTAAGGAAAGCAAATGTTGTTTTGAAGAGCAATTAAACAGTCCAAATCCAAATCACAAGCGATCAACAATCCAGTTCACGAATCCAAAATTAGTAACAGTACGAAATCAACAAGCACGAACATGTAAAGATGCGTAGTAAACGAAGGAGTACTGATCGGTATCAAAGTGTGCAATAGCAAGTAAGTGATGTTCAACCTCTCCTGCCCCGGGATTATGAGCCCCGAGTTGCTTTTTGTCGCACAATGTTAGAAAGACACAGGAAAGATCCACAGTTCTTTGAAAAAAAATTATGGTCGGATGAGAACACATTTAAGAAAGATGGGTACATGGACCTGCATAACTTACACGAGTGGCACGTAGCAAACCCACATTTGATGAGAGAAGATAAATCTCAATATCGCTTCAAGATAAACCATTGGACAGGAATTTTAAATGGTAAAATAATCGGTCCGTTTGAGTTCCCAGAGACTTTGACTGCTGAAGTTTATTTGGATTTTTTGAAAAATCATGTACAAAATTTATTGGTGGACGTGCCACTGAGTATTTACAGGGACATGTGGTTTCAGCAAGATGGTTGCCCAGCGCACTATGCACTCGCAGTGAGAGAGTATCTCGATCAAAACTTTCCAGGCAGATGGATAAGGCGGTCGGTATAATACCGTGGCCAGCCCGATCACCTGATTTGAATCCTTTAGATTTGTTTACTGGGGAACTGTAAAAGAAAAAGTGTATTTCAAGTCGATTCAAAATGTAGCTGAGCTACGGCAAAGACTATTGGAAGCAGCTGAGTTTGTTAATAACCGTGGATTCGCTCGTTTAATAACCCGATCTTTTTTAAGAAGATGTCGAGCGTGTATTGCGGCTGAAGGAAAACAGTTGCTGTAAAGGTAAATCATCATCAGCAGCATTTTGACGCCCACTGTTGTGCAAACAGTTATCCTTAAGGGTCCTTGTGCGTTTTCATCATCGCTGTTTAATTAGGAAATTTTGAAAAATTTTCATCAGTTTTTTTTCAAATAAAAATTGTGCATAAGTTAACGAGTAATCTTCTAAGTGTTATACCATTAAGGAATCGTTATTAAATGCGCCAACTTTTAAGGTTACTTGTTAAACTCTCGTAGTACATTTTTTTCCAGTACAGCCAGTTAAAGTTGAGCAAAGTTTTACTTTGGAATACTTGGTTGGGAAATAAGTGGCAATTTTTCCTGAACGAGAAAAGTTGGCAGTAAGGTTGAGACACCAGTTTGAAGATGCATTATTCATCATTACATTGTAAAAATAAAATCCAAAAAAGTTAATATTTGTTGTAACAGGAGTTGACAGACTGCCGTAGGGTGTGAAATTTCTATATCTTTTTCAAAGACCTATAATTTTCAAAACACATACATAAAATTTTTTTAAATATTTTTCTGATAGCTGTTATGACTTTGCCTATCACCCGGTTTCGGCTTGACGTCAACTTCTGGGACACCCTGTATACGGGTTTCCATTACAAGCAAGTTCATTACAGGGTGACTTCGAAGTTGAGTCATTTATTTTAACAGTGAGTAGATCTGATCAAAAGAAATGTTTTTTTCCTTTACTATTTTTCTGGTAAAATTAAAGTAACAAAGTTATAGCCCTTTGGAAGTTTGAGTACCGCCCTGTCTCAATAATAATATCATGTACTCGTGTTTGGCAACAACGGATATAATCCGCCTTACCGGTTCATCGCATCGGAAACAAAAAAGCGAAAGAATTTGGAACGATGTTTTTGCAATTAAGTATCTTATTCAGTTCAGTTATACATACAGTCAGTGTCTATCGGTTAGCGTGTGAATAGTGTCTGTTGCGTGGCTCAAACGAAATAAAAAATGGCACATGTTTATGCGGATCGGTTTCCCAATCGAGTGCAGCCAACCCCTCGTGCCTTTGTTAATGTAGTACAACGGGCTCGTGAATCAGGTGACTTAAGACCTCACAGGGGACCTCACGATCAAATACAGGTCCGCACTGAAATACTTGTCGGGAGGATACTTTATAAAACAAGGTAAACATTTTTTTTTAATTTTTTTTTATTTTTACACACATATTCTGGTTTATATTCCTTCTACAATCATTATCTGAAAATTAATGACTCAACTTCAAAGTCACCCTGTATAAGTGGATTCAACTGTATTTGTATTTTTTATTATTCATAGCCTATTTGGATGCAGGTCCAGGCAAGCAACAACACGGTATCAAAGATACAACCATCGGCTGCGGCGATGAAGGAAACGCCTCAAATTCGAGCCTGGATGCAAGTCTTGAGTCGCCGACGTCGAGGAACAAAAAAGTGAAATTGAGCGAACATTTCGAATATTCGGAACCTATCCAGAAAGACATTTGCGGCAGCGCGAGAACAATGGGGGTGTTCGCCCCGAATATTAGATATAAGAAGTTCAGTACAGCGGCTTTGAAGAATGATTTTGTTTACAATTACAGCCAGGCCGATCTGCTCAAGATCAAGATGAATCATATGCAGAAAAAGAAGTATGTGTTATTTTTAATAAAACAAGTTAAACAAGAAATACAGCACAATATTAATTTGTCTATACAGTTTTGTCCATTATTGTATATATTTCCGATTTCAGACACTTGGAGGTGGACATTTTGAAGCAGACCTTACTCTCAGAGTACTTGGCTTCGCAGAATGTTTCAAAGAACAAATCTGGCATTGTACCAGTGGAAACGCCCTTTTCTTCAAGCCGTGTTAGTAAAAGGAAGCAAACTCTGGAAGTGAGGAAGGATGTTGGACAGTCGCCCAAAACTGATGACGTCACCACTATTGCTGATGTCGCCACTTCTGCTGACAATCAGAAGAAAAAGGTTACGACGGAACCTGTTCCTATTTTTGATGGTAATGTCAAATATTGCAAAATTTCCTTATTAGTTCGGTTAAATTAGACGACAAATGGTGCAAAGTCGAAAAAACGTCTGCATTTTAGAATCGGCGAGTTATTACTTGAATTCATTGCTATTTTAATGTTAGGGTCAAAATTAAGAATTTTCAGGTATTCGCGAAGAATCTACTGCGGAATTTCAAAATGAATTCTAATATTAGAGAGAGCAGGAACTATGCAAATACATAAAATATTGATACTTTTTTAAGTAAAAATTTCTATTTTTGTTCAATGTGGCTGTAAACGAATAAAACTTGATTCATTCAGGTAATTTGGGTCACCGAATCCGAATATGACTATCACAGATCTGAAGTGCCGTAAAACTGAATTAAATGTAGAAAATAAGTCGTTTAGAAGGTCCCCAAAAGAAGATCTTCCCGATAACAAATACGCAAGGATTTTTGGAAATTTCATATTATACTAAGTGACATATAAATCCGAACACCCAGTTTAAATGGTTTTATTTTAATAAAATTTTGTATAAGTACTTAATGAAGCATAATAAGTAAATGATAAATTTATGGTTACATAAAAGGAACGTAACCAGTAACACATCCTTACAGAATTAAAATTAACTACGATAGAATTGCATCTTAAACACAATCCCAAGAAGTATCATAAACTAATCCAAGTTGGATTTACTGATCCGCGGGGAGGCGAGAATAGTCGCATATCGACTGTGGAGTGAGGACAGCTGGGCCTTTTTTTAATCTTGTCAAGGGTCACACCGTCATCTTAATCTAATTGCAAAGCGAGGATCCCGCCCTTTTGGGCAGGGGTTACGTTCCTCATAGTGGTCTCTAATTTCGTTACTCATTCATTCAAGGCTAAAAGTTTGCAGTTCCGTCGAAGACTTTGGATGACTTCTGTATGAGAAAAAGGATCATAGCAAAAATCAATTTACTCTCCGTCAGCGCGCGAAGTTTAAATTCGTGCGCTGTTATTGGCCGACGCTTGGGCTGGTAACGGCAAGCAAATAGAAGCGGTCACCGAATCCTCCTGTTTGTTTTGACGCAGAATAAATAAAAATCAATCACATAATAGTACTTTTAGGGCCTAATCGAAAAGTTCTGGTCCTTCTTATATACTAAGTGACATATAAATCCGAACACCCAGTTTAAATGGTTTTATGTTAATAAAATTTTGTATAAGTACTTAATGAAGCATAATAAGTAAATGATAAAAATTTCAAAATGATTGCACTGCTTTAAAGCCCTTTGACCTTTAATAATGTGTGGATGCACCCTGATGTGCTACGCATTCTCCAACGCGCCTAGGCATGCTTCTGATTAGGTGGTCAATGTCCTCCTGTGGTATCTCATTCCAGGCAACCATCAACTCCTCTCGAAGTGCTTCTAGAGTCTGAGGAGGACGTTGAAAATTGAGCAATCTCCTACCCATCATATTCCACACGTGCTCAATTGGGGATAAGTCGGGAGATCTTGGTGGCCATGGTAACAATGTGACATCATTATGTTGAAAGAAGTCTATTGTGACTCTTGCAACATGTGGTCGGACATTATCTTGTTGGAAAGTTGGATCTGCCAGGGTGTCAAGATAGGGTGAAAGATGGGGTTCTAGAACTTCGTGGATATAACGCTGCGCGTTCATGTTACCTCTGATGAAGATTAAAGATGACCTGGAACCATAAGCTATAGCACCCCAAACCATAACTCCAACAGTGTGATGAACATGTCTTTCAACAAAAAACTGTAGATTCCTCCTTTCACCACGTCGCCTTCTAACCCTGGCACGACCATCATGCATGCCTAAACAAAATCGAGACTCGTCACTAAAGACAATACTATTCCATTCCTGATCCCAGAGTGACCGTTGTCTGCACCACTCAAGGCGATTTCGTCGGTAAACACTTCGCATGCCAATAGGTCTTCCGTGTTCTGCAAACCATTCATTTGCAATGGACCTGGTAGTGGAGAAACGGTCCCTTAAGGCCAATAATCTTAGGCGGCGATCTTCACGGTCTGTTGTTCTACGGCGGCGTCCAGTGCCCCTTGCTCTTTGCGTACGGCCTTCTCGAAGCCATGCCTGACAACACCTAACCACAGTGTCTACACTTCTTTGCACTCTAACTGCAATTGCCCGAAAAGAAAGTCCAGCTTCCCGAAGTCCCACTATACGGCCCCTATCAAACTCACTAAGTTGACGAAATCGTACAGGTCTCCGTACTCTAGGCATCGTAACCGATCGTAAAGGATGTCAAGAACCAACATCCGCCAACGTTGATTCTTTACTGCGGCTGAAATATTCATTTTTAGAGCGTTAGTGAATTAAAAAAAAGCAGTATAAAAACCGGAATGTCCAACTGATAAGGCTGAAAATTTTTTCACTTGTTATTTACTGTAAGATAAATACATTCACCAACTTTTATTAAAATAAAACCATTTAAACTGGGTGTTCGGATTTATATGTCACTTAGTATATATCTTACAACTATTACAACAAAGATTATGGGTCTATTGACGATACGATCTAAAAGCTAGCTGAAGTGTCAACGGGGGATACGTCAAGTCATAATAATCAGAAAAATCTAACATATATAAAAAGTACACGATTTTTTTATATTTTTCTGATAACTATTGGAAACAGCATCATCTATGAGACATTAACCTGCTCAAAGTAGATTTCTAATTATTGCATTGAAGAGAAATATAGCTGTGACATATTCACATAGAGGACGCATGCTATCTCATTTGGTCGCGAATACATTTTTTAAACTGAAATACAGTATATATAAAGTATCCCATTTTCATCTCCCCAGCTAAATGTTTCTAGAAAAACAGTTTCAAACGCAATGGTGATGACCTTGACTACAGTCTACAAAGGCAAGTGAATATTTTCAACTGGAACTCCTTTTTCACATCGGAGTTGAAAATGTTACGTCTGAGCGTCACGTTGACTATGACCTTGACCATCGACTTCAAGGACATTTCAATGTCAAATCAAGAAAAACAATTTTCTCCAGCAAAAATGTTCGATAGTACAGTAGTACGGTTTTTGGGGACCACCTAAAGGTGACCTTAGCCATAACCTTAAAGATCAATTCAAGATTTATAAAGGAAACCGCTCTTTTTTGTACTAGAAATTAAAAAAGCAGGGTTTTTCATCTCCTAATGTGACCTTGGCCTCAAAGTCAAGATCGGGTTAAGCATAAATGTTATTTGAGGTCAAGGCCACATTCGGACCTAAAATTTCCAGCTTTTACCATTTCCTCTACAAAAATGAGAAGTTTCCTTTGGAAATTTTGATTTGGCCTTAAAGGTTATGGTCAAAGTCACCTTCGGGTGATCCCCACAAATCTCAAAACTGTGCTGTCGAACACTTCTGCTAAAGCAAATTGTTATTGATGTCTCAGTGTCACCTTGAAATGGCTTTGAAGACAATTGACAATGTCACGGCCATGGTAAAAATGTTCGAACGAAAGATGACTATTACGTCATACCATAAATTGTACTGAAGTAATCAATGGACGTACGTCGATGATAAAATCACAATGTCAGGAACATAATGTCAAATTTATATTATGATTTTGCGAAGTTAGGTTATTTCACTGATTATTTTCATTTTATTTCATGGTTTTGAGTGATATCTCAATAATAATTTTAGTGGGGAGTTTTTGTTTTGAAAAAAAAAACAGTAGAGTAGAATACCTTAAGACAGGAACACCAAAGACCAAAGTATTATTCGAAAACAACCTAACCTGCTTTAACATAACCTAATTATTCATATTTCAAATATGATTGATCATGCAACATGAAAACAGCGTCTATCTTTGTCGGATACATGCAAATTAGCAATACAGTTTGTTTAGACAATAAAATTCTGTTTGTCTCTGTCTAACATATCTGAAACTTGATTAAAAATATCCACAAATCGCTGTCGTTTGTCTTTACTGCTAGAGACTAAAATGATGACATAATAGTCATCTTTCGTGATTGCGACTATATTTTCAATTCCGAGGTGAAAGAGGGAGGGCTTAATTTGAAAATATTTACTTGACCTTGCAATGACCTTGACGGTCGTAGTCAAGATCATTGTCAAGGTCACCAAGATTTAGAATCCTCGAAACCCCAGAATCTATGGTTTGAAACCGTTTTTTTGTAAATGCGCAGTATTCAAAATATTTAGATGGTGAGATTAAAATGGGACACCGGGAATACGAGGTCTGTAAATTAAGTGATGAGTCTGTTTTTTTTTTAATTTTTGTTATTCAAATATAACTACAATTTCATATTGTCACCCTCAAAATAACATTGCTGTGTGACAATGAGCATTATCTTGATGCAACTTTCAGTTGTTGATCTGTTGTGGGTCAAATTTAACTCTTTTCCGATCCGGAATTTTGTCGATATTTTCATCAGTTCCTGAAGATGAAGGCTTTCCGCATCGTGGTTCAACTTCAATCGACTCTCTCCCTGCTGAAAATGCCTTAAACCACCGAAGAACCTGGGCTCTTGACGTAACACTTTCTCGGTAGGCCTGCTGAATCTTATCAAGAGTTTCCTTTGCACTGTGCCCAAGTGTGAAGCAAAACCTGATAGCACATCTTTGATCGAAGCTGATATCACTAATTTTTTTAACACAATAGAAAAAACTCGCTACGGACGATCAAATGACTCGAGCGAGTTCAAACTTGTACTGAAGGCAGACCTCATGTTCTCCTGTTACCTCTCCAAGCCCCCAGCGTCCAGTGTTGGCAGATCGAACGCTACGTTGCCAGTGTCATCGTAGCACTGCTGGAACTCCGATACTGGAATAGCCTTCAGCTGGTCGGAGAAAGCCTTTTGAATGTTTTCGATGATCTCAAAATGAGTTCTCTTGAGGTGATTTTTCAACTTCGGGAAAATAAAAAAGTCACAAGGACTCAAGTCGAATAAGTAGGCTGTGGTTCTCCCTTCTTGTACCGAAGGCGGATCGCATGTTCCCCCTTCTCCCCTTCAAGTCCGGCGCATCCAGTGTTGCCAGATCGAACACTACGTTGCCAGTCTCATTACTCAATTTGCGGACCTCATATAGTATTAGGTTGGCTATCAACTAGAATGCTTTAATCAATGTTTGGGCTGGTGTCTGTTTCGATAAGTGCGACCACAAAGAGACATCCGCATGTCGTACGATACAAATCGGTGCATAAACGGGTCTAAAGATAATGATGTTTGTTACAGGCGAGATCATAATAAACGAATCCAGTATGGAACTGCTTCGGAAAATGGGTCCTAGGACGGTCCTGGAAGGATACGCGCGCTTGTTGCCATGGCGAGCTCTCAGCGACGGCTTCAAAAACGGCGTCATCAAGATCTGGTGCATGGTGGACCAACCGTCCAGGTTACTGATCAATAAAGCAGACAAGAAAGCGCCCAGGAATTACATTGATATCAGGAATACGAAACAACCGACAGAGGTATTGTTGCTACGAGCTCTACCCCATTCGTAGTCTATTTACGCCCAGGCAAAACACAACATGCCCAAAGGCGAGATTGTACAGGTCCGTTTTCTCCTCAGCGGTCTTGGAATAATCTAACAAAATAAACTGTTATTTTTATGGAAAGAAGTGCTCATACTTTTCTCAATTCTTTATTCGCTGGAAGTACTTGAATAATCGTCCCAATGGTTAATATTAATTATTAGATGTTGAATTTGGGTATCGATCATATTGTCCAGATCCCACATCTTTGTTTCTATTGTCTCTTGAACGTGACGGATGCCGCATAGTTTTTTATATTTACCCAATTTCAAAGCGGTCTTATTTTGGTTTTTAGCCATTTCGTCAATAACATTAAGATTATACGAGGGATGTCTTTTAAGTTTTGCATATGGAAATAAAACAACACGGTAGGTAGTTTTAAATGACTTTATTGTTTTTCGAAGTATTCTCCACGAAGATTAATACACATCTGCATCCGCTCGAACCAATTTTCGAAGCACTTAATTCCACTCGTTTGCTGGCAGATCCAAAACGGCATTTTTGAATGCGTCAACTGCTTCTTCTGGTGACTGGAACCTTTGACCACGCAGTCTGTTTTTAATTTTCGGGAAAGTAAAGAAATCGTTAGAAATTAGATCGGGACTATATGGAGGATACAATGCTGTGTAAGGAATACTGTATAATCATTCTTGCAACTCTAATAGGAGTGATAATTGTTAGTTGGCCAATAGCTATTGCAACGCTTAGGCGGCTTCCGCTTTGTTGTGCCGGGGCGTAAATGGACTACGAATAGGGTATAACTCGCATTTGTGACTTTTTGCGATCTCTGAACGTTTTCAAATCTATTCTTTGTCTACCCCAGGTGATATTATGGATCCTGCGCGACAAGTTGCCTACCAGCTACCACGAAGAAAATGTATCGTTCATCCTACGCGAGACCAAGTATAATTTCGAGATATGTGGCATCTGCACGAGAAACCTGGACATCGGCTTAAACAACGACAGCAGTAGAGCAGTCCAACAGACGCAAAGGCTTGGAGTTGTTCATAGCAGTTGGTTGGAACTGGGCACAGAATTCAAGCATCGTGATATGAATAGATTTTCTCAATATTTGAAGATATGCATCGAAAGACACACCACGAAAACGTACGTCTTCCAGGAGTCTGAAGATCCTGAAGAACCGGAGGTAATCATTTGCTCTATTATTCAAGGGACTATATTAAATTACAAACGCAATCACGATATACAGTAGGGGAAGGTGGGGCAAGATGGGGTAGCTAACGATTGATTTGGAGTTATAGCTCAAATTCGTACTGTTTCTGAATATTTTTTATTTTATAGTATTCATTGGTTATATGTGTATAAATAATAGCCGAAAACAAATTAAAAATTTATTTATTTTTTTTAAATCTGGGAAAACAAAAAGTAAGATTTTCCCCGTCTTGCCCCATAGGTTGGGTAAGATGGGGTTTATAATATAATGTCGAAATGAAAAGAATTAAACAACATTTAACTAAAATAAAATTGTATTGCCTAATAAAACTTAAAGGGACTGAAGCTCATAGTACCAAAAAACTATTTCTTGCGTTTACACAATAAACACATGTGCGTGGCTTTATCGTCATCATCCTCAACGTCTGCGCAACCGCAATGCGCCCATTTATTACACTTTATACAGTTTATCTAGCCTTCTACGATTCGGAATATAATCCACTGCAATAGAGACATGAGGTGTCGTCCTCATTGTCATGTTTGGGACGCTTTCCTTTTTGACTTATCTGATTTTGCTGTTTTTTTTCTGCAGTTGTTTCCTCGATTATTTTCTGTTTTTCTTCTTTCTTCATTTGTCTATCGATGTTCCTTTTGACTTTTAGTTGCCCCTTCTGTTGTTTTTCTTGTAATTCCTTCTCCAGCTCTTCCTTATAAGGCGAAGAGGTTATAACTGCAGTCGTCCCTTTTTTCCTAGTTTGGATTCTGTTTTTCTTTGTGGTAACCGGTGGCGGCAGTAGCTGCTTAGGACTAACTAGTGCAAATGACGTATTTTGTGTAGGCGAATGAAGCTGTTCCTTTCGACTTGTGTTCCAAAATGAACAACCTGGCTGAGGACTGGAGGACTGAGACTGTGTGCTTGATGATTGCTTCGATGTATTAGGATTGCTCTCATTCTCATTTAATCTTGGGTTGGTACTTTCCGCTGGATTTTGGAGAATATTAGCTTGGGGTAATTGATCCTGTACTAAATTTATATTAGTGGTCTCAGAAGACAGTAGGATCATATGACGAGATTTTGGACCCAGAGGTACTTTTAGTTTTTGTAAATTGTCCATATTTTCTCTAGCCAATCTTACTTTTCGTTCCAACGTAGTTTGAGGAACTTCAAAAGATTTTGCATCTAAGTAATAACCCATTTTATTTTCCACTACAGCTAAAACAGCATTCTTCATCTGCTCTTCCGTCCAACCCCCTCTATCGGTTTTACGAACGTAATTTCGCACCATTCTGAAATGTAAAAAATATTGGATAAATCTTAATAGGTACCAGCCTATCTTGCCCCACGAGTGATACCCCATCATGCCCCTTCCTGCATTATACAGGGTGTTTCAGTTTATTGTTGCATAACTTTAAGATTCGATAGAACTTTTAAAATTAATGCATAAAGTCTATATAAACATGGGTCGAAATATGCGTGGCTTCCGAAATACAGGGTGTCTAAATTTACTTTTTAGAATAGTTTTTTTTTAAATATTTCGATCAATATTTGATCTATAACAGTGAAAATTGGTATACAAGGGTTTTTTGGTACGACAAAACGAACCATGGGCATAGTTTTACTGTAGCCGCTAGAGGGCACTCTCTACTGTACCTGTAGTGTATTAAAATGACCGAAGATTTTTTCTTAGTGCAATTTTTTGCTTTTTGAATAAAAAAACTGATTCATCGCACTTTTCTGCATAAAAAAGCTCTCCTGTGAGTTTTCGTTATAGTTAGCCGTTTTTGAGATATTTCGATTTTAAGGGTCGATGCATTTTTAATTATTTATAGGAAAATAACATTTTTTATTACATTTTAGATTTGGGCATTACAAGTAATTAAGATGATGGTTTAGATTGTGTTTTTAAACACAGCAATAATTCTCTCCAACTCCAAATAAACACAAAAAAAACAGAATATTAATTTGTTTAATTTTCCAATATTATTTTTAACAAATTAAATTAATTATTTACAACTAAGATGCTATTGGATAGTTAGGACAAACATACACAATCTAAAGTAGTTGCTCGAAATGTATACCCAATTGTTCAATACACAATTCACATCTACGAATGATCGAACGTGGTATAGCATTATTCAAATAAGGCCTTATTTCATCACATGCATTCCTGATTCTGTCTATTAGCATATCTCTTGTGGTTACGGGAGTCTGGTACACTTTTTCTTTTAGAAATCCCCACACAAAGAAATCTAATGGATTTAGGTCAGGGGATCGTGGAGGCCAGGCGACTGGTCCTCCACGGCCGATCCATCTGTCTGGATAATTTTCGTCCAGCCAGTTTCTAACTATTCTCGAATAATGCGCTGGACAACCATCAAGCGGGAACCAGGCCAATCTTCTTAAATCTAACATAACATCATCCCACATATTTGCATGTTCAACCTTTAAAAATTTCAAGAAGGTCGTAGCATTTAACCTTGCAGGCAAAAGGTAGGGTCCAAATAGTCGATTACGGTAGATACCAATCCACACGTTCACACTAAATCCATGCTGAAAATTTCTTTCCCGAACTGCATGCGGATTTTCATGCGACCAAATATGTTGATTATGAAAATTTACCACTCCACGTCTAGTGAAGCATGACTCATCGGTCCATAAAACGTTACTTAAAAACTCCCTATTATTATCAGTTCTATCAAGAATCCACTGACAAAATGTGATTCTTCGTTCTCCGTCCTCTGGCTGTAGTCCTTGCACAGGTTGCAAATGGTAAGGACGTCTATGGTCATTTCTAAGAACACGGTGAACATGGCTTGCTGAAATTCCCAAGGCACCAGAAACTCTCCTAACACTTGTGGTCGGATCTCTATCATACTCACGCAGAATCATACGGGTAAATCTGCGCTGACGAACATTTATGTTTTGATCCCTTTGGAGATTTCCAAAACCATTTTCAATTATTTGGCGATGCACTCTTACAAATACTGAGTGAGTTGGATGTCGTCTGTTTGGAAATTTTCGTGCGTATTCTCTGGCTGCTTCTGCTGCGTTTCCATTTACAAAGCTATACACAAAATGAATAACCGCTAACTCTTGATTGGATAATAAAAAAGGCATTTTTATAAAACTTGCAAAAAAAAAACAGGTAAATGAAACTAAATTTCATGCATTCACAATTGCAAAAAACGTTTCAGGTTTCAACAGACCACAAAACTAATTGTCAACTAATTGACGTTTAACCTTATTCTGCTTTCAATTTCAAAAATATTTGCAGGCACAGCCTACTTCTAAAAATTATCGAGATACAGACTTTTTAACGTTATTTTATCATAAATAATTAAAAATGCATTGAACCTTAAAAATCGAAATATCTCAAAAAACGGCTAACTATAACGAAAATTCACAAGAGAGCTTTTTTATGTTGAAAAGTGCGAAGAATCAGTTTTTTTATTCAAAAAGCAAAAAATTGCACTAAGAAAAAAATTTCGGTCATTTCAATACACTACAGGTGCAGTAGAGAGCGCCTTCTAGCGGCTGCAGTAAAACTATGCCCATGGTTTATTTTGACGTACCAAAAAACCCTCGTATACCAATTTTAGAAAGTAAACTTAAATACCCTGTATTTCGGAAGCCACGCATTTTTCGACCCATGTTTATATAGACTTTATGCATTAATTTTAAAAGTTCTATCGAATCTTAAAGTTATGCAACAATAAACTGAAACACTCTGTATAAAAAAAATAAAAGCAACAAAAAATAATCTAGTTATTTAAAAAATAAAAGCTCACCTTAATTTACAATGTCAAAAGCTTCCTCAGTACCCAAACTTAGCACTGTATACAAATATTTTGTAACAGTTTCACGCTTGTAAACAAATGCGAAAATAATAACGTAACCTTAAGAAACACGTGATTCCGCGCTGTCGTAAAAGCACGACCTACTGCAATGACGATACAGAAGCTACTGAAATAAGCAACACGTTGCCGTCGTTTCATGTGTACTTCTCGAATTTAACACCTTGGATTGGCGGAATAATACGCGTACCCCATCTTGCCTCGTTACCCCTCCTTGCCCCACCTTCCCCTAGCGGACAAACAAACAAACGTGCTTAGTGATCTTTAAAAAGTGCGCTAATTTTTTATTCTTTGTTATTAAGAAATATTATCATATGTACAAAGTTTGCTTGCACACATGAGGCTCAATTTCCTAGAATGCACTACAGACATCCAGTGCTACCAAGCTGAAAAACGCAGAATCACTTTTATTTATATTTGCTTCAAGCTGAACGTATAGGCAACCAGACTTACGCAACCCTCTTATTTCCGCACCATCATCGCTGCGCTTACAGATTGATCGGGGTTGCCAGCTTTGTATCCATTACATACCTATTTGCAAAAAGTCTATATTTTATAAAATTTATCAAAGTCCTGAATGTATTAGTGGTCAAACTAGATTTGCCCAGGAGGGGTACACAACCCCCTGGTTCCTGGCTTGCGGCAATGAGGGAGTTTCTTATTTTTTGAAACACACTGAAAATGATATACAGCACTGAAAATTTTATTGTATTGAACAATGGGTGCCACAATTATTCTACTAGAGGAAGTATAGACTTTCATTTACAAAACTGCAGTAGCAATATAATGAGCAAGTCAGTATTTCAAAAGGGATTGTACGAATTTAATAAATTAAGTAATGATATCAAGATGTGTGTCAGTTTGAAAATGTTCGAAGGGAAATTGAAAAAATATCTCATGGAATACCAGAATTCATAGTAGTGAAATTTTGTATAAAAATATGTAGTCTTGAAGACATAATATATTTTGTGATATACTGTGTAATATGGATATTATGGATATTGTAGCATTAATGCTAGATGAATCTGAAAGAAACAAACAAACTTGAGTCCTTGTGACTATTTTCTGCACTCGAAGTTGAAAAATCTCCTGAAGGGAACTCGTTTTGGGGACAGTCGAAAACATCCGAACGCCTGGAACCGACCAACTGAAGGCTATTACAATATCGGAGTTCCAGCACTGCTATGGGGAGTGGAAAAACCGTCTTCAGCACTGTGTGGCTTCAGAAGGAAGTTATTTTGAGGGTGACAATATGAAATTGTAATTATCTTTGAATAAATCATAATTTACAGACCTCGTACATGTTCGTAGCCAACTTGTGCTGAACACAATCCATTATGAACTGATGACATCTTTGCGTGGAAAGTGCAGAGTCAACCTTCTTGACGCCTTTTTTTTATTGCAGACATTGGAGGCTAACCTACCACCAATCGGCGCGAATTACAAATGGCGTCTGATACATATGAACTCCGACTTTTCCTTCTTGTACTTCACGAAAACCCATTATTCGGTGAAGTACGTGGATTTGTGTTACGCTTCGCACAACGGCAACGCAACTAAAGACTCGACCTTGATGCTTCATTCTTCCAAGCTGAAAACGGCGCAAGATCATCCGAAAATGGGCATCTACTTCGACCAGAATCAACCCAACAAGTTGTTCGTGGGGCCGTATCTGAAAACGAACCCTGATGAAAATACCGTTGAGACGCTGAGGTATTTCAACCAGCAACTCGTCGTAACGGACGAGTTCAACAAGTTGCGTGGCAAAGACGACTATCGGTAAGTAGATGAGAGAAAAAAGAGGAACAGATAGCATAGGCGTAACTAAATGAATATTTTGTGGAAAGTATTGTTGATATTGTGGGTCCTACCAATGCTGCACCTGACTATATGAAAATCAGTTTCCAGGGGGAAGTGTTGCATACACTTTCAAAATTTCATAGCATATCATTGAATTATCTAACAAAAAAAGTAAACAGTTTAAAATCAAATAACAACTGTACCGAAATCACTACTAAAAACGTGCTGAAAAACTGTTTCGAAATTTTGGGATATCCTGTATTAAATTGGATCAATTGTTCACTGAGAAGCAGTTCTTTTCCTGATAATTTGAAATGCTCTACAATAACACCAGTTCCCAAAATAAAAAATTCTAAAAGATGCAGCGAAATGAGACCAGTAACTGTGTTACCAGACATTGAAAAATTATTAGAGTCCATAGTGCATGACCAATTAATGCAGTTTATAGAAGAAAACAAAATTTTAGTGGAGGCGCAAGCAGGCTTTCGAAAAAAATATTCCACAGAAACGGCTTTCCAGTTGGTAACTGAGAATTGGAGAAGAGCCATAGACTCAGAAGAAGTTGTCATAGCAGTATTTTTAATTTGAAGAGGGCATTTGAAGCGATTGATAGAGATATTTTGTTAGGTAAATTGAAGGCATATGGTATATCAGGAAGTGTTTTAGAGTGGTTTAGAAATCATTTGTCCACAAGGATGCAGGTTACAAACGTTAATGACACTATTTCATCAAAAATTGAAAATACGTTGGGTGTTCCACAGGGCAGTATCCTGGGACCACTTCTTTTTATTTTATACGTAAATGATTTACCTGCCATAATCAAAAAATGCAAAATTCAGATTTTCGCCGATGACACTATGATTTATATAAGCACTAAAAATATTCAGACTGGTATCTTTTATATAACTGAAGACTTGAAACTTGTCTCAAAATGGTTAGCATCTAACAGACTAAAATTAAATACAAGTAAAACGAAAGCTGCAACAAATGTTGAACTGAATATTGATGGTGAAGATATTGAATTCATAGAAAATTTTAAATACCTGGGGGTTTTTGTTGACTCGATTAATTTTTGATATTCATTATGAAAAAGTTATAAATAAGATTAGTAGTAAAGTGGGATATTTATCAACAGTTTCGGGATGTCTGAGTTCATATAGCTGAAAAATTATCTATAATACCATCATTCTTCCAAATTTCTTGTACTGTTCGACTATTCTATATTTAGCAAATAATTCCATTTTTGAAAGGCTGCAAATTTTACAAATGAGAATAATACTGAATAAAGATAAATATACTCCAATTAGACAAATGCTTAACAAATTAAAATGTCTCATATGCACCTATGAATTGAAGTTTCCTTCTAGCTATAGTATACAACTTACAACTTAGACCTCCAGTAATGCCATCTCTGAAGCAGATTTTCCATCACATAAGAGCCAAACTAAACCATCATGATGTTTAGGCAACACGTACAACAAAACAAGTTCACAACAAGTATCCATCAGCTGGTGCTAAGTTAACATCTTGTAGAAAAACCTACATAATGCCACAAAAAACCAATACAATGTCAAAAAAATCTACATAATGTCACTTTTTAAGATACGTAATACCTTACTATTCATCATTTGTTTGTCTGGGCGGTCTGTAGGACTTTTGCCCATTAGACGCTGTCTAATGTACGTTAGTCGAATCTGTCAGTCCTTGTTGCCCAGAAACCAGACAACGTCAAGGAAAAAGAGAAAGGGAACGAGAAGAAAAAATGGAGAAAAGCAAAGAAAAACAGAAGTATTTACGAGGAGACAACTGGGCTTTTTGACTTGGTACATGGATTAATTTTGAGGTGAACTAAACACATTTTGATTCGGTTTCGTTAGAGTGTAGTTTTAGGTTTACTAAAAGTTCGCGCTAATTTTTTTATTACACTGCGAGCCGTGGCCTTGAATGTCGTAATACCCGTGCCGATCTTATTCACAGTTAACAATGCCCGAAAACTCATATCACAAATTATGTTTCTAATGCACGTAATGACCCTATTGTCTGACTTGCAGCAGTGGTTATTGGTTGGTTGAAGAAACTCCATCTGCTGACTCAGTGGAACCTCAAAGTGAGGAATACACAATTGATCTAACACTGGACGAAACGCCACCGACCAAGGATTCAAGTAACGCCATTGGCGCCGAAGAAACATCTGAGCAACGGAAACGGAAGAGGTCAGCCAGTAGCAGAGCGTCGTCGATCTCGGAGTCAGATATCGGATACTTGGGAAATCTCAGTTTGACACATGACAATGCGCATATTGAGATCGTCGAGGCACCGCCTAGAAAACCTGAAGAGTTTAACAGGTAAATAGGTTGTTACTTGAAAAGTAGGTTCCTTTATCTAGTCAGAATTGCACATTTGAAGAAATAGATTGTTACAATGCACATTCGCTGATATATACTACAAATCTGTATTCCATCATGGGTTGATTGAATATAATAAATTAAATATCATAATTAACAGGTAAATAGGTTGTTACTTGAAAAGTAGGTTCCTTTATCTAGTCAGAATTGCACGTTTGAAGATGAATAGATTGTTACAATGCACATTCGCTGATATATGTTACAAATCTGTATTCCATCATGGGTTGATTGAATATAATAAATTAAATATCATAATTCATCAATGAATCAGTTTAAGACAATAAACATCAACAATCTAAGAAAAGCTATCTCAGAATTGAAATCTAATAAAAATACTAGTGAGAATCTCAAAAAACATATTATATGTTTGTTTCAATAAAATTGAAGATACGTAGCAGGTCTTTTTAGATTCATTTTCAACTTCCTGTTTGCACAGCATTCTAAATCCATTTCATCTGATAATTTCATGATGTGTACAGAAATGACTGAAAAACGTTTTCATTTTCATTGTCAAAAAATGCTTTTTTTGTGCCTTTTATTGTGCATTTTTTGTTCAATCAGAACTTGTTAACAAATATAAGTACATCTCTGAAATTGTGTGCGAATATTCCTCTTTTATGGAAGAATGAAATGAGTGATTATTTTTGTTTTTATTACTTTTCCTTTTCGAAAAATCTTTGATTTTCTTGAAGCCTCGTCTCGCAGCAATTTTCAAGAAAAGCAAAGATTTTTCGAAAAGGAAACGTGATAAGAACAAAAGTAATCACTCGTTTCCTTCTTCCATAAAAGAGGAATATTGACACACAATTTCAGAGCTGTACTTATATTTGTTAACAAGTTCCAATTGAACAAATAATGCACAATACAAACCACAAAAATGCATTTTTTGACAAAAACATGAAAACACTATTTTTTTAGTCATCTCTATACACACCATGAAATTATGAGATGAAAAGGAGTTAGAATACTGTTGCAAACAGGAAGTTGAAAAAACCTAAAAAAAAGGGACGTGCCACCTTAATGTCTTGCCAGATGTTGAGAAGCTGTTCGAAAGGATAATATGGAGTACGTAGCGGAGTTCTGAACTTATTTGAGAATTATTTGGCTGATCGATTACAACAAGTTAAGGTAGGGTCAGATTTAAGCAACATTCAAAAGATCAAAATAGGTGTGCCTCAGGGGACGGTTTTGGGACCAACACTGTTCCTCATATACATAAATGAACTACTTCGATGTAATTTCAACTGTAAAATGATATCATATGCAGACGATACTGTTTTAGTTTGCACTGGTCATTCATGGGATGACGAAATACGGAATGCCGAGTTGTCATTAAATAAAGTCAAATGCTGGTTGGATAACAATTTACTTAAACTTAATATCTCTAAAACTAAGTATGTAACGTTTTCTCCAACCAAAGCAGGTATGCCATTACACCACCGCACATTAATTATAAATGATAGTGCTGACACTGTCGAAAGAGTTGAAGTTATTAGATACTAGATCGAAATTAAGGAGAATTATTCATAAGTTTTTCATTCTTAGGAATATTTTAAGCAGAAAGAGTCTTCTCTCTATATATAACTCGTTGGTGGGGTCTCTACTAACTTACGGGATAAGTATTTGGGGAGCCGCATACACTAGTACTTTAAAAATACTACAAACCACGCAAAATTATATTGTCAGGACTATTTTTCGTATCCCATCTAGGTCAAGTTGCAGATTTGTTTACATTGAAAATGATCTTTGAATGTTAGAGGTTTATATATTTTTGCTGCTCTAAAATTTGTTCACTCCCGAAACAATGTTCCAACCAGCCACGCTTATGAAACAAGCACTAAAATAAATATAAGTTACACCTATACCAGAGTGAATAAATCTGTTTGCCAAAAATGCATACAGTTTGATGGTATTAGGTTGTATAATAAATTACCCCTAGAATATAAAATCCTCTCGAAGTATAGTTTCAAAAAAAGAATTAAGAAGTTCATCTTAAATAACTTTGACATGCTTGCATCGACGGTAGCTTGACTCAACTCAGTAATTTCGTTTTTTATCTAATGTTTCTTTTATTTCTTTTTTTTATATACATTTTGCTCATAATATACCTTATGACCATTAGCCATGCATTGAATTTGTATATTGTATGACACTCACAAGCTCATAGCTTAGGTGTCTATTCTTTTGTAGTAAATTCTTTTGTAGTAAATTGTAGTACTCTTGTTTCTCTGCTTAACCTTTACGCAAAATTTTTATTGTTTAAACAACATAGTTTGACCTTACTCGAAATATCCCTGTATTATCATATTTCAGATATTCATATTTTATGTACTCTATATTTATACTTCTGAGTGTTTTTAGTATGCTTCTGTACTATTGTTATTGAATTTTAGATTTGTTTATGCAGACACGTAATTTAGGATTTGTGACGACAAGATTCAGACATTTACCCTTTACGAAAGTATACAGAATTTTCACAATTCATATACCGTTACTTGCTCGTTCTAGATCTGATGCTAGTATCTTTGCTCAGATTTCTGTTGAAATCTTGGTTATTCAGGGTAGAAGCGGTGAAGCACCGCGTTTTCGTCTATGATTGTTTCGTCCGAAATAATGAGTCAGTCATCGTCGTACAGCGTGAGTTTCGTCGCCACTTCAACATTCATCGGAATAGAAACACCATCCTTCGTTGGGTTGAATCACTTCGCAGGCATGGTGAACTGATCAACAGAAGACCAAGAGGAGCGCCGCGAACAGTTCGAACTCCTGAAAATGTTCATTGGTCTCCTCGGACCCCAGATTTATCCATATGTGATTTTTTCTTATGGGGACACCTCAAGGCTAGAGTATACGCGAACAAGCCCCGAACTCTGGACGACTTGAAGGGCGAAATTCGCGTGGAAGTCGCCCAAGTTGAGAGAGCGATGTTGGAGAGAGTCTATGCGGACTTTCAAGAACGCCTCCAGCACTGCATCAACGATTTCGGCCACCACATGCCTGATGTGATTTTCCACACTTGACTGTCTCAAATACTATTCCCTTGTGAACCTGATTCCATCAATAAATTTGTTTCCGAGTAAAAATTAACTATTTTATGATTTTTTTAAAACCGTCCATCCTCTCTGCCGCACCTGGTATAAATGATATCTCTGACTAGTTATATTAAAAAAATATGAACTGGTTAAATGTTAATAACTGAAATTAAACACTAATAAAAACAAAATCTATGTCAATAGGGAATATTTAGATTCATGATTACACTGGACAACAAATTTTAGTTTTTTAATAGTATCTTGTGGGAAAAGTGCACTTCTTTGTTAATTTTGGGGCGCTGAATCCAAAAATGACAATGAAATAAAAAAATTAGTTGCGGTTTAGAAAAAAACTTTTTATTTTTAAGGATATATTAAAAAAAGTAACAAGATTCATATACTTATAAGAATCACTATATGCGCTGTCTTTTTGCTGTTCTTTTATGGATCGTTTCTTGTTGAAATATCCTGATGAAAATGTTCGCCGTGCTCATCACTTACGGCTCCGCAATTGTCAGGAAAAAAGTTCAGGTGTGAGTGTAGGAAATGTATCTTAAGAGACATATTACAGCCCATCTTTTGATACGATGACAGCATATTTTTGACAAGACGGAAATCATTCCAAGCAGTTTTTTCAATACCTGTTAAAGTGTTTTCAAACTGTGTATCTTTCAAAATATTTCGAATCTGTGGCCCAACAAAAATACCTTCTTTTACCTTTGCCTCACTTAGTCTTGGAAGTTTCTGACGCAGATATTGAAAAGCTGACCCATCTCTATCTAATGCCTTGACAAGTTTTTCATTAGGCCCAACTTGATATGCAGTGGCGGTAATAAATTTTTTTTCGAATCTACTAATGGCATATGCTGTACATTTTTTTGACCTGGCTCTAGGAATTGACGAACAGGCCAGTTTTGTCCGGTGTAATGAAGTGCCTTTGCCCGACTGTCCCATTCACACAAAAAACAGCAAAACTTTGTGTAGCCTAGCTGCAGCCCAAGTAAAAGTGCAACAACTTTAAAATCGCCACAAATATGCCATTGGTGCTCATCGTATTTTATGCATGTCAATAGGTACTTCATATTGTCATATGATTCTTTCATGTGAACTGCATACCCTACAGGAAGAGATGGTAAAATATTTCCAATATGCAATAACACTGCCTTTAAACTCAATGTTGAACTGTCTATAAACAATCTCCATTCTTCTGGGTTATAGTTTATATTTAAAGCCGCCAGTAAGCCGTTAATGTTACTGCAGAAAACCAAGTTATTCTCCATATTGAAAAATGGTTCTAAGTCTTTGTGGCGTTTACAAACAACACATACCGAAACATCGTCTTCTAACAAGTTCCACTGCTGCAGTCTTGATCCAAGTAACTCTGCCTTACATTTTGGAAGTTCTAATTCTCTTACAAGGTACCATGCAAAAGTAACAATCATTGATATGATTTGTAGGCTCTCTCCAAACCATTGGGACAGCAAAGCGCATAGACCGTTTTTTGCCATTTAACCAGCTCCTCAGACTTGAAGCACATGTATTACAGCAGATGTGGGGTGCCCACTGTTTGTCTTGATCACCTAGTTTACAACCGAAATAAAGCTGATATGCCTCTGTTATTAGTGGAGTCTGAGACGCAAAAGTCACATCACCACACACGTAACAAAACTGATCTGGATTGTTTACATACTTTCGAGACAGCTTGCATGAACGCTGTCAGCCAACTGAGGAAAAAATGGCTAATATAAAACAATATAATGTACACGTATGTATAACGTAACACAATCATGCCGATTACATCATCTTTCCTTGCCGAATACAAAAATGTAGCACGTGCATTCTTGTGAATTACAGTATATTAACACTGTCACAGCAGGAACATATATAATTACCGTATCTGTAAAACTTGAACTAATATTGAAAAAATAAGTTTCATTCCGGTTTTAGCACATTAAAAATAGTAATATTTTGTTGATTTTATTTAGGATATTTTTTGGCTGTTGATCAGTGTTATTGATGGAAAAATTGAATTAGTCGAATCATTTAAATATCATTATTTAAAAAATATCAAAAAAGATAAATGACTTCGATATAGTTTCCATAGCACACGAATGTATTTAAAAAAATAATATTTTTTTCTACAACCGGGTGAAAAATACCTTTTCTACATTTCATGTTTTTAATTCGTTTTGCAGATTTGTGATAACAAACATTCCACATTTTGGTTATTTGGGAGCATTCAAACATGCAGGATCCGATAAGATCGACGTATCGTGGCCATTTGAAAATAAACTGCTGAGATTCCCGTCTGTGCAAGTTGCTACAGAATTCTTACAGGAGTGAGTATACGAACATTAAAAAAAATATTTCACAATATTTTTGCAAAACTAAGATACATTTTGATTTTTTTCAACTTCCAGACGCCTGTCTTCACTACTGCTACCTGTACCAGATACTTTCAAAGTACACGTGATAGTCGTCAACCACTTAGATACCGACGCGAATTTACCCATAGATGCAAACGTACTTAGCGGTCACTATGTAAGTAAGAAGTTATACTGTTTATCATTTTCTCTTTTTTGATTTTATTTCCCTAGTAATTGTTGTCCAAGGCTTATTTTCCCGAAATGCGTATCAAACTTTGTCGGAAGTTTCTTAACGAATATATTTGATTCAGATCTGTGGCGAGTTCGGATACTACAATATTCTGACGATAACACCACAAATTTGCCTGAACAAATTGGGCAAAACTCGGGAAGAATTGCTAAGGATGTTTGCAAAACGGTGCCAAGTGATCGTGAAGAAGAGATCTGATACTTTGGCCGCCTTACTGCACCTTAGCAAACCGGCAGATAGTGATGGAATCATTTATGTTAATAACAAGGTAAGACAGATTTTATTCTTTGTTTATTATTTTCCGTATTTTTATTATTTTTTAGTAACAAATGGTTTTATGAAATAGATGGTATTCTTTAAGATGTATATATTAATAGCTGACGGTTTCATCTTACTCGGCCAAGTACCCACTAATTTTTGGAAGAAAGTCTGATCAACAGTACGATCTTCAGCATCTGAAAACTTTATGAAATACCTACCATTTACAAAATGCAGAGCAAACATTTAAAAGGACGTTTTTTGGATTATGTCAACCTTGTTTTTGTTTGTTGAAGATTCATTTAGCATTAATGCTACAATGTCAACTCTGTATAATTATTCATTTGCACATTTTTTTGAATGAGTTTTTTATAATATTACATTCTTGTCTATTAAAATTACATCACTATGCATCTTGAGTATTCATAAAGTGATTTTTTTTTCACCTTAAGCATTTTTAAATTCCAACACTGTTTAATATCATTATTCAATTTATTAAATTGAAATACTTCCTTTTGAATTGCAGACTTGCTAGTTATGCTACTATTACAATTTTTCAGATGAAAATCTATACTGTTTTTTAGTTTCGTAGTATAATGACAGTTCAATTCTGCGAAGTTTTCTAAATGTGGTGGTAATAAATGATTTTTTAATTTGAATATGAAAATGAGAACTAAATAACATGAATTATTTTACATTCAATCACTGTAGTCCTTCTAGCATAAACTTAATCCTAGCATATTTGTTTTTATTTCAAATGATTATCATAGCTTTATTTTGTACAATTTGTACTTTTAAAAATATGTTTTCATTTGCTGAAAACAAGATGGTTGAACAATATAAAAAGTGGGGCGGAATTATACAAATGTTTTTTTTTGAATACATACTGAGATTATGGAAACTCTATAGAAGTAATTTTTTTGATATTTTTGAAAGAATGTATCCATAATACTACCCACATATACTCGTATATCCAGATATTTAAACGATTCGACTACTTCAATTTTTCATCATTAATCATGAGTGTTAGAGTATTCGAATGGACTGTATAGCTGCTGGTTCAAGAATGAAATGTAGTTGTGGCCTACCTTTGATCTGGTATTCTGTCTAATTCTGGTTCGTATTCCTGGCGTAGCGGTGATGCAGGAGCGTGAAGATTGCGGGTGTCGGAGCAGTTCTGACTCTTTGCGGTTTCTGACTATATGCGGTTGCGGCGTATACAGGGTGGCGCATCGAAAACGAAACAGACGCATTTACTGGCAGCTCAGTTTTTTTTTTTGGAAAAACGCTCAGACCCGTCGATTTTGTTTTCGAGGGGGACACAAGTTTGGCAAAAAATCACGTTGACTGGGTGGAGGTGAGATCAACCATAAAATTTTAAATGGAAAGGCGGCGCGAGTGATACCTTATTTTAAAGGTCTTTCAATTCTCTTTATAATGATATAAAATTAATGTACTTCAGTTGAGACGTTTTGAAGATTTATTGATTTAAAGTTTAAAGTAGACTTTAATAGGTACATCAGATTAGTTTGTACTACTTTCAGAAGAAATTTGACTAAAAGAATTTAATTAATAAGTAAATGCTTTAATTAATTTACTGTGATTTGGGGGATTTTTTTTTTGAAACAGTGGCACTTCTGCGGGGCTTTTTGTGCTTGTTCTGGGGAAATTCTGTCCGATCCATCTGGCAACGCTGTGCTTTGACAAATACGCCATATGAACACTTTCCTAATAGTCCAGCCAATTGAATCTGCAGTTATCTGTTTTTTTTTTATAAAACTTAATTTTTATGAATAATAAATAATAGTAGAATAGATTACAGCAGGGTAGCCTTTGCCGGAAACATTTTGAACATTTTTGTCGCGCCCCGAAAATGTTTTAAAATCCATTTAAAAAATCTATTTTGTATTCTTGCGCAGGCAGTGATCGAAATCCGCAATCAAAAAATGCTAGAACGCCAACTCGTGAACCAAAAAACGGAACTGATGATAAAGAAGCGCCGTCTAGCGACGGAACTGTTCATGTATATCAGCGAACTTCCTGAACGGGAACGGAACGAGTTCAGCAAAAGGTTCCGCAGCATCCTGACGCCGAGACGGGACATAGAACCGATCGAAATCGTGTCGGATTCTGAGGAAGACAAAGCGAGGGCGGAGGAGGAACGTGGACCGCCCGTTTTGGAGGCAGAGCCACCGACGATGACTGACACTCACAATAGAACACAACCGTTGAATGATAAGTTGCCCGTCTTGGAGAAACAGGTGAGATTCAGCTGGTAGCATTTAATCCTCGCGTTTCCTAGCGGTTGAGAAAATAATACAATACAAGATAATGATCCTATACAGCTTAGGTTAAATTAGGAAGAAGTTTTTTACTTTAAGTGATATCAAAAAACTGATGGAACTTTTCAGGCACTAAATGATGGTGTGTTTGCTATATCTGATTGCATCTTAATAGTTTTTTTATTTTTTAAATTTCATTTAAGTAGGCGTTGCAAACAAATGCTTGATGTAATATTTCATTTTACATAATGATATGATAAAATTTTATAAAATGATGCTTGATCTAGTGATATCCAGAATAACTAATACATTTCTAACATTATTTTTATTTATTCACAAATATTATCTTCTAATTGATATACAGGGTAGCCCAAAAGTGAAAGCAGACCAAACATTTTTTGATGGAGAATCCTTTTAATTTTTCTATTTTGAAATTCTCCTTATGATCTTAAACATTTCTTATGAGTTGGCGTCCATGACTGAATTCAACTTTTTTTGAGATATTGAGGGTAGAAATGAGTCTTTCGTCATATGCGACACCATGTGAAATCTAAGGTTGATTAACCAGCAAAATACCTATCTTAGATTTCACGATCTGTTCTAATATGAGAACTACCTTAACAACGCCTGGAACGTGAGTAAGAGGCGGTTTCCTAACCTCAATAGCTGCAACACAGAATTATTTCTAAAAATTTTTTTTATTGGGACAGGGAAAAACAATTAACCAAAAAAAGCTTTATTCAAAAGAATATAGAACCACCAAAACAAAATTAATGGCAGCTGCTTAAAAATGATTACTTAACGTTTATTTCTTTCGTCGCAGATTGGTGTATTAGTCCAGGACTATTAGACTTTCTCTGCTGGAAAAATCCCACCTGGCTGATTTTTTTACTAGAGCTTCTTTTCAGCAGTATAAATCATCCCTCAAAAGTGCCCATGAATCCAAGTGGACCTTTTTTTATGAGGGGGGGGGGTCAAAGGTCACAAAAAACACTTGTTTCCATATATCGAAAATATCAATTCTATGATAAAATCAGCAATTACCTTTTTTGTTCAGTATGAAATTCTCCACAAAAAAGGTTCAATACATTTTTTTCGTAGAGATCGTTTTTCCAAGCAAATTTTACTTTCAATGTTGAATCGAGAAAATTGTAAAATAACGTACTTTTTCCCATGTCACCATAGAAATAAAGTATCAGACGCGTTTTTTTTAAGATGTTATTGTTACTTTTTTCTTTAGTCACCAATGTGACATGATGCGGTATCATCTAAGTCTTCGCCAACCTCAAGTGTTGAGCATAGGAAATTCATGGGGTCTATATTCTCATCGAATTCCACATTATTCGACTCTTCATTGTTCGAGATCATATTCAGACATGACTGTCCATAACAGTAGAGGCAAATGGCGGAACAGTGTAGTCCAAGTTTCCGCAATTAGCTCCACAACCTTTCGTACAATTACAAAATATTGTGTTTAATAAGACAGCAGAAGCAGGTGGCAATAGAGTTTGTATTGGCTGTAAATATTCGTCGGTCATAGACTGAACTTGATAATACACACGACGTAAATGTGCTTGAGCTGCACTCGATGTTGGTGGCAGTATTGAAACTTTTTGGAGAATATACAGGGTGTCCGCAAAGTTGGGGTTTTCCTTTTCAGAAACAACTACCCTTGAAATAACAAAGGTAATGTGTAGTGAAACGAGGGCGACCAAGTAAAAAAAATAAAGGAAAAAGTACTCACTCTCCAGTTGACGAGAAGGGCTAAGTACGTCTCTGTCCGAAATCATACCGCTCCAACAGAAAATGAAATCAGCTGATGCGCTACCGAGCAGACGCAGGCAAACAAGGAAGGCAAAATGTTTCGTAAAAAGTCTAGGTATTGCATCCCGTCCAATCGATTTGGGAGAATAAATGGTCCAATGAGTATACCGTTCACCATGCCAGCCCAAACATTCACCGAAAATGTTTGTTGAAAATGTGCCCGACGGACAGCGTGCGGATTTTCTACTGACCAAACATGAGTGTTGCGAAAGTTATTCACCCCATTACGCGTGAACGTAGATTCGTCTGTCACCAATATGCACTTCAAAAAGTCCGGATTATTGTCATGTTGATGCAACAACCACTCACAAAACCGCACTCTTGCTGGAAAATCGTCAAGTTGAAGGGCTTGTACACGTTGGACGTGAAACGGATACAGCCCCTCTTCACGCAGCGTTTGCCACACTTTAGTTTTTGATACTTGCACTTCTCTAGCCACGTCTCTAGTGCTTGTTGAGGGATTCACGTCTACGCGATTATCTCTACACGCGTGACCGTAACCGCCGGTTGAAGGTTGCATACTGACCTGACACACTGACCCCGACCCAGTTCTGTCGTCGGGTTGAGCTAGTGTCCTAGTACCACCGGGGGATGTCGCGGCTACAGGACGGTATTCAGATATTTTTGATGTTGCAGAGCGCTTTATCTCGGTTCCCTTAAGACATTGGTGTATATGGTACTAAGAAAAATTGCTTATATTTTCAAGATCTACACGTTGTGTAAAGGAAAACCCCAACTTTGCGGACACCCTGTATAATTGTGTCGATGTTTGATTTTCCAGTATTCATAAAACAAATATCTTTATTCTCAGGAACAGAAGCTGTCAATAAGACTGATAAATCTACATCATTCCCAACATTTATACTTCGATTTTCATTCGTCAATTCAATTGCAGTATTGATAATGAGATCAGCATTGTTGTTCCATTACTATATGGTGTTATTACGTTGATTATTATAACCGTCGAAAACAACCGTAACGTTCCAACCAAAATGATTTCGTAAATAATTAACATAACAATCAAAAATAGCATCATAATATGTAACATCTCGATAGAACGCATTCTTCGCCGAGGAGGGCTAGCGGTCGAGGTGCTGGGTTCAGCATCTCGCTCCCTTTTAGCAGCAGTAATGCTTCTTGCACGAGTATATTCTTTCCGACACACCACCTGCACTCTGATCGATTCAACACTCCGTAAAAATGTAATTTTTCCATCATTTCGCTCGATACTGGCGTAACGTAAGGTTTTAATACCGCGCTCGAAGCAAACAGTCGCTCCGCCTGACAGCGATTTCTCGCAAATGATGCAATTTTCGGCCATTTTTCAATTTATATAAGGATTCTATTTTGTAAAAACTCTCTGAAATTATCCGACGCGTCTGTATACAACTGAGAATAGCAGAATACTGGTCTGAAGACTGGTCAAATGACGTCAATGCCCTACAGTCAGGTATACAATTCTACATTCTAACAAAGGAAAAAGGGGCCAGCTGTGCTCTAGGTCATAAAAGGGGACACTTATACAGCCCCTACCACAAACATTCAAAAAGAAAACGATTTAAAAATACGGTTTTACGTGAAATTTTAGATTTTTGTAAATTACAACACTTTCACGCAATTTCCTGTAAATTGGCAGTCTCTACGAAAAAAATGCATAGAACCTTTTTTGTGGATAATTTCATACTGAACAAAAAATGTAATACTTCATTTTATCGTAGAGTTGATATTTTAGAAGATATATGGAAAATAGTGTCTTTTGTGACCTTTAACCCCCCATAAAAAAGCTCCACTTGGATTCATGGGGACTTTTGAGGAGTAATAATAATAATAATAATAATATTTATTTACTCTAAAATACAGGGAACATGAAACGAGTAAATAAATATAATATATCCATAGGAGGACAACGCCTGTGCATGGATCATATGTATGTTGAATTGCAAAATATAATAAAATAGAGAGAAAAAAGAAATTATTGGTAAGAATGGTAGAGCATTTGTTGTGTAATATTTGAGATTATTTTATTAATTTGATTTCTCCCAATCGTGTTAATAAATTTTTTTAATTTTTTTTTGAAGCCTAATGTATTGCGTAATTGTTTTAAATTATTTGGTAAATGTTCGTACAATTTTGGAGCTATATACAGGTGACATCGTTTCATTAGGGATTTGTTTGGTTTAGGAACATTTTTTGCGCGTAATTTATATCTGGTTTTATGATTATGTTTAATTATGTCGTGTTCACTAATAGTTTTGTGATAACGAGTGATGGTATGTAAGAAGTAAAGTTGTTTAGTATCATATACTTGTGCATCATTATATAAGTCATTAGTTGGGTATAATTTTGATTTGCCTAACATTGATTTTAAAATTTTTCTTTGAAGTACATCTAAATCGTTAAAGTATGTCGTGCATGCAGCACCCCACACTACTATACCATATGTTATGTGTGGGTCGACTAAAGCTTGATATATTATTCGTAGATAATATTCAGTTAATATACCGGTTAGAAATTTTATTTTATATGCTATGAATCTAATTTTCTTTAGTATGTGAGAAATATGTACATCCCATCTCAAGTGGGGATCTAGATAAATTCCTAAATATTTTGTATCATTAACTCTATTGATTTTTATATTTTTATCATTTACCTTAAACCGAAGGTGGTTATATTTTGGTAGATGATTAAATAGTGATGAAAATGGTAAAAAATGAGTTTTAGTAAAGTTAATTGTTAATTTTCGGTTATTAAACCACTGAATAATTTTGCAAATGTCATTTTGGATAATATCTTTTAAGTCGTTCCAGTCCTTACCTTTATAGAGTATAGCAGTATCGTCTGCAAAACTGACTATTTTACCAGTACTGTTAATTTTGAATATATCGTTTAAATAAATATTGAATAACAGAGGACCCAAAATTGTACCTTGTGGAACACCACATTTAACAAACATTTCTTTACTATACGAGCTTAATAATTTTACTGATTGCGGTCTATTTGATAAATAATTTTCCATTAAAGTATACATCTTTCCACGAAAACCTATTCTTTCTAAGATTTCCAAAAGTATATTGTGGTTAACTGTGTCAAACGCTTTTTGTAAGTCCACAAATACGCATATCGATGGTACTTTTCCATCTATATTTTGGGTTATTTCATCTACTATACTTAATACCCCATCTGTTGTAGATTTGCCCGCTATAAAACCATATTGATTTGAATTTAGAATTTTGAATTTATTAAGAAAATTAATCATTTTATTAAAGAGTAATTTCTCAAAAACTTTAGCTAAACTTGATATAAGTGAAATAGGTCGATAGTTAGTGACGTCCGTATTATCATTAGATTTATAGATAGGTATGATGATTGCTGTCTTGAAAGCTGATGGAGATACTCCAGATTGGAAGGATTTGTTAATGATATAAGCATGTGGTTCTGTTATTTGTTTGGCCAGTATCTTTAGATGTTCAGCTCTAATTTCGTCAACTCCAGGGCTATTTATTTTTTAGAGTCATAATGGCATTGAAAACATCCTGATAGTCTACTTCAGTTAATACAAATGAATTATTCAGTCTTGTTTCATGCAGATGAATATCAGCATTTTGTTTGATATTATTTGCTAAGTTTCCTCCTATATTCGTGAAAAATTCTATGAACTCATCAAATATTTGCTGAATATTGTCTGTTTTCTGTCCTGTTTTTGTTTTTATTTCATTAATATTGTTTTTTGAATAGGATGACTTATTGAATATATCATTGACAGTGGACCATAGGTGATTTATAATGTTGAAAAGAAGCTCTGGTAAAGAATTCAGCCAGATGGGATTTTTTCAGCAGATTGGCCTTCTTTTCGTCTAATAGTCCTGGATTATATGGTAAATTGGTGTAGTAGCTACTAGTTTCGGTGACGATCAATGGACGTTCTTCTTGTTATCTTGGACACCCTGTATAAATGGTATTACACGTGCTAGGCCTAAGTCATGAAAAATTTTTTTTGCTGAAAAAATACATTTTGCTGTATGATAAGTCTAACCAGAATGTAAGAACTGTAAAACTGGTTTATTTGTCAGTGACACGGTTTTTTTATTGCTTTCTGAATAAATTCTAATTGCGTGTCTTGCAACCACCGATTCGTTCGTGCTGACTCTGTATATTGTATTTAAGGTTCCCACTGGTACTGCACCACCACATTCGATCAATAAAGGCAAAGAGCCAGTTGCCGTTCCTCTTCAATTTTGGTCAATATCGGCGCTCCCCTCCGCATCTGCTAACCCTAACGTCAAACTAGACTTGATGCCGATCAATGCAAGATCTTTGCTTCGCACCCCAGCAATCGGAGCTCCGCCCATTAAGGACGTATCCACCGTAACCACGCCTCCTGCAACTGCGCCTATCCAGGCCGCCTATCTGGCGACAACGCCCCACGGCAAGTATCTGAAGGGCATCAAGGTGGTCAAAAAGCCCAATGGACAGTTGTTGATTGTACCGGACAAAAATAGCGGCATTACTTCGTCGGCTACTGAAAAGGTGATATTGAAAGGCGTGAATATCAGACCGGAAGGCTCGAGGCGTACTTCCAACGAGTCTGCTAATGTAGATGGCAAAAGTGCTACTTGAATCGAAGGTATGTATATGTTGTGCCAGAAAGTTCTGTCCGTTTTTTAGGTTATAACAAACAAATAGATAGCAATGCTGGGGCTTTACACATAGATCTCGAAAAAATAAGTGGTTTTCCTAGTAACGTATGTCCTAGAAGTTTTGGCACAAAATAATATTGTATACCAAGTTGTTGTCGTCAACTGAGGCGGGTCACTTTGCCAAAGGAAAAATCATTATTTTAGATTTAAGTAATTCTATGTTAGATACAAACATAAAGCGAAATGTGCAGAAAAAATCCTTGTTTGGTGCGCAATTTCCAAACCAACCTTTTGGGGAATTAGTGCATAAAGTCTATATACGAAAAATGCGTGGCTTCCGAAGTACAGGGTGTTTAAATTTACTTTCTAAAATAGTTTTTTTTAAATATTTCGAACAATATTTGATATATAACAGTGAAAATTGGTATACAAGGGTTTTTTGGTACGACAAAACGAACCATGGGCATAGTTTTACTGTAGCCGCTAGAGGGCGCTCTCTACTGTACCTGTAGTGTATTAAAATGACCGAAAAAAACTTCTTAGTGCAATTTTTTGCTTTTTGAATAAAAAAACTGATTCTTCGCACTTTTCAACATAAAAAAGCTCTCTTGTGAATTTTCGTCATAGTTAGGCGTTTTTGAGATATTTCGATTTTTAAGGTTCGATGCATTTTTAATTATTTATGATAAAATAACGTTAAAAAGTCAGTATCTCGATAATTTTTAGAAGTAGGCTGTGCCTGCAAATATTTTTGAAATTGAAAGCAGAATAAAGATAAACGTCAATTAGTTGACAGTTAGTTTTGTTGTCTGTTGAAACCTGAAACGTTTTTTTGGAATTGTGAATGCACGAAATTTAGTTTTTTTTACCTGTTTTTTTTTTGTAAGTTTTATAAAAATGCCATTTTTATTCTCCAATCAAGAGTTAGCGGATATTCATTTTGTGTATGGCTTCGTAAATGGAAACGCAGCAGAAGCAGCCAGAGAATACGCACGAAGATTTCCAAACAAACGACATCCAACTCGCTCATTATTTGTAAGAGTGCATCGCCAAATAATTGAAAATGGTTTTGGAAATCTCCAAAGGGATCAAAACATAAATGTTCGTCAGCGCAGATTTACCCGTATGATTCTGCGTGAGTTTGATAGAGATCCGACCACAAGTGTTAGGAGAGTTTCTGGTGCCTTGGGAATTTCAGAAAGCCATGTTCACCGTGTTCGTAGAAATGACCATAGACGTCCTTACCATTTGCAACCTGTGCAAGGACTACAGCCAGGGGACGAAGAACGAAGAATCACATTTTGTCAGTGGATCCTTGATAGAACTGATAATAATAGGGAGTTTTTAAGTAACGTTTTATGGACCGATGAGTCATGCTTCACTAGACGTGGAGTGGTAAATTTTTATAATCAACATATTTGGTCGCATGAAAATCCGCATGCAGTTCGGGAAAGAAATTTTCAGCATGAATTTAGTGTGAACGTGTGGATTGGTATCTACCCTAATCGACTATTTGGATCTTACCTTTTGCCTGCAAGGTTAAATGCTGCGACCTTCTTGGAATTTTTAAAGGCTGAACATGCAAATATGTGGGATGATGTTATGTTAGATTTAAGAAGATTGGCCTGGTTCCAGCTTGATGGTTGTCCAGCTCATTATTCGAGAATAGTTAGAAACTGGCTGGACGAAAATTATCCAGAAAGATGGATCGGCCGTGGAGGACCAGTCGCCTGGCCTCCACGATCCCCTGACCTAAATCCATTAGATTTCCTTGTGTAGGGATTTCTAAAAGAAAAAGTGTACCAGACTCCCGTAACCACAAGAGATATGCTATTAGACAGAATCAGGAATGCATGTGATGAAATAAGGCCTTATTTGAATAATGCTATACCACGTTCGATCATTCGTAGATGTGAATTGTGTATTGAACAATTGGGTTTACATTTCGAGCAACTACTTTAGATTTTGTATGTTTGCCCTAACTATCCAATAGCATTTTAGTTGTAAATAATTAATTTAATTTTTTAAAAATAATATTGGAAAATTATATTATATATTATATAGACTTTATGCATTAATTTTAAAAGTTTTATCGAATCTTAAAGATATGCAACAATAAACTGAAACACCCTGTATAACTGTATAAATTGTGCCTATTTTGTTACAGAAAATACGTTAAAATCCTGAAACCAGGAATCTACTCTGATTGTGGATTCGTTGGAGCAAGTCTTGATCCTAAACTGTGATAAAACTCAAGTTACATATAAAACGTTGTATTGTAACCATACCTTAGCAACGATTTAATTTTACATTGTGGAATAGTAGTAATACAAAAGGTACTATAAAAGTTTTGCAATACAGTTTTGTTTATTGACTTCGTCCAAAGTAATTTCCAACACATGCAATATACCGATAAAACTAGTCCTTAAACCAGCTCTGCCAAGTTTTACCCGAGAGTGCAGCACACCAGTGGCGACGCGTGACTTTTCCGAAACTGTTACCAAAAGTTTTTGCTTATTTTAGGTATTTTATTTAAACTATTTTTAAATTAAGGTAAACATTCCTGGACTGAGCGTATGGGGCACTTGATATACCTCATCGTCTTATGCTATGACTAATCCAAGCCGTCCGAAAAAACAGTCGACGTTTCTAGATGTTCGGAAAATTTTTGATCTTTTTTGGCAATGAATGTTAACAATTCCCTGTAATTTCCTCTAAGTCATCCACTTCAAAATTAACGATAATTCCTGTTTTGCCAAAAACATACGGTATAAGTGTGCTGCCTAAAAGCTTGGTTAAAACAACTTTCGATTCTTGTCTTGTCAAACTGAATTAAATTGGCTACACATCTCACATGTAACGGAGAAATTTCATGTCTCCTCTTTAGAGCCCTAAAACTATTTACATCGTTGACTCCGCTGCTGGTCCACCCATTTTTTTCTGTATAAAACAGAAGACATCGCTAACAAAACAATCTGTTTTTTTGCAACAACATACCCAAGAGTTTCCATATACCAACTTAATTTAAAATATCAAACTACGTTTTTTTATTCCTTTTTAAAATTATCTAAAATACCGAGATTGCCGCTTATCAAACATTTTCAGCATCTTTCGGTACCAAGTCGTACGACGAGTCTTCTGCTCTTCCGTCAGGCTATGCGGTACCCTGAGAGAACAAAGTTTCCTTGCGTGTAAGAAGAATTGAATGAATTGGTGGTGCATGAAGGTGTAAGGTCTCCTCTGTCTGTTGGTATGTCACTCTCCGGTCATCGTCAAGCATTTTTCTCACAGCAGTAATGTTTTCCTATGTTACTGACTCAGCGTCATCCAAAGTGAAATTGCCCCTTTGGAATTCCCTGTAGCTCCTGAAACGACAATGATTCTTTAATGCAGGCGTCATTTCTTATAAGCACTGGTCTATGCTTAAACCACGCGTAAAACTACCCCTATCTCACTACGTGACCACGATGCCACAGTCCGCACTTTACACTGTCAATATGAATGAATAACTAAATCAACAGACGTGCTGCAGGCGGCTACTATGCACTCATGGACATGTCTCAACATGCAGTAATATGCAGCCTCCTGCGTCCGTTTGTTAAGTCATACTGCAAAACTTTTATAGTACCCTTTGTATATACAATACTACCCAGCCTTGCAACTTCCGACAATATGAGGGCTGTACGCATTGCACAACCATGGGCGTCTGCAGGAATCTTTCTCAGGGGCCGAACGTCGGCAAGAAATAGCTTTTTGTGTACCTTTTTAAAAAGCGCGAGATGGAAGTTTTGTCAAGGGGGGGGGGGGAGAATCTAAATATCCTTAAAATTGTACAAATATGCAAGTTGTAAAATTCAATCGGATTCCCCTCCCCTCGGTGGGAGCCCCCTGAACGTTGCACGATTACGCGTGGTATCTTATCGCAGTGTTTGCAAAGCTTCAAAAGCCATAGAAAACCGTCCAAACATACAGTGTTTTTTAGGGAGTTGCATTATTGTGTAATATTGTATATTTTGTGGTAATTATATCGATATTGGGCAAATTGGCCGAAACTGTTGTTAGGTTGATAAGTATATTAGGTTTCTTTTTATTGTATTACATGGAAGACTGCATTAGTCATTTATTTTGTATATATGTATATAAATACTGAGATGCCAGTGATCGTTTCGATCCAACCTTTTTTTATAAATAAACATGTGATCCGTATTAAACAGTCGTTCATTGCTTCCCCATTGTGTCCCCACCTCGTGACACCACTCATGGATTGATTAGTATCCGTGATAACATAATGTATATGTTACCGGCAATCTGAATAATCCGGTATTCTATACAACGCCTAGGTAATGTATAAAATACCTAAAACGAGTAGGTAATGTATGAAATATTGTTTTATACTAGGTATTCTATACAATACCGAATGTGCAACCGGTAATGTATGTAAAAGACGAGAGCAAGGAATAGGTTTTACGTACTGGCAAGGCAGTAGACCTACTTATTATTTTCAGAGGATTTTCTTGTTTCTTTAGTATTTGATTAAAATTTTGAGTAAGCAGTAGACGTACTGCCTATACTTTTACAGAATTGTTTTGTTTCTTGAGTTTTTTATACGTCGTACTTGTAAGCAAAAAAATTACATTATGTTACTTATAGCCACAATAATTTTTAGTTTCACGTCAATTTTACTGTTCTAACAGAAAGGTGCGTTTTTGTACCTTTTTCATAAAGCTTATTTTTAAGGAGCACTCTAATTGTTAATTTTAATCAAGTTGATTTTAAATAATATGACTCGTTTCATTTACCCGTCATTTTATAGATATGCCGGTTAACATTGATAAATGTAGACCAAGTTCTATTTATTTTACTCATTGCCGGTGGAACAGCAGGTACTCTATACAATCCCTAGGAATTGTATTCATTACCTAGGTAAAGTATGTATTGGATAATAATATTCATAATATTTCATACATTGCCGCCGTCATTTTACTATTATTTACACCGCCATCTGCCATATGATGACGTTGACGTCTGTGCATATGTCATACATGAGAGGCGCTTGCCTGCGGTATTGCCGGATTGGGCTACGCATTTAGGGAAAATGAAAAGTGGAAAATCTATACAGGGTGACTTCGAAGTTGAGTCATTTATTTTAACAGTGAGTAGATCTGATCAAAAGAAATGTTTTTTCCTTTAGCATTTTTCTGGTAAAATTAAAGTAACAAAGTTATAGCCCTTTGGAAGTTTGAGTACCGCCCTGTCTCAATAATAATATTATGTGCTCGTGTTTGGCGACAACGGATATAATCCGCCTTATCGGTTCATCGCATCGGAAACAAAAAAGCGAAAGAATTTGGAACGATGTTTTTACAATTATTTTATTCAGTTGTATACAGTCAGTGTCAGTCGGTAACGCGTGATTGAATAGTGGTGTCTGTTGCGTGGCTCAAACGAAATCAAAAATGGCACATGTTTACGAACATGCTGAACTTGTGGACATGATTCTTATTTACGGGGGGGGGGTCTTTACAAAATGCTGCCGCGGCATCACATATTTATGCGAATCGGTTTCCCACTCGAGTGCAACCAACCTCTCGTGCCTTTGTTAATGTAGTACAAAGGGCTCGTGAATCAGGTGACTTAAGACCTCACAGTGGAGAGCATGCCGGTGCTCCAAGACCGCACGATCAAATACAGGTCCGCACTGAAATATGTACTTGTCGGGAGGATACTTTATAAAACAAGGTAACATTTTTTTAATTGTTTTTTTATTTTTACGCACATATTTTGGTTCATCTCGCTTCTACAATCATTATCTGAAAATTAATGACTCAACTTCAAAGTCTCAAAGTGTATATGTACATTTATATTAATCAATGAAACACAAAACGGAAAAACTGAAAAAAACAACAATAGCAAAATAAAAAGCGGTTCTTAATAAGTATAAAATATAAAATAACAGTAGTAAGCTAACACACAATAAATTGTAAATAATTATAAAAAACAAAAAATAAAAACAGTGGTAAAGCAAAAAAAAACAATACCATGTAATTATAAAAAACAAAAAATAAACAGTAAAATAGAAAGCTATTCTAAGTGATATCAAAAAACAAAAAGTAAAAACAGTGGTAAAATGGAAAACAATTCCATGTAATTATAAAAAAAAATGCTTTTTATTTCACTGTTTGTTATTTGTTTTTTAAAATTACATGGAATAGTTTTTTTGTTTTACTACTTTTTATTGATGATTTATTGTTTTTTAGCTTACTGTCGTCATTTTTTGTTTTATACTTATTAAGAATCGCTTTTTATTTTCCTAATGTTGTTTGTTTCAGTTTTTCGTTTTTGTGTTTCATTAATTAATGTATGTATTATAAATTTTCCACTTTTCATATTTTTACCTAAATGCGGAGCCCAATCCGGCAACACCGCAGGCGTTGTGCATTACATATGCACAGACGTCAACGTCATATGACCGATGGCGGTGGAAATAATGATGAAAATAACTGCTAAAAATACAGTGTTTTGGGAAAAAATGTTCTAGACAAGCGTGATTCATTCACACTTTTTTTTCATTTAAAATGATCTATCGGACTACCTTCTAAGTTCCAAGAGAAACTACAGCGAAATTCGAAGTTCTACAAGACGCAACAGTACCGCCTGGGCAACCCAGGTATTCTATGCATTGCCTAGGTATTGTATAGAATACCTGAATTTTATAGATTACCGGTAACATATACATATATACATTGTGCCAGGAATAAGAATGGCTACAAAGTCTAGTCTAAAGTAAAAACCTTTAAAGTGTTCGATACTAAAAAAAAATTCGTGAGATACGAATGTGCGTTTCTAGTTGCTTAATCAGATGAAATTATGAAATGTATAGAAAAGCAGTGGCGTACTAGAATTATGTTATAAGATTATATTCTGATATGATGAATTCGAGTAACATATCGTATCCTTTAGCTCAGCATGAATTAGTAACTGATAGAGTTTCATCAAAATCGACACAGTATCCACTAATTTTAAGAAAAAGTCTCGTCGACAGTAGGCCCTGTAACAAATAAAAATGCTGTTTTAGATGCTGTTTTTGTATCGCAGAAACGACGAAAGATTTGACGCCAAGTATTTGAATTTCGTGCCAATATCATAACAGGGGCGCAGTGCTATTTTTATACCTCTCCGCGTTCCTGTGATCTTGATTGGAAATCTTTACCTACTAATTTTATGAATAAAGTCTGTCCGACAGTCCGATTTTCAGCAGCTAGTAATTCCTTATTAGGTTCACAGAACGGCGAGAGGCTTATCGTCAAAAATTTGAAACTAGTACGAATGAATCAGGATCGCAGAAAATAAGATATTGGAGTTAAGCATTTGGATTTCGCGACAATATCATAACAGGAGCTCACTACCACTTTTATACCTCTTAGCGTTTCTGTGATCTTGATGCCAAATCTTGATTTTACGAATAAAGTCTTGTTGATAGTGCGATTTTCAGCAACTAGTAATTCTGAATCAGGTTAGCAGAACGACGGGAGGTTTAACGCCAAAAATCTGAAATTGTAAAATGACTGGTTAATATTGCACTTTTCGGTAACTAATACGCATGAATCAGGATCACAGAAACTAAGAGATATTGGAGTTAAGCATTTGGATTTCGCGACAATATTATAACAGGAGCTCACTACCACTTTTATACCTCTTAGCGTTTCTGTGATCTTGATGCCAAATCTTGATTTTACGAATAAAGTCTTGTTGACAGTGCGATTCTCAGCAGCTAGTAATTTTGTATCAGGTTCGCAGAACGACAGCTTTAACGTCTAAAATCTGAAACTGAAAAAGTACTGATCCATAGTACACTTTTCGGTAAGTAGTAAGTATGAGTCAGGAATGCAGAAACTATAAGAGGTATTGGTGTAAAGGATTTGGACTTTTGCGACAATATCATAACAGAAATGCTGTACCATTTTTATACCTCTCCGCGTTTGTGTGATCTCGATTGCAAATCCTTACCTACTAATTTAACGAATGAAGTCTGGCCGTCAGTGCGATTTTCAGCCGCTAATAATTCTGTATCAGGTTCGCACATTGGCGAGAGGTTTAGAGCCAAAAATCTGAAATTGAAAAATGACTGATTAATAGTAATTAATCAGGATTGCAGAAACTATGAGAGGTATAGGTGTCAAGGATTTGAATTTCGCGCCACTATCACAACAGGAGCAAGGTGCTATTTTAATAGCAAAACCCCTCCTCATTTTGTGAAGAAAGTGATATCCAGAAGCTAATATAAGTGTGTATCAGGTTCGCAGAACGACGAGAGATTTAACGCCAAAAATCTGAAACTGTAAAACAACTGGTTGATAGTGCACTTTTCGGTAACTAATACGTATGAATCAGGATCGCAGAAACTAAGTGATATTGGAGTCAAGGATTTGGATTTTGTGCCAATATAACAGGAGCTCACTACCACTTGTATACCTCTTAGCGTTTCTGTGATATTGATGCCAAATCTTGATTTTACGAATAAAGTCTTGTTGACAGTGCGATTTTCAGCAGCTAGTAATTTTGTATCAGGTTCGCAGAACGACAGCTTTAACGCCAAAAATCCGAAACTGAAAAATTACTGGTGCACTTTTCGGTAACTAGTAAGCATGAATAAGGATCGCAGAAACTATACAAGAGGTATTGGTGTAAAGGATTTGGATTTTGCGGCAATATCATAACAGAAATGCTGTACCATTTTTATACCTCTCCGCGTTTGTGTGATCTTGATTGCAAATCCTTATGTACTAATTTAACGAATGAAGTCTGGCCGTCAGTGCGATTTTCAGTAGCTAGTAATTCTGTATCAGGTTTGCACATTGTCGAGAGGTTTAGGGCCAAAAATCTGAAATTGAAAAATGGCTGATTAACAGTAATTAATCAGGTTTGCAGAAACTATGAGAGGTATAGGTGTCAAGGATTTGAATTTCGCGCCAATATCATAACAGGAGCAAGGTGCTATTTCAATAGCAAAACCCCCACCTCATTTGTGAAGAAAGTGATATCCAGAAGCTAATGACAGTCTGTATCAGGTTCGTAGAATGACGAGAGGTTTAACGCCAAAAATCTGAAATTGTAAAATGACTGGTTAATAGTGCATTTTTCGGTAACTAATACGTATGAATCAGGATCGCAGAAACGAAGAGATATTGGAGTTAAGCATTTGGATTTCGCGACAATATCATAACAGGAGCTCACTACCACTTTTATACCTCTTAGCGTTTCTGTGGTCTTGATGCCTAATCTTGATTTTACGAATAAAGTCTTGTTGACAGTGCGATTTTCAGCAGCTAGTAATTTTGTATCAGGTTCGCAGAACGACAGCTTTAACGTCAAAAATCTGAAACTGAAAAAGTACTGATCCATAGTACACTTTTCAGTAAGTAGTAAGTATGAGTCAGGAATGCAGAAACTATAAGAGGTATTGGTGTAAATGATTTGGACTTTTGCGACAATATCATAACAGAAATGCTATACCATTTTTATACCTCTCCACGTTTGTGTGATCTTGATTGCAAATCTTTACCTACTAATTTAACCAATAAAGTCTGGCCGTCAGTGCGATTTTCAGCAGCTAGTAATTCTGTATCAGGTTCACCACATTAACGAGAAGTTTAGCGCCAAAAATCTGAAATTGAAAAATGACTGATTAATAGTAATTAATCAGGATTGCAGAAACTATGAGAGGTATAGGTGTCAAGGATTTGAATTTCGCGCCAATATCATAACAGGAGCAAGGTGCTATTTTAATAGCAAAACCCCACCTCATTTTGTGAAGAAGTGATATCCAGAAGCTGATGTCAGTGTGTATCAGGTTCGCAAAGACATCGAGAGGTTTGACGCTAAGAATTTGAATTTGACTGGTTCAGCAACAAATTGTATATCGGAATCGCAGGAACGACGAGGAATATTGTTGCCACACAGTATCACTTTAATACCTTCCGCGTTTCTGTGATCCTAAAAGTGAAACTCTACCCACTATTTTAAAAAAATCTGGTCAACAGTGTGATGTTTAGCGGCTAGTAGTTCTTACGAAATACTGAAACAAAGGATTTGAATTTCAGGCCAGAGTTTCTAGAAAATGACTACAAAATCCTAAATTTTGGAGAAGATGTATATGGTGTTTCCATACACGTTCATACGAACATTTTTTCTTTCTCAAAACATTTGTTATCGTACTCAGTTTCTTCCGTCGACTACTCTATACTTTCTAGTAGATTTCCATGTGATTCATCAATCCATGATTTAATATCTAAAAGCAACTACTCCCACTTTTGGAAAGGCTACTTAGGTAGTCGAAACTACCTAATTATTCAACACTTGTAGTTTTATTTAGAGGTCACAACACTGAGAACCCACTATTCCCACTGCATGTTAAATTAAACTACGTCTATTCCAAAACAATTATCTCAATAAATGCATCATCATTGCAGTAAACATCACAAGTCAACATTATTATCGCGCAATATTACTTAAGTATAGGTTTTTCAAGTAAATACAGATAACCGATGAGTAGTATCATTTTGAATCAAAATATTTAATTTTAGATATTTATATATTGTCCATCATTGAACCTGTTTTACCAATGTCATCCAGAAGGTGTTTAGTAAAATAGATCGGAAAATGAGTGCAAGGAAGTTATTCTTGGTTCTAGTGACACTTTTTTGTTTTGTAAAGACAAATGAAGGTGAGTGCGATCTACAATTACGTTAAAACCGCGAGAATTTAAAAACTTCTTAGGGGAAATATCATGGCAATGTCGTAGAATCCGTATAATCTGAGATCCTAAGTAAAACGTATTATTAGTCTTGTGCAAATTCGCAAAGTTAGTCTAGACTAGACTTTGGTCCAAAAATTTTTACATCCTCAATGATCAAAGTCCGAAATTTTGACAACGGAACATCTCAGTCGGATGAAAGCTTCGCAATGTGATGAAGAGTAAAAAATTATGTTCGACAATATGCAGGATCCTCATTAAGCAGGACTTTCACTTATTTGATAAGCGGATGAATATTTTTATATGATAGATTATGTTAAAAAATGTCGGTAGTAGATTGCCTAAAGAAATCATGAAGAGAATATTTTTAATTAAAGAGCGATGATTTTTTTGTTTTTTCTTTTGACAGGAAAACAATCATTTGTATTTTTTATCAACGTTGTAAAAATATAAAATAATTTGCAAAGAGCAATGTTACAAAAAAAGGAAACATGTTTTTCGCTCCGGACCATTTGATAGTTGTCGACAATATAATTTGAAACAGTTCAAAACATGCCATTTTTCCGTTAATAAAATTTCAAAGCATTTTAAGATGAATCATTATTGTTTGTTTTTTACCTGTTAATCGAGCAGGATATTCACTAATCGCGCGCTTGATTAAGAGTTAAAAGTCAAAGGTTTGCATTATAACAATATCCCATAAAAAGGCTTTGGGATTTTGTTAATGAACCCTTAAAGAACATTCGAGAACTTCGACAACATTGAAAAATTATTTTTTTTCGTAGTGTCGGTGTTGAAAATGGCATATTTTGAACCTTTTTAGATGTTAAATCGCTTATATCGGACTATCAACTATCCAAACCGAAAAAAAATTTGGAATGTGTTAAAAAATTGTTTCAATAATTTTTGACCTAATTCTAGGTCTATCAAAATGCGAATTCATTAAAAATGGGGCCTTTCTCGAATAAATTATGCACAAAAACGAACCAGAATATTTTTTTGAGCAGATTCGAGGATACTTCGACTAACGGAACAACGTTATGTCAAATGGCATATCGTGACACGTGGAACCTGGAGTATATGTTACTTATGATTTTTTTTAGGTGCAAAAATCCTGGGCTGGAGTGCAATGCCTGCTCCGAGCCACAACTTTCTGGGCAAGGCGATTTTTAGGGCTCTGGCAGAAGCTGGACACGACGTAACCGTCGTCACTTCTTTCCACGAGGAAACACCACCAAAAAATGGAAAATGGAGAGAAATCTTGTTGAAGGGTTTCTACGAAAAAATGACCAGTCAGTATACCTTCCCACTTCGTACAATAAAAGCCACGTTGATTTATTTCGAGAAAGCAACTGTGCTTGTTTATCGGAATATCTTCAAACAAAATACGAGTATATAATTACGATGAGCTTTCCCTGATTGATTGTAAAAATCTGTCAAGTTTCTTAAATGGAATATCCCATATTTTATATACCCTTTCTCCTCCCAAAAGAAGTACAGGGTGGCCCATAAGTCGTTTGAGCTGGAAAAAAAGGAATAAAACCAAACTAATTACATTATGAAGAATTATTATATTTTGTTATCATCTTTATTGAATGGGAATTATGTTTTAAAAATCACATCGTCTAAATGCAATCCATTACGATCACGGCACTCATATAAACGACGTCTAAAATTGTCGATGACTGCGCGGCAAGTCAACACTGTAATGCTTGCCATTTCTCTTCGGATATTTTCTTTCAGGACATCAACTGATCGCGGAGTGGTGTCGTACCCTTTACTCTTGAGGTAGCCCCATAGAAAGAAGTCCATTGGAGTCAAATCTGGACTACGTGGTGGCCAGGAAATGTCTCCTCTTCGAGAAATTACTTTGCTGGGAAAAAGTTGACAGACGACGGGCATAGAAGTGTTGGAGGTGTGGGCAGTTGCTTCGTCCTGTTGAAACCAGGTCTGCGTATTATAGCCTGGAAAATTCTGCAACGCTGGTGTCAAAAACTCTTCTATCATTGCTACATACCGCTCCGAAGTAACAGTTAATGCGCGACCTCTGTCGTCCTCAAAAAAATAAGGGCCTACGATGCCATGCGCTGACATAGCAGCCCAAACTGTAACTTTAGGGCTGTGTAAGGGCTTCTGATGCTTACGCCTTGGATTTTCGGGGCTCCAATAACGGCAATTTTGTTTATTTACATGCCCGTTTAAATGGAAGTGAGCCTCGTCCGAGAACAACACATTATTGAGCGAAGAAAATCGATTCAACATTTCATTCGCAAAGTTTAGTCTCTGAATAGCGTCATTATCTTTTAATTCCTGCACTAACTGAATTCTGTAAGCGTGCAGACGTAAATCTTTCCTTAAAATCAGCTGTAAAGATGTTCTGGGTACGTTTAGTGCACTGGAACGCTTACGAGTAGACTGGGTAGGATTTTGACGAACAGACTGTGCCACAATGTTGATGTTTTCTTCAATACGAGTTGTCCTTGGTCGACCCCACCGCTGTTTATCTAACGTCGAACCAGTCTCTTCGAACTTAGCAACCCAGTTCTTAATCGTTTGAGCTGTTGGACACTTTGTAAAATTGTGTAAATTGTGGTATTCTCGATATTTACGCCGCGCAATGGTTGCCGAATCATTATTTTGATAAAACGCGCGCACACAAAAAGCACGATCCGCTCCAGTGAAACACTCCATGGCGACTGAATTCCCAGACACTGAAGATACTGCCCCAACCTCGCCCGCGCCGCTCACGGTCACCCGTTAAATTTTATTCAAATTTGAAATTTCAAAGGACTTATGGACCACCCTGTATATTAGCATAAAGTTTTCTGTGCGCGATGACAGCGAATAATTATTCAGGACTCGGGACATATCAATTCTTGGAATGAGATGCTTTCATAACAATTTACGGTTTGTTTTTCGTTAAAATTGAATAAAACAAGACGAATGTACTTGTGTTGGTGCATATTAAACTAAGTAATTTCCGTACTTGAACCAAAAAAAAATAATGTGATAAGTAGGTACAAGATTTGAATCCCTAAAATATCTTTTAAACTTCCAACCTCAAACTATGCAAAAAGGGACAAATTCGTTATGTGATGAGACATTGAAAAGGTTAGGACAAACGGACAAAGCTGCTTAATAAGATTAGTCTGATCATAAGACAAACATCTAGGACACACACTCTCTACAAAATATCACTAAATCTGTGTACCAATCTACTTAATTAAATTGTACTTCTGAGTTAGCTTCGCGTCAGCGTCCTGTTTATTTTATTGTAATTCTTGGCACACAGTACAGTAAAAATAAATATACTAAGCGACATATAAATCCGAACACTCAGTTTAAATGGTTTTATTTTAATAAAAGTTGGTGAATGTATTTATCTTACTGTAAATAACAAGTGAAAAAATGTTCAGCCTTATCAGTTGGACATTCCGGTTTTTATACTGCTTTTTTTTAATTCACTAACGCTCTAAAAATGAATCTTTCAGCCGCAGTAAAGAATCAACGTTGGCGGATTTTGGTTCTTGACATCCTTTACGATCGGTTACGATGCCTAGAGTACGGAGACCTGTACGATTTCGTCAACTTAGTGAGTTTGATAGGGGCCGTATAGTGGGACTTCGGGAAGCTGGACTTTCTTTTCGGGCAATTGCAGTTAGAGTGCAAAGAAGTGTAGACACTGTGGTTAGGTGTTGTCAGGCATGGCTTCGAGAAGGCCGTACGCAAAGAGCAAGGGGCACTGGACGCCGCCGTAGAACAACAGACCGTGAAGATCGCCGCCTAAGATTATTGGCCTTAAGGGAATGGTTTGCAGAACACGGAGGACCTATTGGCTTGTGAAGTGTTTACCGACGAATGAGAAGTTTTGGCTTGTTTTCATACCGGCCACACTGGGTCCTCCCTTTAACTCGAGAACACCGACGTAATCGCCTTGAGTGGTGCAGACAACGGTCACTTTGGGATCAGGAATGGAACAGTATTGTCTTTAGTGACGAGTCTCGATTTTGTTTAGGCATGCACGATGGTCGTGCCAGGGTTAGAAGGCGACGTGGTGAAAGGAGGAATCCACAGTTTTTTGTTGAAAGACATGTTGATCACACTGTTGGAGTTATGGTTTGGGGTGCTATAGCTTATGGTTCCAGGTCACCTTTAATCTTCATCAGAGGTAACATGAACGCGCAGCGTTATATCCACGAAGTTCTAGAACCCCATCTTTTACCCTATCTTGACACCCTGGCAGATCCAACTTTCCAACAAGATAATGCCCGACCACATGTTGCAAGAGTCACAATAGACTTCTTTCAACATAATGATGTCACATTGTTACCATGGCCACCAAGATCTCCCGAATTATCCCCAATGGAGCACGTGTGGGATATGATGGGTAGGAGATTGCTCAATTTGCAACGTCCTCCTCAGACTCTAGAAGCACTTCGAGAGGAGTTGGTGGTTGCCTGGAATGAGATACCACAGGAGGACATTGACCACCTGATCACAAGCATGCCTAGGCGCGTTAGAGAATGCGTAGCACATCAGGGTGCATCCACACATTATTAAAGGTCAAAGGGCTTTAAAGCAGTGCAATCCTTTTGAAATTTTTATCATTTACTTATTATGCTTCATTAAGTACTTATACAAAATTTTATTAAAATAAAACCATTTAAACTGGGTGTTCGGATTTATATGTCACTTAGTATATATTCACTAACATTATATTAGGTTATGTTCCTCACTTTTCCAAAAAAGCTGTCATACACACCACACACCTTCCTACCCTGTGCGGTCCCTCCACCACCCCTGTTCCAGGCAACCTCAAACCCTTGGGGAGTGGGGGGAAGAGCAATCTGTTCCTCCCTCCAATGAAGCTGTCAAATTATTTTTTTTGCGCTAATTTCCATACTGGAGGAAACGTATAAAATTTGGACGTAGTGCTTTTTATTGTTTTTACAATTTACAACGTGTTGTGACAAATTTCGAGAATTTCATCGTTTTTAGATGAAAATATTTATCAAATTTAGTCTGAAACTGTATGAAATAAATGCAATTTGACACACGTCAGTCCCGAGTTGATGGTCTTCACCACATAGCGTGTTGATGACCTGTTATTCGATGTGATTTTTTTTCAATAATTTTTTCAATTATGAATACGCTCAACTTCGACAACTGCCAGTCCGTTATTTTTAAAGATACTAAATAATAAAATAATGTATTCATAATAATGAAAATGATGGATATTTCCGTCACAATCTATTAAAAAAATATTCCAACCACCATATTGAAATTTTCAACAGTACGAGCCAAAGTAATTGAGAAATCTGACGGTCTGTACCTGCCAAGCTAATCTTCATCCTAATCCTCTCGATTTACCTCACAGAAGATCCCTACGCCTCTGGCTCATAACTGTTCTACAGTATATTCAGATAAGAGATAGACCGGACATAAACAAGACCACGTGATCATCGAACGCTGTAACATTCGGCAGGGACGTATTAAGAGTCACGCAGTACATATTTTAGATAGTAGATGCTGCTTTGCGTAACTTTGTAGTAAATTAGCACAATTCGATGTGTATACGATTGGTGATGGATATAGGATCATGTGGGGGTGGGGTAAGAAATATATATAATGATGTAAATATACCTAAGGGTTTCAAAATGTTCGCTTCGATTTCCAGCTTCAGATGCCGCCTGATGTTTGGTGAAATACAGTCGAATATAATCTCAAACTGGCGTTTAAATTAGCCTAAATTAAAAATAATCGTATATCTCTTAAAATTGCTTTTAGAATATTGATTAGTATATTTTTTGATTTCTAGGTAAATATGTAACCAAATTAAAACGTTCAAAACGTAAAAAAATGTGCATGGTTGAACATTGTCAGAAAGTAGATTCTTGAATAGGTTTTGCCAAAATGGGTTCAAAAATGTCAATAATTAATTAAAAAATACAGTAGCTTTATAATTACTTATAACTTACCGAATTTGATGAACGACATCTTTTATTGGAAAGATGAGCTTGATGAGCTTTCATCATCGCTACTGCCTGAAGCACCAACGTCAATAATGAATGGCTCGACTTGTTCCTCTAAAATATTGTCCAGTTCCCACATTTTCTTTTCAACTTTCACGTGCTTAATACAGTTTTTATTAATTCTAGTGCTTCTTTGAAAAGTCCTTAGAGGTCACAAAATTTAAAAGTTGTATTGTGCTTAGCTATATAATTTTTAACCTCTGCCCATATGAGCTCAATGGGATTGAGCTCGCAATGGTATGGAGGTAAACGGAGCACAGTTTTATTTTGACTTGCTGCCACTTCGTCAATGGCGTATTTTTGATATTCCGCCTTGTGATCCTTGACAATTCTTAATAATTGTACTTTCAGCATTGCTTCTTCAAAGTTGATATTTTTCGAGCGGAGCCAATTTTGAACATCAACTTTCCTTGAAGCCGTTGTTGGGACCTTCTCCATTCTTCGAGAATGATAAGGCGCATTATTGAAATACGCACAAATATTAATATTAACAAATTATAACTTTATAAAGCTTAAAGTATGAATTAAAATGATTAGAAATATTAGGAACGGTACACAATATAAAACTTAGTAACTTTTTTTAAGTTTATAATATTCGACATATTTTAAGATTATATTCAAAAAATTATTGAAATATCGAAAACACATAAAAACATGGCTTAAAAAAGTTCTAACAAATGAAAATGACAATAAAACATCCACGCATTTTATCGAAAGTTATAAAAGTTTTGTTACTTGTAATATGTTTTATCTGCCCCCTGGAATTAATGTTTAGAACCTTGTTCCCAAGGTTTGAAAAGCATCCGATTGTTGTCTATTACTCATATTTACCTGCTGGATTTTTTAATCCGGTGGACAGTCCATCTGGAATGGCCCTCCTGGATGAAGTTACAGAATCATCAACCCATACTTTACTTGTAGTGTGTCCTGCGTTTACCCACGTTTCATCAAGGTAATAAATCTTCCTGTTTTGATTTCTATATTTCCCAATTTTTGTTAAATAATCCCTCCTCCATAGTACAATTTCTTCTCTATCCAGTAGTAAACTATTACGACCCCGTTTTTTCCATTTGAAATTTAAATGCTTCAGTAACGCATGGAAAGTTGATCGTTTGAAATTTGGCAACGTTGTATCTCCATTTACCTCCTGCAGTACTTTATCTATAGTAGGTATTTCATTCCTAAAGAAGAATTCATGCACTTTCCTCCTAATCGCATGCTTATCAGCTTCATCCAATGATTTAACAATACTTTTGCGATGTTTACTGGTCATTGGCTCAGAAAAGGTGTGATTTTTTTTGTATTGTCTTAACACATTAAACACTGATGCGCGACACACCCCAACTTTGTGAGAAATCTTCACAACAATTTCTTTGATGGTTGATGCCTCGTTCTCCTCGCGCTCGATCTTATATATATTCAAAATGACCTCTTTCATTTCTGCACTCAGGTGTCTTTTTTAGAGCGTTTCCTAGGTGGACTACAGGTGTTTACAACTTCATCGGCAGTATCTGTACTACTGGGCATTTTGCGCAAGCAGTTGATAACAATAACAATCAATAACAAGGTATAACAATAACAACGACAAACTCAACAACTTAATAAGATAACAAACGAAAACGTCCAAAGAAATATCAAATTGCAATGATGCACACGACATACGTAACACGTCTGAATCTGAATGTGACTCTGCCTTGATACGACTGCTCTGCCGCTCGGCATAGGCATTTAATTGCGAATTGACCAATGAGGGCTCCTGTTTTACGTCGAGACGGCGGCGTTAGCGTGAAAATCACCCGAACCTTTTGTTTACATCCGGTCTATCTCTTATCTGAATATACTTTAAACAAACTCGCTGTTGCCGATGCGCTTATCAAAAAAATTGTGTGCAGCTTACTGTTCTCGCTCGCTGAAACCGTGGTGTGTGCCTACGAGTCGGCGAGGTGCAACTAGAAAGCGATTACCTTACCAAATCGGCACGGGTATCACGTATCTTGAAAAGCGACATTATGCTGATTTTTTTGACATTATGTAGGTTTTTCGCCAAGACGTTGACACTTAAAATATACGTGTTGCCTAAATGTCATGAGGCTTGTTATCAATCTTTGGCTCTGATGTGATGGCATTACTGGAGGTCTAAGCTGTAAGTTGTATGAGTTGATGATAATTACATTTGGTTCTTGTCTCAAATACACTTAATTGAGATTCAAAGCTAGAAATTAGTTGCGCATCCACTTTTTCTTATCCATTCTGGAAATTACATATACAAATTTGCTGAATTTCAAAAATGAGAGAGATAAGAAATAATTATATTCCACTGTACACTGTTGAATTACAAGCCATATACATGCTAACTGTAATTACACACAACGCGGGCGCGGTGATGATTTCCCGTAATTCTCCTCAGTTTTTCGTAATTTATAACTTTGAACATAGCCTCTCTTCAGAAAGCACAACATATAAATAACCCGTCATATTCAGTAATGACTTTCTCACACAGCAAATATCACTGATTCTATACACATGCAGATCAATACACATAATCATCCAGATGCGATCTTGTTATTCAACCAACTTTCGTCTCAGAGATAAAAACTACAGACACGGATCACTCAGCCTCACAAAACTATGCAATCAATAATGCGTGTTGTTTAGTTGAGTGATTCCTTCATAGATGGACGTTCACAACGATCCTAGTGAGCAAATGTGGAATGACTGTTTGCGCCCTAAAAACTACCTAGTCTGCAAGTTAACATCTTATAGGTTTTTTTGGACGTTTTGTAGGTTTTTTACATGATACCCGTGCCGTTCGTATCTCTTGAACTTGACAGTTCGAAAAATATATGGGGGCAATTTGAAAAGCTTCGTATTAAATAAATTAATGTGAGGAAAGATCAATACCACAAAGATATCGAATTTATGAAGTTTCAAGCCAAATATTTCAAAAACTGGACGGTGGATTTTCGTCCAATTTTTCAGTAATTTCAAGTTTGACCAACATAAAAGAAACACTGCTGACGAAACTTATCTTTCGCTTACAGAGCAGTTTGCAACGATGAATTTCTTCGATGACGGCAAGAAATTGTCATTCGGTTTTATGAACATATACAAAATGGTCCTTCAGTTAACAGAAGATACACTTTCCTACCCCGAGGTGCAAAACCTCATAAAATCCGGTGAAAAATTCGACGTAGTAATCGTCAGTCAATTCATGAACGAGGCACACTACATGCTGGCTCCGCATTTCAATGCACATTTGATAGGCTTGAGTACAATTGGGTCAAGCAACTGGAATAACTACCTGGTAAGCCAACAAACCTTTCATCTTAATATTTGATCAAAATGTGTTGCCCAGTACGTCTTCATATAGTCTAAGATAAGTCCAAGATAAAAAGTATTTTTTATGAAATGAAATACGTTGTTGTGTAAGGTGTTAGTGATAAGTTAACTGAAGAAATCTTGAACAAGCTATTTTTTTAAATATCGTAAAGAGCAATAGGTAATTCTGCAGCCATCGATGGGAAATAATGTCGAATACTAGGGATGTCTTTTAAGTTTTGCATATGGAAATAAAACAACACGGTAGGTAGTATTAAATGACTTTATTGTTTTTCGAAGTATTCTCCACGAAGATTAATATACATCTGCATGCGCTCGAACCAATTTTCGAAGCACTTATTCCACTCGTTTGCTGGCAGATCCAAAACGGCAGCTTTGAATGCGTCAACTGCTTCTTCTGGTGACTGAATCCTTTGACCACGCAATCTTTAATTTTCGGGAAAGTAAAGAAATCGTTAGGACTTAGATAGGGACTATATGAAGGATGGTCCAATAATTCCACGCTTTCTTCCGTTAAATACTGCCTTGTTTTTTGGGCTGTGTGCGAGTTTGCATAGTCGTGATGGAGGATGATTCTTCTTTCGGGGTTGTTTTTTCGAAGCTCGGTGATGACTTTTGGCAAACAAATGGCGGTATACCAATCCGCAGTAACAGTTCTTTGCTCGTTAAGAGGAATTGTTGCAATATGATCCGGTTTTGACACAAATATCGCGACCATCTTTTTCGAAACACTTCGAGAACGGATGACTTTTGTTGGCTTTTCTTCACCTTGGAACACCCAAACAGCCGACTGTCGTTTATTTTCTGGTTCATAACATCAAATCCACGATTCATCACCACTAACAATGCTGCACACATTTTTTGAGTTTTCCGAATTGAAACGGTCAAGCGTTTTTTGACACCAATTAACCCTGGCTGCTTTCTGCTCTTCAGTCAACAGGTGGGGTATCCAACGAGGAACTAATTTTCTTACTCCTACTTCTTCATGTAAAATTTTTTGAATTGAGGTCTTTGAGATGCTCAAGGACGCCTCACATGTCTATCTTCTAACTTTAAATTTAAATTTACTAAAGAGTGAGGTTAAGATTCAGTACTGACGTTCGATCAGCGCGGCCTACTATGTTTCTACATGCAAAATTTAAAAGACATCCCTCGTAAGAGCCGTTTTACACACAAGAGAATTACTCCGAAAATTATGGTCATAATTATGCCGAAAATTTTGGTTGTCGTATTACACGTAAAAGAATTCTTGTGAAAATTTTCATGGTAAAAATATAAAACCCGTTCTATAGAATATGCGCGAGAATCGGCGCAGAGGTTATTTCCGTGCATGTCAATATCAAATGTCAACATCAACAACATAACCTCACTTAACATTTGTGGGTGTGGTCCTGTTCGAGTCGTACGGAGAAGCGTTTATTGTTATTGTTTATTCATACATTCATAATGTCGTGGAATCGGGAAGAAGTTACACTGTTTTATAATATTAACAAAGATCTAGATTTCAAAAATAAATTTAAATCAACGACGTCTGTTGTCTTTCCGATTATATTGGACGTCATACTCGTTAAGGTTATGTCCATTCGAAAATATTACTCTAATGCGCAGGCATATCATATGAATTACTCCGAAATTTTGTTTACTTGTATCATACAGGTTGTAGAGAAAATCATCAATATTTTTTCCACGCAAATTTTCGGCATAATTATGACCATAATTTTCGGAGTACTTCTCTTGTGTGTAAAACGGCTCTAAGTCAATAAATTGATATATGTTTCTAATTGATCCAAAAATTGATTTAGAGATGGGATGTCGTAGCAAAATCGTAATTTTGGTTGGACTTAAAATCGCTCGATCCAATTTTGCTCACAGTGTGAGCCGCGGTCTTGTGTACTTGCGACCTTGCTAGACTGAGTTGGGTTGCTGTATGTGTTGTTTGATGTAGTCCCTTCCGAAAGAGACTTCAAGGTATCATACCCACTATTGGCGTCACTAATATGCATGTGATCCAATTATTTTTTGACTGTCCATATTGTTACAGAATGACGTCATCAACTTGATACTTGAGCCCTATAAAATTACGAGTATTAACTAATGAAAAACGGAAAAAATCACTATACAATTATTTATCGGGTGGTTTTTACAACTTTCTTGTGTACAACCTTCCTGAGTGCAATCAATAAATACTGAAAATGGTTAAGAAAATGCACAGTCGGATAATGTTCTGAAAATAGACGTTTTTACATCAATAAAATAAACACAAATGATCGTTAGCTGCGGGGCAAAACAAGACGCTAGAAATACTTGAAAATTACGTCACATATTGTATTTCTTAAAAAAATACACTCACATGGCCGTCAGATAGCGAAAATCGAGCTCAATAAGGGATTTGAGAGATCGTATCGCCATCTATGAGACAGAAATAAAACACCAAAATGAATTTAGAAATCTATTTTTGTGTTCTGCTACGAGGGATGTCTTTTAAGTTTTGCATATAGAAACATAGTAGGCCGCGCGGATCGAACGTCAGACTGAATCTTAACCTCACTTTTTAGTAAACTTAAATTCAAAGTTTCACAACAATACGTGCAGTGTTCTCACTACAGTGAATTTTTAAGTGTCACCAAGTCATTAGAAAAATGGAACTAAACCGAGAACATTTTCGCGCCATAATTTATTACAACTTTCAGATACAATTATCGCAACAAGAATGCCTTGCTGAGTTACTGTCTGTTTTCGGCAACGAAGCGCCACATCAGTCGACAATTTCCCGTTGCTGTGCGCAAACTCATCATTGAAGATAGACATGTGACATATCGTGAGATTGAGGCGACCTTGAAGATCTCAAAGACCTCAATTCAAAAAAAATTACATGAAGAATTAGGAGTAAGAAAATTAGTTTCTCGTTGGATACCCCACCTGTTGACTGACGAGCAGAAAGCAGCCAGGGTTAATTGGTGTCAAAAAACGCTTGATCGTTTCAATTCCGGAAACTCAAAAAATGTGTACAGCATTGTTAGTGTTGATGAATCGTGGATTCACTGTTATGAACCAGAAAATAAACGACAGTCGGCTGTTTGGGTGTTCCAAGGTGAAGAAAAGCCAACAAAAGCCATCCGTTCTGGAAGTGTTTCGAAAAAGATGGTCGCTACATTTGTGTCAAAAGCGGGTCATATTGCAACAATTCCTCTTAATGAGCAAAGAACTGTTACTGCGGATTGGTATACCACCATTTGTTTGCCAAAAGTCATCACCGAGTTTCGAAAAATCAACCCCGAAAGAATCATCCTCAACCAAGACAATGCAAGTTCGCACACAGCCCAAAAAACAAGGCGGTATTTAACGGAAGAAAACGTGGAATTATTGGACCATCCTCCATATAGTCCCGATCTAAGTCCTAACGATTTCTTTACTTTCCCGAAAATTAAAAACAGACTGCGTGGTCAAAGGTTCCAATCACCAGAAGAAGCAGTTGACGCACTCAAAAATGCCCTTTTGGATCTGCCAGCAAACGAGTGGAATAAGTGCTTCGAAAATTGGTTCGAGCGCATGCAGACGTGTATTAATCTTCGTGGAGAATACTTCGAAAAACAATAAAGTCATTTAAAACTACCTACCGTGTTGTTTTACTTCCATATGCAAAACTTAAAAGACATCCCTCGTATATTCTCATAGATGGCGCTAGGGTATTCATATCACTTTCTGGGGCATCGTAATAGAGTATATGATCGACCATCTTCATATTATTCACTGGAAAATAAACAATATTCGACAGGTTGGGAATCCGTCCCTGCCTTCAGTAGACAGAGAAATGATGTTAAGCCATCCCAGAAGGATGAACTTCTTCCAAAGAAGTTTGAACACACTGGTATCTGTTATAAACTATCTGGCCCGAACTTTCTACCTGTTACCGAACCATGCTGAATTGACCAAAAAGTATATTTCTGACAAGATCGACTTCGAAAAGGAGTTGTACAACGTATCGTTGGTACTTTTGAACTCACATCCGAGCGTTTCTGACCCAAAACCTCATGTGCCTAACATGGTAGAGATCGGTGGATTTCATATTAAAGAGCCTAAACCTTTGCCTGAGGATTTGAAGAAACTTTTGGATGGGGCCAAGCATGGAGTTATCTATTTCAGGTATTATTTTGCTAGTTTTGTTTTCTTTTACTTCTACTTAGGTGGATTTTGTGTCCAAATGTCAATTTGCGTTGAGACCAACCGCGTCCCAGATGCCTCATTATGTTGAGTGGATTCGTAATCCGAATCCCGGAAAATCACAGTTAGAATGCGATATTTTATGAAAAAGAATCAAATATCTTTAAAATAGACAAAAAATACGTGACATCTCTCAAAATGTTTTCCAGCATGGGTTCAAATATAAAAAGCAAAGATCTTCCAGTGGAGAAAAGAAACGTCATACTGAAGGCGTTCGGTAAAAGAAAAGAGACAATTTTGTGGAAATTTGAAGAAGACAGCTTGCCGGGAAAACCAAAAAACGTTATTATTAGAAAATGGTTCCCTCAACAAGACATCCTTGGTAAGTTTTTAAACCGTTTTGGTACAAATTTACTAAGGGCTATTGACTTGACTTTTTTTTCATCCTTACTACTAAACTGAATCCAAATTCAAGATGAGATGTAAATAATAACAGTTAGCGCGTGATCTCTCGGTAACAGGTGGGGACAACGCCTCTTATTGGTCAATTCGCCATTAAATTTCAAGCGGTTGCCTGGCGGAATAATGCGCGGGGCAGGGGCAGGGCAGGCAGAGTTGCATTCAGGCCACCGACCGTCGCGTGTATCACTGCGTGCTCGTGTTTTCGCATTCACCTTGCTTGGTTGTTGCTGTTGTTGTTGTTAAGTGTATTTGAGTAATTTGTTAAGTTTCTGATTCTGTTAAATACTGTCATCTTTGTTTTACAACACGTTGGTGGTAGTCCATCATTCGGAGGTAGCCCTGAATGCGGCCCTGTACGCCGTCCTTGCTTTTGGCAATCACGCATCCATTCTATCTTGGGTGTAAATACACTTATACTATTCCTTGAGATGTATTTAAAGCTAGAAATTAGTTGCGCATCGAATTTCTCTTAGCAGTTCTGGAAATAACGTATGAAAATTTCCTGAATTTCAAAAGTGAGAGAGATAAGAAAGGAAAATCCCTGGTTGGTCAAGTATATTACAACAGGTGAGAAAATATGCTACAGACAGGAATATTTATGAAACGTAAAAAAATTATTGGTAGCATGTCTAGTAATAATTTTCTCGCATATCAAATACGCGATCTTGCTACCCAAACAAATTTCTTTTATCTTCCCAGAGATAAACACTACACACACTACTAGGCTTTCTGCAACCAAGAATGCATGCCGTGTCGTTGAGTCGTTCCTCCATAGATGGACGCTTTTGAGGGCGCTCTCATACTCGGCGAACGTGGAATGAACTATTTGCACACTAAAAACTACCTAGTTTGCTAGGTGGCATTTTGTTGTTTTTTACGTTTCTTTGTTTTTTTAAATAATACCAATTCCGATTTTATTAGAATTCAAACCCAACATTAATGTACAGGTCGCTTTGCCATCTAATGAATATACATGTCATCCACTATACAGGGTGGCCCATGCATGTGTGGACGGAATATTACTCATAAACAAATACATTTTGGAAAATCTATTTATGGGATCTTATGCATGACATTTGAGGGCACATTTCTAAAATATTGGCCATTATACAGGGTGTCCCAATTTCGACTTACATATCAAAGTTGTGATTTTTCAAATGGAATACCTCAAATTTTATTGCATATTTGAATAAACCAATTTAAAAAAAGAACATTTATTTATTCATTCACTCATGTTTGGGGTGCAACAGAATGTGAATTCCAGAGACAGCACCCGCTGCTTACTATAGTGATAAATTAAAAAGATACATAGATTACAAAATCCAGAAGTTATGAAAATCTGTAACCCAAGCCTACTATATGAGAATAAACAATACTATGATATTGCAACTACTATAAAACAATATAAATTTAAAATTTAATTTTTTCAAAAATTAGCATAAATCAGTTACACTATTCCATGAATCGCCAAAAAACACAAACACAGAGCACGTTACTAGACAGCTTTGATAACAAAACATTTATGTATTTTAATACTATATAAAAGTATTAATGGTTGACAACATTGATATAACATACGAGTACAATGGGGTTTTTTATTATTAGCTTTATTATTAGCAATTAGCTACTGGGATATAAAGTGTTTTGTCCAGAAAAACCCCCCACTTCGGCAACCCCTCAGCCCGCCATTTTGAAATTTGGAGTGCTGAATTTTGTATCAAAAAAACTTACACACCTCAGCTTTTATCTTGTTTGTTACTTTTTCGAATTTTCATTTTTGCTCATACAGGGTGGTCAAAAACGCGAATTGTACTTTTCCTCAAAAATTTCGAATGCATCACCCTTGTGCAAGTTTGGATTCAATTTTTTATCACCTTTTCTTTTGATACTAGACACATAAGGGTTTTTACGGCTATTTTTTCGGTTATTTTGGATCGGCTTAATTCCCAAAAATATCGCTTCATTCTGGAAACAAATAAATTGTTGATCAGTTACAAACTGTCAAAATTAGCTTTGTGAGCATTATAATATAATAATAATAATAATAATATTTATTCACTCAATGTACAAAGATAACAAAAAATATGAATAAATAAATATAAAATCAAAACAGGCCCAATAGAAGGCATCGCCTGTACATGGACCAATACATTTAAGTTGAAACTGTAGAATGCAAATGACAAAAAGGACAAAAATTAGCTACAGTAGATTATGTATTTAGTTGATGTTCGTATTTATGAGTTTATGAATTTCAGTCCTAGATATAGAATGTAGCCACTTTTTTAAATGCATTATAGATTTATGCGGTTGAGGAACTACTGTGCCACGAATTTTGTACCTGGTATAATGATTATGCTTAATTTTTTGGCCGGTGTTTACAAATTTATGGTAGTGAGTGATACTGTGTAAGAAATAAAGCTGTCTTATATCATACATTCGAACATCTGCGTATAATTTTTCAGTGGGATAAAGTTTCGGTTTTTTAAATATCATTTTTAGAATACTTTTCTGAAAAACATCTAAATTATAGATATGTGAGGAACATGCAGCTCCCCATGCTAGTATACCATATGTGAGATGAGGCTCAATCAGTGCATGGTATAATGTTCGAAGATATTTTTCTGTCAATATATTCCCAAGGTATTTAATTTTGTAGGATACAAATCTAACTTTCTTTAAAATATAATTGACATGGATGTCCCATCGTAAGTGAGGATCCAAGACCACTCCAAGGTATTTTATGTTGGGCACTCTATTAATTTGCATGTTTTGATCATTAATATTGAAGGAGAAATTTGTGTAATTTGGCAGATATCTAGCATAAGATCCAAATGGTAAAAAATGTGTTTATATATAAAGAAGAAATGGTGAATATGATGTTCGCTTTGGGCGAAGCCCAAAGAAATAGTTTATTGGCATCTCGCAATTATAAGCAACGGTACTCTAATATGCGACATCCAAGGCCGGAAACATTTTACACACGAGAACGTTTTGAATCAAATGGAGCGGTGAAATATAGTAAAAAATGTATAATTAATCCAACTGTAACTAATAAAGCGAATCAGTTGGAGGTTCTATTAAAGTTGCAGGAAAATCCCCATTCAGGTGCACGGCAAATTGGAGCAGAAACTGATATAAGCAGAACTTCTGTCCAAGGATTATTCACAAGCATAGGTATCATCCATATCACCTATGCTTGCATCAAGGCCTTCACACAACATGACGACGCACCTGCGTACTATCATAATCGTGTGCGTAACTATTTGGACACCTGGACTACCAATCGTTGAATCGGTCGTGATGGGCCTATATCTTGGCCTCCTAGATCACCAGATGTGACACCGATGGACTTCTTTCTATGAGGCTACGTTAGGCAAGATTTTGATAGATATCCACCATCTACCCTGTAAAATATGAAGGGAAGGATTAAGGATGCTTTTCTGAAAATAAGGGAACACATACTGAGGGATGTGCAACAGTCATTTATCCAAAGACTACAGCTGTACATTCAACATGGTAGAGATATTTTGGAGCAGTTTTTGTCAAATCTGGACTCTTAGTGGCAATATGGAACTAGCCCACTGTTTGTCTTTTGTTTCCATGGATGATGTGAATTTTTCCCTTAATTTTGGTGTGTTGTTCTATTAAAAGCTTAATAACTCAAAGCCTAGTGATTTTATCTAAATCAAACCTTATACCAAAAAAAAGCTTATAAAAAATTGAATCCAAACTTGCACAAATATAGAGGGTGATGCATTTGAATTTTTTGAGAAAAAGTACAATTCGCGTTTTTAACCATCCTGTATGAACAAAAATGAAAATTCGAAAAAGTAACAAATAAGATAAAAGCTGAGGTGTGTAAGTTTTTTCGATACAAAATTCAGTACTCAAAATTTTAAAATGGCGGATTGAGGGGTTGCCGAAGTGGACGGTTTTCCTGGAAAAAACACCTTACATCTCAGTAGCTAATTACCAAAACCTCATAGTATGTTATATCAATCTTCTTCTTTTGAATTGGTTTATCCAAATATGCAATAAAATTTGAGGCATTCCATCTAAAAAATCACAACTTTGATATGTAGATCAGAAATGTATTTGTTTATGAGTAATAATCCGTCCACACATGGATGGGCCACCCTGTATATGATATAAATTCGACAACTGGCTGATTCATATATAAAAATGAGTCTCTAAATTCGTTTAGATTCAGATCTTGAGAGATATAACACAATTGATAAATGAATTCGTAAAAGAAAAAAAAAACAATATCAAAAACAAGCTTTTATTTGGCCGTTAATAAAAAAAACTGAAAATCAAAAAATAATTTATTTCCGATTGGAAATATGCCATTTTATTTAAACGATAATTAATAATAAAGCTTCTTCGTTTTTCAATAAAACCGTGTGACACTATTGGTTTGAGATGTACTTTTATTATACGTACATAAACCTAGTCAAATCTCAAGTTAGTCTCTCTTGAATAAACCCATTGTGTTTTATTAATTTTAGAATTTTGAAGGCGTCGAAGTATCGTCAAACTACTTGCCGCATTTTTTGTAACAACGTCAAAATGTGTTTTTCTTCCAGCACATCCGAAAGTAAAAGTTTTCTGGACACACGGAGGTTTGCTGAGCACGACCGAGACCGTCTATCACGGAGTACCGATTTTAGCCACGCCAATTCTAGGGGATCAAGCAACTAATGCTCAAGGCGCTAAAGACGAAGGATATGGCTTGATATTGCCTTATGCTGACATCGACGAGAACTCATTGAATGGAATGCTTGATGAACTCGTTTCCAATCCTAAGTAAGTGTATACAGGGTAACCTCAAAGTTCTTTACAGAGTGTATGGGCAATAATAAGAACTTGGAAATAACACAAGCCTTAAGATAACCGGGAAATTACTATGACTATATGATCTTCCTACCGCAATAACGTAGTTATCGATTTGATATTACCTAGTTTATTGTGAGCGTCTATTGATACCCCGCGAGTGTATTCGAGTATTGAGAACGTCGGCGTCGTCCTCGATATTTCCATCAAAGCTGCGTAGGTTTGTTTATATCTCGTGCAAAAGCCGACTGGGTGGATACAGTAGAATGTCTAGACAGTCCTAAATGATGCAAATTTAGGCAGAAGTAATTACACTCGTGTTTTTGAATCGGACAGCGACATCTTCAAGCAGTAATAACAAACAAAACATGTGAAATGCTGTACAAAATAAATAGTGAATACTATCCTTTAATTTCTTATTTACGTTTTCGGTGGTGTTTTACCGCAAATTAACTTTGTTATTTTAAACGTAGTAGTTTCTGAAAATGAAAGTCCCAACTTTTAGGTATATTGATAAGTTACTTATACAGGGTGACAGGAAAATAGATACGGAGCCGGTGGAGAGAGATAGTACAAGAGAATCTGAGTCGATTTTACTATAGGAACTACTGTCTGAAAATTAGTCGTTTTCGAATTTAACTAATTTTTAAGATTTCATAAAATTAACATCCTTTATACGTTAACCAAGTCATAAAACTTGAAAATTGGGTGTTTCATTAGATTTTTTTTTTGTTTCACAATAAAAATATTCTAAAATACGAAAATTGATACTCAAATGTACATTATTGTTATCTCATGCAGTAAGCTTCAAAATAGTTCGATTTTTGTTAAAAAAATCTTCGTTCATCTCAAAAGCTTCAGTTTACTATAAAAAGTCGCATACAAATTTTTCGTACAAAATAATTAGAAAACATCTAAGTTTCATTACCTTTCAAATGAGGTATAAAAATCACAAATCGATTAAGAATGGTCAAAAATATGACTATTATAAGAGGAGGAAGGAAAAAGCAATAAAAATACTACACTTACAAAATCATACCTTGAAACTGCATTTTTTATTTTTATAATACATTTTTAATATGGCGCCCTCTATTTCTAATGCACACACGTGCTCTTCATCTGACAGCTGATTTTACTACCACCGAATTCCTGAGAGACTTGAATTTCTTGTGCTGCATGTATTATCCTGTTTCTGAAGTCTTCTATTGTAGGTACAGGATTTTGATCAGAGTATACTAAAGTTTCCGTGCGACCCCACACAAAAAAGTCCATAGGTGTGAGATCGGGACTGCGTGCTGGCCATGGGATTTTTCCGAATCGATGGATCGGTAGAGACGGACCAATCCCATGGCCAGCACGCAGTCCCAATCTCACACCTATGGACTTTTTTGTGTGGGGTCGCATGAAAACTTTATTATAGTCTGATCAAAATCCTGTACCCACAATAGAAGACCTCAGAAACAGGATAATACATGCAGCACAAGAAATAAAAGCCTCTCTCAGGAATTCGGCGGTAGTAAAATCAGCTGTCATAAGAAGAGCACGTGTGCATTAGAAATAGAGGGCGCCATATTAAAAATGTATTATAAAAATAAAAAAATGTAGTTTCAAACAAATTATCCTGTATTAAGGTATGATTTTGTTAGTGTAGTATTTTTATCGCTTTTCCCTTCCTCCTATTATAATAGTCATATTTTTGCCAATTCTTAATCGATTTGTTATTTTTATACCTCATTTGAAAGGTAATGAAACGTAGATGTTTTCTAAGTATTTTGTACGAAAAATTTGTATGCGATTTTTTATAGTAAACTGAAGCTTTTGAGATGAACGAAGATTTTTTTTAACAAAAATCGAACTATTTTGAAGCTTACTGCATAAGATAACGTCAATAATGTACATTTGAGTATCAATTTTCGAATTTTAGAATATTTTTATTGTGAAACCAAAAAAAAATCCAATGAAAGACCCAAGTTTCAAGTTTTATGACTTGGTTAACTTATAAAGGACGTTAATTTTATGAAATCTTAAAAATTAGTAAAATTCGAAAACGGCTAATTTTCGGACAGTAGTTCCTGTAGTAAAATCGACTCAGATTGGCTTGTACTATCTCCTCCCACCGGCTCCGCATTTATTTTCCCGTCACGCTGTATATTCGTCTTAATACTTTAATGTTTAGGAATTTTAATTACATTGATTAACAAGCAGATATCCATTAAAATAAGCATTAGAAAGGCTAAGAACGCTGGGTTGCCACATTGGGAAATTTTTCCCCAAATTTGGGATTTTTTTTCCTTTGGATGCTTTTTGGAGATCAAAAAGTTCATAGAGATTTTTTTGGGAAGAAATGTACTGTGAATTGGGGGATTTTTTTGAGGAATCTTAGTGATTGCTCAAGCAGCAGCGATGGCCGCAGTAGTAGACTCTTCGGTCTCCTGATCAGTTGCCGTGCGCTGTGCGGGTTCGAGTCCCGTCCCAGGAGAAATTTTTCTCTTGGCTATGGATGTTGTGATTGTCCGTAGGTGGTAGACGGTCTCGGACTGTCGAACGCGGAGGTACCATCCGGCGGATCTCGTAGGCGGAGCCAGAATGTGTGCATGTTGCATGCACACGTGTTCCCTCGCCAGAGTCCGTGTGGCATTCCCCCTTTCCCATGTATCCCCCTATAGCCCCACGGTACCCAATGGGTGCTTAGGCCTTAGGCCTTCGTGGTAGTTGGAGTATAAAAAAAAAAGATTGTCCTGGGGGAATTCTGTCTGATCCATCTGGCAACGCTGCAAGAGCGGATTGAAGATTGTAGCGCTATCTACGAGACAGAGTCGCAGGACCAAAACACTCTCTTTAAATGTTGATTCTCACTAGACATTCCGTTTCCATTCCGTAACTGTCCCGTAATTTATTGAAATTAAAGCGGGCTATTGCGTGTGTATGCACATTATCCGTAAGGTATTCTGTGTATACAATCACATTGTACAGAACGCTTACGAAACTGATATGGAATGGAAACGGAATGTATAGTGAGAATCAACCTTTATGAAGATTTATAAATTTATTTCTATGTTATGCTACTTTCTCAGAGATGGCGCTGGTATCTTTCAGATCCTTTTTTAAATACCGGAATACAGTATATATATACAGTATATACAGTATATATACAGGGTGACTTCGAAGTTGAGTCATTTATTTTAACAGTGAGTAGATCTGATCAAAAGAAATGTTTTTTTCCTTTACCATTTTTCTGGTACAATTAAAGTAACAAAGTTATAGCCCTTTGGAAGTTTGAGTACCGCCGTCTCAATAATAATATCATGTGCTCGTGTTTGGCAACAACGGATATAATCCGCCTTATCGGTTCATCGCATCGGAAACAAAAAAGCGAAAGAATTTGGAACGATGTTTTTACAATTGTTTTATTCAGTTCAGTTATACATACAGTCAGTGTCGTCAGTCGGTAACGCGTGTGAATAGTGTCTGTTGCGTGGCTCAAACGAAATAAAAAATGGCACATGTTTATGCGGATCGGTTTCCCAATCGAGTGCAACCAACCCCTCGTGCCTTTGTTAATGTAGTACAACGGGCTCGTGAATCAGGTGACTTAAGACCTCACAGGGGACCTCACGATCAAATACAGGACCGCACTGAAATACTGGTCGGGAGGATACTTTATAAAACAAGGCAAACATTTTTTTTTAATTTTTTTTTATTTTTACACACGTATTTTGGTTTATCTTCCTTCTACAATCATTATCTGAAAATTAATGACTCAACTTCAAAGTATATATATACAATATACAGGGTGTTTCAGTTTATTGTTGCATAACTTTAAGATTCGATAGAACTTTTAAAATTTATGCATAAAGTCTATATAAACATGGGTCGAAAAATGCGTGGCTTCCGAAATACAGGGTGTTTAAATTTACTTTTTAAAATAGTTTTTTTTAAATATTTCGAACAATATTTGATGTATAACAGTGAAAATTGGTATACAAGGATTTTTTGGTACGATAAAACGAACCATGGGTATAGTTTTACTGTAGCCACTAGAGGGCGCTCTCTACTGTACCTGTAGTGTATTAAAATGACCGAAAATTTTTTCTTAGTGCAATTTTTTGCTTTTTGAATAAAAAAAACTGATTCTTCGCACTTTTCAACATAAAAAAGCTCTCTTGTGAATTCTCGTTATAGTTAGCCGTTTTTGAGATATTTCGATTTTTAAGGTTTGATGCATTTTTAATTAGTTATGGGACAATAATATTTTTTTTACATTTTCGATTTGGGCATTACAAGTAATTAAGATGATCGTTTAGATTGTGTTTTTAAACATAGCAATAATTCCTAACCCCAAATAAACACAACAAAACAGAATATTAATTTGTTTAATTTTCCAATATTATGTTTGACAAATTAAATTAATTATTTACAACTAAAATGCTATTGGATAGTTAGGACAAACATACAAAATCTAAAGTAGTTGCTCGAAATGTAAACCCAATTGTTCAATACACAATTCACATCTACGAATGATCGAACGTGGTATAGCATTATTCAAATAAGGCCTTATTTCATCACATGCATTCCTGATTCTGTCTATTAGCATATCTCTTGTGGTTACGGGAGTCTGGTACACTTTTTCTTTTAGAAATCCCCACACAAAGAAATCTAATGGATTTAGGTCAGGGGATCGTGGAGGCCAAGCGACTGGTCCTCCACGGCTGATCCATCTTTCTGGATAATTTTCGTCCAGCCAGTTTCCAACTATTCTCGAATAATGAGCTGGACAACCATCAAGCTGGAACCAGGCCAATCTTCTTAAATCTAACATAACATCATCCCACTTTTTTGCATGTTCAGCCTTTAAAAATTCCAAGAAGGTCGCAGCATTTAACCTTGCAGGCAAAAGGTAGGGTCCAAATAGTAGATTACGGTAGATACCAATCCAAACGTTCACACTAAATTCATGCTGAAAATTTCTTTCCCGAACTGCATGCGGATTTTCATGTGACCAAATATGTTGATTATGAAAATTTACCACTCCACGTCTAGTGAAGCATGACTCATCGGTCCATAAAACGTTACTTAAAAACTCCCTATTATTATCAGTTCTATCAAGAATCCACTGACAAAATGTGATTTTTCGTTCTCCGTCCCCTGGCTGTAGTCCTTGCATAGGTTGCAAATGGTAAGGACGTCTATGGTCATTTCTAAGAACACGGTGAACATGGCTTGCTGAAATTCCCAAGGCACCAGAAACTCTCCTAACACTTGTGGTCGGATCTCTATTAAACTCACGCAGAATCATACGGGTAAATCTGCGCTGACGAACATTTTTGTTTTGATCCCTTTGGAGATTTCCAAAACCATTTTCAATTATTTGGCGATGTACTTTTACAAATACTGAGCGAGTTGGATGTCGTCTGTTTGGAAATCTTCGTGCGTATTCTCTGACTGCTTCTGCTGCGTTTCCATTTACAAAGCCATAAACAAAATGAATATCCGCTAACTCTTGATTGGAGAATAAAAATGGCATTTTTATAAAACTTACAAAAAAAAACAGGTAAAAGAAACTAAATTTCGTGCATTCACAATTGCAAAAAAACGTTTCAGGTTTCAACAGACAACAAAACTAACTGTCAACTAATTGACGTTTAACCTTATTCTGCTTTCAATTTCAAACATATTTGCAGGCCTACTTCTAAAAATTATCGAGATACTGACTTTTTAACGTTATTTTATCATAAATAATTAAAAATGCATCGAACCTTAAAAATCGAAATATCTCAAAAACGGCTAACTATAACGAAAATTCACAAGAGAGCTTTTTTATGTTGAAAAGCGCGAAGAATCAGTTTTTTTATTCAAAATGCAAAAAAATGCACTAAGAAAATTTTTTTGGCCATTTTAATACACTACAGGTACAGTAGATAGCGCCCTCTAGCTACAGTAAAACTATGCCCATGGTTCGTTTTATCGTACCAAAAAACCCTTGTATACCAATTTTCACTATTATACAGCAAATATTGTTCGAAATATTTAAAAAAAACTATTTTAGAATGTAAATTTAAACACCCTGTATTTCGGAAGCCACGCATTTTTCGACCCATGTTTATATAGACTTTATGCATTAATTTTAAAAGTTCTATCGAATCTTGAAGTTATGCAACAATAAACTGAAACACCCTGTATATATATATATAACTATAATTTTTTTTGTGGGGCTACATTAAATTATTGGTCTCGGCCAACAAGTCGGCGTCGTTAGAGGAGCTCAGAGCCAATATTGAATGAGAGACGGCGGCCGTTTCTGTCGAAATGTGTGGCCGAGACATTGAAAATTGGCTTCATATGAACGAGGTCGAATTCCATGCAAAAATGTTTTGAGTACACTTTAATCCAATAATAAAAAAATTATCGAGATTTCTCAAATGGCTTGCGTTTTATTTAAAAAGAAAGTTGTCAAGTCCCATACCTATCATAAATTTTACAACGATTTCTCGTTTTTTTTCTTTAACTGTAGTTCCGAAAAAGCACGCTATGAAGAGGTAACATACTGGATGTTATTTTCAACTATTTGTTGTTTCAGATACAGAAAAAATGTGAAAACTCGCTCTAAAATAATGCGCGATCGGAAAGTTCACCCACTAGACGAGGCTGTCTACTGGGTGGAATACGTAATTCGTCACAATGGGGCGAAACACCTCAGGATGTGGTATGTAGAGATGCCTTGGTACCAGTATTACTTGCTTGACGTAATTTTTGCTGTGTTTGCTGTGATATGCCTGGCTCTCTATGTTATCAAGAAGATGTGTTCTTTGTGCTGCCGTCGATACAAGAAAACAACAAGTAAGAAGATGAAGAAGAATTGATTGTTATAGTATTTTGTAATAAAAAAATTGAACAATTTAGGATTTGTTTTGGTACCCCTAATAGTGCCTCACTTATTTATTTATTTTTGTTTGTATTCCTGATTTTTTCAATTTGTTTTTTTTTTAGTGTTAATTGTATGCTTGTTATTAATTACCTTTTATTGCAATTATTACACCACCAGAAACATTGTATACGAAATTTGTAATTTGTTCTGTATCTAAATAAAGACCAGTTATTAGTATTATTATGATAATAATTTTGTGGCTAGTCAGTCTAATGCAGAATATGAATACGAGGTAAAATAAATTTCTTTAGAATCTCATGAAGGTCAGTAAAAAGTGGAGTAAAGCAGATTAACTCAGTAGTTTCCAATAATTAGCAAATATGACGTCAAAATTCACATGAACTGGGAGTATTCAACCCCGTTCAATTGTTTTAATGGTCAGAGCCGGCCTTGATGTCGCATCACACGAAATGGCGTGCCTGCCTGTTCGAATTGTTTACTATGCACCGGAAGAGCTATCTACTTAATTTTTTTTCCACGGAAAAAAAGGAACTTTAGAACCTTACGGATCCCAATAAATAGTATGATAATGAAAATGAATGATATTTACCTTGCTTACCTCTTTGCGTTACTCCACAACATACAGCATACGACTAAAAATATACTAAGTGACATATAAATCCGAACACCCAGTTTAAATGGTTTTATTTTAATAAAAGATGGTGAATGTATTTATTTTACTGTAAATAACAAGTGAAAAAATTTTCAGCCTTATCAGTTGGACATTCCGGTTTTTATACTGCTTTTTTTTAATTCACTAACGCTCTAAAAATGAATATTTCAGCCGCAGTAAAGAATCAACGTTGGCGGATTTTGGTTCTTGACATCCTTTACGATCGGTTACGATGCCTAGAGTACGGAGACCTGTACGATTTGGTCAACTTAGTGAGTTTGATAGGGGCCGTATAGTGGGACTTCGGGAAGCTGGACTTTCTTTTCGGGCAATTGCAGTTAGAGTGCAAAGAAGTGTAGACACTGTGGTTAGGTGTTGTCAGGCATGGCTTCGAGAAGGCCGTACGCAAAGAGCAAGGGGCACTGGGCGCCGCCGTAGAACAACAGACCGTGAAGATCGCCGCCTAAGATTTTTGGCCTTAAGGGACCGTTTCTCCACTACCAGGTCCATTGCAAATGAATGGTTTGCAGAACACGGAAGACCTATTGGCATGCGAAGTGTTTACCGACGAATGAGAAGTTTTGGCTTGTTTTCATACCGGCCACACTGGGTCCTCCCTTTAACTCGAGAACACCGACGTAATCGCCTTGAGTGGTGCAGACAACGGTCACTCTGGGATCAGGAATGGAACAGTATTGTCTTTAGTGACGAGTCTCGATTTTGTTTAGGCATGCACGATGGTCATGCCAGGGTTAGAAGGCGACGTGGTGAAAGGAGGAATCCACAGTTTTTTGTTGAAAGACATGTTCATCACACTGTTGGAGTTATGGTTTGGGGTGCTATAGCTTATGGTTCCAGGTCACCTTTAATCTTCATCAGAGGTAACATGAATGCGCAGCGTTATAACCACGAAGTTCTAGAACCCCATCTTTTACCCTATCTTGACACCCTGGCAGATCCAACTTTCCAACAAGATAATGCCCGACCACATGTTGCAAGAGTCACAATAGACTTCTTTCAACATAATGATGTCACATTGTTACCATGGCCACCAAGATCTCCCGACTTATCCCCAATTGAGCACGTGTGGGATATGATGGGTAGGAGATTGCTCAATTTGCAACGTCCTCCTCAGACTCTAGAAGCACTTCGAGAGGAGTTGGTGGTTGCCTGGAATGAGATACCACAGGAGGACATTGACCACCTGATCAGGAGCATACCTAGGCGCGTTGGAGAATGCGTAGCACATCAGGGTGCATCCACACATTATTAAAGGTCAAAGGGCTTTAAAGCAGTGCAATCATTTTGAAATTTTTATCATTTACTTATTATGCTTCATTAAGTACTTAGATATACAAAATTTTATTAAAATAAAACCATTTAAACTGGGTGTTCGGATTTATATGTCACTTAGTATAGTATACGTCTGTTTTCGAAGCGTCGTACGATTAAAACAACTGCGAGTTTAGCATGTTGGAAAAAAAACTCGAGAACGAAAAAACAGTAAATAAATATCAACCTATTGTAGCGAACTGACCGTCTTGAAAATTAGACAAAATGATCGTTATTTTATAGTCTCTAATACATTATTTAAAGATTCAGCATTGCATTTTGTATCGTAGCGAATCTTTTCAGTTACTCACGAAATGTTTTGAAGAAAAAACGTAACCCTCCGCTTTCGCATAAAAATAACAATTTGATCTTTCGGAAAGTTTTGGGTAAACAATTAGAAATTCTCAAAAACTACTTCACCAATCGACTCCAATTTTGTTGTGGTTATTAAGAAGTATGAGACCTATGGATTTGAAGAATTACAAGTAGCTGCATGAAATTATCATCGCATTAACAACAAGTGCCAAAACGTGCATTTTGCCTCGGTTTTGGGTCATAATTTTTTTACCATCAGTCGGATCTTTTTACGTGTAGTCTCATTTTGTAGGTCTCATAAATACCTAAAAATTTTATTTGAAGAGTTTTTTCGTTCCTGCCAACACTTTCAATTGAATAAAAAAAAACACGTTTTCTCATTCTTTGTTGTCGAATAAAAGGTTTTCCCACAAAAATTGGTGTACCTATTTTATGCGTCCATATTTTAAATACCCCCTTGAACAACTTGCATCACTAAAACCCGACTTTACAATTATTTCAATGAAATTTGCTAATATGATTAGAATAATTTTCAGTGAGTTAAGCCCGGTCTACACATAATATTTTACCTTACGTCTTGCCTGTCATACAAAAGGGTCAAGTATGATAGCTGAAAGATTAGAGTACACACTTGAAAGATTTAAGGTACGTTTTTAGATCAGTTATATCAATAATAGCGCTGTGTTTAGTGAAATTGAAAAGAAAAAGAATGACTTCTCGACGTTCACGATCGTCAAGAGCGTGGTTGCTGAAAAGAGGAAGGTTCTCCCACGTAAATTTACTGCCATAATTACGTGATGGACCTGAAGATTTACGTAATTACTTAAGAATGGATATGGAAACATATATGTATCTACTGCGTGACTCCTCATCTACAGAAACTAAACACTCACATGAAAAAGGCAATTTCGCCTCATGAAAGATTAACAGCTACATTAAGGTTCTTAGCAACAGGAAGGAGTTACAAAGATCTTGAATTCAGCATCATAACATCAAAACAATCACTAAGTAATATAATGCCAGAAACGTGTAACACAAAAATAAAAATTTATTGTAAAGATAATTCCCAAACTAAAATCTTATATAATTATGGGCAACAGTGAGAAACTCAAGTTATTAATACCGAGGTACTTTCAATAACTATATCTAAATTAAGATGGTTTTTCGTTAAAACTAGTAATTAATTGGCCAAGAGCTTCAGAATAAGATTAATTTGTGTAACTAGTGTTAGAATCATGCTGTAAAATAGTTTTGTTTGTGAGTGATTTCCGCTAAACGAAACTTGGGCCTGTAATTTATACATTTACAAGCATAGAAATAAAATGAACTCAACCTTACCTCTTGCTGTTGTAAATTGTTATCCTCTGTGTTGCTTGAAGTTGATCATTTAGAAATGAAAGCAGGTCAAAATACCAAAGTGATGGCTTATAAATGTCATCCGTACCCGCACCATATCGTTCTGAGTTTTTTTTTTACTTTTTGTAACTCCTCCCGATAAGCCGATCGAAAAGAATTATTTTTTTTAGTTACAGTATCCTTAGTCGCAGCACGATCCACCTCCTGGCATTCCTTAACCAAAACAGCATATGCTTGATTTTTCTTTTCTCTGCCACTATAATCGCTTGTTTTAACTTTCCATAGACATTGGAAATTCATTTCGATACAGTACAGTAAATTCTGTGAAAAAATTACGGGACCATTGTCATAAGTCCGACATGTTTTTAAATACGTAGGTACCGTTTGCCAACACAAAATGAGCTAAATCAACAGTTCAAAACGGACGAGTGTCTACACGTGCAGGATTATACGGCAAAACGATCGTTTTATTGGAAAACAATGGGTAATCCGGTCAGTTCTCTTGTCGGTCTTAAATCAATTCTTCAGTCTGCACACAATGTTTTACTTGATGCGTGTTGACTGAACAGTCAAGGCGTAAGGTGAAATGTTATGTCTAGACCGGGCTTAACTACTAAAATCATAGTAAAAAAGTTGCTTTGGTTTTTTTTTCATTTTTCTTATCTGACAATATCACGAAGCGACTCGATATTTACGTTAACCGGGAGCACTCGCGCGGAGTGGAAGCTGGAAAGGGGCGTGGCTTCACTACCCCCGGCCGTACCGTATCGGCGCAGCGAAGTACAGCACACGCTTCAGTTTCTTGGCAACCGTCGGCGAAGCGGGATGTCCTCGCGTTCACAGTTCCGTGCAGGGCTGTATTCGGTTTAGCTACTTTTTTTCAGTAGTGGTGTTCACTATAGGGTTCTCGAGTGTCTCTCAGTGGTGCTTTGGTGTATTAGTGTTGTGAAGTGGCTGTTAAGTGTCTCCAAAGTGGAAATTAGGATTACTTCCAACTCTTCTGAGAGAAACAGGATACTTGAGCAGCAAACTTGGTGAGTCTTGTATTATTCTCATTTATTTGTGTGTTAGGGTTGACATCCTATATTTTTTTTAAAAATGGGGAAAATTCATTAAATTTTGTGTATGACGTTTTGTTTTAGAGAAACCATCATCAACTTTTTTATATGATCCAAAAAAGTACTATTCTGTATCTGATAGAATCTTTTTCCACGACTTCAACTATGTATCACGTTACAATTTTTTTCCATGTTTTCATGTTATTTTTAAAATGGTAGGCATTGCAAACAAAGGGCTTGATGTAAGATTGTGTGATTACTGAATTTAATCTAGTCTAATCCTTATCTTGGCCACCCTGTAAAACGTTATAAAAATAAATTTACAGAAATGTGCACTAATCTAACGTTCTTATAAGTATTCTTATGTACTTACATGAGAGTATTTCACATCGTGCTTTGACACTAAAAGCCCTTGGCACTATGTTTACTAAATATGGTGCATAAAATCAAGCGTTGATTCTTTGGCGTTTTCAAACCTGGAATCTCAGCCC